AAAGACTGTCTATGAATTCCTTTGGGAACGGATCCCTCGGGTATGCAACTTGCAAGCCAGTTTCCTTCCTTCCCCGATTATTTGACAACGAAATATATATATCTGACAGCAGCTGCAACTTTCATCCGAGTCTCTTCAGAAACCGGTTCTTTGCCTTACCAAACCTCGCATCCCATTATTAACAAGATGAGGAGTAAAGAATGGATATCCTGACAGAGCAACTCCTGTAAAAAAGATCGGGAGGAGGTTTCAATTGGGTGCCAGTGCCAGTGCCAGTGCCTTTGTCTTTGTCCTTTGTTTCTTTTTCGCCTTGGTTTGAAAGAATTCTTGACTTGGCTTGCTTTTAATAGACTCACGGCCGAGACATGAAATGATTATACCATCCATATCCACACCGAACATTGAGGTGCATGCAGTAGCCAAACAGACTCGAGCGAATCTGAACTTCTGAACCTTCGCAGGAGTCCTATGTAAGATTACCGAAAACTAGTGGACACTTCGTAAGTAAGATCTTAGAGACTGAGAACCTCTTTAACCTGGCAAAAGTGCATTTGATTCTCAAAGCTTTGGGATCGTTGGTTGCATGTACTGTGAACTCCGGGACATTCAACTTGGATGAGAGGAGCCGAGATCTGGAGTTAGCTTGTCTCTCAGCCAAGAGAGTGATGAAGATGGATTTGCTGTACGCCGCTCGCAAATCAATCAATCAATCAATCAATCGAGTAGCGTTATCAAATCGTCCGCACCCCCATCGCAACTCCCTGATAAAAACGAAATTGCTTTCATCACGAACAACAAACCCCAAGGGTACAAGGTACATCGATCCTTTTATCCAAAATACCTACCTACCCACCTCCCTCGCCTCGCAATTCAGCCTCTTCCTCGCAAAGCGCAAGGGCTGAAGCGAGGGGGGGCTGAGGATTCGCAGAAGGGGCCAGCAATGCAATGAGGGCCCGGAAGTGACATATCTACTCGCCAGGCTCGCGCTGCAATGCAATGCAATGTGCCGCGAAACATGTCACTGGAGGGCCAGAAACGCAGGCCCAGTGACAGTTCCCGATGTGCAACAGAACGATTATTACTGTCTTTGCAGCCCTATTCTATCGATGTTTCTCTTTCGCTCTTTCTTGTGCTGGGGAGGCTGGGGATGGAAAAGGAGGTTGTGCATTCGCCATGCATGGAGATCTGTGCTGTGTGTGCATGCATAACTCCAAGATTAGGGATCCACGCATCCGCTTCTTCCGCGTCATGTGATTTTTTGCCTAGACGAGATCGAATGTCCCGGTTCAGTTTTGCAGTTAGGAGGCCATCGAGGCTCGAGGCAAGCAAGCAAGCAAGCAGCCAAGTTCAAATCATATGTTGATCACGTGTCGCGTCTCAAGAAAGACTGCATGATGGGAAATAATTGGAAAGATCGGGATTCGGGATTGAAAGAGGCAATTACACTAGTGTGAATCACGTGATCCAGAATTAAAGGGGTCGACCATGTTTCAACACCACTCCAATCAATCACCCCGCGCCTTGGCAAGGATCCCGCGCTCAAGCAAACAAAAAATTTCATCTTACATCCTTTAAAATTTGACCGAGATGATTTTTTTCTTTCTTACAAGCTGGAAGGTGGTGGAGATGGGGTTTCTAATGACCATTTCATGCGGCGCGCGTTAAGGTCGCGTTCCGTTCCGTTCCCAGCTTAGACAAGACCAGATCTCGTTGGATGGCCATGGAGGAGGAATGCTTGGAGCTTCATAATTAAAGTCAAAATTCATTCATGCCAAGCCTCGAACGATTTGCGTTTTATGGACGGGAAGCATCATGGGATGGGTAGTGATAGTTCTGTGATAGTAATGAATGATTCCCTTGGCACAAAGTCAAAAAACCGGAAGGATGGGATGAGAGCCTGGAGAGGGAGGGGAGGAGGGGGATGCGGCAGTAGGATCAAAGGGGTTTCGGAGTCGGGGTTGAAACGCGACGGGAGAGTTCGTTCAGGTTCAGGGACTTCGGAATTCGGCAGCTTGCTCGTGTTTGCTTCCTTGCAGCTTGTAAAGCTTCGAGAAGGAAGGTCGGCGCAGAATCGTGGGTTTCGAGTTTGCCGACGTTGGAAGCTGAGATGTTGCTAGGGTGAGTGGGGCAGTGTGAGTGAGGCCATTTTGAAACCGGAGGGTGGAAAGGGCGAAGACGTCAGTGAGGCATTTGGTGATGGAGGGTGGGACGGCAAATGGATGACGACAGGGCTGTTACAGGATCTTTTCATGTGGATGAACGCGGCGTTGTGAACCCATCGCGAAGGGTCACGATAACCGCAGTACCGCGACAAGCTTCAATCTAGGGCTAGTCTCGTGTACAGAAGCCCGTGGTTCGATTTCCATGAGGCGATGTGTTGGGTCCTCTACCACAGACGCTGATGACCGTTGAAGCTGTCATGGCAAAGCGCCGCCTATTTGGTGATTTCGGTGAATTGGGTGTTAATTTGGGGGGCAAGTGATCGCCAGCGAGTAGATTAAATCTACAACGGCCCTTGGAATTGGGAAATTTTAAGCATGTTTTGATGGGTGGTCGGCACTGGTCGCCAATCGCCGGCCTCGATAGCCGTGATCTGCTGAATTATTATTTCAACGCTGTCGGTTTTCTGTCGTTGGTTGCGATCAACATCTTCAAATCTCCTGGGTCCCTGGTAGCGCTCGGTCTGGGCCCTTCGGCCTTCTGACAACCGCCAGGTACCAGATGCTGATCTGGCCAAGATCTGGACTAGAAAACCGGGGCCTGCTGGCCTTGCAAGGCTCCCCGCCTAGCGTTGCGGTCAGCGTCGCAGTACGCACCAGAGTGGCGAAGTCCAATCAAAGGTTTGACCTTTTTTGAGAATTCGAGAGGCCGAAAAGAGCGGATTACGCGAGCCAAGAGGATGTGCACAGATGAGAGCTTCCGATTCCAGCAACGGTGTCTAAGTTCCCGGGCTGGTGTCGTCCGTTTTGAGTGAGAACTTTACTCTAGTGAATTTACAGTAAGAAGCTATTTAAATAGAGTTGCATCGGCATCGCGGGCCTTGTTCGGCTGGCGAGACGCTTTGGAGAGCGGTTCGCTGGAGGGGCCATGAGTGGGGCGAGCTAGCTGCCAATGGCCGTCTTGGCTCCGATCATTCGCTGGATCCGTGGGGACTTCCGGTCAGGAACAGGTCTGCTGCAAGAGCCTCGAATTTTCAAGGTGCAGGCGTCCGATCTCTCGATGCAGGGCATCCGGGCATCCAGGCATCCAGGCATCAAGACATTTACATACGGGGCGTCGCAATATCCCACCTTCGCCTCCTTCTGAGGGTGCAAAGGGTGGATCGAGACATGACATGAGGGATGTGCTGGCACCATATCACGAGGCGCCGACGACACCATTACGCAGACGGTGAGCCTGCGCGAGGTGAGCAATCCTATCTGTCACTTCTTGTGCTGTGGCTGGTGGCCTGTCAATACAGTACTGTAATCAAATGATATTCAATATTCAGGCGGCCGCCCGCCGGCATAATTGGTTGCATAACTTCGTCCAGATTAAGAACGACGTACGCGGCCAGAGTGCATTTTCAGCTCCTTCCCGAATAAGAAAGCAGAGGGTCATCCGCAGGCACCATCGTTTTCTCGAAGGAAGGATTTGGGATGGGCTTGCCTTTACTCAGCACAGGCACTTTGACGCATCTTGTAAGTTATCACTTGTTCAACTCCCGAAAGCCAAAGGGCAGATGAAGCTGCATAGTAAAACGGCGAGTCGTTTATTCCGTGCGTGAGGGAAGGGGGCGAAGCGAGCAGGCTGCCGGAAATTAAGGGCCACTTTATCGACCACCAGCGCACTCCCAAAACGCGCCGGTGCAGTTCTGTGGCGCTGATTGGCTTGGCTCGTCAAGAAGGCGGGGGTTGGCGGCAGGGGAGCCGCCGCTGGCAGGGCTCCCCCTCCGAGGCCGTCAATGCGGTAGGCTGGTCCGGAAAGCAGGGCAGGGCAGGAGGCCAGGGAGCCAGGGAGCCAGGGAGCCAGAGCGCTGCTGCAAAACCAAAACCAAGGCGGAGGAAGGAGGTTAAACCACAGAGCCTGTGAGAGCCGCGGCTGTAAATTGCCCGAGGGATGCAACTTGCAAGGGATTATAGGAGGGTCGCGCGCCGTGAGTGGCCAACAGCAGCTCGTCCAAGCCAAACTGCTCTTGTCATTTGGCCATTTGGCCTCTGAATTGTGCCCGTACTGTTGTACCACCACCATCATATCGACTGTCCTCTTCCAGCGCCTGCAGAATGCACGCAGCTGCCAGTCGTGTAGCGCGCCTGTAACCGTACTGTGCATTTTACGAGCCTGCCGTAACGCCGCTGGTGCGATCTGTGTGCCCTTGGAGTCTTTGACCCGTTGCCGTATTCGTCCCCGTATTTGTCTGCTCCGTTTGGACCGTCGTGGACTCGTGGTGCTACACTGCTAAGGTTACTGCTCCGCCTTGGTCGCTTCCCTCCTCCCCTCCCCTCCCCCCCAAGGGCCCCAAGACCGTGGCCTGCAGCAGTCACATTGCGCTTGCCAGGACAAATTATTGCTAGCAGTGCGGCCCCAGTCAGTTCCTGGCCCGCCCTGCTCCCTCGCTCGCCCACTCAACCAAACACGCTGCCCCAATCCACCCACCCAGCAAGGCCAGCACCGCACCAAGCAGCGCCTTCATCTCACCACCCTCACCACCACCACCACCACCACCTCACTTCGCCCTCTCCACTCCACTCCACCTCCCTCCCTTCCTCCTCACCTCACCTCACCTCTCCTTCCCTCCCTCCGCTTGCAGGACCGCAACGAATACAGACGTGCAGCTTGCTTGCACGCCTCTCTGCGAGTTGTTAATCCTACGAACGCGACGGCCTCCGGAGGCCTCTAGATAATGGTTGCTCGCTCATGAGATCGCGAACGGACGAATTGAAGTTGTCCAGACGGCCCAATCCCTCCCGACGATTTTTCGTCACGACACTCCTTTGAGTCCGCGGTTTTGCATTTACGACTGATACATTAATCTGAACCCGTGAGTTCACACTTCACCTCACCTTTTCGTCCGAAGAAACATGCTCGAGGAGGAGCGCTGGTTTTCGTCGAGAGACTGCGCGGCTCCCTTTTACGGTCGCGGGGATGGGGTCATGTTGATCATTCATGCGCGCCCGAACTCGACCTTCAATTACGCATACTGACATCAATTCTCAACAGACACGCTCGTTGACATCTTTGTCAAGTACACTCGTTAATACAATTTGCCCTGACAGTCAGTGCTGGTGCAACGTTGTTGTCAATTCACCTTCGCGGTACTGACTCCCCTTAGATCCCAAATCTTGCTTTCCTCCAAACTCCCTCGTCTCCTTCGAAAAAATACGCGCGTACTAGATACACCAACTGCCAGGATGCATACACCTTCGCTCTTCGTTGCCTCTGTGGCTGTATTTTCTGCATTAACCAGTGCTGAGCAGCAACAACAACGGCCCAGATTTTACTTTCCGCGGGCAATCAGGCGGCCTTCAACTGAATTCCAAAACACGACGATTACAACGCCTCCTCCACAAGGCACTGCAAGTGAAACTCCACAAGATGTCATCTCATCGTCTTCAACGAAGCGGTCGTTGTCGGATATTTTTGCTAGGCTTTCATCTTCGTCGGATGGGGGTGCAGGGACAACGGGCGATATCTTGGCCGGCCTTCTAGATCCGTCATCACCTACGACTCCTGCTGTAAGGACGGTGGTGATCTCTCAGACGACAACTGTAGGAATAGGTGGTCCAACACCCGTTGCGTCTCCAAGTTCGCCTGGTACGGGTTCGAATAACTTTGGCATCCTTGGGAGTCAGCCGGACCCATTGACTTCTGCTTCCTCAGCTGCTTCGAGCGGTGCCGTTCCCGTGGTTGTTATCCCACCGACTGTTGCAACCCCGGACGGTGTTCTAGCTGCTACAGTTGACCATCCGTCTTCCTCGACACCTTCCGCCAGTGGGATTACTTTTGGGCCAGGTGGAATTTTGACTGGAGGGACCACGACAAGCTCTTCGAGCCCAGATCCAAGCACACCGACTACGCCTGGTGTAACATTCTCTGGACCCGGAGGATCGTCACCCACTGCTGCAGCTTCAAGCTCGACTTCCACCCCGGAGTCTTCGACCCCAGCCGGAATTTTACCTCTCAGCAACATCCTGTCAGGCGTTCAGGACCCGACGAACCCAACCCCAACTCCAACTCCAACCCCTACTCCCACGCCTACGCCTACACCTACGCCCACGCCCTCACCAGACGTAACACCAGCTGACCCGGCTTCGCCATCCTCTCCTGCTGCAGCAACAACCACCCCCCATGTGGGCACTGATCCCCTATCGTCTATTCTCTCTCCCGTTCTCCCGCCTGTTTCCACCCCTGACCCTACTTCGCCGGGAGTCTCTGGTCCTGCTTCAACTGGTGTCGCGACTCCAACTACGACTCCCGCACCCCCTGCCGCCGCGACTAGCAGCACAGGTCTAGGAGGTATTCTTTCGAGCATCTTATCAGAACCTGGTGGAATAATACCAACCCCGTCAGGCGCTCCAAGTACCCCCGTTGTGGTCCCGACTCCCACATCGCCGCCAGTTATCACGCCTTCCCCAACTGATATCTCGAGTCCTACGTCTCCACCGGTTGTGATAACTCCTACCCTGTCGTTCAACACGACTGCAACCCCTCCAAGTCCACCGACCACATCGTCGGAGATCGTTACAACACCTACGATAAGCGCAACCCCGCCGTCTTTGCCGACATCTTCGCCAGTTGTATCGCTGAATGGAACGACAACAACTCCAGTCTCACCACTTAATTCCACCGTGGCAACCCCATCAAGCTCTCCTATTTACAGCGTCACTCCAACGACGACGGACACGTCAACCCAAATCTTCCCAGCATCGCTCATCGCCCAGCCTTCCGGCTCACTCGCCCCGGGAGAGACTCCGGGCTCTGCCCCGACTAGTATTCCGTCCTTCCTACCCAAGGTCATTACCAATCCAAATGGCGCCGTCACACAACCTGAAGATACAATGCTGGTTCAAGTCGGATTCGACTGCACCTTGAACTACGCCTTTGTTGTGGGCAATGGGCAGTCGTCGGCACAAATCTTTGCATGGCTCCAGCCCGGCATTGTGGATGGACTGGCTTTGCAGAGTCATGAGGTCGTCATTCACACACTGACCCCACTGCCTGTCACGGGTTGCGTAACGACCGTAGCCCTGGCCTTCATACCGAGTAGCATGGTCCAATCACTGAAGCTTAGCTTGAGCATCCCGACTTCTACGCTATACAACAACAACGATACGAGTATCGCCCAGCTGATGGATAAAATCAACCCTGCAATTCCATTGATGCCTGGTACTACTGCGCCAGGGGGTGCCACAGGAACTGATAGTGGTTCTGCAGCTACTTCCGCTGCCGCTGGAAGCGGAAACGGACTGGATAACACCAATGGGCAGACGAGTCAATCACCAAAGGCGGCTGGTGCAACGGCTGGTATTGCTATGCTGGCTGTCGGAGCATCATGTGCTTATGGTGCGGCTATGTTCTTGGTCGCACGACGATACAAGAGAAAGAAGCAGAGCCATCGTCGGTCGAGCTCCGTCGTCGGTCCGGAAATGCGGTATTCAGGAAGTCCAGCAACCCTAATGAGTGGAAACGGCGCTTTCATGTCTGGTGGGCGAACAAGCAGCCCTGGCAACGATCGAAACAGCAGAGGAAGTGGACGGACGGGAAATTCAGCTCGAACACAACAAATCTCGGCACCCATGATGGCAGAGAATTCTCTCGGCTGGAACTAAACGATGATCATATACCAGTCCATATTTCTCACCTCTTTGATACCCATCACAAGCCACCGATCTTCTTTCACCTCGCTGTACTATAAAGAATACCAGCATCGACTGATCAGAGCAATACTCACCATATTTTCTTGTCATCAACTTCATCTTGGCGTTGACACGTCAACGCCACCATACCCTACTGCATCGTATAGGATCTCTAGCCAGCGTTTTCGGCATTGACCTGATCAGAGGTTTATTTTCGTCGCGGAGGATCGAGGTTTGCGGAAGAAATGGAAACGGGGCGAGGGGATCAGAGGCTCTGTGTATATTACGATCAAACAAAATGGATTTACAAACATACCTCGGTCGAAGATGTGAAGAGCCTGGTGACGTGACGTTTATGCTTTGCATTAAGATTTAGAACAGCCTAGTAATGGAGGAGGAATTAACCTTGATCTAAGTTCTTGTGCTTGTGCCGATGACTTTCGCCGTGCTTGCTTTGAAGATGTTGACTAGATTTCAGATTCGGGGTTTTCTATAAAAGGGGTCTGCCATACCGCTCCGTAAATATGAAACATTTACTCGTGATGAATTGACATGTTTCGTGGGGCGTTATTGAAAGAAATCAAGAGCCGCTGAGGGGCTTATCATGTGACGGTTGTTATGGCAACGGCCCATCCGATGTCAGAAAACACAAAAGACAATCGCAAGCAAACTAGCCTCTCAGACATCAACCACTTTTGTCAATTGCGCATCATTGTCTCATACCGGAACAATAAGCTCCTCAAAATCCATTCATTTGGAGTCAATCAATATCCAACTACCTCTCCCACCTCAAATCCGAGACCGATGACCACGAAATAAACACCCATTCTTCAACACCCATTTGGCGCATTCTTGAGCGCATCCTTCAGACAATATTCCCAGACACAATGGACAGCCCAAACACACCCTCACGACCTCCCCTTTACTCCGAGCCCCCATCATACGGCGAACAAAATAGCTCTACACCCACAGGTCAACCAAGCAATGCCTCGCAGGTCCGTTTGTTGACATCAGTTGACGAGCCAGAAAGCCGTCCGTACGTAACCAGAAAGCTTGTTCGACGCCCTCTTGCAGCGCATTTGAAGACTACACCGAATCGTCTCGCGTTTCTCAAGGCAGAAGAGGAATCTATCTCCACCTGCAAGCTGCAGAAAAAGTCTCCGGCCAACGACATCTCGCAGTTGTTGACCAGAATACCAGATGGTCCCTCGCGCAGAAGATCGCTCCGAATCCCAGTCAAATCTCCCCTTTCAAAGCTCGAGTCAGAAGTGCAGAAGAAAGCAAGCTTACTGAATAGAAATAGTCCATATATCTCCCACAGATCATATCAACCAACGGTGATCTCCTCAAATTCACGCGCTCCATCAATCATTGATACTGCACCTACCATGCCTCCATCAGATCCTTCATACTTACCCTACTCCCCGAGTGGCAGAGTCTCACCAACGAGATCTTGGGAGACTAGAGGATCGAACGAGTTCAATAGACCTCCTCCTGCGAACGTACAATTCGAGCCTCCGGAGATCAATGGCAGCCCGAGACCTGGTACACCTTCGTCGAGATATGGAGGTAGTCCGCGACGGCCACTGCCTCCTGCGCCTCTGTTTGCCGGGGCCAACTCCTCTCGTACTTCCTTCATCGCAGACGACGCTACAATCTCAATCCCTCTAGAAGGTGATATTGGGGACGGCGATGATGTATTTGGCCTTGATAGTCCCTTGAAGTCTGGTGGTAGACACGGCTTGAAGTCTAGAGATTCATACATGTCAGCACAAACACTCACAGACGATCAAGACCAAGAATCTCAACAGGACTATGAACATTATGGTCCGGCACCAGATGGAAAGCAAGAACGGAGAGGAGCCCGGCAAGCACAAATGTCGAAGAAAGAAGTCCGATTGATCAACGGAGAGCTCATTCTCGAGTGTAAAATCCCTACGATTCTCTACAGTTTCTTACCGCGCAGAGACGAAATCGAGTTCACGCACATGCGATATACGGCCGTGACCTGCGATCCAGATGACTTTGTATCGAAAGGCTACAAATTGCGCCAGAATATCGGGAGCACAGCGAGAGAGACCGAGCTCTTTATTTGCGTCACGATGTACAATGAGAACGAGATTAACTTTACGAGGACGATGCATGCTGTCATGAAGAACATATCGCATTTCTGCTCTCGCTCAAAGTCTCGGACTTGGGGCGAGCATGGATGGCAGAAGATTGTTGTCTGCATCGTTTCCGATGGACGACAAAAAGTGCATCCGAGAACCCTCGACGCGCTGGCTGCAATGGGCATCTACCAGGACGGCATCGCCAAGAACTTGGTCAATCAGAAGGAAGTGCAAGCACATGTCTATGAATACACAACCCAGGTATCTCTGGACTCGGACCTCAAGTTCAAAGGTGCTGAAAAAGGAATTGTGCCCTGTCAGATGATCTTCTGTTTGAAGGAGCAGAACGCCAAGAAGTTGAATTCGCATCGTTGGTTCTTCAACGCTTTCGGCCGAGCCCTTACACCAAACATCTGTATCCTTCTTGATGTCGGTACGAAACCTGGTAGCAACTCTCTCTATCATCTATGGAAGGCATTCGACACAGATTCAAACGTCGCCGGAGCGTGTGGTGAGATCAAAGCCATGAAAGGCAAATTCGGAACCGGGCTCTTGAATCCATTGGTCGCGTCCCAGAATTTCGAGTACAAGATGTCGAATATCTTGGATAAGCCGTTGGAGTCGGTGTTTGGATATATTACGGTGTTGCCCGGTGCATTGAGTGCGTATCGATATCATGCTTTGCAGAATGATCATACAGGTCATGGGCCGCTGAGTCAATATTTCAAGGGTGAGACGCTGCATGGTCAGGATGCGGATGTCTTCACTGCGAATATGTACTTGGCTGAGGATCGTATTCTGTGTTGGGAGTTAGTGGCGAAGAGAGATGAGAAGTGGGTGTTGAAGTACGTGAAGAGCTGTACAGGAGAGACTGATGTCCCTGGTAAGTTTGTCTTCTGAGATTTTCAGGTTTATGCTAATTTTTCAGATTCCGTTCCGGAATTCGTTTCCCAGCGTAGGAGATGGTTGAACGGTGCCTTCTTCGCGGCAGTCTACTCTCTCGTCCACTTCAGACAAATCTGGCATACAGATCATAGCATCGGCCGCAAGATCCTCCTTCACATCGAATTCTTCTACCAACTCATCAGTTTACTCTTCACATATTTCTCCCTGGCCAACTTCTACCTCACTTTCTACTTCGTCGCCGGTTCCCTCTCAGACACCACAATCGACCCCTTCGGGCACCACATCGGCCTAGTAATCTTCACTATCCTCCGCTACACCTGCGTGCTCCTAATTTGCACGCAATTCATCCTCTCCATGGGCAACCGCCCACAAGGCGCCAAACGTCTCTACCTCTCCTCCATGATAATCTACGCCATAATCATGGCCTACAACACCTTCGCCTGCATCTATATCGTCGTGCGCCAACTAAAAAACCACGCCGCAGGCCTCAACCTCGGCAACAACGTCTTCACCAACCTCATCATCTCGACGGGTTCCACAGTCGGCGTCTACTTCCTCATGTCCTTCCTGTACCTCGACCCCTGGCACATGTTTACTTCCTCAGCCTCCTACTTCATGCTGCTCCCCTCCTACATCTGCACACTACAAGTCTACGCCTTCTGCAACACGCACGACATCTCCTGGGGCACGAAAGGCGACAACGTAATCCACACGGACCTCGGCGCGGCGCTCGGCCACGGCGGGAAAACCGTCGAGCTCGAGATGCCCTCCGAGCAGCTGGACATCGACTCGGGCTACGACGAAGCCCTCCGCAACCTCCGCGACCGCCTCGAAGTCCCCGTGCCCCCCATCTCGGAGTCCCAACAGCAGGAAGACTACTACAAATCCGTGCGGACGTACATGGTCGTCGTGTGGATGGTGTGCAACGCCATCCTCGCCATGGCGGTGTCGGAAGCGTACGGCGCGACGGCCGTCGGCGACAACTGGTACCTGAAGTTCATCCTGTGGAGCGTGGCGATCCTGGCTATCTTCCGCGCGCTGGGTAGCGGCACGTTTGGCGTCATCAATTGCGTGGAGGCCGTCGTGGAGGGCCGGGTCAGGATGCGGATGAAGCTGCCGAAGTGGGCGGGCGGTCTGGGCGAGAAGTGGCGGGATGGTCTCAGCTCTTTCGGGGCCAGCGTCAAATCTTGAAGTAAGTAAGTAAGTAAGTAAAGTAAAAGTTCTTGTCGTGGAGTTTTTTGTAAGAAAATGAGGGTGGGGATTTGGCTGGTGATGAACGGATGGATGGATGGATGGATGGTAATATGGTGTTTACTTGATACCTTGTTGGATTTTCGGGATGTGGAGTTACATGCTGCTTTGTTTGCTCTGTATCTGTTGTATAGAGTCTATCTATCATACTTGTTGATATCGAAAAATTCTCGCTTTTTCAAAAGTCAACCCCTCTCCCTACATCATCAAGTGCGGGGATACCTCGATACAGTAGCAACTTCGAGCTCCTTATCTTACAGGGTCCGATTTTCACTGTGCCGTTTTCGAGAGGCCGGAATCCTCTTTTTTGTGGTATTTAAGCGAGGACCTCCTTCGCGCCCCCTTTTGACAAGCGAATTCGCCCCGTGTGGTTTACAAGAATAATTTACTGTGCTCTCTCGCAGTTTACTTCTGCCTTAAGCTAATAAACAAACAGACTTACTTCCACTGCAGCTGTTCTTCCCTGCAAAGCTCGTCCTACCCGCATGTCCTGTCGAGCGACGGCGTCGCAGGCATGTGGAATGCATGATACAGTCAGTGCATCCTCTCAGCCTCGGTGTCCCCCCCTCCCCCTCCTGGAAACCGAAAGTCCGGATCATCCAGATCAGCACCGTCTGGGTCTGGATCAGTACCAACGCCTCGCCCCAGCCGTTCCCTAGACCCCTTCTCGAACACGCGCCGCCACGCGTCCCTCGGCACGGAATAGGTCAGTCGGGTTGGTGATCAGATAAGGCTGCAGAATGCAGCGCATTGGGTGCTGGAACAGATCGCCGCGACGCATCATGGCGTGGTTGTTTATGCAGCGGATTGCGTACGCGGTTCTGCAAGGGTGTGTGAGGTCTCACGATTAGCGGCGGTAAGTTGTTCGGAATTGCGTATCCTGAGTGAGGTGCGAGTTTTATGCAAAGTGAAGAGTCATGCCCTGCGGGGATCAATGTCTTGATCCTGAGAATAATTACTAACAGGTGGTAAAAACAGGTGGAATATTATCTCTTGCTGAGATACGATGTTGAGACTCTCATGGTCCCGTTTCGCCTTGATGTGCACTGTTTAAGCACCTCTTCTGTCTAAGTATCGATTGCATAATCCACCACAACGTGCCTTTCCTGCCACACTTTGCTTCCTTCGTGTGCTCAGAAGGGGCAAATCATCATTGATGACTCTGCTGATGTGTTTATCCAAGCTACGACTAATAATCCATCGGTGATAGAAGGTCTTTAGACCTAGAGGTTGAAGTAGCATGCCCAAAAAGTCGACGGTAGAAGCAATGCCTGGCGTCGGAACATGAGTATAAAGTCATTGTCTTTCCGGATTGCATCGCAGCCAACTCCACGGCACCAAGATTAGCTCAACTGCGTCGGATTGCTGACTCGGGAACCACTTACAGAGCAATCCGAGTGACGGTGTTGAAGATTAATCTTGCACATAATTCTTCGAAAGAGAAGATATCCTTCGCTGCGTGCTCGATGAGCTTTTGGCGGGAGATCAGGCCAGTGCAGGCTTTGATAATAGGGTGGCAACTTATAAGATTCTTGAACTCGCTTCTTTGCTGGTGAAGGCGAGCTAGACAAAAGCCCAGCACTAGGAGGCAAATAACAGTGAGGCTATACGCTGTCATGACTGACCAGAAGTGGTGGTATGCAATGGGGCCAACAAATTGCGAATGCAAGCCTTGTAAACTATAGTTCACTTTCTCGAGGCTCACAAATTAGAAGAAGGACTTGGGAAGGGAATATGGAGTTTCATGAATGGGTTTATCGTCTGTCCGTGTATCGAGGGGACTGGACTAACGAGGGAGATGACGATGAGTACAAGGGGTGATGACGATGAGGAAAAGTAGAGAACAGTGAATAGTATCTTCTCTTGCGAGAAGCCCAAGGGTCGGCTCAGAGAGGAAAAGGGTGAGATTGAGAATTTTCCTCGAGGTGAATTGTGTGTTGAAATTTCTGAAGTGGGACAACTAGATCCACCTTCCAAAGCAGATGCATTGTACAAAATGTTTTTGATTGACATTGAATGGGTGGGAACGTCGAGATCGGGAGTCGTGAATCGAACGACAATCAAAACCATTCACTCGGAAATGGCGAGCAAGGCTTCTAATGTCATGCGAGGGGCTTGAGAAGTGGCGGGAGGAGGTCACCTCGTTTCTCAAGGTCTGAGTTGGGATTTAGATGGCGATTTCCAGCGAAAAGTTTGATACCTGAGGTGATGTAGTCGTTGTACTCTTGGTTGTGCGTCGGTGCATGGCATCTAATGTCAGGTAAGCTATTGACGAAGCGTGCTTCAGGAATTGTCATACTTCTCACAAGCGACCGTTGTCTTACCAGTCTCAGAATGTTCATACGTATGGTATTTAGTTTTGAGCAGAGATTCCAGCTCGAGGTGGAAGCATCGGACTGCATCCATCGCTCATCCATTGCTTGTTGAGAGATTGAGAGATCTTCTTAACAGGAATGCCTGCAGACACCAGCCATTCGCGGACAGAATCAACCGTAGCTTGAGAAGGAGCAAATATTTCAGCTACTTCCCCCGCTGCGTAATGTTGATCGTATCTTGGAGAATCATGTTTGGAACTGGACATGGAGTCAGAGCCGGATTATCTTTGAAATGCGTAAGCACTCACACTTCCATCAACAGATCATTGTCATTCTCGAGATTGCATTAAGTCATGCCAATACAAACTGGGAGCTGTACAGTGGCATCAAGCCTATCTCTTTTGGCCCACGATTTTGGGGTGGCATCACGCCGTTCATGCAAAACGTGGTTTGCAGGATGTGGAGCTGCGCAATAAGAGCACTCAAAATGGACGGAGTGAAGAAATGCATGGTGAGGAAAATTTTAGAGATGCAACAGCTTATGCAAAAAGCATAACTGTTGGGAACTGGGCAAAGCTATTTACTTTTGCTGGCTACCTGTTTGTAGCTTTTACTACTAAGAGACTGACCTAGGGTTTAAAGTCAGCCCAAACAGTAGATAGCACAACATGGCAGTCTAAAAAGTGCTTGATGTCCCACAAGTGGCTTGTTAAGCAGAGGATCTTTCCTTGAAGAGACTGTGGAGGCGTCGGAGGCGGTCGAACGACTCGCATATGTGGCAAATGGGAAGCTAAGACGAGAGAAAGTCACTCCTCGGACGAAAAGGGCGGTTGGGGTTTGGTAATGGAGCACATTCCATATTGGGCCTGATAATGGTAGGTGACAGTCACGCTGGCGGCGAGCGTAGACAATCAAAGGAAGGTCCCTGAAATTTCCCAGCCTTCCCCGCACTCAGCCATTTCCGCGCCACAGGCGCGAGAAGGCGCCCGAGGGTACACTCTAAATAGGAATTACCCAGTGAGGAGGAAGTGATTGACGACAAGCAACTGGCCAGGCTTGATGTTGGTCGATCGCCGAGGTAGAAAATCCGGCATTGAATGTTAGTCGGAGCTTATCGTCGAACTTTATCTCAACTTTTAGCAAAGAATTTGAAGAGGGCCGGCAAAGAAAGGAACTGGGTATAAAGTCTTGAGGGCATTGATCAAATCCTAGCACATCTTGATTTGGAATGGGAGGGTGGACTGCATCTTTACCAGGGGCAAAACCTGTGTAAACATGCCAGTTCATTCCCTTTGATCTCTTTGGATTCAAGGCTTGATGCAAATAGCATTGTACTAGGATTTTACAGCCCTCTGTGGACTTGCACAAATTCGGCGAAGTCGTCCCTTCAATAGACGATCTCACCTCGGCTGAAGAGAGGTTCTAGCGGCTATCCTATGAGGATCTACAAACTTTAGTCTAACTGAACGAACGAGGCTTTAAGCTTATCTGACCCTGGAAATGATGTGCAATTCAGCTGTCCATTCTGAAATTATTTTCAAACAAGGAACATGGGGGCTAGTTGATGGACTGGGTGGGAACTTCCGATCGCAATTGCTCAACTTGACGAAGTCTTCGGGTCTTGGGGCCCATCTAGAGGACAGAATTTGTTCCTTGAACATCAAATTGAAAACTACAAATTGAATTTCAAAAGGCAAAGTACCGTTGGCGTGAAGCCCGACGCCCTCAAGGTACTCGACGTCAGGGACAACCGATCCATGACAAGGGCTCACTTTCCTTGAGCAAACACCTCCTCTTCATCCTGTCCATCCGAGCACGGCTCACGAGGCTAAGAAGCCTTAGGCTGTGTGATGGAAGCTTGCAGCAGAGGATCCTAAAGTATTCCCGGACCTGAAGCTGCGGTGAACGGTCATGTCCCCGTCGTCTGCTGGAAGGTCTCGTGGCTGAAGCTGTGTAACATCGAGGAGCCCTCCTAAGGCGCTCCAAAGCTCTCGCATGGCTGGAATGAGTTGGTTGATGATGCTTTGTCAGGCATCGGACCCTTTTTGAGGACTTAAACTCCGAGACCCTCAAAACTATGGACTCCCTCCGATCCGAAGCCATCAGATTGATAACTGTGTTTCTTCGATTCTGACTTCATGGCACAGGTGCTCCAGAATCTGCTCCAGATGAGGATCTAACCTTATATAGAGACCGATTCCATGCCTGTGAAGTTGATCATTGATGCTGTCTCTCCGTCACCTCTCACCATGCAGGCCATCAACATCGTTGCTCTCGGTGCATACCGTCACGTCGCTGCGATGATGGAAAAGCCCTTCGAGCACACTCTGTACCGAATGGCCGCAATCGTAGATTTGAACAGCAGCCCCGAATCCTTCACATACTCTCCTCACAACCTTGGAGTTGTCCTCTACTCCCTTCATCCACCTCCTCAGGTCTTCATCATTGGTGCCGCGATTTCTGAGAGCATGGCGGAGGAGTCAATCGCTGTCTGGGAGGATTCCATTAAAATTCGAGGGACCCAGGACACTTTGCTGATCAATGTGAGCGTTGAAGGTTGATGGTGATTTGGGATTCTGCTTATCAGACGTAGCTTCAAGCAGAACCACCTGCGGATGGGAATTGGATGATGGAGATCATGGGGAAACTTGACGGAAAATACAAGAACAACAGGAACGAACTGTAACAAATCAGTAGAGAAATGACTTTGACCTCTACCTAATTACTTCTGATTCTTTTGAAATGAGTTCCTTGAGACACGTGACACACCAATATACGCGACTTCGCGGTCCCGATTTCTCGACGCGTTTTCTTCAAACACGAAATCAACAACTCGTCAACCGCAATTACCACAGCACGAATCCGCAACAATGGGTACGCAGAGCATTCTCTCACAAGATCATCAAGTGCTAATTCTGGTCAAGCAAACTATGGATACGGCGGCGGGTATTCGACGACCAGCTACGGAGCGCAAGGCGGGGCAGAAGGAGGAGGTTTCATGGGAGGATCGCAACAAGGGAGCCAAGACAGCCCTGGCGGAAGCAGAGTAAGATACTCCATTTCCAATTGCAAGAAACGTGGAATAACTTGCCAGACCTACGGAAAAGACACATTACGACCCGTCACGATCAAGCAAATCATCGATGCGTAAGTCTCCCCTCCTTCGAAGACTTTGCCTCCAACTGACCAGTGCCCAGCGTCCAGCCCCATCCCGATAGCGACTTCAAGATCGACGGCTCAGAATTAACACAAGTACGCTTCCCCTGCCCCCTTCCAAAATTATCCCCTGACAATGCGCCTGCCAGATAACCTTCGTCGGCCAAATCAACTCTATCTCTACCCAAACCACAAACACAGCCTACAAAGTCGACGACGGCACGGGCCTAATTGAAGTGAAGCAATGGATTGACAGCGACGCGGACGCCTCTACTGCTAAACCACGACCGAAAGAAGGCGAATACCTGCGTGTCTTTGGCCGTATCAAAGCCTTCAACAACAAGCGCCACGTCGGGGCACACCTTATCCGTCCCATCACAGATTACAACGAGGTTAATTACCACTTGTTAGAGGCTACGGCTGTGCATTTGTACTTCACGAGGGGACCACCGGAGGGAGCGGCGAATGGGGTGAAGAATGAGGGGGGCATGTTTGTTGATGGTGGTGTGAGCAATGGAGCCCCGGCGAAGGGAGGAAAGTTACCGGCGAAGATAACTGGGGTGGGAAGGAAGGTGTATGAGCTTTTGCAGAGCGAGCCGCAGAATAATGAGGGGCTGCATGTCAATATGATTGCGCAGAAGTTGGGGGTTCCGAGTAATGAAGTGTTTAAGGCGGGCGATGTGTTGTTGGGTGAGGGATTGATTTATACGACGGTTGACGATGAGACGTGGGCTGTGCTGGAGTACTAGAGGAGGGGTGGGAAGAATTGGCGTTATGGGTTGGCTTTGGAAGGCATCTGGCATGGAGGGATGGATGTTCTGAGCAGATGCTGGATTGTATGAAATAGCAAAATCACGAAAACATGGCTGCACGTCGAATTGATACCAATTTGGATTCTGCTATGCGAATGCTACCCGGGGGAGCAGTAACACTACTCCGAGAACAGTAATATCAAAAACTCCAACTGGCCCAATGCTGTCATGACTCAGCAAGTATCAATTTCTTCCCTCCCCTCTTCATCCATCCCTTAGAGAGTCCCAACCCTCACACTCTGCCCAGACTTCCCCTTCGAGCTCTCAGCAACGGGCTGAGGCTCCCTAACCATGATATGCAATTTAATCGGTTTCGGGCCCCTCACCAGCTGTATATCGATCTTCTGCTCAAAGCCATACTTTTCATAGTATGTCATGTTGGAGTGCGCGCTCGACTCGAGGTAGGTGGCGCGGTTTTCGAGGTCTGCCTGTTTGCATGTTATTAGCATGGATGAAGAGAAAGGGAGGAAGTTGAAACATACCCTTGCAGTCATGTGCTCGATCAGCTTCTTTGCATAGCCTTTGCCCCTTGCACTAGGCTTGCTGCCGAGATACACAAGGTAATACGAGTCATCATCTCGAGGACCCATAATATCATGTTTCGTGTGGTGCAAAAGAGGAAGGAACTCGTTGTAGAAACGGGTCTTGCCTTCGGATGAGAGCTTGTACCAGAGGCGCCACATACCGGAGCGCAGGATGGTCCAGAGATCGTCCATATTCTTGCCGGGTGGCATCCTGTATCGTTCATCAATACCTCTGATTCTCTTCGAATCTCTAAATCGAAGAAGCGGTTGGAAGGGGGAAGGTGACGGGAACGGGTATAACATACCAAAGCGCAACGGCATCATAATCCGGTCCAATCGTCGTCACAATTCCCTTGTAACAATGAGCTGCTGTGACATACCTGAGGATATCACAATGCATCTTCCACTTGTACTCCTCGGAGTAAGTAGCCATATCCTCCATGTCGATGAAGTAGCGTGCTACTTCATCCACGGCGAAGGCTTCAGCGAGGCACTGTGCGGCTTGCTCGTATTCTGCGATGCCGAGGACGCGGACTTCCTCAGTGGATTCTGGGGAGAGACTGCGTTTCTTCTCGAGGGTGAGAGTATTGCTGTTATTGGTTTGCGCCATGATTGCGGTTTAAAGATGAGCAGGAATGACTTTGTTGACGTTTCTAGGCAAATTAGGATGGCGGTCTGGGAAACAGGGGCCAGAACGTACAGGACGGTTTTTCAGCAGGTCTAGTTGAATCGCCTGTATGTTGTTTAGAAATCTGTGCTCTCGACACTGTCTCGTATCGAGATGGAAAGCGAAGGCAATTGAGACTTTGACGTATGTCAACCGACATCAATGTAGATCTTATTCTTGTGTCTTGATTTTTATTTCAAGGACAATTGACGGATTGCTTGATCCGTCGAGTTTGCAGACTCTTAACGTCTGTGAGTCGAGGTTGAGGATGATGGTGTAAGGATGACTTCGAAACTGTAGCAATTGATTTAGTGCTGAATGACACTGTAAATCGAATAGCAAATGATTTGGTTTGGATACTGATTGCTGGTGGTTTTAAAATCGAAGCAGTCGGATTGTTCTTGTGAGACCTGTGGAAGCAACGAGGGAGAGCGATAGGCCACGGCTTATGTAGACACGTTTGGAATCCTGGATGTCGTCCATCCTTGGAAACCCGCAGGTTTGACGAGTCCACTGGAGCGCTAGAGAAGCCATCGTGGATTTTGGCGTCCAACCGAATTGAGCCCGGGTATCCCGCTGATAGCAAAATCATTTGTCAAGTTTTTCAAATGGCCGTCTCTTGCCATGGCAGTCAGGTGTTTCCGAATGGCCAATCTGATCAAACTTCGCCTGCAGAATACAGGGTCCATTCATGTATGGAAAGCTATCTTGGGTGCAAAAAGGCTCTTCTCGAATCGCAGTTGCAGCTTGACGGTGAGGCGTGGGGTTCTGACGGGCGGTTGGACATGCCTGGGTGGGTTAGTGGCAATGGACCCTTCAAAACGCGACACTCCGGCTGCCGACTTGTTGCGGAATTGCTCCACATGCGATATGTGAGATGTGCAGATGATAAGTGAGAGAGGACAGAACAATATCAAGAACTATCTTGATGACAAGGCGAAGAGTCTGTGAAGGATCGGTACCCTTTGCCGGGGTTCCAAGACTTGGGGCGGTTTCCAACAACCCAACCTCCTGATCCGATCAGAGAAAAAAGTTCGAAAGCACCTAAGAACACTGGTTGTTGAGGTGTGTATATGCAATGCCTTTTATTGCACGTCTTTGCAGACAGGGTATATTGGTCTCTCCTTCATTATCGCTTCGGCCACTGTCTCTCCTGTCATGCATCAGAGGTCTTCCAACCTTGCCTGATAGTCCTTATGTGTACGCCTACTCCATTCCATGCATCATTATCACATCTCCAGTCGATCCCTTCACATTCTTCGGATCTCTTGTTCGTTCATGTACTTCTCCAGGCCCTGGTCGAGGTGCTCCCACCACTCGAATAGCAGCGAATGGCAAATAAGCTTGAACCATGGGGTGAATTTTAGGGTAGGATCGTTGAACATCGCCTTCAGACCGTCGGCGGTAACATATCGAGTATCGCGCACCTCATTGAGGTTGGGCTCGAGGTCGACGTCTGCCTTGATGAAGAGAATGTAGTCGACTGAATTTGTCACGCGAGGTCAGTATATTTCTTTTGGGCAAATAAGATTGAGACTCACTCTCATGCTCGCCCCATTTTCCATCGCTGGGTGCCTTATAGTGGATTCTTGTCAAGAACTTGAAGTTCTCGATTGGTACTTGAGCAGCCTTGATACCCAATTCATGGTCCAGCTTTCGTTGAGCTGCACGCTTCACACCTTCAACAGCCTCTGCCAACTCTGCACCGCCCTCACCAGGAATACCAAGTGGGTGTGAGCAGCATGTATTGGTCCACATGTCTGGGAAAGTAATTTTCTCGGTAGCACGTTGTTGAAGAAGCAATTCATTCTTGGAGTTGAAGAGGAAAACAGAGAAGGCGCGGTGTAGGAGACCTTTCTCGATATTGGTCATGAGATGACCTGCAGTTGTCAGCATCATGCATTGATATGATGGTCCAAGTACCTACATATCTTCTTGCTGAAGTTTCCGATCGGCTTGTCATTCTCATCGAGGACAATGCACACCTCATCCATCAATCTAATTTGTTCTTCATCGTGGCCATCTAGCTCTGCCGAGCTGGTGTCGATGTCAGGAAAGAGTCTGAGGATGCTCTGTGCCGTAATTGGCTCAGCTTGAGTGATTGTAGTGGTGGCAGACATTGTAGGAGGCAGGAAGTCCTTTACGTGCTTGAGGAAATGCCTCACGAGCAATAAATAACGCAGCGCGAACTGTTTTGGAGAGACACCGCCATTGGACGCAAAATTGGGGAAAGCACAGACCCCTGTTTAGTGGGGTGGTCTACTAGCAGCACGGCCACCGTCGGTTTAGAAGCCTCACCAGCGAGGGTTTTATTACAAATGAGGTATAGCGTCTCTATATTAACGACCTATATTACTATATCGACGATCCAGGGTCCCCAAAAATTAAAAAAAGGTTCCGTTCAAGATGGAAAGATCGAGATACCCCACCAACGTTGAATACACAACCACACCTCAGCCAAGATGGGGAAATCAAAACCCAGAAATCGTGCGAAGAATCGCAACAACCCTACTGCCAGAGAAGTGAAGCCACCGACTGATCCAGAGCTTGCTGCCCTCCGACAAGAGCGCGTCCTACCGGTCCTCAAAGACCTGCAGAGTCCCGATCTCAAGACCAGGTCGACCGCAGCCCGTGCAATCACGAACCTTATTGAGAATAACAAGACCCGAAAGCTGTTACTGAGAGAACAGATTGTCAAGATCCTGCTTGAGCAGACATTGACTGATTCAAAGCCAGAGACAAGAGCTGATGGTTGGGGTATTCTGCAAAATCTGGTGCTGGAGGAGGACAGTGATTTCTGTGTCTATTTGTTCAGACAGGACATTCTAACTGCAATTGAGTGTGGTGGCAAGTCGGTATGTTGCACAGTGGAAGCCTTCTATTGCACTTGCTAATTTGAGACAGATACTTGAGACGCTCGATTCTGAGAAAGTTCCTTTCAAGAACCTCTCAAAACCGGAGAAGGAGCTTGTCTGGACCCTGGCTAGTTCCCTAATTAGCCTTATCTCATCTCTTTCCGAAGCTCAGAACGAGATCAACCAAGCTATCTCCAACCGCTTCACGATCAGCCAATTCCTAATTGGCGCAGTCACCAAAGGCGAAGCACCTGACTACATCGTGCTTGAAGTATTCAACTGCATGGCAATTCTGTTGGAGGACAACAAAGCACTAGCGCAGCAAGTGAAGGAGCGTGAGGAGATTTTCTTGGATTACTTGATTATAGTCAAGCAGGAAACCGACAACAAGGACTACGCCGATATGAAAGGGGTTGGTGCCTGCCAAGTGCTTCACAACCTCTTCAACTCCTTGACTTGGTATGACCACAACACGCCAGAGCAAGGTGCATCAGATGCAGGTCTCATTCCCACCCTGGTACGTGCTATGAATCAAACCAAAATTCGAACCACTACTCTTAAGAACGGGGATTCCAAGCACTCAAGCCCGGATCAAGTCATCCAACTGGCTTTGGAGCTCACCGCAGCTATTGCAACAAGTCTTCAAGACGCATTGGAGCATGCAAGCCAGCCTAAAAATGGCAAAAAGGAGGGACAATTTGCAGGAATCGTCAAAAAGGAAGAGGAATTTGAAGGGTTCGATGACACTGAAATGACGAATGAGGCCTCAGAGGTGAAGGATGAGGAAGACTTAGTAGACTTGGATGCGCCAGAATACGAGAATGGTGAGATGAATGAAGAGGAGATCGCTGATGACATGGAGTTGGTTGTTGGCGAGGGATCAGACGATGACGAGACTACGAACGAAACAGCTACCCTGGATCTCTTGATACAAACCGCAGCTCCTCAAATCATCAGTCTCCTCCTTCAGAACAACGGCAACAGGAGCCACGCTCTATCGGCACTCAATAATATCGCCTGGGCTGTCTCCGTCATTGATTTCTCAGAGCAACTTCTGAAGAAGGATCATTATCTGGAGAGCATCTATGTGCTCTGGGTACCGGTGGCTCAGCGCATTTGGGATCAAATCGTTAGTCCATTTCTGTCTTCCAACTCGGCGGACATCGGACTGGCTTCGGTCATCACAAGTATCGCCTGGGCACTGTCTCGCTGTGTCAAAGGCGATATCAATATTCAGCCTGGTGAACAGCGGAAGTTAATGGCATTGCATCATTCCTCTAAGGTCATGATTGGAGAACGAGAGGAGGAACTAGCCAATGCGGTAGATGGTGGCGACGATCCATTCCAGAGTTTGGGCGTCAAGTGCATCGGTGCTCTTGGAAGTCTCGCACTGCACCCTGCTTCAATCGATCTGAACAGTGACATTGGCATCTTCCTTTTGACCTTACTGTCTGGTCTACCAGATGTCGCACCCGCGGAAGCTGTCGAGGCACTAAACCAGATTTTCGAGATCTATGGGGACGAGAATTATGCATTCGATGAGCCAGTGTTCTGGGGAAACGATTTCTGCAGGCGCCTTGAGGGCATCCAACCCAAGTTGAAGATGAAAGCGAAGAGCATCGATAAGCGTCTCCTTCCCGAGCTTCGTGACCAGGTCGACGAGGCCGTCCACAACCTACATCGGTTCTTGAGTTACAAGCGCAGATCCAAGGCGGCTGGTACATTGCACCTCGCCATGAGATGATGGCTTGCAGGAATCTTTCTGGTCTTCATTGGCGTTCTGTGCTTGGAAAGAAAAGTTTACTGCATTTGTTGGAGTATGGACGCAAAATATACCATTTGGTTTCTTTTCGGCAGCAAAACACAAGTTCTAGCAGTCGATTCGAGCTATGAAGATCCTCATCGTTGTATCAGAGATGAAAACAAGATGTTACGAAACGAAAAAGCCTTTGAAAAATTAATGATCTCCATGATTTCGATCTTTCCTTTCTTCTATAGCTTTTTCTGTGCAAATGTACAATCATTAATTCCCCCAATCTGTTCCGTCTCTTTGTCTGAAAGGTACGATTTTCCGAATCGAATGCCGTGAGGTTTTGTAAGAATGCAGCCGAGCAACCGAAGCAGATGCCCCAATTTACCTGTACACCTCTTCCAGTACTTCCATTTAGTCCAAGTGGACTACTAGCATATATTCCATCCTCTCCAATTACACCATCAATTCAGGGCATATGCAATTCTCAGATCTCTGCACTTTCGCAAGTTGCCCCAGTTCGCGGGGAAATAGTAAATGTGGGGAACACTGGTCCGCATTCTGGGTAGCTTTTCATCTGAACCTCTTTCTAAGTGGGGTTTTGCACTATTGCCAGCAGTCCAACATAAACGCTGAATCATGAAGCTCTTGTTCATCAATACGATAAATAAAGGCACCGATATTTCTTGTTGAGGATTTTTGCCGTCTGCTTTAGTAGAAGTTACTCCTATCTAGGTCGTTTGATGGAGAGGTTTACTTTAGAGGTGTTGCCTCTGGGTTGAAAAGTTCCCGTCTTTGGTTAAGAATGGGGAAAGGTTGTGTTCAAAGTCGTCTCGTGAAATTCAGCTACCGTATTACCTACTGAATAAACATGCGATACTGGAAAGAAGCTGTCTTTTCGACCGACTGTGTGAATATATACTGCTTGACAAACGCCAACTCCTCGCTGTAATGCACCGCCAAATCATTCTGAGAAATCTCCAAATCTGCAGGTAGAAGCAAAGAATCTTCCTCGGCGCCATCTATCTCCCCTACTGTGTACCAACCTGACAGTTCATCGATCACATAACACCATAAGCAAAGAGCGCAGCAGCCCCTCCAACAAGTAGCAGAGGTCCTTGGGTAATCATCGCTCCTCCAGCCGTCGAGGAAGTAGTTGTACTAGTACTCGACCCGCCCACCGTTTCAACCGAAGCACTCAAACCTGTCCCACTCGTGCTGCTACTCGACCCTGTCAAGACCGTCGTACTTCCCGATCCCGCCACTGAAGTCCTCGGGCCTCTTCCTTGCGTCGTCATACTCCCCTCCAAACTTGAACTCATCATCGTTATCCCAGCACTACCACCGCTACTCACACTCGCCAGAGCCGTCATCGCAACCGGAGTTCCCGCCGTGCAGCTGCTGAGTCCAATATGAATGGCGTGGGTAGGATCGCCGTCGCAGCAGGTTAGGCCATCGAGGATGTTGGCGTTGGATGGGGTGCCGATTATCAGGCCAGGACAGCAGACGTCGCGGTATCCAACTCCGGGGCAGGATTGTGTGTTGGATATTGATGGGGAGACCAAAAGGAGGGTGGTGAAAAGCAGTTGAGGTGGGAGATACATTTAGAACGGAAGCTCGGATGGAATGAAGATGTGGCTGTTCCGGAGCCGAGATCGAGCAAAGGCGATGTCGAATGATGTTTGAATAAATAGAGACGATCAATTTATATCCATCTATTATCCCTCTCATCTATCGACGAAAGAATTAGAGCTTCATGAAGTCTGATGAGCGGTAGTCACGCGTGCTTTGACGTGGGAGTCAGCCTGACGACGCCCAGAACCTTGATCTGTCAATGGTTGCTCTGGAGTCGACTTTGTGGTGATCTTTCCTCAAAATATAAGTGTGGTGAAAGAGAAGAAAATGGTGTGGTACAGAGAAGGGTGCAGGAGCATCCCCGCAAACTAGTCTCGAACTAAAGCAAACCCAAACTCCAATGAAGTCATCTTCCACAAAAAGAGATCTCCAAACAACGAACAAATATCCTAATTTTGCAAATTGCCAAATACATCATATTTCGTGTCCCAAACGCCAATTACCTTAACTGGGAGGACTGAGAAGACGATTCGGGCTCCGGGAGAGGTCGTGGGTCTTGTTGTGTACTATCCGGACATCCGAAAGAACTTGAGCGAAGTGCAGCAGCAGCCTGGAATTTGCAGTTGTGTCCCCGAGAGCTTGCTCTCTGCTCAAAACAAATTTACACATATGGCCGCTTGTTCCGGTAATAGATGGGGGTGCCAGGCCAGCTGCTACAGAGTTGCTGATGAAAACCTGGCGAGATCGAAAAGTGCTCGTTCTCTGAGCGTGGATTATACCATACTGCATAAGTAGAATCAGATGCTTCAAGCTCTCCTCAGACATGGTAGGCAAGGGAGTATATAGACAGGAGGTTGCCAGGAGAATTGAGTGTGGCGGCAGGAACAAGAGCCGTGAGTACTCAGTCGTCGTGGACGATATATGATGTGTGAGAGAAGGACCGAGAAAGCAGCACTGGAGTGTATAGAAGTGAAATACAAGGCCGGAAGCAGCTCACTCTGCATGAAGAGTTGAGGATCCCGTCTCGTTGCACCGGAAAATGCCAGTCTCAGAACTCGACGCAGGTCTTCGTCACTGGTCACCCCCTCACTTGACCATGAAACCTTCCACGACCAGAAAAACTACACTTGTCCCTTGCTGCCAATTCCGCCTGATCGAGAATTTTGGGTCGAATTATTCGTGCGGGACTTGAACCTCGGTTTCCAGGTAGCCAGAATGTGGAGGGGGCAAGAAGGGGCAAAGAGCCGACACCTCAGCACCTGGTGATACTTTCTTCATCTTCTCTGCTTGGGGGACTTCTTCCGCCCTCCCAGCCCGGCTCAAGCCATTTATCTGTGGGTGGTTTCCACAGGAGCTCAGAGCCTTTGCCGTGCAAACTTGCTGCTTCTTCTTGAAGGGTCGTCCTTTGGCAAAGAGGAAAGCCACAACCTTGAGTTGACAGACACGTAGGAAATCATAGTTGACGTAACTGTTCCTTTCACTGGAACCGTCAAGATCCAGAAGTGCAAATAAGGTTTCCAACTCGAATAGCTAAGAGGTGATCGAGTTAGTCCTCTCTAACGCTGAATAACCTAATAGGAGAGTTTACACGTCCGTAGCGAAAAGGGGGGTCAACAACGCTAGATTGTATGTCACGTGACCAAACGCTAGACTTCATGCTGCTATCTCCGATCGCAATCGCCTCCGCAATACCATCCTTGAACTCCACCCAGGTACTAACCCAGCTCTTCACACGTACCGCCTTGAGAGATCCGTTTCCCCAGCATTAATCGGTGAGCCATGACTAGCAAGCCCGAGAAAGCTGACGATGATATCGATGCACTTGAAGCTCTTGAGTCCGAAGAAAAAGAGTACCTAAAAGTGAGTCCACCCTCCTGCCCACCGTCCAAAGCTCACAACTAATCGTCCGACCTTCCGCAGGATGCTGAAATTGATCGAATCCTAAAAGCTTTCCGTCTAGATGCGTATGTATCACCCTTCACCAGCTGCTGGCAGCATACTGATCAAAACCACAGATACGCCGTCCTAGATCTGCAGCCCGGAGTCCCAGAATCCGACATCAAGAAATGCTACCGGGTCAAATCCCTCCTGATCCATCCTGACAGGACGAAAAACCCGCTCGCGCCCGATGCCTTCGACCGGCTCAAGAAAGCGGAGACGGAGCTGATGGACGAGAAGCATCGCGAGCGTCTCGATGAAGCCATTGCAGATGCCAGAATGCTCCTGATTCGCGACAATAAGTGGACGGTTGACAGTCCGGAGCTGAAGACTGAGAAATTCGCGAAGGATTGGAGGGAGAAGACCAAGATGGTGCTGATTGATAATGAGCATAGGAGACGACGGCAGGTGAAGGCGCAGATGCAGGAGGAAGGAAGGGAGCAGAAGAAGGCGGATGAGGAGCTGGACGCGCGGAAGAGGAAGAGGGAGCATGAACAGGATTGGGAGGCTACGAGGGAGCAGCGGATTGGTAGTTGGAGAGAATTCCAGAAAGGCGGCGAGAAGAAGAAGAAGAAGAAGGCGAAGCCTATTGGATGATGCATCTTCCTGGGAGTTGGTAGAGGTCAGTGGAGTTCCTGGTGCGCCTCGCATTTGCTTTCGGTCTGCTTCACATAGAATAGGTTTCCAAATTCAGGGCATACGTTTGATATTAGAGCGGTCGAGGTCCCTCGATGTGTTCACCCTTTGTGACATGGAATGCGCCCTGTATGAAGCTTCTAAAGAATAGCGGAAGATCGATCGCAATACTAATGTAACATCCAGACTCCTCAAATCAAAAATTGTATGTCCCCAGAAATCTCAACCAGAAGCAACTCCTAGTGGTCACATCAATCATAACCATCCATGAACTGATCACTCTCATCGTACACAAACCCACTCGATTCCTCCTCCATATCATCCGGGTCCAGTTCAAGTTGTAGCAATGTCTGACCTCCTGACCCGGTTCCGAGTTGCTGTGCACTACCCACCGCAGAACCAAAAATACTCGCCCCATCCTGATAACCTAACTCCACAGTCTCCTGCGATGGCACATCATTCCCAGCATCAATCTTCTTCGCTCTCAAATGCTCGACTATCACTTGCGTCTCCTGGATCTGTTTCTGCCATTTCGAGGACAGTTTTTCCTCAATACCCACTCCCACACGAGCACTTTCTTCCTCTGCCGTTCGGAGATTCTGACGACGTTCATCGCTTTCTGCTCTCTCTTGTGCTTTCATTGCAGCGAGATCTTGGGCCCATTGCTTCTCCTGCTCATGCAATCGGTTGCGGATAGTCTCCGCCTCTTCTCTCGCGGCCTTCGCTGCATCTTTATCTGCTTTAACCTTTGCCAACATCTTCTCCGCTTCTTTCTCCTTCTGAATAGCTGGGGTATAAAATTGCGATAACAATATCGATGCTGCTTCTTCTCCCGGCTTGTTTAACGCCGTTTCAAATGCCTCCACCTTCTCTTTCAGGCTAAAGATCGTTCCCTCTTTCAATTTCAGCTGGTGTTGTAAGACTATTTTGGCCATTTCAGAATTCTCCTGATCTCGTTTCATCCTCTCGATATCTTGCTTAAGTCTGTTGAGATCCTTCAAATCGCTTCGGTGCTTCATTTCCAAAATGCTCTGTCTTTCAGGCCACTGCGGCTTCACGACCGACACCACAGTTGGCTGTCTCTCCATCTCGCGGGTAACCTTAACGCCAGGATGTTCCGCATGGGCCGGAATAATGAAAACCGTTTTGATAGCCTGGCCATTCTTCTCATCGCCCCGGATGCGATAATACCTTGTCACAACATCCAGCGCCGTAATACCCCTTGAGTACTCCTTCCCTTCTCTCTGTCGCCACAACGCTTCCCCCGTCGTCCCATTCCTCAAGTTCCGCTTCATCAACTCCTCTTCCGCAATATCCTTCTTATCAAACTCCTTGCTCAAGAAAGAGAAAACGTCCTCCCCACAATTCACAAGCACGAAGCGGTCTTGCGGATACACCAATTCCCGCCCTTTCCTGCCATCCGGTCCGAGTCTCGAAAGTCTTTGCAGAGGAATCACAGCCTCTGATGCCATTGCGTCGGTCGCGTTCGCATACAGACGCTCGAGGTCGTGACATCTGATTCCAAGGTGCTGCATGTGCAGGATCAATTGTCCAAGGAGCGTGCTCTCTGCCTTCTTCCTGTCTTCTTCTTGCTCTTTTGGCGGCATGATGGAGAGCAGGCCGCCTTTGGCTGAGTACTCGTGATCCAGCAGCTCGAGGATTTCGTTTGCGTGTTCGATGAGCCGTTCGTGCTTGGCGTACGGGAGGGAGACCTGGTTTGGAGGCACGGGGTACGCGTCTTGCAATGGACAGATATTCCGGATAACTTCGTATGCCGGGGTCGGGTGGTATGTGTGGTTGTGGCCTCCCCCTCCTCGGTTTTGTTTGCCTTTACCATTCATGGGCAACGGGGCTTGTTTTCTTGCTGCACAGACGCAAGCGGTCTGCGTGGGGATCATACGTGCTATCTCAACAGTGTTGAGTACTGCGTTCAAAGGTATTGAATGGTGCGTCTGCAGCTGCTGTGTCTTGGGACCAGTGTAATGTGTATTCAAATCATTCAGGAAATCATACGTCTCCCCATCGTGGAACGAGACTGCGTCTTTCAACCAATCTCCGAGGTTCGCGTTGTCGATGAACGCGGAGTTCGTGCTGACGGTCAAGGCCTTGATGAGCACGACGAGTGATTGAGCGTGTTGTTTTAGTTCTGTGAGCGTCGGTGAGTTGGCGTAGGTGGAGAGGTAGCTGCAATTCACATTCGCGAGGAGATGTTGGAGCTGCGGATCGTGGATCGCTGCTTCGCATGTCAGAGTCGACTTATACTCATCTGCAAAACGAGTACGTGGGATTGAGCCGGTTCGCATCTTTACAGCGTGGTCTGGGACGGCACCAATTATCGCTGCTTGATGATGTCCTTGGGTTCCTGCGGTATGAGCTGCTTGTACTTGGTCGCCGTCTTCCGCTCCATCGTCGATTTCGTCACTCAAGTATGAGGTAGAAGAGGCGGTCTCAACTGTTGCGTTCATTTCTGCGGCTAGTTGAGCAGCGGCTCCAGCTCTGGTGTTCGTGCCTTCTTCTTGCTCGGAAACTTCCATGGCTGACTGGTCTGTCTCGAGGTCGCTGTCTTCCGGATCTATTATATTGGCAGCAGCGTCGTCAGGTTCTGAGATCGCCTTTTCTTTTTCTTTTCCACTTCCAACGTTCATGTTTGGGGAACTGGCAAGGTGTCCGTGAAAAAGTGTTGGATGGACCGCACTGTCTCCTTTCGATGGAAGTGAGCCCCTCCTGCAGGTGCGAAAAACCAGCTGCCAGATTTGGGAGCAGTGCGAGAGAGGAGAAAGAAAGGAGATCGCGTTACTGCTTAGAAAATGTGTTTGTTGCTATACAATATTGTCAAGTCTCACTCAGTGTGTGACACGTGACTAAGGGTCTGAAGAAGAATGTATCAAAGAATGTAGGAACCTGATCAATACATTCCTCGGATTGCTAAAGCCACCTTCTCGTTTCTCCTCTCTCCTACCCTCAAGCCTCACCCGGAGCGGCCCCTTATCCCACAGCAAGAAAGCCTTCTGCTCCCTCCACTTCACACTCTCTTCACAAAGCTCGAAGTCAAATGCCACAGCAATCTCACGATAATTGATAGAATCTCTGCGTGTGCAAGATTCTGTTCATCGTGTCATCAGCTTCCTCTCCCATCACTCAAATGTTGCACGGATTCAGTGAAAATGAAGAAGGGAGCACACATCTTCCCAACACGACTCCGCGCACCAATCGAAAATGGCTGCGACGCAGCAAGTTTATCGTTCTTGTACCTGGGATTGCCATCCAGCACTCACCAACGAATTTCAGGGATCGGTGAAGTTTAGTGGGGAGAGGGAGGTGCTGATACATATGTTCTTTTTGTCCATAACGAACCTAGCCAAGACACAATAGAATGCTGATTCAGATGCATGTAAGATGAGTAAAGCGCCGAGCACGATTTGATGGGATATGAATTCAATAGCACTCAAGGTTGCTTTGCTTTGCATCTCTTAATACTATACCCGCTTGTTTCTTTTCCCTCATCCTCCCGGTAGTTTCGTTCTGCGTAAAGGTAAGGGCCTAATTTTCTCCGAAGACGGGGCTAAGCTCATGCAGATTTAATATTACATCAGGAAAGGGCGATGCAAGTTTTATCTTAGTAGATGGTTGTGAAAACTAGTTGGCTGGCTGTTCAGTATAGGATTCATGCGGTTACGAATTGCGTTACAGAAGAGTTAACAGTAGGGATCATCTTGTACGGGACCGCGTTCGGTTGGATTGACAAAAGAGAGATCGCCTGTGGCAAGTCTGCTCCTAGTGACATTGTTTAATGATAGTACTGAGTTAGGGAGAAGTCGCATCGATGTCCAGTGGCACAGGTAAATCCTACTGAAGCCTTGCAAACAAAGGGACGACGGATCAGCTAATTGATGTTCAACATGTTGAGAGATTTCGAGCCACATCAATGCTGGGGACCAATGAGTCACACCAAGTGCCAATAGCATTAGAATATTCGTGGAAATCCTAGCAATGCAAACCCAAATTAGCGGCACTAGATAAAGGGGTGCAGGATTAGGTAGGCCAGAGTCAAATAGGCCGAAAACCTTCATACGACGGGAATGTCGTGTCTAGAAGGAGTCATACTAATGGCCAGGGTATTTGGAGATTCATTAGTATATTACATTAATGAGAGAGTTAGGGTGGGCATCATCGCCGTCAGTAATGTATGGTAGAGGTCTTCCGCGCAGCGGTGATGCCGCGTTAAGGAGGGAGGAGGTTAGCAAGATTCACGCGATCAAGGTAAGGCAGAATTATTTTAACAGTTGGCTGAATTCTTCACTCCTGTATCAACGTCCAAAATCTTAGCCAGCGGGGTCCACTACCAATCTACCACTCCTTACAGTCTATCAAGATCACTCATCGTCTCTGCCAACCTCAAGGATATTGCAAGGGACACAGATCAGGGACATCGCCAATTGCTCTCCAGTAATCGTCGCTGTCAATATCCAAATCCATCCTCTCTGAACCCTCTGCCACCGAATCCCTTGGCATTAGGTCCTCCGCTCTCATCTCTTCAACTTCCAACATCCAGGTTTTGATTTCTTGAATACATTCCAGGCGAGAATTGTCACCCGCGGGACTCGAAGTTAGAGTTTCAATCGCGTTTCCGAAGAATAGTCTCGCTTCGTCGTATCGACCTTGCCGTGCGTAGCAGAACCCGGCTTCCCAGCAGGAGTCCATGGTGTAGGTATGTACTGGATCAAAAGCCTCCACATCCGAGATATATGTCTTTTTGAACCAATATGCTGCTCCAGACTCACGACCCGTCTTCATCAAGATCTCCGCAAGTTTCCACATTAAATTCGCTCTTGTATTTGGCAAAAATGATTTTTCATGGTGTCTCAAAAGAATCCGAACTATCTTCTCACTCTCGCCGAGCCGCTTTTGGAGCATGTAGGTGCAAGCTCTGGTAAAGTGATAATCAAAACCAGCTTCGCATTTTGTTCTAGTTGCGTCGCCAAGCAATTTCTGAGCGCAGTCTAGTACTGCCTCGCTTTCGTCGTATTTCATATCTCTACTTAGTCCCTGAGCAAGAAGAGTCATGGACCGCAAGATATCCACTTTGTTGTTTCCAATTTCCCCCGAAACTTTTGCCCTCTGGAGTTGGAAATGTATTGTAGTCTCTAAAAGGCGTTGAGACTCCGTGTGTCTCTTGAGCTTAGCTAAACTGCGGCCTAGCTCCTGCAAAGCTTTAGCCGTCCTTGGGTGTGCAGTTCCAAGGGCGGTTAGACATATTTGGAGATGTTGTCGAAAGAGCCCCTCTTCTTCTCCTAATCCTAATTGTCTTAGTAGACCGCCCCTTAATTCCCGTGAAAAGCAGGTGACATCGTGGTCAGCACCTAGCACCCGCTCGACCTTATCATGAAAGTCCTCATGAAGTTGATGAGCTTCTCTAATTCGACCTTGGAAGACCATACAATTGATAATAAAAACACATATCAATAAAGTTTTTTGAGGGTTGTGCCATGCTATGAGTTGTTTGACTTGTTTTGTGGTCACGATTCGACGGAACCAAAATTCTGCTTCAACGTAATGGCTATCTTGATATAGTTCAAGCGCTACGGCAGCCATAGCTTCCATTAAATGGATAATTCCGACGTGTTCCAGTGATTTCAGTGCCTGAAACTTTTTTTTGCACTGCGATGGGGACATTTTGGGCTGGGATGAGCCCCTCGAAGAAAACATTATTCCAGAGAAGTCATATCGGAATCTTGCACAGCTTTGTGAGGTAGGAAACGGGTATACCTCGTATTGAAACCACTTTTTCGTCCATTCCTCCAGGCTTCCAATGATTCGAGAAGTCTTCAGGGTCCCTGGCAGACTGGTCCCTGGGATTCCCGACGTCGGGGTCGACAGTTCATTCTCTAATGCGTCTTCCTCCTCACCATGTCTGTCGGATCGGCTGCAAACATCCAGTAAATCTTGGCTCCAGATATCTCCCATCTCCAGATCACCTCCGGCCAAGTCTAGGTCATCGATATCATCACACTCTTCAATAGTTAAAAATCCGAACAACCTAGTGAGGCGAGGAGATCCCACGACATCAAGGGAATTCGGGTCGAACTCATATTCTTTATAGTCAAGAGATCGCGCTGCATCTAGTTCCTCAACTTGTTCTTCGAAAGCGACTTGCTCTTCATGGATGGATATTTGTGTTGGCCTTGGGGCTTCTGGGTCTTCGTCCCTTACGTGAGACGGCATGCCGGAGGCTTCACGCCAAATGTTAGCAAGATATGCCAAACTCAATTTTGAGAAGGATACCTACCTGATACTTCCTGAAGCAAGACATCTTTACCCGAAGACTTCTCAGCCGTCGCTTTTTCTATTCTCATCCATCGGTTCAACTTCGTCTTGTGAAGCTGACGCCCCTTAAAGTTTTGAGGAGCGAATTCGGCATTGTGTACCTCCGAGCCGAGCTGTTGGATGATTTTTCGTCTTTCATCCTTCTTGATGTTCTTCTCAAATCCCCAGCCTGAGATGTGGTACAGTAGCTGCTTCTTACTATCCACATGTGTCAGTGACCAGATATGGAGTGCAAGACTGAGAAGATCTTACGTAGGCTTGAACCCATGGTTCTCTTGAAGGTATTGGGCAAGTTGTAGGAGTGTGTGCCCTTGATCAAGATACAGCTCTCGAATGGTCTCTTTGACTTCAGCCCAATCTCCCTTGGAAAACCCTTGACGCGGTGGAGGAATGAGCTGGACAACCGGAGCGAGAGACGAGACTACGAGAACGTTGTTCTGAGATTGCACCCCTTCCATTTTGGAAGACATGAATAGATGAGGCGTGAGTCCGAATACCTATTGTTGAAGTCTTTTGCATATTCCCAAATGGTGTCGGAGGGGAAAGTGTGGACCTATATAGAAGTTAAGTTCGTTATCCACGCCCGGCACACCCCCAACGGAAGCACTATTGGGCAGAGCAAAAGTGCAATGCAGCAAACGCCACGAGATGCACCTCGATTGGGTTTGGTCCCGCACTTGACTACCACCAAGATAATTCGACAGAACGAAAGTCCATTGCAGCAATGCCACAACGCCACAGTCCACCGCCTGCCGCCTGATGATTTGCACTTTTGCTTGGTTACAAGTCGCAAGCGCAAGGGATGATCCTTGGCTCCTCAAACAACACCATGGTTATCCGGAGTATCCGTAACATAAAAATTTGGAAGGAACTTAGGAAACTAGACGGCAGCGCATCCTAGCTGCTAACATCGAAATCTAGCCTTAATTCCTGAGTTATACTATGTGGTGCTGCTACGCATGTCTGTTCTCCACCATTAGTCAGTCCGATTTTGCCCTCTCCCTTCCCACCTCCGTTCTCTCTTTGCTCAATATGATGAGAGTATTTTATGGGTTGGAGATGGGAGTGGAAATGGAAATGGAGCATACATTCCCCGGGATAAAATGATTATCGATGATACATCCTTCCTTCGGCGTAAGCCTCGACAACTGCATAGCAACAGGTGGGCAAGCCCTCAAAACCTCATCCACACAAGCCTGCAAATACTCCAACTTCTTCTCCTTCACAAACGCCTATCTCCTATAACCTCTTAAAACTCCCCCGTATTTCTTTCGGAAGAACTTTGAAGGCGTGGGCCGTCTGAAGGAGGTAGAAAATCAGACCGCTGAGAGCGGTAGCTGTTGTTTCTCTGCCTGCTGCGATGGTGACTCTTGCGCTTGAGACGATTTCGTCGGTATTCATTCTTTGGGCATCGCTGTATTTCAACACATAACTACCCCTCATCAACCATCTCATTACCCCCGCCATTTCTAAGCAAAGAAAGAAAGGGGTTTTACGCACCTCACCAAGTCCTTCCTCTCAGCTTCCTGCTCTAAGCGTTCGAGAGTCTTGACTTGCGTGAACTCGCGTATCCTGTCGATCTCATTCCGCACAACCGGTAAATTAAGCATCAGGTTTAAGAAGATCCGAGTTGGTGCATAGGCGCGTGTAGTGCGCATCAGCGCCAAAATAGCAGCCATCCAGGGGTGGTACGTTCCGTTTTCTAGAGCGTGGAAGGGCTCGCCGAACGTGAAGTCGCCGATTACGTTGAAGGTGGTGGGGAGACACCTTGTAAAGCTTCAGGGTCAGTGAAAGAAAGGGCGAAGGCGATACTCTGAGTACGCTTCCATACCTTTCATAAAGGGATTTGGTCACAGTTGCTAAGTTTCCAGTGTAATTGTGCTAATAAATTGGGGGATAGGATGTTCCATGGAGTTCAGGGCCTGGAAACTTTGCGAGAGGATAAAGAGTGATGTTATGTATCTCAATCGCTATTGACACCACTAGGCACTTAACCCAGTTAGCATTATCCTAGATCCATCGACATGACATTTCAGAATTACAATCAGTACAGATGAAATGAGAACAAAGGAGATGCTTAGTAACTCCACAGCTTAAAGACATAGTGGGTTGTACTATAAGAGGATGACATAGGCGAAAGGGGTGTCCTTGTGAGACTCGAGAATATTTCGGAAAGGACGACCTTCGCTCTTCACCACTACTCTATGTACGCAAACCGCACCCACCAGGGCAGCAGAAACTGAAGTACGGCGCATGATCTGAGCAGCAATACCACTGTCCCATAGGCACAAAGCGCGGGGTAGTACAAAGTGAGCAAGCAGCCAGAGTGAGGAGCTCGCGTTCGCTTGGAGTGCCCAATGATCTTTAAAAATGCCCCCTGATGGGCTTGCTGAACGTGGATGCATAAATTGAACTGAGAACGAAGAGTATGCGGGAATTATGTGATGAAGTCCGAAGTTCGAAAATGGATAAGAGAATAGGAAAGCATGCATTGGTAGACCTCGCTCGCCTGAGTTGAATAGGGGTTGCTGGTCACTGTGGACAGGGGTATTGCAACGAGAAAAAAGGACCTTACCTTCGGCTCATGCTGCATCGAACACTCAAAACATAGCGTCAGACGGAAATAAGGAATGATTTTACTTCATTCATTCAATTAACTGCTAGCAATGAAAAAAATCCTACAAACAAGGAAGGGTATCTATCCATAACACTGCTAATCCTTTCATTCTCTCGCTCGCTCGGGCTATGCAAATGCCATCCATACCATGCCCCTAACCACATCATGAAGAATCGAATCTTGTCCCCAAATCCATTAAATTCGTTCGAAAAGAAACAAAAAAAACTCTCACGCCAGCCCATGCCATGCAAAGACATCCCAACCATCTAAAAAAAGGCCGTGCCGTGACTTATATCACTTTTCCCCCTCCAACTAAACAATCAGACAACCAGATATTCCACTAGTTTAGTAGTAGACCTTCGGTGTCCAGAGCGGCGGTCTCGCGCCCTCAGCGTCCCAAACCAGCTTATTCTTCTCATCGAGTGTAACACCCTCATCCGTAATCGGCAGAATCTTGCCCGTATGCTGCATCTCCTGCCGCGAGATACCCGCTTCATCTCTCGGGATCCACAACAACGGGATCTCGGCGACGACACTTGGAGGATAATATGCGTTCTCGGCGACTGTTTCCTCATATATGTTGTCCGCATCGAGCATGCCGTGGGGCACGAGTTGACGGAGTGTGTGGTAGTCGGCGTAGATGTGCGGTGCGAAGAACTTAGAGAACACGTTGGGCTTCTTGACGGGAGTGGAGGTGGACACTTCGCCACTGGTCTTCTCTTTGATGTCCTCTGAGCCATTGCGAGTTCCTGCTTCGGCGGCGCTGATAAGGCCCTCTTGCTCTGCTTCGAGGGATCTGGGGAGGCTGTAGAGGAGTGGGTCAAGGGCAGCGTTGAGAGAGAAGTGGTACAGGACGGTGAAGATAAGGAAGACGACCATGAGGATTAGGGGTCCTGGGCTTTTGCCGATGCCGAAGAGTCCGATGAGGCAGACTTCGGCGAGGTAGACTCCCGTTAGGAGTTGTTGGAGAGCGCGGGGGTAAATCAGGCCTTTGGTGTCGATTTTTGAGTCCGTGACAAAGAGGATGTTGTAGCGGTATGCGAGGTAGAAGAGAGACATGCCGATGGTTGCGAAGCCGAGGACCAATGGTGCGATACAGGAGTAAGTGATACCTAGATGGTGTTAGTTCGGGCTTAAAGCAATGGACAAGAGAGCCTACCGATGACTGCAATCATGGTGAAGACTGGAAGAGTGCTGCCCCAGGAGATGGCGCTCAGATTTGACCACTTTGTATACAAACTTCTTGGTGTACCAGAGAGAAACTTATACAACAACGTGAAGACGATGAATCCCACAACTTGCGACAATACTCCTGAGGAGACGGTCAATCCCTGAACAATAAAGTAGGAGATGTAGAAGTTGGAAGCTGTTGGAAGGCGCGTGGCAAGCAGTTGTGTGATTCCGGTAGGGTTGTTGATAATTTGTTGGACGACGGAGGAGGCTGCCGCACCGATCGTGACGACAAGGAAGACTTGGACGACTTGGAAGACGAAGTACGCATTTTGAGTAAACAACTCAACGCGAGCCAGAGATGGTTCACCTGCCTTCTTGGCAACGACTGCATTCTGTTAGCTACGCTCAATCTACAGAGGTGGGTTACTTACGTCTCATGATAATAGGCACAAGAGACATGAGGATGGCCAACATGACGGATGGTAGAAGCCCGCTGATAACACCCATGATCGTAGGTGGAATCTTGGTAAGCCAGTGGAGCCAGGTGAAATTCTCGAGGTAGGCGATGTTAGAAATCAATCCAACGAACGCAACGGGGATGGCCCAGAATACAACCAGAGCTGTAACGAACCCAACGACACCTAGTCTGCGAACGACGCGTTGCCACCATGAGATCTTCAAAGATTTCCAGACGACTTCGTTGGGGTTGACACCAATGTATTTGGGAGACACTATGTATGGTTAGCAAAACAATGCAGGCCAATATAAGACAACTTACTGTGAAGAGCTTGGTGATGAGAGAGGGATTGGAAAGCAGACTGAGCATCAGATTGGTGAGTAAACTCGATGAAGACACTTCCAACCGGCTCGGTATCTCCCTTTCGGTATTCTGCTTGTGCGGCAGCGGCAGCGGGAATGAGTTCCTCCAATCGTTGGCGGGCCCAGTTAATAGAATCAACCTTCTTGCCGTACAGGCCAAATTTGCCAAGCTTGTGGGTTGGTCGCTTCTTCTCGGGGATCCAGCGAGCAGCGAGAGCACCAGATTCAGCATCACCCTCTTCAACTGGTTCTGCTTCGGAATTACCACCTCCTTTCTTGATAGCCTTCAATCTCTGCTCATTGGCAAGCTTGATAAGCTTGACTTCGGCAGACTCCAAAATGAGAGCAGTCTTGTCACGCTCCTCAACCAGCTCATCAACTTTGGTGGTGTCACCAGTGATCCAGACGCGTCGAACAGAGTCGCCAAAGACCTTTCGAAGTTTGACTTCATCGAGATACGGCTTGGGAACAGACGTGAAAAGAACTGTTCTGGCCGAAATGCGGTTGGCGTAGACTGGTGCGAGCAGGAATGCTTGACGCAAGTTGATGTAGAAGATGCTTTCTCGCGTGACCAGCATCAGGACGAAGCCAAAGAACAACCATCCACAGAAGCAGTGAGCAAAGTATTTGTACTTCCCACCCTTCACGTTCGGGTTTATATTGGACATTGAAAGTAGGTCCAATTGAACGTTGCCAGCACCTCCAGTGATGTTGATAGGGAACAAGACGGGCATGGTAATGCAGGCGCCAACGAACATGATCACCACGGTCATGCGAAGGAATCGAAGGAAGAGGTATGCATCCAGAGATTGGTGCTGGAGAGCATAGGTATCTGGGATCTTCCAAAACGGGCCAATCCAATTGAACCAGCCTGTTGGAAGAGCTTCTGAACGCTCCCTGTCTCGAATTAGTAATTTCACGTTGATAATTCACATCAATTGCACTTACTCCTCACGCAGCGTGCCCAAGTAGGTTCTCGGAGCATAGTAACGACGTTTCGATCTTCGTAGACACAAGAAGATCAAAACATAAATAACGGCCACGAGCAGAGTTGGTGCCAGCGTAGCTACCAGCCCTGACACCGAGGAGTTGGGGGGTGTGGGGTCCGCAGCCATGATTCTGGAGTCCTGCCTTCACAATGGGGAATTAAGAAGGGAAGTTCGTCGCTCGACGTCGGTCTGGGGGAAGAAGACGGTGAGGTTGTCTGATCTGAGCAGACGAGAAACAGCTCTGGGGGAAAAAGCAATGATGTGAGGCGCCGCAACAGGAAAAGTAACTGGTCCGTGCACGACCCCCTCAATAGAGCAATCAGGAAATTTGTCGATCAAGGTGCCCCTGTCTTTAGCACGTCACAATCGCGAAATTTGCTGCTGGCCCCTGTAACGAGAATGCGATGTCCCGGAAAGGCCTCGAAGTCGAGTGCCGAAGCCAATACAACAGCCGATGCGCTGGATGAGGAAGATATAAGTCTCCGAGACTCGATGCGGCGACACGAACGGCAGGCTACGGCGTCACAAATGTATGTTGTGTCTTGTTTCGAAAGGGAGGGGCGTTGTTTTTACATATTTCTGTTGGGCTTGAGACCTCACACACGTCAAGACGAACGACGCATTCCCGCTTAGCGCTGCAATATGTGACATCTCAGCAGCTAGAGCAACTTGGGAGCGCTGGGCTTGTGCACGATACGTGGAGCCCTCAGCGAGTTCGGTGCCGTGTGCCTCCAAGGACTGTGGAACGGGCATCTAGACTTGAGGGGAAGAACTTCAAAACATCCATATCAGCTGAAGTATCAACGGTGGAGGCTTATCTCGACCCCAGAGTGCATTAATTGCCTTGCGCCGCCTGGTGTTTTCAAAAGATACGATATTATTACGACAACAGCACAAGATCGCCCGCCCTGCTCGGCTGACTCGACATCTGCGGGATCATTAAGCTCGGCAGGGTTCAGCTGGCAGGGCAGCGAGATCCGCGACTGGTCGCCCCACAGGCCTTCCGAGTGGTCGAGTCTCTGGTCCAGTGGTTCTCCACTGTGCAGGCGGCGATACCCCCTGCAAAGCTGAAAGGCAGAGGTCAGCCACAGCAATTGGCGGGAAGTCTGTTGCCACTGGAGATTGCCACGGGAGGAGAAGCCACCACAGGCGCAGTCATCGTAGAGTCCCGACTCTCCAGACTGCTCCATACTTATTGGAGCCGCCTACCAACCCTTGTGCAGCAGGACCTTGTCCAGCGCAGCCATTGCTCGGATGGTATCCGATGCTCAGGGTTTGCGACGAAGTTGAGGGTCATGGGATTAATAGCCGGTTCCCCTCCCACTGCGCTTCGCTTGTGGTCGGGATAAGCAAGTGTCTCGTTTAACCAAGTATCCCATCGAGATTTTAGCCGGTACTTGATTTTTGGTACGCATCGCACGCAAAATCAAGAATATTTACAATGGAATTAAGGATACTAGTTACAAAAAAAACAAAGCTATCTAGAACTGTACAAAATCGGCATTCGCTTATATACTGTCAATTGAGCCCGCATTACTCTCCATATCTAACGAGTCTGGGTAATCAAAAGGGGGTGGACTTGAGTCTATATACTCTCCCATACTCTCCTTTTGATACTCCCGTTCTGTAGTATTAATTACTATATCCTCATCCCCATTAATAAAGGTATTTGGTACCTCTAGCCGATTAGGGGCTGGATTACTGAGGGACGCCTCAAGCTGGCGAACCACGAGCTATAAATCAGGGTAAAAGTCCTCCTCACAGCGAGCTCGTTCGATAATCGTAGGGTTTTTATCAGGTTTACGAATTGGTACCATATCCTCTACTGGAATTAGCTCGTCTTTTGATCGATACTCTGCAATTCTGACTAATCTAGCTTTCTCATCCTTACGAGCTTGGATACCGGTATCCTTGAGGTGATTTTTAGCTCGATTAATGGCAGTAGCAAGCTTCTTTTTAGCCTTGCGAAGAGCCTCCCTATTATCCTTCTCCTTCTTCTCTTTAATCTCAATACGAAGCTCTACTATACTCGCAGATGGGGCCCCCTTGTATAAGCTCTTACGAGACTTCGCCTTTCGATTATACTCCTCACGAAGCTTTGTTTGGAGAGCCTGGTACTCTATTATCTGGAGATAACTCTTTTGTAATTGTATATTAACCTTCTTGATAGTAATCTTCCAAGTTTCCTTCGAATTATCTGAAAACTTTATAGGATTGCAATCTGCAAGTATATACAGGGTTGAGGCTGTATTCTATACTTTATCGGGGCGGGTAGGTAATAAGGGGGGAAGATCTAGGCTATCCTCTGCCTTAACCTCCTCAATTAATCTTTTCTTCTTTCCGTACGATCGCATCTTTTTAATTCCAGCTTTGCAATTAATAGGCTATATACCAGAACTCTCAAAGGTATTCTTAATTGTATACTTTTGCATTATTTGCGTACGAATAAAGGTAAGATTGCGAAAAAAGGAGGTAATCGTATATTCAAAATCAAGAGATCGGAGGGCCGTATGAATCGCCATTTTATGGTAGTGCTTCCAGGGGCGGAATATACCAATATCAAGTGGTTGAAGGGCGTATGTCAAATGGGAGGGGAACCAGAAGAGCTTGATATTATATTCGCCAGCCTTTAATTGAAAGGGTTTATAGACGTGAGATTCGTATTTGTTAAGGAGAAGTATTTTCCAGGGCTTATTTGGACCAGCTTTTGAATACTTAATCAAATAATCAAGGTATTTTATAGCTACATTATTATTTGTATACCCGGTAGGAGTATATTTAATATACTCTGTACCAACCAGGTTTTCCGATATCTAATTATCTATAATCTTCTTTCCAGGAGCAATTATAAATGGAGGAAGAGGTTCACGCCCATCCGTATAAATAGTTTCGATTATCGTAACTAATTTGCGATTCTCAGGGCTTGCCGTATATAGCTCCTTTACCTCTATAGGCACAATTACGTACTTACCGGTAGGGCAACCAATACGGGCTCCTGACTCGTCCATATTCAGAACGTTCTTTCCCTTTATAATATGAAGCTCCTCCAAAGTATCTTAATATTTCCGAAACCATATTCTAACGTCTTCTTCTATATGGGACTCGAGTCGTGCGTATGCAATTGGCTTCGTTTTAATCGTGTAAAGTATCTTGTAGTTCCGTATCCAGAGGCTAAACCAAGTAGCCGAAGGGGGTGATTTTGGGGGAGATTCAGCCTAATTACGTTAGATATATTATTAGATTTAAAAGAAGTACTTATAGCCTTCAAGTAGGTAATTACGGCTTGAACCATCTGATATATAGTACCCAAACCAGCCTCCCATTACTCGTAGCAATATTACCGAATCGCCTCCTCCTGTACCTCGTTCAGGATCTTATTATTACCACCATGCGTATTATAGAGTCCTTGGGAGTTCCTCTTCTTATTGCACTCGCGGAGTACCGATTTTCGCAAGGAAGCTTCCTTGACGTAATATATCCTCGCACTAGTAATTACTAAATTATCATCGTTCTCAAGGCACCATTCGCGGGCCTCATTAAAGATACGGTAGTAATCAGCTTCCGTAGCATGTAGATAATAGAAATACTCCCAGGACATCTCCCCAATCCTGGTAGAATTAAATAAAGGTGTACCCATTTTTGGAATCTTTGCACGTGAATTGAATAATGAATTGGTCAACAAGTTGGGCCAAACGCGCAATTGCAAGACGCGTTTTTTGGTAAGGATCACACGTAAATTTTAGGGCCCGCATTTTCTCGATGGGACACTTGGTTAAACGAGACACTTGCTTATCCCGACCACAAGCGAAGCGCAGTGGGAGGGGAACCGGCTATTAGAGTTCTGTCAGCGGAAAGAACGAACGACGGCCTGAAACACTGAAGTAGCGAGGCACCATGCCATTAGCTTTCCTAAGATCGAAAAACATGGTATTCAACGACCAGATGTGGCTGGGTTGAACTATACTACAAGTCGTTATCCTAAGTGGGGGAGGAGAGCTTTTTATTGGGTTCATTTGTTTTCTCATTTTATTGGTAGGTTTTGCGCTCTGCGAAGATTTTCTTGCCTTTTCTAGAAGCGTTCAAGCGCATGTAGACGTTAGGTAGATTGTGACTAGTGGGGCTAGAACAAATTATGATCAGCCCTTCGATTGCACAAAGGTTCGAGGAAGCTGAGTTGCTGTTTTGCTCCGCGGAAGTCTCTATTTTATTCTCAGTTTTGCTTCATTAATCATCGTGGCTCTGAAGTGTGGAAGTCCGCCATAGAAACCCTTCTCTTCGGACAAGATAGGTGGGAGAAAAAAGCAATTTGGTGACAGTAAAAAAACCCTTGACAACAATGGAATACAGGTATCAGTGCAAAGCGTAACGGTATCCTCGTTGACGGCAGCATAAGAGAGGGAATGTGGAGCTTGAAACTCGGACTCCTTTCCCTTCGCTTCTTGCTGGGAGATATGCTTTGGTTTGGTCTGGCGCATCCTATCGAACTCCGCCTGCATCTGGTTTCCCTTCGCTTGTCGGGGGTCGGGGCGTTCTTTTATGTCGACTTCAAAACCAGGAATACGGCAAGTGGAGGGATGGATGCATGTAGAGCAGGAAGGGGGGGTGAGGTGTTGTTGAGGGCCAAAGTGAATATAGAGGGAGTGAATGATTTTGATCCTTTGGTGTGGCATTTCTAGAAGAGAACTTGGATGTTCTAGACTTGTTTAGATATTGGGGTCCAATTCCAGTTTCGATAAGAGTTTTTGAGTTTTGCTGTAGACCGTGATTATTAGACTTTGCATATTTTTTCACAAATATATTGACCCTGGAGATTCTGAGTACGACCGGGAGCCTGTTAAATGCATAAGCTTATTGTTGAAATATGCTGAAGATAATGGTGATTGAAAGTCAACAAGTCCTCGACTTGAGAAGTGGCAAGGATACCTTAGAAATTATGCAAGTCCAGGAGCTTTAGAGTCAAAAATGAATTCTTCGCGAGCTCTTAATATGTACAGCAACATCAACTTGCCATCCTTCGCCATAATCACAAATAGGCTTTCCAAGACGCCAATACCTCCTGCAATATTGTAACAGACCTTCATTCGAACTCGAGAATATGTACAATAAATCAAACCTCAACCTCACTCTTCTCATTTCCTCTCGTCAAGGCGGCTTACTCCCCTTCTCCCCACTACTCGACTTGAACCCCAAAATCTCGCCTACAATCCCTCCCGGCTTCGGAACAGGACATTCCCTCTTCACCACCCTTTTCTCTCCCTTCCCCTCCATATCACCATCTTCCACTCCCCCCTCCTCTATCCCTGCACCTAAACCGTCCTCTTTTGACTCGTTTTCCTCGTCTGGAGCTGGACACATAGGCGGTCTCCGCCTTCGCTTCCTAGGTATCGGCGTCCCATCATCTGCATACAGGACTCGTGGCGCGGGACAGGGGAGAACGTGTGGTAGGGCGACGACGAAGAAGGATGCGAAGAGTGTGGTTGCGAAGAGGGAGGAGGTAAGGCGGGAGCGGGGGTGCATATGTGGAGGCATTTTATATACTTTTTCTCCCTTCTGCCTCGAACCTGGAACGAATGACCTGACTGAGAAGTGGAATTGGCATGCAGGTCCCGGATTCGCGGAGGAGAAGAGTGAATTGCGTTTCCGGGGTGCTGAGGGTCATTAGGTTAGTCAATTGACACGAGTTGGTGGGTATTAGAGGTATTACCTATCGCCGCATCTGTGAATCGGGAGGAAGTGGGTGAGGGGTTGGAGTGAAGTGAGGTGGAACGATACATTTTGAGCTTGAAGGAGCTCGTGAAGGCTAGCCTCTTCGGGGCATTAGCGCCGTCTAGCGCTGATCTCGGCGTGCATCAATCTTCAAGGCTGGGAATGTGCCAAAAATAATCACGACACACATGATAACGTAGCTTGCGACGAAGAGACGAATAGTGGACGGCCCATTTCCTGGGACTTTGCTGTGCTAGTATCGGGTCGTGCGATTGCGGTAGAAGGTGATCCAGGCCATTTGAAGGACAGGAGGATTCACATTGGGCCTTCAGCCTTTCCCGCCACGCTCGATGCGCCCGAGATTCTCTGGGGCTTGAACCGACTGGGAAGCGCTCGAGAAGGATTGTGGAAAGGTGATAGACAGACTTGCTAGCACTACGAATTCTGTGGGACTTGCAGACTCGACGTATTCAAGATGAGCGACCTCGACAGGTATGCTTCACTCTGTCCAAAGTTTTGGCATAGTTGGCTAAGATGAAATGCAGAGCCATTGCGCAGCTTCGAGCATGCAGACCTATACCAGAAGCACAGGTCCGGGAATTGTGCCACAAGGCGCGAGAGCTGTTGATCGAGGAGGGGAATGTGGTGACTGTGACGGCACCAGTGACGGTATGAGCTTCAAACAGAGCTTTGGATGCATGCTGATGGGTCCAGATATGCGGTGATATTCATGGACAATTTCATGACCTTATGGAGTTATTTCGCGTGGGCGGCGATGTGCCAGATACCAATTATCTGTTCATGGGTAGGCTTCTCAGAGGAACTCAAAACCCTGATTGCTAATTCACCCAGGCGATTTCGTCGACCGAGGCTTCTACTCTCTCGAATCCTTCCTTCTCCTTTTATGCCTCAAAGTACGATACCCGGACCGAATGACCTTAATACGAGGCAACCACGAGTCAAGACAAATCACAACAGTTTACGGCTTCTACGATGAATGTCTACGGAAATATGGAAGTGCAAATGTATGGAGATATTGCTGCGAAGTCTTTGATTATCTAGCTCTCGGTGCTATTGTACTCGGTGCCTCAAGTACACTGGAGCCGTCAAAACAGAAAGTAACTGCTCCCTCGAGCAGCCTCACATCAACACAAGAATACCTCGACCCAGATATCGAGATCGAGGTATTGAGTTCTGATGGAGGGATTGTAAAGAGATTCCCACGACAGAAGACAGTGAAGACTGTAGGCGGTGCGAAGGGATCATCACCAGCGAAGACGGGGGCACCAGGAACTGGAGCATCGGGATCTAGCGGAGGTAGCGTCGGAAATCCAGGAGGAGCAGTACTCTGCGTCCACGGCGGCTTATCACCCCTCATCGACACAGTAGACAAGATCCGGTTACTAGACCGAAAGCAAGAAGTACCCCACGAAGGAGCAATGTGTGATCTGCTCTGGTCAGATCCCGACGAAATCGACGGCTGGGGTCTGTCTCCTCGAGGGGCAGGATTCCTTTTCGGCGCCGACATCGTCAAAGTCTTCAACCACGCCAATGACCTATCATTGATAGCACGGGCACATCAACTGGTCATGGAAGGATTCAAGGAGATGTTCGACGCGAGCATCGTGACAGTTTGGTCAGCGCCAAACTACTGCTACAGATGCGGTAACGTCGCCGCCATTCTCGAGCTCGGCGAAGATGGAAGCGGTGAGGGCATCATCTCGCGAAGTAATGGGGAGGTGAACAGAAGCGATGGTGGTATAACCGGGCTCTTGAAGGAGAAGGAGAAAGTTCTTCTGAGTGGTCCTGCGAGGCGGTATAGGGTGTTCCAGGCGGCGCCACAGGACTCGAGAGGCATGCCGGCAAAGAAGCCTCAGGTCGAATATTTCCTATAGTGCAATAGCTAGTGTAAATTATCGTTTGATATACACGAATGAGCTACTAGCACCTTTAAGCATACCCAGCAATGCTCGAATGGACACCGTCTAATCGTACTTGTCAAAGCATCCCCCAGCAAATCCTCCCTCACAATCACTCAAACTCATCATTATCCTCACCATAATGGCACTTGTCAGAGCAATCCATAGCAATTGCGGGTTTACTTTTTGTAGTTGCTTTACGAGGCTATGTTACAGGTGGTTGGAAGAAATGGCTTTACGGCTGGATCGCAAGAAACGAGATGGCGTTGTGGTGCTTCCTATAGAGTTTGTAAAATATCATGGATACGGAAGTTCCTGCGCCTATTGCTATTCTGAGTGTGAGGTGACTTTTGAGTTTACAAGAGGCAGAGTGACTTCCCCCTTTTTTACTCGCTTAAACCCTTAGCTCTATTTATTCTTCCACACCTCGGACTACCCGTCTGGTCTATTCACTTAGAGTGAATTGTATCCCTCGGATTTTTGTTGCACATCGACTCAATGTTCCAGAGCTTTTTGGTACAATGAAATGTCTATTGAAGCTCAACTTTAATATCGGATGAGAAAGGACGCGAGAGTTACATCCCAATACCCCACTGAACACCGGACGAGACTGTAACAAAGCACCTCTCGTTATCCCTTTCGTCTCTTCTCGTCTCAGGACTTGAGATGAAAATCTACTCTATTCTCATCCAGAGAACATGTATCTGTGTGTCACCCGTTGCATATTTAAAGAGCAGTCTGAGGTCGCGCGAAACTCGAAGTCGAAGACGTATACTGATCCAGGCCTTCTCAGCATTGTGATGAAACTGAGAACAAGAACCTTGGATAGCTCTAGGTTTGACAGCAAAGGCGAAAGGTCATCTATCGCGTTTCTTGGGGAGCGAGGCTGGGGTATTTTATTTTATTTACTTATACGTAAAAAAGGTGAATAGCGATTTCTAGTTTCAAGAGTTGTTGCATATTGCAATCCTTATAAGTGCGCTAGCAGTGCTATTTTTTTGCTGGTGCTGAAAAACAAAGAGTTAAAGCTTGAATTCATCTAGTTGTGAATAGTGCAATAAGTGATCTCTGTCTAATAATGAGAGTGAAGAAAAAGGAAGTGAATTAAGTGAAAGTTTTAACGCTTTGTTGCATATAATATATAGTGGCTAGCGCTGCTAGCGTTTTGCCAGTGCGCTTATAAGGAAATGCGACATACAACAAAACTCTTTGGCGGCTCCAGATTCACTCATTATTCTTCACCTCCACTCGGAAGAAAAATCTGTAGTGCTTAACATTCAAGCGTCTGCTCAGGCGCCAATTAGCATCAGGAATAAGTAAATCTTCGTTTTAGTCGCCGCTTCGCTATCATTCAGAGGATGCGGATCTGAGTTCCCTTGGCAATTTTAAGAAATGGTATAAATCACGTGATACCAGGTACCTCCCAATCCCGCTCCAACTGTATAATCACCGCAGAATAGGCATTGGGTAGAGTGCACGACAATCTTGAACTTCAACATCAGATAAACAGTGAGCGTTCTCTTCTTCAACCATTCCGCTAACGTATCTCACTTGAGTGGAGTAACTCCGATTTCAAAATAGAATGTGAAAACAACTCCATCGCTGATGTACCATCCAGTAGAGCCTCCCACCAATCTGACCCAATACCACAGACCTTGCTCTCATCAACACAATCGTAAGTCGTCTTCTCATAACCAAATCAACATCGAAATGCTCAACCATAAGTCCAGTCATCATCTCCAAAACCGTCATTTCCTCGCCCATTACTCGGCGGCATATAAAAGCCCGTTCCAACACCAGCCATCGGATCCATGCCTCCTCCGTTCAACACCTTGTTCGTGGCATTTGGTCCGTCGTTCATGTCTCCAGCCGGATTCCCCATCCAGTTGTCAAAACCGATTGCTAGACTAGCTTGATCTCGGAGCCACCAATCTTGGCTCTCGACTAATGCGTCAACGCCACCGAACATTGTGTTTGGACTCACTTGGCGAGTCATGGGGCCAGAGGCTTCGGATGTGACGCCTGAGTTTGTGCGTGGTAGGTCGTTGGAAGGTGTCCTTGTTGCGCGGGGCGCGGGATTTGGATTGGTGTAAGGGTGGCGGGGATGTGGGATGGCGGAGAGAGGCGAGGCGGGAATGGTGTTCATTGATCCGATACCATTGCTGCCGCTGGTAGTGGGTTGATTTACCAGTGTGGGTTGAGATGAAATGCCCATTATATTTTGTACGGTTTGGGGTTTAGACATTGCCAGGAAAGTTGGTGGGATATTCTGGGTGTCGGGTTGGTAACTGTAAAGACTCTGCTGCAGTTGGTTCGTGTTTCTCACACGGTTTTGGGTCTGTGGGGGCGGTATTGGTGGTCGAGGTGGTGACGTGGTTGTTGATGGAGGTGTAGCAACAATGAGTTCTTGTTTTGGTGATGGCACATCTGCGGTACTGAAGTAGCCATACTTTGCGTCTGTCCGAGCAAATACCACAGCGGCTTCTTCGGGAAGCTCGATCTTCCATTTCCGGCCTAAGACACTCAGGATACTGAGGGTTCGGCGAGCACAAAGCCAGTCCTCGGCTACCTCTTCGAGATGTTTGACTCCGTGGATTATGTCCCGCTTGGCCGTCTTTTCCGGAAGTTGCAGCAGGTGGATGGTGCAGGCTGAATGAACGATATATACGGCAATATTGCAGATTTGACGTAGACCGTAGGTACGTTTATAGAGGCGCATGAGTTTAGAGATAGATCCCGCCGCTTGAGTACATAGTTTTCGAGGTGAAACATGTGAAGGTAATGGAGAGGTTGAAGGATTATACTTGAGGAAGGGACGGAACAAGTGGATATATAAGAGGTGGAAGAACATGCTATGGTTTTGTTAGTGCAGGCCATTTGGTAAGTTGGGGTGAAATATACTGCATCAGTAGGACATTTGGCAATTGCCCTTCCTTCGGCTCAAGCTCCTTCGGAAGGTCTCTTCTCCATGCTTCTAATCTTGTTTGCAGCTCACTCAATTTCTTCAATTCTTGTGATCTCCCAACAGACTTGTCAAGATACTGGGGATGGTAAAAGAAAATCAGTAAATCACTACTTATTTCGCATAGACTCGAGAGCTGTAAAGCAACCGCTCTTGTCCGAGACGCCTGGGAATGCAATTGGCCAATTCCATTGTCTGTGTAGGGTGACCAGATATCTGCATCTTCATCAGGGAAGACATCGTACTTGGGAGCTGTTATGTTTGAAACAGGTAACTGGGGTAATCGTCCAAGGTAATTAGACCAGCACTTGTCGAACAAGAAACAGCCCCAAAATGTTACTCTTCGGGCATCGATTTCTTTCTCGTCCATTGGCTCTTTGTTATTGGTCATTCCACCAGAATCCAGGTTTAAGCCCATGTCTTGAGCCATGCGGAAGCTCATTCCTGAATACACCCAACCTTTGGCTTCTCGGCCACATCCCGCTTCCCTGACAGACATCAATGCCAATGCTTGAATCGTGGTCAATCTCGGCTTTTCATATTCATCATTATCCACAATTAGCCTTTTAGCTTCAGCGAAGAAGGCATCTCCTTTGGTAGTTGGATCGTTGGGATCGGCGCAACCTTTCGGGGAGTTCGTAAAATGGCAACCTAGTGCTAACATTGCATTGACCAGGAGACTCGAGCAATACACAGTTCGTTTTGGCGTTCCTTGTGGCTTTCCTAGTAGGAAATCTCGGTAGAAAAGGCTCTTCGATAAAGTTGTAAAGAAGGGATAATGCCATGTGAAATACATGTTGATAAGATGCACAATGACTTCCGTATCATTCGTAACAGTTGTCCAACTTGTCAACGGGTCATCTTGCTGCTCAACAAGTTCTGATCCATCCCCACCGTCGTCCTCATCCGTTGGATCCAGATATATCAGATTCGAAGTTCCTCCTAAAAATCTCACCGAGCCGTTCTCTAATCTTAGTTCTCCCATTTTGCCAGACAATTCTGTCTCGAAGGTGGGCAAGGATGCGGTGGTATATGCAGAGTTTTCATCGAATTCATCCTCCTCATCCTCGAGGCCATTTTCTTGTCTGAGTATACTGTCTGCGACGTCATCCAGGCTTTCACAAGTTCGGATTTGGCGAACTAGGTTCGGAACATCGTCCTCTGCAGCATTCAATATTGCTTGTATCAGGGTCTGCAGTGTCGAGTTCTTCGTCTTCAGACTATCGATCTTCTCTTTGTAGACGCCCTTCCGCCGATGGTCGCTGTTCGGGTCGTATACACATTCTGCAAATGTCAGTCTACGCTCTTTGACAGCTTCTCTATCCACTCACCGGTTCCATAGACACTCGAGCAGGCCGCACAACTCGGTGTATTGCCATCGCATTTCGACTTCCGTCTTCGGCACGCAATACACGCGGTACTGACACAGCGTCTCTTGATTGCAGCAGCATCTCGACTGCTCCTCGGCTTCTTCTTGGTTGCCCCGCTTCCGCCCGCGACCCCGTTATCTAGATTCATGGAGAAGTCCCCGCCCATTCCTCCTCGCATCGTTATCGGTCCTGCATCATTGAATTCCGCCATATGGTGGGGCTCAAGTCTACGCAAATCGTGGATTCGATTTCCCGGGTAGAATTCCAATTCTTCAGCGTCGGTCCTCACTATCGTATCGCGGATCGCGTGAGGTAGCACAGAGGGAGGATTCTCTGCCGCGTTGGATGAAGAAGTTGGTGGAGCAGAGGTCGCTAGATTCCGCCAATTTTCCTTGATTACCTGCGGTCCATCCAGAAGCTGGAGAATCTCCGGGGAGTGCTGCGAGAGGTCGAAAAGAAAGAGTGTGCTGACAAAGCGGCGAGCTGCTCGAATCGAATCGCAGTCTGCACTTGGAAGAAGCAAAACCCCACACAGGCTCAAGGATTGGGGGGGCACGCCTAGCGAGCAGATCACGATAAGGAAGAATCTGAAGCAAATTCGGCCCTTGTGATTGGTTCTGAGCCAATTCAAATTCCCAAGCTCGGGGACGGCCGCAGCTTTCCTCTCAACAGGCTGGGCTTCGGTCTAAAAACACGATTTTGATACGGAGACTTCTGCTTGGTTCCTTCCATCTGCTACCAGCCTGCCCGTTTCCGTCACGAGCAAGATACAGCACTTTTCCTTCCTCAGAGTTCCCCAAGTTCTTTTCTCTCTTCAATGATTTTACTCATTTCCCTCCGGCCCCCACGCCGAAGATGATGGGGATATCCCTGGGGAGCAGCAAAATACAACATGCCATCACATCTCCAAATCTCGCCATTGATAGCACTGGACGACGGGATGCACATCAACTGTTTGTTACGCTCTCCTCAATGAGGCTTGCTTCGTTCCGGGAGAAGAACATCTCATTTCTTCTGTCTTCTACATTTGCTTTTTCTCTACCATGGGTCTAAAGTTAGAGCCCATGCATTCAGGGGCTGTAACATGCGATATTCAGATTAAGAATACGAAAGGCTCTGGAAGGATTCTAGAATGTCCAGGGATATGGAGCTTGCTTTTGATTTCATGGATAGGGGGTCGTTAGTGTTCGCGCGTTGATCAAACCTCCCATCATACAGTAGCAGAAAGTATCTGTCTGCATTTGCATCGGTCAGATGGGCCGTTTGACCTTCGCTCGTTTCGTTGAGCTTATGAGCCACTGCTTGCCCTTTAGAGGTCTGAAGTATCTCTATAGAGGTACCGAGGGACTTGCCTGAGCCTGGTAGTCGACCAACGGCTTGCGCATCTCCCGCAAGAGCATCATTGGGCTGCTGCGACTTTTGATCCTGTTTCTGAGTCTTAGGGACTCTCTTGATGTCGTTCTTTCAAGGATTCCATTCGTGTTTTTGCCAATTTCAAGACAGCCTGACAGAAATGGATGCCTGGCACGTGACCTACATTCTCGAATATCTCTAGGGTTGGTTCACCAGGCTGTAACAAACTCGACGACACTTTTCATACGCTTCACCGCTAACTTCGATTTCAGCACCGTCACCACCCAAAATGGCGAGCATTCCAGCCGAAAATCTTCCGACCAGGTCAACGTTTCCTTACCGACCACTGGATGAGCCCGACAGCATTCGACTGATTTGTCTTCACCCAGCCTCATCCAGCCAAGCTGAAGTGAAGTGCAGCCTCATCCATTCGACACTCAAAATCTATGAGGACATTTACGATGACTACACCGCGCTTTCCTATGTCTGGGGCGATCCAAACGATACCAAATCAATCTGGATTGATGGAAATCCCTTTCTAATAACAATCAATCTATTTTCAGCACTCCGCGACTTGCGCCATGAGAACAAAGCTTTACTGGTTTGGGCTGATGCTATATGCATCAATCAAATCGATGATAAAGAGAAATTGGGACAGGTTGCGATGATGGGAAAGATCTACTCGGTGGCAGAACATACCGTGATCTATCTTGGACCTCTCGAAGCCAAAAACGCCAACGAACTAAATAGCAGGGCATCGACCGACTTCCATGAATCACGATTCTCGTCTGGACTTGCTGATTTAGTGCTGAGCCAGACATGGTTTCGACGAGTCTGGGTCTTTCAGGAACTCGTATTTTCTAAGGACCCCAGGGTACAACTTGGACAATACCGCCTCCCGTGGGATACTCTTTTCCGTATCTTAGCTCGGCATGTGCAGTCAAGATATTCTGGCAAAGACGAGGTTATTCGTGGATGGAAGCTACTTTCAGAAATGCATCAAGCTCGCGAGACACATCGAAAAGGAGAGGGTACTAGTAGGCCTCCGCATTCGAACAGCTCACTAAAAGATTTGGAGGATGAATCATCAGTGACTATGCTTAGCTTGTTGAGAGCTAGAAGGGGTCTAGGTATCACATATCCCAAGGATATGATATTTGCACACCTTGGTTTTGCCTCAGATGGGGCCGCTCTCGGGGAGAGGATCAACTATTCCATGAATCATTTACATTTGTACCATTCATTTGCTCGCTACATAGTTAATCAGGGCTTGCACTGCGAACTCTTCAACGAAATCAATGTTGTGGATCCATCAACGCAACGCAACGGGTTATCCTCGTGGACTCCCAATTGGGAAATTCAGAGGAACGACGCCCTAATCCCCTCCAACGATTGGGTCACTCAGGTTTTTGAATGCGATGTCAGGGATGTTAGTTCTCTCTTTTGGATGAAACCTAAGATCAGCAACATTATCCAACACACTTTCGTTCGTGATCCTCCAATTCTGGCATGCTTGGGCGCAGAATTAGGCGTGGTCGTGCGGTGCAGTAGCTCTCTGTCGGGGCTGGTTAAACTCTTTCTCCAGGACTCCAATATTGCCTGGCGTTGCTGCTTAAGGGCCGCTAAACCTACTATCGTCGAGTATGAAGGCAGTTTTCACGGCTTGGCGGGCGAGGATGTTTACAAGACTATCTGGGGACCAGACACCATGAACGAAGATATCCTTTCTGGTGTCCAAACTTGCAAAAATATATGGGATAGTCTGTATGACACGACTCATTCCGAGCCCAGCGAGCTTACATTCTACGATCTTGATTGGCTATACCAGGTACTTTCAGACATAACCACCAGAACGGGCTCTACACATTCGAGGCTTAGAAGCTGGAACGCTGGCATCCTGGCACGTACAGGTTGTGGGAGGTTGGCCCTTGTTTCTAGATGGACGCAATGTGGGGATATTGTTGCCGGTTTAATCCTTCCAAGTGGTCGTGTATACAACAATAGCTTTCTCATATTCCGGCCGATGGGGCAAACTGCGCATGACTTAGAAGCCTTGCTCACAGAAAAGTTCGGCCAGCGAATCAGGCCTGTATTGCCCTGCAAGCTTTTGGGTCTGTGCTGGATGGACACAACCGGTCTACGGTTTAGGGATCAGGACTCTGGGGAACATGAAGTTGATGGAGATGGCCCCGGGTTTGAGACTTGGAAGGCTATTATGGCTGGTTCTTCAACGAACGGCTTGATGCTCGGGGGAATGGCAATCCTCAAACGCTCTCTCGGAAACCCCAGGAGGCGTCATTGGGGACTAGACTCAACGGAGCAAAATCTCCATTGGAAGACATTTGCTATCCACTAGCCAGTCGCCAACGTGAGGGGCGTGTCCTTGACATTGGCAATTTCGATCCTCATCAGCACTCTTGACACGACTACTCCACAGATTCCAAGGACAAGATCATTTCAAAAGTCTCAATGAATACACCCTAGAAGCCAAGTTAGGCAACACTCCGCTGTCATGGCTCAAAATCGAGTCTTTGCTACTGGTAGCTCTTTGTGGCCAAGCAGAAGGAGGACAGCAAAGCTCATTTCCACACCAACCGAGCACCACCTTCAATGTGAGGCACAGTCTAGCTACAGCCATCCTACTCAGCCCCGAGTAAATCCATCTTCTTCAAGCTGGAAACAGACAAGAGGAGAGCTGAGGCCAGTAGCTACGATCAAGCCTTGTGCAACGTTCCATCCACCTCCCTCTTCCGACTTCTCCATCGACTCCGGCTGACTTCAACCGTGCCCCCTTCCCGGACGCATCTCCAGAACCGCTCGACTTTCCTCAGATCCGACGATTTCTCTCCTTCGACAACGAGTGAGCAGTCATGTTGGTGGCGAATTTGAGGCGGAAGCACCGGCCTGCAAAGCCGACATCGCTGGGTAAACACGAAGAGCAAGGGCATGAATGACATCCCGCTCTTGAATTTTTTCTTTGTTGGCTTGAAAGTTCTGAGGCTTTTGTGTGAGTCAGATCACGGTCAGGAAATCAGGGGTTGGAGGTGGAGCGGGTACTGCGGAGATAGGGCTCTAATTGTGAAAAGGGGGGGTCGGTGTCTGACGGGATGGATATGTGCAAGTGACATTCTTCTTCTTTTTGGACAAAGATGGGGTATCTGATTAGATGGAAGAAGAGAAGGGATCTGCTGACTTGACTTGCATATTGCGAATACCGAGATAGTCCGAGAAAGAGTGTTCGGAAGCAGATATCCCGGTTCTTTGATCCCTTTCTTGAGAATAGGTGGGATGCAGAAAGGGATCCCATCGCGGATTTTCTTGAAGAGAGGAAAAGCAAAAAACTTGATTCTGAATACATCTAACGATCTAGGCCTAGCTCAAGAATTGGCAAATCGAGCTGTACTGTAAAAATTCCAAACGACAGGGTTTTAGAACAGAATCATTGTTCCATCCAAACGTGAGAACTTCGGAGACAAACCGGCTATTCAAAACGTGAAGCAACGTAATACAGACTTAGTATGAAACGCGGTGCAGATAGAGATCTCTACATTTTTCAATTTTCATTTCTGCATCAACAAACTTCGTCTCAAGTTGTTGGTAGACAAGAATGTCAGTCAGAATTTAACTTTCCTGCAGCCCGATTATCAGGTCGTTGATTTCTCAGCGATTACGAGAAATTCGACAGGCGTCAGCAAAGATGACATGCAGGCACGAGGCCACGAGGACACGTGCGGTGACATGCGACCAGCATTTGTAGAGATCAGCCTTGTTGGTGGGGTACTTACGGCGCACTTCGAGAAGGCGGACACCTTCTGCCGTGGAACGCTCGAGAGAATGTTCTTTCGAGATATTTTCCAGTTGAAAGGCTTCGCTTAAAATAAACAAAGGGGTTTTACAAGGTTGGGGGAGGGAGGAGGAGGGTACCCCCTTTTCCCATTCACGTGATGATGCGACGATCTCTCCTGATCTCCTCGACGATCGGCACCCAGTTCGATCTCACTAATCACCGCTGCATCGTTTTGCTCGATCGCTCGTTGGCACCCTCCCCTTCCCTCATGCTTCCTCACATCACTTTCAAGCTTTCAAGCCGACGTTTCCTCCCCAGGAGAAAAGCTCGCATCTGAACTTCCTGCCACAGCTCCCGTTTCAAACCCACCACGGGAGTCGTCAGATCCGAATGCCTTCACCCATCACCCAAACACGCGATTGTGAGGGGTGAGTTGAGATGGACTTCTATTTTTACACACTGGATGTCGAGAGAGCACTGTCTGTGCTGCCCTGTTTACAAATGAGGAGATACGGATTGGCTGGGCAGGCGACAGCCGCTTGTGGGGGTTGAGACAGTGCGAGTTGCGGGTGTTTGTGGGGGAGGCACGGTGCAGGAATAGAATGTGGTTTCTTTGGGGCGCTAGCGACCCTCGAGACGGGTGGTGTTAAGCTTCTTTCTTCGTCTGTTGAAGTGGATATCGGGAGAAGACACTTGGATTGTTTCTTGGGACGATTTTCATCACGTCGTTGGGTCCGAACTCGGTGGAGAACTCGGGATGGCTGGAGATATGTCGGCCTGCCGCTTTCTAAGCATCGTCGGGACGGCTCTGTACCGGTGAGAGACGCGCAAGCAGGTAGGCAGCCGTTTGTCGGTATCCTATTCCCACGACCTGGGAATAACTATGAACAAGCATTGTGCCTCTATGGTTTCCGCGGCGACACTTGGCAGCGGGAGGGTCAGCTGGGTTTGCAACGCCTGCTGCCAGCGTAGATTGGCGTTGGTTATCTGCTCACGACCTTTGTTGGTTCTCCAAAACAAAAGTCGTCGTCATCAGGATATGGCCGTATTGTGGCTGAGCAAGTGCTGGTCTCGAGCTGTCTCGAACGAGGATTGATACACGAGAAATGTGTGAATGGGGGAGATGGGGTGCTTCACACCACCCCACCATTGGGCGGGAAATAACCAAGCAGGAGTCGATGCATGGGCTGAATGAGCTTATTTCGACCTTGTCAGCACGGCGGCCAATGGCAGGTGAGGTGATGGTAAGCAGAGCTCCTGAGGCGTCCGTGAAAGTAGTATGGCCCCCCGAATACGGTATGGGGGCGGGGACCCGGAGCGCGTCTGGCCTGCAAGGAGAGGAACGTGGATAGCAAGAATAGTCGCAGCGACGTGATTCGTGGGCCAGGAGGAGTCGAGGGCGGACGACGGCCAGGAGAATTAGATAATACGGTAAGTAGGAGAGCGGACGGGAGGGGAGGGGAGAGGAGGGAGGGCAGGGAGGGTGATGCATCCGGGAGACGGCGACGGCTACTGCCAACTGGGACACATCACATCACATCACATAAGTCCACAGACTCCATACTGTAACATACATCACCGCGGGAGATTCCTTGCTCGGCCGACCTGCCTTGATCCTCTCGATCCGTGTCGAGGACATCCTTTAATCGCCGAACAGCTCCACCGCTGACGCCCTCTCTTTCGCCCCGCCGGGAATGTCTTAAAAGAGCCCAAAGCCAAACCTTGAAAATTGAAGGCGGCCCCCTCGAGCTATCGGTGCACGCCTCGAGAAACGGACTTGCCCCAGAAGCGACCCTTTGCAGGTGGCCCCTGCCGCCCCATTCAATCCTCCTTACTCGTGATTCGCGAGGGCCTTCCCTTCCAGATTTATCAATAAGACGCCGCCAAACCACGTTCCGCGGTGCTGCAACATATCTGGCAATCATCATCGATACACCAACACGGCCCTCACTTTCCACAGCCTCTTCGCAAGCCTTCCGGTCCTGGGATTCTAACCGTACCGCTGGAGCCAGGGTCAAATTCGCCAGGACCTTCTTCAGAGCCCGGCGCCCGCAGCCGCTGCCCTGTCCCTGTCCACACTGGCAACATCCCCAGGAGAAGCAAAAGGAGAGGAGGCGTTTCAAGCATACTTAGGGCTGGCACGTCCTTTGAAATCGAACAACCTTTCTCAATCACTATCGTCGACGGCGTCCCATTAATATCGCAGCCTTACGCCAATTCGAGTATTCCCCCTCACCGACGCGTGTGTACTTGTTCGTCCCCGCCTCGTTCGTAGAGTCGTCACCAAGCACCATGTCAACGGCCTCGGTAAGCACTTTTATCCCTTCGACTCGTCCCCCTTCACGCTCCACCCCCATCAATCAGTCCATAATAGCCAAGGCTCAGGCTGCGCATCAGGGCCCCATTGTTTAGCGCATATCAACACTGTTTAGACATAACCGCATTGATGTTTCGTGTCTAATGTCTTCAAAGGAGAAAGCAAATCTTGCGCGCATCCGCGACAACCAGAGGCGATCGAGGGCTCGTCGGAAAGAGTACCTGCAAGAACTCGAGGCGCGGTTGCGACAATGCGAGCTCCAGGGCATCGAGGCATCGTCCGAGATCCAGATGGCGGCGAGGAGGGTCGCCGATGAGAACAAGAAGCTGCGAGGTCTTTTGGTGCAGCATGGGGTTGGAGAGGACACGATTGAAACATATTTACAGACGTCGCCGACGACCGACACCATGATGGGCGGCCAGTACGGAAGCAGCAGTGCCGCAGTTCAACTGTTGGAACAATTACTTCAAACTCGGAAAACATTCCCGGCGGATGGAAACACCATCAACGTTAACATGGGTGGAGGACAAGGCAGTCGGGCAAGTTCGGCCAGTTTAAGCACCGTGCAGTCGCTGTGGGACCCTATCTATTCGCAAAACACTGGCGACCGACAACGTTCTGGGGCGTTGCAATCGGTTGGAAAGCAAGCCTCATCGGCGCATCAATTTATGACGCCAAGTACAAGCAGTGCCAGCCAAACGAGCAGTGTCAGTCTTGGCCACGGGTCGAATCGAGGTGTTCCGATGCACCCGCAAAGAATTACGCCTGTGCAAATGCCAAGGAATCCGGGCTCTATGAATCGAAGTCAGCATATGTTTGATTTCGACCAGCAACTTGGACTGTCGAGTCCTACTCAATATGGCTCCCATCAACGGAATGCAGAAAAACATTTACAACCTCATACGGCACCACAACGTTCTTCGATCTATATACCCACCACATCAACTTCGAATGTCAATAATTGCAATTATGCTACGGATATGATCACGACGATGGCTGGAGGAGATCCGTCGGCAGTGAGGCAAGACCTGGGATGTCTGCCTGGTATGGATTGCGAGGTTGACAACCATCTCGTCTTCAATGTGATGGACCGGTATACGGGTAGTGTTGGATTATAACCACAAGCGAAGGCTTATTAGCCCGAGTGACGACTTTGACCAGTATATGGTGTGCAAGAAAGAGAAGAAAGTTATCGCCATGGTCGAGCCGATGAGTTGGGAGAACCAGACTTACAAATCGCCGTCGATGTCGATGCCAAATCTTTACGAAAACATCTCAACCCAATACTTTCATTTCTGTTTGGCGCTAGCGGCTATCTCAAAGCATTTTGGAGGACTCATTTGGTTGGCGTTGATATCCCATTGTTTGTAATATATTACATTCCATAGGTTTTGGCCGTGGCATGTGTTAGCATAGCCGGAGGGAGTTTGTGACAATGGATCATGCATAGATATTTGTGTACAGCATTAAATTATCTTCGTTGATGTGATGAATTCAGTGCCAATTTGAAACTGAGGCGGTGAAGTTTGATGTCCGGTCAGTAACCTTGGTGAGCTTGAGTGAGTAGAGAATACCTAAGTGGGCTCATCGGGGGATTGAAACAGCATTCCGAATCCGGACACTTCACATTCCTCGCAGATATCCGCCGTTGGTGTAAACACAACCCTCTCTTCCTCCCCAGCGCATGCGATCTCCCCAATCTTTCTTCCAGTTCTCACACCACCACCCCCACCATCGCAACCTAACATTTTGCATGTGGAAATCCTCAACTTCCAAACCGTCAAAATGTCCTCTCAACCCAGCAACCCAGCCGTAACCTACGACTTCTCCCCCTTCCTCACAACCCCAACTATCACATCATCCCTCTCTCCCCGCTCCCCAGTCTCCGCGATCCCCATCCCCGAAACCCTGATCGCCTCACCCCTCGCCCCCAACCTCGCACCCCACATCCTGCTTTCCATCCACGAATTCCTGACCGGCGACACCCCGTTCCCCTCCTCGCGGCCACCCATCTCTGCCTCTAAAGTTCTCGCCAATAACGGCCGCTGGACCGGTCTCGGCTCAAGCTTGGGGAAAGAGAAAGGAGAGGAGGTGTGGAGGAGTTGGAAACGGGCGTTTGATCTGTGGAATGGGTATTATGTTGAGGGGAGAGTGAATGAGGGGTGGGTTGGAGATGAGTATGAGGGTGTTAAAAAGGAGCTCGAAGAGGCGAGGAAGAGGAAGGTTACTTCTCCTTACAGAACGACGGGCAAGACGCCGCCTGGTGCGTCACATACACCATCGCAAAACGGTAACTGGAGTACGCGGGCAGAGAACGGGAAAGATGATGCTGGAGCGGTAGGTGGAATGAGTCTCGGAGACGATGTATATGGATCGTTTACGCATCCTATAAGTCGCGGCGTGCCGCCTGAGCTTTCTCTGCGCCCTGCTGGGGAGGTTGAGAGAGAGGATGGGAGCACGGGTGGCTTTATGCCGATGAAAGTGCTACCCGAGTATCTCGCGCCGGATACGGATGCGTGCGGGATTTATCCCGAGGGGTGGGAGGATGTGCTTGCGAATACTGTTTGGCGACCACGACGGGTGGGAGAGAAGGAAGTGGAAGTGGGCATGGATGGGGAGTGGGGTGGCAAGAGCGAGTTTGAGTTTGATGGGGGTGTGGATTGTGGGAGGAGTCCTTATCCGGTAATACCCCTTTCCCCCTTTCCCTCGCTTATTCGGTTAGCGATAAACATGGGAAACGAGCGACGGAGAGCTGACTGGCGATGCACAGTGTCTGCGATATGTGGTGGAATATGTCCGAAGAGACGGCTGCTTCTTGAAAAAGAAAGTCTGGGACCGCGTCACGGGTACCATCTTCAATATGCCCACCAAGCCCGCGCTCCCTCCTTGTATTATCGACGAGCAACGTCTGAAAATGTCAACGCTCTACGGCAATTTTTACCGCGACAAAGCACCTAGGAATCGCAATCCTGATTACTTCCCGCTTGATATCAGGAGAGTGGATAAAATCGATCCTACGACGGGGAAGAGACATGTTGGGACGCCGTTGTTGGAGGATGGAGAGGAGTTGGAGCGGTGGCCGTGGAATAATCCCGAGGGGACGCTGACGGAATTGGACAAGAGTGATCCATGGTATGTGGCGGATGAGCAGCAAGAGTTGGCATTGGTGCCGCCGAGGAAATATCCCCCTGGGAAACTACCTTCCGCGGAGGGTGATACGCTACTTCCGACTGACGACACGATCTGGAAGGAGGAGGTAGACAACGACGATACGTTCTACTCGCAGTATTTCGTTACGAATCTCCATGGCGGGACCTTGGTAGTTAATGGGCAGGAGGTGAAGTTGGGACAGATTGCGGGTCCGTTGCCGGAGTTTGCGATTATCGAGACGCCGGGGAATCAGATTAGTTTTTGGTTTGGTCCCGGAGGGAGGAATTGGAGGGGCGGGCCGGATGATACTCCGACATATAGGAGCCAGTGGAAGACGTTGAGACGGAGTCCGGGGTGGGAGAATGTGGGGTTGACGGCGGGTCAGGTGTGGGATTTAAAGATCAGAGATAGATTGAGGAGGGAGTATATTGGTGCGGAGTATGCTGACGATGCCCAATGGGCCGAATGGAAAACTCCTGTGGTGAAGGGGATTCGTGAGTAGACAAGTCGTGTTTGTGGATTGAGACTAACGTGTTTCAGCGCAAACCTTGGAACAGAAGCCCCCACTAGAGGTGGTGATCTGGAATGGCCGACCCGGTACGAGCCCTGCCGACAATAAACAAACCCCTGAGGACGCTCAACCAGAATTCTTAACCGAGTTAGAAGAACTTGAATGGCTTGTTACGATAGCAGATCCCTTGAAGGATGTGACTTCAACACTAGAGCGAGAGAATATCATCGAGCCTCCTGGAAGTGCGTTTTGGCCAGGACCATACGCTTCCGAACGCCCAGATATCATCCATCAGCGGACCGCACAGAAATTCTGGAAGATTCGAAGAGATGCCATTCTGCAGCAACAGCGAGAAATGAACGCAGTGCTGGCTGAGAAGAGAGCAGTCCGAGCTCACGAAAAGAAGCAAAAGGTCGACACTGAGAATAAGAAGCGAAAGGCTGCAAGTTCCGATGGACCAACTGCTAAGAGGGCTCGTCGTGAAGCTGCAGCTGAAGCTCGGGCCAAAGTTCAAGCTGAGTATGAGAAGAATCGCGCTGCACGCCAGGAGGAATTGGACAGGCAGAAAGAAGAACTCGAGATCAGCAAATGGAGAGAGGCGAAGCTCGAGGCTAACGCTGCCATCGCTGCCAAGATCAGAGAAGCGCTACAAGCTCAGGCAAGGAAACTCTCATCCCTACCAAAGAAGGAGCGCGAGAGGGAGGAAAAGGAAATCGAAGCGCAGATAAGATCGGAGCATGAGGAGCAACAGCGGCAAGAAAAGATGATCAAGGGAATGAGAGTCAAAGAGCTCAACATGGAAAGAGCTCAGAAGGGCCTACAACTCCTTCCAGAAGTCACTACCCTCAGCGATGCAGAGGTACGGCGCTTGGCAGATGAACGACAGAAGAGAGCGCAGAAGCAAGAAGAGGATCAACGAAAGAAATCCGCTATAGAGAATAGAAGCCAAGAAGCTGGAACACAACGCAAAGAAGCTGAGCAAAAGCAGAAAAAGACCGCACCAGCTGTCAAGCAAGTAGCTGAGCCTGCAAAGGATGACTTGGCTGCTCTCGCTAAAAAGGTCGCAGATGCGAAGGCGGCAGATGCTGAGAAGAGGCGCCTGCAGTTCATTGCGGATAAAAAGCTTGCAAATGAGCAGAGGAAGCAAGCTGTGGCAGCAACTGAAGCTCGCGCTGAGGCCATGAAACGGGAGCGACTGTTCAAAGAAAAGTATGGGGTTCTACCGGGAGAACGGTTGAGATTGGATGCTTCTGGCAGTGCTAAGCCGAGCCAAGGCTTTGAGCCTCCGAAGAAGAAGACTTTTGCCCAGATCCCAAATTTCCGTTTTCTCTCTCAAGGAGAAAACCTTGACAATCTGACCGATGAATACTGGCAGGGAGTTTTGGAATACGCGAAACAGCTATCATTGCAGCCGCCCACACCACCAGGAGGCTCTCGCACTGGAGAAGAGTCTGTCGACTTTTCGAAATTGACTTTACAGCAACAACTGGAGCTCGCGGCGAAAAGCTGGATGATGAAGGAGTTTGGTAACAAAAACTTGGAAGATCAAGTGGTTTCGGAAGCAATCATAGAGAGTATGAAAGACTCAGCACGTGAACGAGGTGCAAGAAAGCGCCTTGAGCTAAAGGCCCAAATTGAGGGTGTATCGACCGAAACGTATGCCCAAAACCGTGGCTTTTCAAGCGCAGATGCCTACATATGGGCCGACATCAGGCCAGATGTTCCAGAAGATTACCCTCGAACACAGGGGCCACCCGATCTCCCAACCAACGTGCTTGCAGTCTCTCGATACTGGATTCAGCGCGAGGCACGGGAGGGGTTGGAGATCAGAGCCAAGCTAGAGAAAAGGTCAACGGATGATATTGTTAAAGAGAAGGGTCACGCAAACACTGAGCAGTATTTGCAGACACTATCGAATTCGATCACGGAGGACGACATACCACCTATGGTTAGGAATCAGGATGTCAGAGAGCTCAAATGGGAAGCTTTAAATCGTCGCATCACTAGTGTCGGGGAGTGGGAGTATCGGATCAGAGCCTTGCCAGGGGCAGGGAGGGCGGAGTCGCACTTCGACTGGGCGAATGAATCTTATGCGGAAATATGACATTCTTTGGGATATTGCCGAATTTAAGATTGGATACGTGGATGGGGCTTCTTTTCCATACTTGTACGATTACATTAAAGTGGAGGATAATGATTGAGAATTTCGCTTTCCGAAATTGCAGTATTTGTAAGCTCCCGTAATGAACAATTGTTTTGACTTTCGACACCACTTATCCACTTGGCAGAAGCATGTTGACGTTGTTGGACTGGCAACTCGAAGTAGGCGGGTCGTTGAAGTTCCGAAAGGCCATTCGAGAGCAAGTGAGCCTGGTCGGTGGTCCTGGCAATGATTAATTTCAGCAAAAGGCTAGTCGCCATCACTGTAGAAAATTAAGGCCGAATAAGAAGTAAAACCGTTACACAAAAACCGCGGCGTAACAAGTCAGAAGATTTTATTGAGGAAGGTTCGCGGTGTTGAAGCCACCAGGCCAACTTATAAACACCAAGACAAGAGCAGGAAAGGGGAAGCTATCAAACATTCTGATTCTCCCCAAGAAGTGCAGCAAAAATTATTCACTCTTGCTTTAAATTCGAAGATCAAGCGAAATCCAACTTACATCTCAACATCAGAGAAAAATCCGCGATGTAACACAAAAGTCGCTAGACTATATCTTCGGACGAGCGACCCGATAGGATGAGAAATCCTTCTTCTGAATGCCCACTCGGCATTGCATGAACTTTCTCGTTGTACCAGAAAAGTTTAGAACATGGCGCGATTTGCAACAGAACCTACAAAGGAAGATTCGCTGAAGTTGTAGGAGCACTGTAAAGTGTAACAGAGCACGTGAGTAGAAACTGTACCAACAAAGTGACAGCACCGTGTCGTAAACAAAGAGAGTACCTCTCTAGATTCGGGGTCTTGGAAGGTTAATGAGGCCCTTGCCAAAAGCCCAAAATCTGGAAACGCGCAAGTTCTCGGGGAAGAAATCAAAATTAGAAACGAAGACGGGGCATGACAATAGACTTAGAGAATCTATTCTAGAGTCTAGGCTTTGCAAAGTGACGGACTTTGTACGCCTTCCAATGATCCTTCGAAACTTTCAAATCGTCGCAAGATCCAGTGGCTTGTGCATACGCGAAGCAATTGAGATATAATTTGGCTCATTCTCGAACGTCAGAATACCATGTCGTACAAAGAAATCCAGAATAAGACATCCGGTAAGGGGTGCAAACTCTGCCTTTTCAAGGGCCTGTTTCAACTCCTCAACATTGAGAAGAACGATCTCGGACACTGCGGCCTCTCCTGGGGCAAGAGCCACATCTTTCGGGAGCTTAATCTCATAGCAGAATTGAACCTCGGGAGACAGAAGCCCTTTTTCGCCTCTGCTGTAATCATCCGTCACGCAGGTGTAGTTGACGGTACCGCAAGCAACAACATTCTTCTTAACAAAGTCCGGGTCAAGAGCAGCCTCTTCCCAGCCCTCTCGGAGCAAGCACTCAAATGGAGACTCTCCCGTAGGCAAACTTCCACCGACCGTGCTATCTAGCATATCTGGGTAACTTCTCTTCCAGGCAGCTCGGCGTGCGACCCAAATACTGATTCCTTCTGGGTTGTCTTGATACGCAAGCAGTTGTACGCCGTAGGTCAGAACGCCAAAGATCTGGGCAGCGCATCGCTCAACACTGACAACGAGTTCCTTGCCAGGTCCGTAGACGGGGAACAACTCATCCCTCCAGTCTGCAAACACTTCTAGGCTTTTCTTTTCCCGCTCTGCGACCAGGGTATCGTGCATATTCTTGTCTCTCTCGTCCAAACTGCTCCCAAGCAGTTTCAGTGTTCTATGTCCATGGTCGACCTCCCATTTCGCTCCCCAACTGATAGCTTGGATTATGGTTGGCAGAATATGGCCGAAGGTACCATTGTATCCGCTGATGAGGAATTTATAGAGGAGTTCCGGATTCTTGGGGAATCTTATCGTGTCAGCGAGCCCCGCAGTTTAGTGTATTGAAGACTCACTTACTGGTCACACTCGTCGAGGTAGTCTAGATATGACTTCATTATTCCCAAACCACCAGATCGACGAGATGAGCGAGCAAGGCTAGAGTTTTCGCCGTGACCTTGAGACAAGAAAGTTTAGAGGTTTATTCGAAGAACCAAAAGGGCTTTCAATCAATCTCGGTATCCTCGTGCGAGTTGAGGGAGGTGCAAAGTCGAGAGGAATTGTTAATCTCTCGAGTAATTTTCTTGATGGATCAAATGTTGTCGCGAGGCTGAGGTTGATTCGAAGCGATATCAAGGGGTAATACGGCCGACCGCATCTGCCTAATGTGCAGCACTAGTGTGCATTTCTAGTTCCCCCGAGAGCCGTCCCTAAAATTTTGTTGCTCGCCCCTGTGATTCGAACGATACACGCGAGTCCAACTCGAATGGCCCTGTATCAACACCTTCCTTCCTATCTGTTTGTAATTTTGTGAACTCAGTTGGCTTAATGACTGCCTTCCACTCCTTCGTTTAAATTTTTGTACAATATACCCAAGATGCTCGTCCGCGCCGCCCGCCGAAAAGCCCGACCCGAAGCTCTTCGAAGTCGATTATCCTTCGAACAATTACATATTCCATCCAATTCAGTCCAAAGAGATAGGCGGAGGTGGGTCTCTATTGAGGCTACACCACGAGCGTTTGGGTTGAGGAAGAGGAGCAATTCGAAAGATGCCTCCAGTCTACCTCCTCGACGGGCCATGGCCACAGCGATTACCTACACTGGGTTCGAGGATATTCCATTCGAGAACATTGGCGATTTGCCGCCATCGTCACGGCGGCGAATGGAAGAATCGAGCGTCATGCCAGGTTTCTCGCACTCTCATCTGAGGGAACTCGATCCCATGCGAACAGTGAGGCTCGAAGGGTCTCTCTCGCACGCCCCCCAACGATATAGATCCGGGAGAAAGATCGGAATTGGGGGAGACTTCACCGAGATCCAATCAGTCTTCGAGGCTTGTCTGCAAATAGGCAGGATAGAGCGCGCTGGCATTATTCTCAAGCGAATAGCGGGCATTCAGCAGATGTATCCGGAAGATCTGCTTGCTCTACACAATCGATACCTCCGGGCCGCGGTTGAACAGATAATGACCAATCCAACCCAATCTGCGACACAGAGCCTCCACAAATGGTTCGAACTCGAAATAAGACTAAAGGGTATTCCTGCGAATACGGAAACGGTTGCTTATATGGTGAAGGCGTCACTTCAGTCACCCAATGGAAAACGTGAACGACTCGTCCGACGATACATGGATATGCTAGAGGAAGATGCGGCTTTGCAGTTGTTGGAAGCTGATGTTTTGACGGCACATGAGATAAATAACATCACTCACATCTACCCGAAATACAATTTTACCGATGAAATGATGGAAGACCTGGAGATGATAGAGGAAAACGAACCCGTCAGCCCCGACCAACAGAGCACAGACGCAGCTATACCTAATGTTCGTCCAACGGACCAAAAAGGTCTGGGTCTGAAATCCCTTAAGAAATCACTCTCACTATTTTCAAGACTACCGGACGAGGGTATCGACATTGCCAATTCCAGCCCAGAGATGAGGAGAGACATCCAGGCTCGACTTGAAGAAGATGCAGTTTCCTCTGCCATTGATAGATGGAGGGAAGAGGCTGCACATCTGTCGAAGATGGGCCTGAACGCGACTTTGCAGACCAAGTCACTTGGGGCGAGGATGTGGAAGTGGCAACTTGCACTGGAGGAGCACCTGAAAGCAGAGATTGTTAAGGTCGATGCCTCGGAATTGGCGACGAGGAAAGACAGCAAGGACCAAGAACGGTGCATGTATGGGCCTTTCTTGCGCCTCCTTCCGGTTGAGAAGCTGGCTGCCATCACAATCCTCGCTTGTATGGGTACCATGAGTACACAGGGAGCAGATAAGGGCGTCCCTCTCTCGTCTGCGATCATGTCTATTGCCCTCAGCGTTGAAGATGAGACCACCTTCGAGACAATGCAACTGAACAACAGAAAGAAGATGTGGCCTCGATCCAAGAAGGAAACTGGAAAAGGCCATTTTCTGACACCTGAGCTCGTCAAAAAGGCTACGAGAGGTCGAGGCCCAGGATCCGCTTCTCGGTTCGCGCTTTCGTATATATCAAAAAACGACTTTGCTTCAACGGGGACTGACAAGCCCCAATGGCCCACATCGGTGAAAGCCAAAGTTGGAGCTTTTCTGATGTCATCCCTCATTGAAGTAGCCAAAGTTCCTGTGACTTTGACGCACCCGGAAACCCAAGAATCGGTGACGCAAATGCAGCCTGCCTTCTCGCACTCACACCAATATCGAATGGGCAAGAAACTCGGCGTCATCATCGCAAACAAGGCACTGGTCGCCCAATTGAAACGGGAGCCCGTCCACAGCCTTTTGGCGAAGCATCTACCAATGTTGGTGGAGCCAGAGCCATGGACGCAGTTTAACAAAGGCGGCTTTATATCTCATCCTGGAAAAGTTATGCGGATCAAGTCAGGTGACAAAGATCAGCGACATTACGCCGAGGCAGCCATCGGCCAAGGAGGAATGATCCAAACATTCAAAGGACTGGATATCCTCGGAAAGACCTCATGGCGAATCAATCAAGATGTTTTTGATGTTATGTTAGAGGCGTGGAATTCTGGAGAAGGCATAGCAAACATTCCACCAGAAACGCCGGATCTCCAAATGCCTCCTGAACCTGAAACAACGACAGATCCCCTGGAACGGCGACGTTGGATAAGAGCTGTCAAGCTTGTCGAAAATGCCAGAAGCGGATTGCATTCACAGAGATGCTTTCAAAATTTCCAACTTGAGATAGCCCGAGCTTTGAGAAACGAGGTCTTCTTTTTTCCACACAATATAGATTTCCGTGGTCGAGCCTATCCCATACCGCCATACCTCAATCATATGGGCGCTGATCACTGTAGGGGACTTCTCAAGTTTGGCGAGGGCAAGGAACTTGGTGAGTCCGGCATGAAATGGCTGAGTATCCACTTGGCGAACGTGTTCGGGTACGACAAAGCGAGTCTCACTGAGAGGGAGCAATTTACTGCCAACCACATGGCGGATGTTTATGATTCTGCATCGAAGCCACTGGTAGGTAATAGGTGGTGGCTTAAAGCAGAGGATCCATGGCAATGTCTTGCGGCTTGCATCGAGATCAGGAACGCCATCGAGTCCGGAGACCCAACCAGTTTTGTTTCTCATCTGCCAGTTCACCAAGACGGCACCTGCAATGGTCTGCAACACTACGCTGCATTGGGCGGTGATACGTGGGGCGCGAGGCAGGTGAATCTTGAGCCAGGAGACCGCCCAGCCGATGTTTACACTGCTGTCGCGAACCTTGTAAAGGAGGGTATCGCTCAAGACAATGAGAAGGGGGACCCTTTTGCAAAGGTGCTTCTGGATAAGATTACCCGCAAGGTAGTGAAACAAACGGTCATGACCAACGTTTATGGCGTCACGTTTATTGGCGCAAAGGCGCAGGTCAGAAAGCAACTCGTTGCAACTCACAACGATCTCCCCAACACCGATCAAATGAACCCTGGTCACCTCTCCTCGTACATTGCGACAAAGATCTTCAAAGCGCTCTCCACCATGTTCCGAGGAGCCCACGATATTCAATACTGGCTTGGAGAGTGCGCCAACAGAATATCTATGTCATTGACTCAGGAACAACTGTCACGATTAGAGGCTGAATGGCCAAGGCTCACGTCCAAAGCTGCCTTGGTAAAGACCGAGAGGAATTACACACCCGCATCGGTCGAAGATCTAGTCCAGTTCAAATCCAGCGTCATCTGGACAAATCCGTTACATATGCCAGTCGTTCAGCCCTATCGAAATTCGAAATCCAAATGTGTCCACACTCATATGCAAAAGTTGAACCTGTCAGAACCGCACCGATCGGATCCTGTCAGCAGGCGAAAACAACTCCAAGGATTTCCGCCAAATTTCATTCACTCGCTCGATGCTACTCACATGCTTCTTTCAGCCTTAAGTTGTGATGAGCTTGGATTATCTTTTGCGGCAGTCCACGACTCCTTTTGGACGCATGCCAAGGACGTCGAGACTATGAACACTGTGCTTAGAGATACTTTCATTCGAATCCACACGGAAGATGTTGTTGCACGGCTAGCAGCGGAATTCTCTGCTCGTTATAAAAACGGCGTGTATCTTGCTAAAATTCGGACGAAAACCCCATTGTATGAGAAGATCCTGGAATGGCGATCATCCCGGTCCGGCCTTGGCAAAGTCCCGAAGTCGAGGCACGCTCCAAAGCTTGATGAGCTCATGTTGGAGTGCAAGAGAATGAAGCTCCTTCGATCTTCAGACCCAGAAGAGGTTGAGAAGGGGAGAAACATGGTCACTCCAGCCAGCTTGTTCGAAGCACTGGCTTCAGAAGGAGATCTAGCGTCTGGCGAGGAGGTTCACGCCTTGGGGCTTGGTGACATTTCGCCACGTGAGGCTGGGCTGAGTGCGGATCGGGAAATAGCAGTTGGCGATCCTGCCAACATTGAAGAGATCCACAACCCTCTCCCTGGCGGGATGGGTGCCGACACCGACATGAATGCGGGTTCTCAAAACATTCCAGAAGCACGCCAGGATGTCGATACGGACGAGACATCCGACGAGCCCGAAGAGGGGCTGGGGGCCTTCGAGAAGATGGTGATGAGAACGGATGTCAGGGGTGGATCATCTCCCGCTCATATCTGGCTTCCCTTGACGTTCCCTCCGGTGCCTAAAAAGGTACGTCATCCGATTTTCTCGAGCCGGGAACATGCTAACCTCAATCTAGGGAGAATTTGACGTATCCCGACTTAAAGACAGCACATACTTCTTCTCGTAGAGGCGTGGTTTGGTTGCTGATAGATGAGCATAGACTAATCGGGCATGGCTCTGCCGTGCCTCCGGAAGGATCGGGACAGGTGTTGGGGAAGGATGAGGAGGCTTGATTTTTTCGCGGCATAGCGACGGATATTAATTGCATTGCAGGCGTTGGGCAATTAGAGCTGACGAACAATTGGTCGTTGTGTAAAATTAGCCGCATGGCCCTGTCCAGGAGAGACGAACGATTGGTGTACCTGACAACGCCTCGACAGGCAGAATGCTCTTCGTATAAAACCTGGCAAAAGCCTGTACTTTTAAGTTGTCAGATTATAAAACTGTAAGACCACACAGCACACTGCAGTCAGGTACCTCGTCAAAGTTCGGCTGAGTGGCAATGATGAAGGAAGTCAAGGCTTGTCCACACGCAGGATCTAGCTCGGTAGCACGTTGCAACCAGATGATCAATTGAGATGGTAGATCGGCGGTTTTTTCGGTCACTTCTCCCTGTGGCACGACGCGGGGTCGCGACTTCTATTTCCGGAAGTGAGGAGATATAAAACTTGTTTCGTCGACCTTCTTATTTCTTCTTGCGACAGCATTCCGGAAGAATGGACAAATTATTCACCTATCGGGGAACCGTTTATCGAGAAGTTTCAAACATGTTTTCACTCTCGAAACCTTTAAGTTTGCTGGTGCTGCTGGCTGCGTAAAATGCTCTACCCTTCTTCACCTTTACCATGTGCTGATGATGAGAAGCAGCAAATTAGTCCTAGGAACAAAAGAAGCTTCTTGCGGACCAGACATCCAAACTCGTAGCGTTGTCAAAACATTCACAACAGTGATCACCACCGGCCCAACACCCGTGACGAAGCTCGATTCGATCACCATCGAGTGCTTCGAAACAGTACCTCACCTTTGTTACACGTATACAATTGTCGGACCATACGTACCCAGTACATCCCTCCCTTCCCCTTCCCTTCCTCCCTTATCCACATCCACATCAGCTAATGTACCTACCAGCAACAACCCCAGCTCTCGACCTCGACTACAAAGCATCAAGCTCCTTCCACCGCACAGGCTGCGGCATCCAAGCCGACTGCATCGGCATCAAGACCTCCACCGAATACAGACCGTCATACGACCCCTGCTGCGACCCCACACCCACTACTACAATCCCCGGGCCCTCGCCAAGCTGCACTCAAGGTTGTCAGATCAGGATTGTGGGCACGGTGACGAGTTTTGTTGATTCGTACGAGTTCTTCCACCCTACCTCACCCGCAACCTACTCGATGTTCCCTCCCTCTTGCCCATTCTCTCCCGAATATCACGACAAGCTCGTCCGTAAAACCGAAGTACCTCAATCCACAAACACAACCGCCACCCTACGTAAAACCGAAGCCGAAGAACAAAATACACAGGTCTATCCATGCACGGCGACGATTAGATCACTAGTTAGTATCCATGGCGGCGGCACGTGGACGGAGTACCCGAATACGTATACGGAGACCGAGACGCTGGATTGTGTGGGGTGTTCCGTTGTGGTGAGGCCGTGGGGCGGCCCAGGCCCGGTGGTGAGTTATCAGGCAACGCTCACAGATTTGAAGACTAGGACGGAGACAACGTTTGTTTGTAAGGCTACTAGTTGAAGGGGGAAGGCGTAGGTGGGTGTGGTTTGTGAGGTTGGGATAGTACTACCTGATACCCAGAGGAAGTGGATTGCTGGGCGGGTGATGAGCGAGGTTGGGGATGCTGCACGACTTAAGGTATTGCGAGCTGGATGTTAGTAAGGGCTGGGTGTTCAGATAGTAAATAAGGGCCTTTACCTCACCTTACTCCACTTTCCCTTCTCCTCTCCCTCCTCTCTTCCTCAAACTAGCCTCCTAGCGGTACCTGCATCCTGCAGATCACCTGACCCAGACTCTCTCGGCTTTCCCTACTCTGCAGCCTCCATTTCCCTGTACCTACCTGGGAAGTGTTACGTTGTACAAATACAATTACAAAGCTGTTGGAGGGGTAGCTCAGGCAATGCTCGAGCCGAAGAACCAATAGCGACGAGGAGGAGAGCTCCGTGCAACGTTGGACCGAATGCTTACATCCAAACATCAATCAATCACGTGGAGGATAGTGAGAGGCTTGTGGCTCAACGTTTATTATGTGTAATGGAGGGGTTGGCCAATGGGATTGCTTACTGAGATTGATTGGGTTGGGATGAATACAGGCTCAGGGTAGTGGAGCTGGTGAATTTAGTGGATGTGTTTTCGTCAGAAGTTTAGATGAAATGTTGAAACCAGATGAAACTTGTAAGTGAGATAGGACAAAGGTAGAGTGCTTTGCAAACCTATTACATTAAATCCAAATAGCCTACCGTATGTATTGTGCTTGGTTTGACAATTGGGAAAGCGTGGGCAGCTGGGGATCTGAGGCATGATGTGATATACAGCGCTGTCCGTGTTGTTGGAGGGACTTGATATGAATGGGAAGAGGAAGCGTGAGCGACGATGTGGAGTATGAACGAATCGAAAATTCGCAAGTTCGAAAGAGAAAAAAATCATGGAAACGGCAGAAATGCTCAGAGAATTCGAAGGTTTTAGGGGATGAACGAGCATGTGAAAAAGCGCAAAAACGATTCGGAACACTTGGTACATTGGAAATGCTGCCCAACTTCTCGAAAAAGTGATATTACAAGCTGTACAATATGGGTATCTCCTAACATTCCCACGCAAAACCTCAAACCATAGGGCTAGACTGATAAAGCTTCTCCACTGCAAGTACCAAATCATTAACGCCTGGCCCATGCGGACAATCCTTCCACTCCCCATCATCTCGCACACAATATATCTCCTCATTCAACCTAACCGTGCACGATTTCGTGACGCCAGCCGCTGTGCTCCTCCTCACGCTATCCCGCAACAGCTCTATCCCGAACCCGCCATCGTCTTTCAATGCGCATTCGTTGAGTTTCTCGAAATCCATGCCATGTTCTAGGGCACAGTCTTGTATTAGGCTGAGCTGCGGGATGTCTTTGTAGTCTTGTGTCATGCAGAAGGTGAAGCCTAAGTATGTTTTTCTGGAGAGGGAGAAGAGTCAGTATGGGTTGAGGTTTGGGTACGGGGGTTGTGTTGAGAGAAACTTGTATGAGGAAACGTTGATTTGGAGGATAAACGTACGGGTCTGGGTATTGGGTTGCTGCGCAGAGCTCGATAATGTTCCCCATGCACTCCGCCGGGCCATGTTTGCATTCGACTCCGTCATTATCTGTTGGTCTACTGTTGTCAGAACCAGCCAGCACCCAGAGGATTGAAGAAAACTTACGTGCCGATAAACGATAGCGTGAAGTTGACTTTATCAATGACACGTTGCATCGTTGGCAGAACCATCATTCTAAGACAGTCCTGTGGAAGGTTAGATTCGTGGTCCAGAGTTTCCCTGCAGAACCCACCTTTGCATCTGGGCACTTGCTCATAATGTGTGCTTCCAGAGGCACAAGAGCTCGCTCTTGGTTGACCATCACCGGTGTGGCTGTATGGATGCCGCATATGTGATGGAAAACATTGTACCTGGATATCGCAGACCAGAGGAGATAGCAGAGGGCCACCACCGCGAATCCAGTAACAAGAGGTCGATTTCGGGGACGGCAAGGACGAATAGGCATAGCATCTCCTTTCTCGCTATCCATGGTCGAGTGCTTGCGGTCGTTCATAGAAGTTGGCAGCATCTGCGGCTTCATGTTGATGAGTCCATAGAGAGGAGCTGTGGATGGTTGAGTTGAGGTCTGAATAATGTTGTCACATGACGAGGCTTCACTCACATGTCGACCACGACAGGGTTGATGGCGCAGGTCGTGGCCGGCTAAATGTGCAGCCACTGACAGCGCTGCAGGCCTTGTCCGAGTCAGGCGGACCGGCCCCTCTCGCCTGCAACAACGTTACTCCTTGCATTGGAGTTGCATCCACCAGGCTGAGGAATATGTATTCGCTGCCGCGTACCTGAACTTCCTCATTTATCTTATCGTTATCCCATCCTCACCCCCATGTTTCCCCCCTTTCAATGGCCATGACAAGGCTCCCTCCCCCTCTGGACGACTTCCTGCGCCCGCTGCATGTCGACGTCCCCAAGATCCACAGCCTTGCAAGGAGCTTCTGCCGCACCTATACACACCTCGCAGCCGAGTCCCAGGACCAGTTCCTGTCCACGCCGATTTCGGATTCCATTTTGAGGCCATCTGGGGACGAGAAAGGAAGGTATGTTTGTTGCGCTCACGAATTCAGCTCGAGTCATGTGATTTGGCTTTGGGCATCCCTTCTCAGAGCAATGCGTTGATAGTGTTCTGGAGATTCTGCATCACGTACTGACTGGCCAATAGGTATCTAGCCATAGACATGTGAGTGCTTAGCTCGGGGTGAGGCTCTGCAAGACCTAACAACCCCCAGTGGTGGAACGAATCTCCGCGTAGGATTCATCCAGCTTCTTGGCCCTGCAAAGGCACAGTCAGGGGAGCGGAACGGAGATGGAACCGACGATTCCGACAAAGGGTCACGTGTCATCAGACAACTGGAGAAGTCGTGGCCCATAGGGGAACAGCTGAAGAATAACCAGGCAGAGGATCTTTTTGCTTGGATTGGAAGACGTATTGCAGAGGTGGTGAAGGATGGCTGTGCCGCCTGGCCTGGGAAGTTTCCAGAGGCGATTCCGTTGGGTGTCACGTTTAGCTTCCCCATGAAGTCTGTTCTCCCTTTTCCATTTGAATATCTGTTGACAATGACCCAGTCAACATACGTTATCGGATGCCACACTCATGTCTATGGGCAAGGGATTTGCCATTACTCCCAACCTAGATTTGGGCAAGCTACTCCTGGAAGGCTATGAAAAAACTCAACATCCAGAACTACCCCGGATCAAGATCTCAGCAATCGCCAATGACTCTGTCGCAACCCTCGTCTCCTTTGCCTACCAGTTTAGCAGCAATCCCCACAGTAAAGCCACCATGGGCCTAATATGTGGGACAGGTTGCAACGCCACTATTCCTTTAGCACTCAGCAAACTCCATCCTAGCAAGCGGCCAACCCGAGTCAAGGTGCTCGATGACACTGAGACAAACGAGGACCTCAAGATCACAGTCAACACAGAATGGACGATCAATGGCGCAGCAGGACCCTTACGCGAACTGAATCTTATCACCAAATGGGACCAGAAACTCGATTCCGAAGGCGAGGCACCCGGGTTTCAACCTTTTGAATACATGACCGCAGGACGGTATTTAGGAGAACTAGGTCGAATCATTATCGTTGATTACTTCACCAACCACCTATCAATTCCCTTCCTGTCTCTCCCTCCAAAACTTCAACAAAGACATGGTCTCTCTACTACCTTCCTCGGAAACCTAGGTCCTCATCTCGAAGCAAAGGAGGAGTCTCCAATGCTTAAGCAGTTAGAGAAGGAGTTACCGCCGGTAACAGGAGCAGAGTCTTGGAGCTGGAATGAAGAAGCAACGCAAGCTGTCTTCGCCATCGCAAATGCGATTCAGAGACGAGCAGCAGGCCTTACAGCTGCAGCTGTAATCGGCCTTCTGGCTTGTGCGGACGAGATTCACTTCTCACCCTCCCCTCCTCCGTCCTACAACCATCTCTCCAACGGCGCCGCCAAACTCCCGAGGTTGAATTCAGAGATCGATGAGTTGATGGTAGGCTACACTGGCGGCTGCATCCAGCATTTCCAGTCCTATCTCTCAGACTGCCAAGCGTTCTTAGACGCAATCATGGAAGCGGAGTTTGGCCAGCACGCGAAGCCGAAAGTGGTCTTGAGGCCGTGTCATGATGGGGGGATTCTCGGGGCGGGGATTTTGGCCGGGACAGTGGAGAGCATTGCGCATGATACCTAGAGATTGTGTATTGTATCTAGCTTGAGCTGATGTCTTTGAGTCTTGGAATAGAAAGGATTTTGGACGTGGTTATGGTAGGATTGGATAGACCTAAGACGAGTAATGGCATTGAGCTTTTGAATAGTAGGGTGGCATGGCAGCATAGCTTAATGATGGCATCTACAGACTTACACGGCGAAGATTTTAACACCTTTCCCACGGCTTCGCAATACCTCTCTCCTTTCACATTTCGTGATTTCGGTGGTCTGGGATTTTGGTATGTAACTGATGAGCTTTCAGAAGCCAAACGCGAGGTGCACGAGACATCAATCTCCGATCTCAACAATCCTTCGTGTTGCACGAGCTGAATCTGCCGAGGAAGCCTTGAGCAATGAGAGAATGACAAAGGGAGATTAGCTCGGAGACTTGATGTTGTGTCTCTCGAAGTCTCAAAGTCTGTTTCTTGATGTTAAAGAATCGTTTGGAATAATGGAAGGTGTTGCCGTCAAGTGCTGTTTCACTGTCAAACCACTCCTATTGCCCCCGCTCGCCCCCCCCCCCCCCCCCCCCCCCTTTTTTTTTTTACAAGTGTTGGAAAGTTGCCGGGGCTTTATACTCCGTAATACACTCGCTTTTGATATCGGGAGCGAGTCTTTGGGATAAGAATCCAATTCTACAAATAGTTTGGAGCCCATTGCAAGCAACCGCCGGTAATTGATACCAGTATTCTATTGAAGTTCTTGGCTATAGTTGCTTGCCTCCTTTTACGCCTCTTGCATCTCAAACCCCATGACTCAGAGAATACATTGCTCAATCATTATCGCCGCTTTATTTACTATCTCAGCCTGCAAGTGATAAGCGGTGGAGCGTGCCAAAATCGCTCAATTGGAAAGGCGATTCAAAACTGTGAAAACATTCTCCTTTCCGCCTTTAAAATCTAAGAGCACTGAGTTGAAGTCTCTATGCAGCTTACACAAAGGACCAGAGATGTTGGACAGTATGGCAACAAGTCTATACAACGAGGAGGATAAATGGATGACGAGCTAAGAGATGACTTCCCCAAGGAGAATCAAATGTCAAACAGCTTTGTCCTATCTAACTCATTTACTCTTGAATAAAATCGGACGTCCGTTCTTGCGGCATGCATGAATAATTGACACTTCGTGGCATTTATATCTCGGGCGAATTTTGCAAGTAATAGCAGCTCTCGCTCAGTGTCAGACAACAAGTAGCGGGATGGGGTGGTAATGTTTGTATGCTTGCCAAGGGCCGTAACCTCAACTCTTGTTGCTCTTCTCTTTCCAAAAACACTGAACAAAGAATTTCTTCATAGTTCTTTGGTAAACGTGTTGTAGGACACTGATGGAAGATCGCTGAGTAGTATGAATAGATGATCAGGCCGTGGTTGAGATTACGTTCGTTAGACTTCTGCTAGATGCGAATTTGAAATATCATTCTTTCAAGGAAGAGGGGGGGAAGGAATAGAGAGCGGTCTCCCACATGAATTAGAGGCATACGAGTTACGGGTATGGGTCCACAGCGGTGAGAGTTTAGGCCGTTTATATATTACCGCAAGAAGGAACCTTGCTAGCCTGTAACGAAATCTGCACACCTCTTTCTTCACCACGGCGCTTGGAGACAGGAGATTGTCAACAATTCTTTTTTGTTGCCACCTCCTTCAAATCTCCTTCTCTTGAAAGAGTTCATGAAAGAATCAGATTCCGAGGCAAAACAGTCGTGTGTACCCGACTTCCAAGCACGAAGTGAGTCAGGTGAACGGAAGTGAATTACTTAGATAAGCCTGACTCCAGCTCTCCAATCCTGCCAGGGACAACAGATAAGCGGTTTGTTTGAAGGAGAGAGGGAGAGAGAGAGAACAGCGCCGCTTTTGGGCATCTCCTGCTGAGCCAGCGGGCTTTGAGTTTTCTTTGTTGAAGATTCACTTTGCTGGACTCCTTTTCAAAGCCAATGTATGTATTCACTTAAAAAAGAAAGCATAATCAATTAACTCAAAGTGTGTAAACCCTATTCCTTACTAATATTGTGAGGATCTAGGGGAAGATCCGGCAGGTGAGATGTACGGCTAAGATTTATAATGCAAAGCAGGAATAATAATTCAGAGGTCGAGTCTACCAACGCAATTTTCACTTAGACAGATGAGAGAGGCAAAGGATATTGAGGGTGATTCCAAAGAAGACAAGGATTTCAACCACTTTTCTTGAGGCTTCTTGATGACCACGGTAAAAGTTTGTATTTCTACATTTTCGTGATGCCGGTATACCATAATTATACACAGAACCTTCACCAACTAATGCCACCCATTCGTGCCTGTGGTCAAGCTCGCCAACTCCTCCTTCCGTACCCGATACAGATCTTGGGCCTCTCTCTCTCTCCTGGATACAAATTCAACCTCACTCCTCAACCCCTCCAGTCTTCTACTAATGGCTGCCTCCTCGCTAATCTGCAGCGTCCTGAAAGAATCTAACGAGATCGTCGCTTTGGTCAATGCTTCTGATGCCTCGGCGATCTTTTGACGCAGAGTTTTGGCACGGTTTTGATACCCGCCTAGATGTAGCGCGAGCTTCTTTTCCATTTTATTGCCCTTTTCGGCGGCGGCTACAATGGAGTCTTGGATATTCTGGGCATCGTCAGTGCTTGCTCACATACCAGAAAATACAAATGGATGGATTATGGAAGGGGAGGTTACATCAAAAGCTTCAACGAGCATTTCGTGCTCGTCGACTTCATCTTCATAACCGCTGAGACCAGGTAACAAGGACGAGGTTTTGGCATCTTCCCACGCCTTTTGGAAGAGTTCGGAGCTTTTTTGGGCAAGTTCAGCTGGTATCTCGCGGGTAATTTCTAAGCGTGCTTGTGCCAGGGCGTCATCGTCGAACGCATCGAGGGGCTTTGAAACGCCGCGGACTTTGGCGCCTGAAACCGGGTATCTGAGTGCATCGTTGGCTTCTAGTAATGCTGCTTCCTGTGCAATGGCAGCCTTGATGGGGTCCTGAATAGCGGCTGCGTTCATAAGCATTGCATCAACGTCCATAGCTAAGGAGCGAGGAAGGCCTCGTTGCATAACCTGTGTTCGTCGCTTGAAATCTGCTTGCTCTTGGGCTTCTCGAATCTGTCGATTCCGGCGATCTCGAATTTCGGCATCCTCTTCTGATAGCGCTTCAATACCCATAGATTCTTGTTGCTCCTCTGGCAACTCAAGCTCCCATTCGGTGTCTTTGGGCTTCGGCAAGGAGGCAAGACCTTGCTTGAGCTTGTGCTTCAACGACATCTCGCGGAGCTTGATGTCTCTTGGAGTTCCTCCAACCAGTTGCATCTCTCCATCTGCATTGAGGGCAAAGCTATCACGAGGGGTCCGCGTTGGCGTTTGTCCAGGTAGTCCAGGCGGTCGCATTGGAGTGGCACCAACACCATTCGAAGCCTGCCGGAACGGAGTGGCCATAGGGTTTGGTGTTTCCACTACTGTCCTTCTTGGAGTAGCACTCTCGAAACCAGTGCTGCCAGCCCCTTCGTACAGAGGTGTATTCTCACCACCCAGAAGTGAGGACTGTGTCTCCGTAAGAGCTCTAATGTTTCGGATTTCGTTTGCAATGTGGTCTTCTTGAGCTGGGGCTCTTGGTGTTCGAATTGGTGCTCCGCTGTTGATTGTCGAGTATGTGTTTACCAATCCTCTGGTAGCATCATTCTCACTCGATCTCGCCATCATATTGGCTCTCTCTCCAATCATTCCCATTTTCACAATTTCCTCCAATTCTCCCTCTCCAACCTGTGGTGCTGGCAAAACCAAAGCCCGCCGTTTGCTGCTTTGCTCAGCCTCTCTAATTTTTTGTAATTGACCTGCCTTCATGGCGGCCTGATATGATGCTGACGGCGCCTCTTTCCCACTTTTTTGCCTCTTTCGATCGGGGTCCTCTTCCTGATCTCCCTTTCGTTTATTCGCCAGTTGCTGCTTCCGGGGATCAAACGCTTCTCTCTCTTTCTCATTCAGCACAGCTTCATCTCCAGTCTCGTAGAATCCAGATGCAGGGGCTTTTTCGAAAGGAATATCCGCATTATAATCCATCATCCCCTTCTTTCTGTTGACGACCTTGATATTGATACCTGCATTTTTCAGCTCTCGACGCTTCTGCAAGACGGCAAGTCGCCTCGACTCCTCAAGCTGACGCTCGCGAGCCTTCCGTTTTGCCTTCTTTCCCTGTGTGTTTGCCAAACGAGCACGCGCTTCGCTCAACATCTCTTTCTCATCCTCATCGAGATCAATCGTGTCTGGCCTCGCAGGTTTGGATTCAGGATCAGGATCGACCTCGCCAGGTCGTAGACGTCTCACATCATCGGCAGATGGTGCCTTCGTTTCTCCCCCATCTGGACCTCCAAGTCCTAACTCTCCAGCTTCCTTCTGCTCAGCTTCGTCGAGTAACCTTTGGTAGCGCTCTAGGCACTGAGTGGCAGTTCGTCCAACGAGCGGTGCAATAGTGCGCCACTGCGTTGGCATCAACTTTGCAAGATGCAAGAGCTTCTCATCTTCCTCCTTGCTCCACTCGATCTTTCGGATTCCTGGGTCCAGCCATTCGCTCCATCGCGCTTTGCATTGCTTTGGTGTTTTTCGCGCTAGGAGAGAGGAGACTCGAGCCCATTGATTGAGGCCATATTTTGAGACGGACGCCTTGAGGATTTCATCCTCGATGTTGGTCCATACTCCTCCCTTGACGACAGGCATGTTTGCAACGTTGTGGTTGGAGTTGGCTGACTCTTTTGATTGCGAGCTCTCTTCCCAAATTTCTTTGAAGTCGCGATTTAGCGCGTGGTCCTTAAAATCCAGGCTTCAAGATTTCAGGCCCCAACCTACTGAAACAGTCACGTATATTGCTTATCTAATGAGCACTCCCTCTCCTTTTCTCTCTCTCCACTTCACGTCACTTCACTTCACATAAACCAACAGAACATCAAACTGTGTGGCTCGAGGTTAAAGTTCAGTTTTATGGCATCCCCGTGGCAGGGAAACGATCGTCAGTTCCGATTCCGAAATCAACGTCTGTTTTGAGGCTTGAGCGCGCAACCATCATCCGTGTAACGATTAAAAGTAGAGATCTTAAGGACGATCTTGCAAGGGCAGATCATACTTCAGCCAAAATAACTCAAACAGCGGAGAGGAAACCTCCGAAATTGCGCACTTATCGTCACCACCCTAGAGGCATCCCGTGCTAGGAATCCACGTGCGAGGCCAAGTGCTGGTCTTTGTCCGTCACGTGGGGGTGAAACACAAGTTGCTTGAGGAGTGAGTGGTTTGGCAACTTTAATTAGACTTCACGATTGTGCTCTGGACATCAAATTCATTCATTTCGTTGACTCACCTCTGGTACTTCGTACGTCTTCATTCTTTCTGTTCTCAGTACCTACAATACATCCAACCTTCCACAACATCAGCCTCAACTACGGCATTAGCTCTAATCTCTACATATACCAGGTCACGTCCTTCATTTCAGGTCTCCGGATATATGTTCAGAATCTTCATCTCATCAAGTATCGTCAACATCTTCAAACTCTCCACCAGACAACATCTCAAAGATGCCGTACCCACCGACCTCGGAAGCTATTACCGCTACCAATCCTGTAACATCCTCTGTCGTCGCCCCAATATCAGTACCAACCTACGGACCCGGTGGCTCCTTCGCTGTCTTCGCACGCACGCATATCTCTGCTCCACCCTCAACCTGCCTCTCGCTGATCAGAGACACTTCAAACTGGAGAAAATGGAACACCTTCTGTCCCTCCATCACCCTGTCACCAAAGTCACCTCCTCCACCTGCAACTTCCGATCCCGCAATTCCTACTGGAAATGAAGGCTGGCTTGAACTCGGCACTACCGGGGCCTTCGATGTATTCATGAGCGGCGACGGCCTAATCCCAGGACGAAAAAGAAGCAGGACACAAGGCATGATCGTCACTGTCCTCTCTCCCATGACAGAAAACGAAAAGAAAGGGTACAGAATAGCATGGAAAGGCACCGGTTACTTTCACTGGCAACTGCATTCCGAACGAGTAATGGAATTCATTTCCATCACTTTAGAAAACGGGGAGCAAGGCACGGAATTCAACTGCTGGGAGACATTCGGCGGCGTTCTCGCCCCCGTTGTGAAAGCCACCTACGGCCAGACGTTGGTTGAGCGATTTGGCGATTATCAGCGTGACGTGAAGGCTTTCCTCGAGAGTCCATCTACGGCCGTATCCAACGGGGAAGCTTTGGCGTCAGCAGAAAATGAAAATGGAGTCAGCACGTGATGAATAGATCAAGCTGAGGTGGTGAGCTGCCGCATTTGGTATACGAGGGTATACGAGCTCTGTATTCAACCTGACCAGGGCTCGGGATGAATGGAAGGCTTCGCTCGTCAGAATAAGGTTTCTCGCCGGATCTGTGGATGTGGAGATTAAATGTTGTGGGGATGTGGGGTAGTCACACGCCCCTTTTTACCTTTTTCCCTGGCGCTGTTGAGGTAATTCAGCCTGTTTTGTTTGATATGCCATCCCAACATGGGGCATAACCCACGTTCGGATCAGGGAGGGATTGGGAGCTGGATCAGATTAGCCCGTCCCAACCATCGGTACCACAGGGCACCACGATTTCTCGATCGATGGTGGGCGTTGAGGGCGTGGGTGCAAGGAACAGGGGCTTGTTGGAACTGCCGCTCATTGCCCAGGAAAGCTAACATCAACGTCACACTCAATTCTAACTTCCTCCAATTTCAAATTCTTGGCACCGAAGTGGAGACAGGTATGGGAAAGGAGTGTAAAATCAGCTAGCTGGTTTCTTTTTTTAATCCGAACCCAAAGCAAATCCAAAAGCCAGCAAATGACACTCCAAAATATCAACAATAAACAGATTTCCAATAGATCATACAGAAGGATGAAAATAACTCAAATCCCAAGGCAGAAAACCAGACCAAGCGTATGTGCAGGAAAGCAAAAAAAGCAAAAAAAACATATCCAACCATATTTTCTCCCTCCAATAACACCTGCCAGACCTCTCAAATGTGTACCTTCTGTCGTGCTTGTCGTAATTCATATATAGATAAACCATTTGTAACCTTCATCCCGGAAACCAGTCCAAGAACCAAAAGAACCCCCGACCCGACCTTGGGATTTCAGATCCCATGTTACGCCGTCATATCATGTAAAGATACGAGCAAAGATAAAGATTAAACCGTAAGGATGAAAGACATTATGATTATAACTTGAGCGAGATTAGAGGGCGAGGCCGGTGCCGTCGCCTGTCCATCGGTATAGAGCGAGCACTTCTCTCCGTCGCAGTTGTTGCTCGCCGAAGTCTTCGGGGACGCGGCCGCGGACTTGGGCGAGTGCTGAACGCATGACGTTGCGGAAATTCCTCTTGGATGGGCGTTAAAAATGGAGGGTTGAAGGGGGGAGGGAAAGGAAACATACCTGGTATTCAGTGTTCAGGGTCACGACACAGGCTTCGTGTGCGCGGACGATGGTCTCGCATGCTTTCACTACGCTGGGGGATGCTTCGACCTGCAAGAAATTAGGGTTCATCCAGGGGGGTTAAGCGAGTTTGCTTACTTGAAGTTTGTCTGCGATGAGGAGAAGCAGAAAGCTCCCTTGTAGTAGATACACGCCAAAGAAGAATGGCATGAATTCGAGACCTGGGTCGTACTCGAGGATGTTGTTGATGGCCTCGGCTGCACTTACTGCGTGATCTGTAGCATTGATGAAGCTCTGAGATGAGATCCAGAGATCATTGTCGTCGAGAAGTGAGATGGGATCCCATTTCCCTGTCAGCAAGATGTGTAAGACGTGCATGACGTGAGTGCCGTACGCAACGACTATCCTTGTCTGAATGTCGGCTTCTGAAATGTGAGCTGAGGAACTTGTGTGAATTGAATGGACTGAAGGTGTGCCTATATCGTTATGCTCAATGTTGCCTGTTGGATTTGTTGAAGTGATGCCTTCCATATTTGTTTTCTCGGTTTGTTCTACGGCTAGGGCGCTGAGATGTCGCGACTCGAAATCTTTGAGACTCTGGCCGTACGCCTCGAGCTGTCGGGCGATTTCGCTGGCGTGATCATCCCATTCCTGGGCAGATCTGAAGCCAACGCCGAATCGGGGGTGGTTTTTGGCGTGGTAGAGATCTACGATCTCCCCGAGGATAGTCATGAGGGGTAAGAAATATCCGAATATGCTATGTCCGGTACACTCAAAGTTAGGTCCTCTCCTTCTAATCCGTGGTGTGCCACTCGGGGAGGTAATATGAATGCTTGAATCACCAGTGTAGAATTCTCCAGCCTGCCATAAAGTATCGTCCATTGGCTGGAGAAGGCCATCACACTCGATGTCTAACAGGAAGAGAGGTCTGTTATAACATAGCGCGAGATGACGATCCACGGTATAGCACAGCCACCATATTCTTCTCCGTTCTTCCCGTTCCTCCTCGGTGATCAGGGTCGACGTGTTCTGTAGATCATCGTCGGCCTCTCCGTCAGCGTCGACATCATTGACGGTTTCGGGTGGTTGAGATGGCAGGGATGCAGCGTTCTGAGGCAGCTCTCTTCCAAGTTTTAATTCTCTTGCCAAAGACCATGCTGCATTCCACCATCTCAGGCTAGCGCCTTTGTACTCACTGGCCGACACCACGGTGGCCAGATGGATGTAGGTGACGACATCATCCAAAGTTCCCGCGGCACCAAAGGCTCCAGTCTCTACGTTCAGGCCGTCTATGTTCACGGATCCAGGCATGGCAACACCGAGGCCACCCAAGGCAACGCCACTGATGACGGTGTTGGAGAAGTTTGGTGAAGCGTCGTCATTGGAAGGACCATGGATCAGGGGCTTGAGCAGACCAACAGTGAGTTCGAGCAGTCTTTGACAGATGCGTCCACGTGATGAAGGAGGTGCTGTTAAGAAAGCTGCGTCACTTGTCTGGGCAACGACCCAGAGCATGCTGGCAAGCAGGGCCGGTGTGCATTGTCTCGGCTTGGTTGGGTGAAGAATGGAATGCTTTCGAAAGACATATCCAAGGACGTAGGGTGAAGTCGGATGCATCAGCGCCGACGACGAACTTGCAAAGTACAAGTCAAGCAAGTCGCAAGCCAGGGATATCGGGATGATATTGCCAAGGTGAGGAATGAGGGGTTGCAATACAGGATACCGGAGCGTCGAATTAAAGTTGTGGTTCGTCACGTGTTGCTGGTACTGGTTCGAGGGCGACGGTAGGGACATCCACCCTCCCGGCGAAGCAGGATCTGACCCCATGGAGAATCCGGGCAGAGGGCTATCGCCTAAACGAAAAGCGCCGGGTGTATTACCCGGGTAATGTGTTGGGCTCGATGCCTGGATGGCGTAGGGCATATCTGGATACCCGGGTAAAGAACCTTGTCCGGCACTGAAGTTGGGATGGCCACCATTCCCATTCATCATGTGGGAATTGATGGCGGGTCGGTAGCCATGCATGCTTGAATAGCCGTTGAGATTCAGGGACACGGGGCTTTCGATTTGATCGGCTTCCGCACGGGAAACCATGTGAGGCTGGTGCCCATTGGCCATCTCCGTCAAGGACTCAAGACTACCGGCGCGGAGTCTGCCCTTCATGGCTTCACGAGCTGAGGATTTGTCGAGGTTGGTGGTGTTGAGACTAAGCGAGCGCGAGGCTTGGGGCCGGCGGAACGAGCCATTCTCATTGTTGATAGACGTAGTGGAAGAGCCATTCTCATTGCGTGACTCTGTAGGTGAAGTTCTCTCATCTGAGGATTGCCCGGTTGGGGATTTTTGTCCATTGGCGGCTGCGGCTGCAGCTTGTTGTGCCAAATCTTTGCGCGAAGCCTTGCCTCGCTTCTTGCGTTCCCGTATGTATTCGCAACCCAACCCAAATTCTACATATTATTAGAAACGTGCCCCAAATTCGCAGCCGGAGACTTACCAACGCAATGAGCGCAAGGAGCTTGCCCGTCACATTTTGTTCGGAGTTGGTTGCACTGATCGCAGGCCCTGCTGATTCTCCGGCGGATGGGGCCAGAGGAGCCATTGCTTGCCGTCCTGCCATTGCCTGGCCCAGGCGCGTAGGGGTGCTGACGATGCTTATTATTATGGCCTCTGTGAACTTGGCCACTCTGATGAACATCGACGTGCTGCTGGAGCTGCTGGAGCGCGTATTGCGATCCGTCGGCCAGGGTGTGGAGGCCGGTGTGCATGTGATTCGAGGGCAAGTGCCCGTTGGACATCATACCGTTCGAGGGCAAGGCATTGTATGCCGAGAAGCGGTGGAGGGGATTCGAAAGCATCTTGAATGTCTTGCGTGAGTATTCTTCGCCTTGTGTGAAGGACCGACAAGGCTTCAGTCTTTTGGGTGGTAGGGGAGAGTGTAAAGAGTGGTGGAGAAGTGTCTTGAGGATCGTCCTGAGGAGTAGGCCGGAGGAAGTATCTATATCTATCTGCTGGATGCGGTCCGGGATGCAGACCTTGTCTCCTTGATCATCACAGGGTGCTTTGTGTGAGGCAATGTGGACAGAGAAAACAAAAAGGGCTTCGCCCAAGGGAAGCGCCACCAGCGACAGGGCAATCAAATATATGGCGGGGTTTGCATGGAGAAAAAAGAGGGCAAGTTCTGGAGTTTATTGCTTTGGACTATGGAGGGGCCGGGGTGGGCCGTAGGGTCCCCGACGTCCTTTGAGCGTTCGCCAGGGCAGTGCTGCTGCTGGGGCCCCTGCGCGCGATGGATGGACGGATGGGCGAGTGAGCATGAGCATGGGCATGGGGTCGTGATATATTGCTTTCCTGTGGCCATAGAACCTAACCCACACTTGCACACTTGGGGGGTGGTTTGAGGTCGCGGTGCTGGCGAGATTTGACTGAGAGCAAGCAAGCAGGCAGGCAGGCCAGGCAGGCAGGTCGCAGCGCGGCGGCTTGCCTCCGAGACATGGAGGAAGTAGGAAGACGCAACTTCGACTCGGCCACACTTTTTCCGAATCTGTGAACTCGAGAGCAGACGGCGTGCAGGGAGCAGCCCGAACGCCGCGCTTCGATTGGCGCTGGTTTGGAGGTGCAGCGCGTGCAGCCAATCGTGCGGGGCCGTGAAGGCAGAGAGAAAGCCTGTCCCACTCCATCTGTTCGGACATTCGTGAGCATTGATGCGGCGATGTGGTCACCACGCTGGCATGGCGTTGTGATGTCCTTCACGCTATGCGATATGAGGCAGCTGTTGCAGTCCTGGGCGAGCTGCTGTCATGGGCCTTGGGCCACGAGCGGAGTGAGAGGCCGACCACCACTGACTGACTCTAATGTACGACTACGAGGACTGCCATGTGGAGTGGGCTACGGTGCGCTGCGCTGCGGTGCAAAAACGCAAGCTCTCCCATCCATCTCTGGCGCAGATCCTGGAGGATTGCCGAGCTTCGACAGGCGCGCTAAAGGCTGCCTGCCAGCAGTCAGTCCTCAAGAGTCAGGTCAAGTCAAGTGAAGTGTGAGGCAGGCCGCCAACGGTGAAGTGTGGATGAGCAGGAAGCAGGAAGCGGCTCCACTTGGCACTTTCGCATCGCTGATTTATTAGAGTTCAACTTCAAGTTCAAGTTCAAGCGAGCGTCTAATGCTGTCATCCACAACACACCTCGCAGAGCAATAGCAACAAGGCCTTCCTCCCAGGCTCATCCCTCTCCCCCCTCCCTCTCCGAGACGAGCAATTGCAATACCGAGCCCGGCAGACCTCTCCTCCCGCAAACCACCGTACATGGACCAAAGCATGTTGTGCGCCGGATCCAGTTCCCTCCCTCCCACCGCCCTCGAGCGGCGTAAGCCTAGTTGGCCTTGCTCCGTACCTTAATTACTTAAAGCTTGCGGCCAAGATCTCTTGCGGATGGGCGCATCGGCCCACCTCCACATCCACATCAAACAAATATCGCGCCAATTATCATACACGGTACTTTGGGGGAAACAAAACCATCACCCTCCGCAAATCTCATTAAAGGCATGAATTCGAAGCACCCTCTCTGACTCTTCTTCAGCTTCCTCACGTCCGAGAGCTCGGCGCCCTCTGTCTGGGTGGCCCGTCTGCTAGATTACCGCATTCAGTCAGCCAGGGAGCAACATGTGTCGTGCATGGACTGAAGGGTCCTGCGCAACGGCGTTCCTGGTCGGCCATCCACGCCACCGAAATTCAAACGGTCCGATGTTCCTCGTCGTCTGCTCGCATGTCACATGTGCCGCCGCTGCTCGCTATTCGACCGTTCCCAATCTCGTCCAGTGAAGCGAATGGAGCCCCCCTTGGCTGATTGTGGGGCTCCTTTCTGGCATATTGAAGAGCGCGCTGATCTGTACTGTACGAAGTGCACAGTACGAGTTTGTGGTGCGTGCCCGTCCGCAATTCTGCTCTGGCAGATCTTCTAGAACGGCTTCCAAGGTACACAGGACCTTCGAGAACGCCATGCTCGGATGTGCTACCCCGGATCCTCGCTGGCCTGAAAACTCCCGAAGGCTCCGCAGCAAACACTGCCAGATTCAGGACCTGTGGCCTCCACAACGAAATAAAGTGCCATATGCAGGTGCACGAATGCGGTGGCCGGACTTGTCCTCATCTAGAAACCGCAAAGATCAGATCGAAGCTTCGGATTGTCAAGAAAGAAGTCTGCCATGAAGCGAGGAAACGGCAACCAATTCCTCGCGTGGCTCGTCTGCATCCTGGGGGCCACGAGGGAAAGCCAGACGGACAGGGGCGGCTGTCGTCAGGTGGCTGGGCAAACCTTCGACAGGGCCTGTCTGGGCTCGCCTGTAGGCATTTCGTCTCGAGCTCCGTAAATTGAGGGGCATTTCATGCACATCTCGGATGCCTCATTGGTCGTCGGTGCGCAATATGGCCCGTGGTATCGAGAGCCGACTCCCTCGGCAATATCCAATACCGACATTATCTTATGATTGACTATGATTGTTTGATCATAAAGTACCTCTGGCCACAGATCAATCTGATACCAGGCGTTCCTGGAATCTAAAGCTGCAGATTTATAGTAAAACCCCCAACTCATTGGCAGACGTTCTCCTCGACCGCCCCCTGACAAGCATTCCATCCCAGGAACAGATCTATAGGACGGAAGCCTATGCCCTCTTCGTGATTGGGCGTGGCGACCTAGATTCGCAAATTGTGGAGAGAGCGGCGCATCTCCCGACTTTCCCGCAGGAGGCTCTCACATTAAAGTGCAACACCTTCTCGTTCCCAGTTGACCACATATATTGCTGGCAGCTGGATCGTCAGGTCGATGAGGACTCAAATAGCATCGAGCATGACACGCTACAGAAGCTCGGGGCAACGGCAGCAATATCTCTAGATTGTTTGCAATCTCGGTCCGTTAGAAACCTTATGTGGCGATAGACGAGAAATATCGCGATAGTCAACGTTCGGCAAAATTCTCGGTGACTGAAATGTTGAACACTTCACGTGTCGTCCAAGTATGCGTCTTCTACTCGTCGTAAAGATGAGGGTTTTGATGAGAGATATGTAGAGCGGTCTTAGCGCTTGAGATGCTAGTCATTAAGGTGCAAGACCGGGCATGGAGTCAGGACAGCAGGAGAATCAGAATCCAAAGAGAGACGCTCTTTCATCTCGAGGAAGCCCATGGGACCAGAACCAACACTCCTTGCATCTCGGTCATCTCGAGCAGCACCTAATCGAGCAGTTTGAGGTCTGACGATATGTGCAGCCACTGCATTGTCGAATCCTCCTGAAGAATACTCGAGTCTCAAGGGCGGTGCATCCATGCTGAGCGGCGAGCACACCAGATGTTGGTTGGGAGCCCAACAGACGAGGTCGAACGAGCGTCGAGAGCGGGTGCAGCGCGTATTACAACGTGACGAGAGATCACGTCAAATGCCTCAAACGGGCGTCGAGGAACGGGGAGGTTGGCCCGGTACGCAGCTACAAGTGACATATACCAAGTATCACAACCCCCCTTCCCAGGTTACTGTTCCAAACCCCACCGTAACACGTGACGAGCATGAAGCTCCTGGATTGCGATCTCCCCTCCCACCATCCTCATCCCGCGCCCCTCAGACATAACCCACATCACCTCAGCCTTAAAAGCAACAAGCTCTTCACCGGCCTCAACCTATCTTCTGGCAAATATACCATTAAAAGAAGCACAAGATCGCCTCAAACCCCACCCCGGCGAGCTCCAGTTTGAGAGCTGTCATCGCTCTAAGTTTCAGGCCGCTCAAATTACATTACGGTACACCACCAAACCGTCGTACGTGGGAGCTGACACTGACATCCAAGAACTATTCTCGCGTGCTGCAGATGGATTGCGGAAGGATGCTCGCAAGCGCAGATTCCTGGTTGCCTCTCTGGCTCTGCCTTTCCAACCGCGGGCCGTCAATGATCCCCCTCTGCCCCGCTCCTCCTCCGCGACGGCGTTTTGCGCAAATGCCCCGCATTGGCCACAGCCCCTCCATTCATAGACTTTCGCCGTCAACGTCATCCAAAAGAGGCCTTACAGCATGCTCATTTCAAGAGATCGAAAGCAGTACCAGCGTACCCACAACGCAAATTGCAGAGATAGGGGACTTCAACTGCCATGGCCCCGCCCAAACGCCGCCCCTCAATTTCCGTTCCAATCGTGGCTTCCAGAAGCCTCAAAAGCCCATGTTGCTCTCCGGCACACGCGCTCTAACCGGTCTAGACAAAGACTCCGAGGGAAAGTTTTGGTAAAAGAGGACGGTCTTGCATAGTTGATAGCATGCCTATCTCCGAGCTGTGCCTAGGGCTTGACAGACTGACATTCCTCTCTTCATCGACTCCGGTGCTATGCTAGCCGCATATTGCTGCTCTTCTATGGAAGGGAACTATAATTTCTCTCGTACAAAGAGGGAAGGCCCCCAGTGCCTCTTTTCTTGTCTCACATTCTCTTTTCCTCCTTCCCCTAGCCTCCTCTCCCTCCAAAATTCAAGCTTGCAACTTGCCGTTGCAATTGCTATTGCTTATCCACTAAGAAACTACACTACTCTCGTTATTCTTTCGATTCAATTATCAGATTTCATAAGCAGCAGGAGTGCAGTGAGACAAGACAAGATGGCGCTTAACGGGAACACCTCGACAGCGATCCCTAAGACAATGAAGGCCTGGTCCGTGGAGGGCACGAACGGTTTCGACAGCTTGACCTTCCACGCCGAGGCTCCCCTCCCCAAGCCGTCCGACTACGAGGTGCTAGTCAAGTTCCACGCCGTGTCACTGAACTACCGTGATCTTCTTATTCCGAAAGGTCAGTGCCTTCCCTATCTCATCCCTATCATCTATGCAGATCACCGCTTAACTGACTATTCCCCCTCCTCACTCTCTCACTTCCCCCTCGCCTGACCCTCCAATCGACCATCCCCCCTTTCTTCAAGCCCCCTCCCAATTGTCAACAAGCTAACGCTCTCTCAACCATAGGACAATACCCTTTCCCCTGCTCCCCTTCCATGACCCCCCTCTCGGACGGCTCCGGCACCATCCTCCAATGCGGTCCAAAAGTAACCCGCTTCGCACCCGGCGACAAAGTCTGCACGCTCTTCCACCAATCGCACCTTGGCGGTCCGCTCTCGCCTCCCCATCTGGCCTCGGGTCTCGGCTCCGCTGTCCACGGCACTCTACGTCAATACGGGACCTTCAACGAGAACGGTCTCGTCTCCATGCCAGGGAATCTGGGGTTCAGGGAGGCGGCCAGCTTGAGTTGTGCGGGTGTTACGGCTTGGAATGCTCTCTATGGGGTAGAGGGGAAGCAGGTGAAGCCGGGGAATTGGGTGCTGACTATGGGCACGGGGGGAGTGAGTTGTCTGGCGGTGCAGTTCGCCAAAGCTGCAGGAGCTAAAGTGATATCGACAACTTCGAATCCTTGGAAAGTAGATCTCTTGAGGAAGTTAGGAGCAGATCATGTTATCAATTACCGAGAGATTGATAATTGGGGTGAGGAAGCGAAGAGGATCACGGGTGGGGGAGGAGTGGATTTTGTAGTTGAGGTGGGGGGACCGAGTAGTAAGTGCCTTTTCTAGGTTGTTGATGGCGGATTTGGAGGTGTGAGAAACGGGGAAGGGGGAAGGGGGAGACGGGAGATGATGGTGCAAGTACTGATTGTATACAGCCTTTGCGCAAAGTCTCAAAAGTGTGAAAATAGGTGGATGCGTGACGGCAATAGGGTTCGTCGGGGGGCCGGTAGCTGGTGCTAGTTTCTTGGTAAGCCTTTCTTTCTCCTCTTGTTTCACCCCCTTGTTCGTGAGCTTGGGATGCGAAGGGGATGCGAGTATTCAGGGGGGAGAAATGAAATGGGAGAGGATTAAGGAGAGTGGAGAAGAGAGAGAGAGAAGCTGCTAATTCCCTGCTAGGATATCCTAGGCGCCCTGTGTACGGTGAGGTCTATCTTAGTAGGCAGCAGAGACATGTTCGAGGAGATGAACAGGGCGATTGAGCGCGCAAATATCAAGCCCCACGTAGATGAAAATCATTTCACTCTGGAGCAAGCGAAGGAGTGAGTATCCAACTCAATTTTCAACTCGTAGAAGAGGTTGAACTGTGCTAATAAACGTAGGGCGTACGAGTATATGTGGACGCAGAAGCATTTTGGGAAGGTGGTTATTAGTATCGATTGATTGAGCTTGGTAAGGAGGAATAAAATGCAAATTTTCTCTTAAGGCTGAAGTTTAAAAGTTGTGTGTGATGGAAAATGCTGTATATGAAAAGCTACCTGCTGAGTAAATAGAGGAGCCCGGCTTTTGTTGGGGGTGGGGTGTTGAGGATCAGTGGAGGAGAGGAGTGTTTAGCTGCGAGCTCTTGCGAATAGAAGACATTGAAGGATGAAAGATTTCTTCGGATGAAGAACGAAGTTCTGGTACATTAGAAATACCCCTTGAATTCCTGCGAGCGAATCCCACTGGGGGGGGAAATTACTGATGCGCTGTGTCGGAGCAGCTGTTATTACGGACGCGGAAGGCGAAGGAGAACGAAAAGAATTTCAAACGATTCTCCGATCTGGCTCCCGGAGGACTCGTAATTATGGACCGTATAGGGAAATTACTTGCGCAAACGGGCTGTGAGTGAACATTGAAAGTTCTCCTTCTCGACATATCTCTTGTGTACTGATGGAGACAGGTATCACCGATATCTCCAGGATAAAATGGGCTGATAATCTTCAAGCAAGAAGATTGCATGAAGCAGAGGAAACAAGGAGAGCCCAGAACTCCTTCATGATATTACCAGTCATGAGATGAGGAATCCATTAAGTAAGGACACATTTCCATAGGTGTCGAAGATTGGCTAATGTTTCATAGGCGCGATTTTACAATGTGCTGATGAAATATCCACTTCACTTGCAGAATTGACTTCCAATCCTAACATGGACCTCGTGTTGTCCGCAATCATCAAAGAAAGCATTAGCTCTGTTGAGACAATCCGCTTTGTGCTCAGCACCAAAAGTCTATCGTTGATTAGTGAGTTCCCCAATAAAATGCAACATTTGCATTCTAATAATTCGTAGCATTTCACAATCTCCAAGCTCAATTCGAACCTCTGGTTGACCACCCCAGTACCAGTGCAGTCCGTGGAAATTGTGCAGCAAATTCAGCAAATGTTCATGGTTGAATGTCAAAAGGTGCACGACATTCAGATGGCGTTCCATATCACCGAAGCATACCGAGACTTGAACATTGATATTGTGATGCTCGACTCAAGCAGGCTGCTTCAAGTAGTAGGTAACCAAGAAGCACAATATTTCAGTTTAGGGGTGTCTTGGGAGTTCCCACCCTCCCCTCTTGCTGGGGTTCTTACTGGCTTCATTCTTCTGCTCAGCTCATACACCTGTACCCGAATGCTATCAAGTTTATGAAGAGCGCCCCAAAACGCACCATTGAAGTTTCAATCGGAGCGTACCTCCAACCACCTCCACCAGAACCTTCAGGCTTCGATTACTTCCCAGCAAAGAAGGCAAGATCGACTGTTACCGCTGGAGGCGATTGGGGCAAGGGAGAGCTGTTGTATCTGCGTTCTGAGGTATGCTAATCACGGAGGTGAAACACTTGATCTCATCCGAGAGATGGAAGCAGCAGGGCTGATTAAAAGACACCTGCCGATCATAGTAGTCACAGCAAACGCGAGGAGCGAGCAAGTTCTCATGGCGTAACCAACCCCTATTCTTTGTCCCATACCCCGAGCTCCCTGTTCTACTGGTCGGGAACATGCCTCGTGCTCCCGGCTCTCTACCCCCCAAAGAAATATCTTGCTAATTCGTTGTAGCAAGGAGACGGGGATGGATGATGTGATGCCGAAACCGTTCAGGATCCTGCAAATCCGGACGAAGATTGAGGCGCTTTTGTATATGACGACGATGATGACGAAATGAGATGATGGGGAAGAGATGCATTTAGAGGCGTGGTAGATGGTGTTTATAGAGGGATTATGAAGCCTTCGTGTCAGAATTAAGCTATTCATCCACAGGGGACTCTCCTCTCCGTCTTGGGAAAGCGCCGAAAATATTACACGAATAGACAACCCCCATCGGATGGCCGGGTCCGATGGCGATCGGAAATAATTAACGCCGCCCGGTTTCCCTTGTTCTTTTTGTCCCACCTCGGGCCCGAAACGGAGCTCCCCTGTCTCAGCCTCGAGGCGAGGCGAAGCCAAGCGGGGGAGATGGCAGAACTTTGTGACGTGCCGAACACCCGCTCTCCCATCCATCCAAACATGCGCACCCAGCGCAGCCAACTCGCGCGCCCTTTTGCCCCAAATAGTGCAAGTATTGGTCGTCCTACAAGCTCTGCAGCTCTAGGTCCTCTGTAGAGCCGGTTTTCCGTGCCATGCAATTGGTTGATACCGATGCACGGCACATCGGCGTCACCACTTAACCTTCTTTCTTAAGTCCTGCGTATCTCCTTTGCTCTTCTTGCTCCGATACGAGTCTAATTCTGTTGGTGGCGTTGTGTTCTCCGTTAGAATCAAACTGTTAAGGTATAAGAGGTTATTCATAGCCTCGGATACTATTTATCTTTTCTTGTTGGGTCTATCGACGTCACTCGATAAGAAGTTTCTTGCCCCTCTTTCCTTTGACCTTCTCTGCGGAAACTACGACGGAACAGTGCACGACGAGCTAGATTGAATTATAAAGGGATATTTATAATGGCGAATTTAGAGAAAGAAGAACGGCCCCCGAGGAGAAACACCTCAGGCGCAGCATCTCGAAGATCCGGGGCGTCGAGACCGAGCTCGCCTGCGCCACTGACGAGATACGTGTCGGGCAACTATATCGACGACCAGGCACAATACCACGGGCATCGGTATCATGGAGAGAAGGAGAAGGAGAATGAAGAGACGGTCAATCTTGAGGATGGGAGTGTGCAAACGGAGGATTCAGAAGACACAAAAGAGGTGCCGGAAGGATCGAGGGAGTCGATCGTACCTGAAGTGAGAGATGGCATTGAAGACCAACGAGATGTAGAAGCCGGACCAAAACTAGAGAAATTGAAGAGCGAGAAGAGTAGAAGGAGCATCAGGGATCCGAATTTGGTTACTTGGGATGGACCAGATGATAAGTCGAACCCCAAGAATTGGTCGACTTCGAGGAAATGGGCTGCTACGCTGGTTGGTGAGTATCCATTTTGAAGGAATTTTGTGGAATGGAAGCTGATGGTTGGCAGTTTCGTCTTTTACTTTCATCTCCCCTGTCTCCTCATCCATGGTCGCTCCCGCTCTGACGGCTATCGCCCGAGAATTCAACATCACGAACAAAGTCGAGCAATCTCTAACCCTCTCTATCTTCGTCCTCGCCTACGCAATTGGCCCGCTCTTCCTCGGACCGCTGTCTGAAATGTACGGGAGGGTAATCATCTTGCAAACTAGCAATCTTCTCTACCTATTCTTCAACTTGGGCTGTGGTCTCGCGCAAACAAAGGGCCAGATGATCGCGTTTAGATTTCTGTCCGGTTTGGGAGGCAGTGCGCCTCTTGCATTAGGTGGTGGGGTTCTGAGTGATTTGTTCAATGCTGAGGAGAGAGGGAAGGCTATCAGTATCTACAGTCTCGCGCCTCTTCTCGGACCTGCTGTTGGACCTATTGCAGGCGGGTTTATCACCGAAAACACGACTTGGCGCTGGGTATTCTACTCCACTACCATAGCAGACGCCCTCATCCAACTCTTCGGCCTCTTCTTCCTACAAGAAACATACCCTCCTGTCCTCCTGCACCGAAAGAAGAAAGTGATGATCAAAGAAACTGGGAACGAGGCTTTGCACACTGAGTTCGACCACCCGGAACGCACCGTCGCCAAAACGCTCCGCATCTCCCTAATCCGTCCCTTCAAGCTCCTTGGCACACAAGTCATCGTTCAAGTCCTAGCCATCTACATGGCCTATCTCTATGGCCTCATGTACCTCGTCCTCTCCACCTTCCCGGGGCTCTGGGAGAACTCCTACCACGAATCCGTCGGCATCGGTGGGCTAAACTACATCTCCCTCGGCGTCGGTTTCTTCCTGGGAACACAGGTCTGCGCGCCGTGTCAAGACATGATCTACCGCTCGCTCAAAAAGAAGAACGGCGGCGTAGGGAAGCCTGAGTTCCGCGTCCCATTAATGATTCCCGGGGCTCTCCTAGTCCCAATCGGCTTATTTATATACGGGTGGACGAGTCAGTACCACACGCACTGGATCTTCCCCAACATCGGCGCGGCGATCTTCGCCGCGGGCGTGATCATCGGGTTCCAGTGTACCCAGACGTATATCGTTGATTCCTACACAAGGTATGCGGCGAGTGCGGTGGGGGCCGCGACGGTTTTGAGGTCACTGGCTGGGTTTGGGTTTCCGTTGTTTGCGCCGTATATGTATGCTGCGCTGGACTATGGGTGGGGGAATAGTTTGCTGGCTTTCATTGCTATTGGACTTGGTTGGCCGGCACCGATTCTGTTGTGGAAGTTTGGGGAGAAGTTGAGGAAGAGGAGTACATTTGCTGCTGGATAAAGAAAGAGCCTTGGAGGTTGTTGAGTGATGGATGGAGAAAGGAGTGGGGTTTGTGTTCGCGTTTCCTTGCATTGCGAATGGAGTCTCTAGGGGCATTTTGCATATACCCTTGCATTAGTTGAGAAATTGGAAACTCTATTCAAATAGGTTTAGTGGTCTGCTGCTCCTTTGAATGTTCCAGTCGTTCGGGTACAATGCAATACCGGAGGAGAAAGTGTGGTTGAGTGAATCTTTAATTTGATTCGTCTGTTCTCTCTTACTTCCACATCTGCCTTGCAAACCTCCTCGTCGTCACGAGAAGGCTTCGGCACATCGCACGAAGCCGTCATGCTTGTCGATACTCCCTCTTCTGCGCAACCCTTCCTCGAAGTCCCATCCTCTTTCTCCGCTAGCAAGTCTGACGCCACGGCGACAACGCCATGCCGGCAGCTACTATGCGCCAATGCTGAGGGATGGACTCCGCTGAGCCCCTTCAGATCCGACTTCACGCCGTGCTTCCTCGACGTGTGGATTTCGACGGTGGCTGTCTTTGGGACGACTCGAATGTTTTAAATACTATTGTGGCAGATGTTAGCTTTGAATCTGGCTTTAGACTTGGGACATTGGGGGGATTTAGACTTGGGAGGATTTTGGACGTGGGGAGAATTTAAAGTTGGGGGGATTTTGGGCGTGGGACATGGGGATATTTGGACACAGGGGATTTTGGATTTTGGACTGGAGTGCTGGGACGTTGTCGGTGGGGCTAATTGGAGATACACCTAAACCAAACCAAAGCCGGCTTCTAATATGCTGGATGTTGCAAATGGATAGATAACCAGTAGTTTGAAAAAGCGCCGCCTCTTAGATGGAAAGCGCTGCGGGGTGCGGGCTTCGCCAGTACGACTCTTATTTTAGGAGGAGTAGAACTAGTATCTGAAGGAAATACAACGGATAGTCATGGAACAATATAACAACACATCGCCTCGTTGTCAATACCTGCTAAGTAAAACATAGAGGTTGGTATAAAATCGCTCTAGCTTGCATCTTCTTCCAACAGCACGATTGCTTGTAGTGTCTTCGTTTGCCTTCCCCGAATTTCTCAACGACGCGTACAGATTATACATAACCTGGAAACTTCCGAGTCTGTTCCAGTCCATTAGCACTTTATCAGATAATGGAGAAAGTCTTCGACAACTTACCCAACTATTAAATAGTCAAGCATCCAACTACTTGGCCATTCTGAGCACCATTGGAAATACCGTCTGTAGGATCAGGATCAAATCCCCTCGTCTTCAACTTTTTTGAAGGCGTGCTATAATCATTGCTCCATAATGCTATCAGACCTGCAAACATTCCAATCCACAATATCGCCAATAACCAGAATATAGCGTATGTTCCTCCCGGGGTGGCCTTGGTCGTTGGCATGCCGTCAAGAACCTCGAAATGGCTGTTGGTGCGCGCCTTCTGAGCGGATATGAAGACGAAGGAAATGAAAATGTGTATAGTCCTAGATGGAATGCGGCCTTCCTTCCTTCCTTCCTTCCTTCCTCCCTCCCATTCGGAGGGGCGATCCAAGTCAACACTTCTCGATTTCTTAGACTCGAAGTTTTGATGTCGTTCCTCGGCCTTTGAAGAATGGTACTCGGGTCTCGGTCCTTCTCTTTTTCGGCTCATGCTCCGTATCATTTCGTGTAGCAGGAGAAATATCTGACGAATAACTGTCCCCGAGGGAATCATCCTCGTTATGAAGCTCACCTATAAGAGGTGGTGTCCGACACAGTTTCCATAAATCAAGAGGCTTTACTTGAACTGAGAAAGCATATCGATCTGATCCGTGGAACGTCATTTGCTTTCCACAGATATCGACCGCGACTCCTGATGGGGACGCGAGAATGTTGAAAGCCCGTTGAAGCGGCCAACGGCAGACGTCCCTCCTTAGTCGCTCCGGTGAACTAGAAACTGCAATAATGTCTGAATCTGGAAACTGACAGACTAGATCTCCTATTCTTGTTAAATTGGAAGCGAAGAATACTAAGCCGTTCTCTTCAATAGCCAACTCCTTGCGAGAATTTGGGAAAGCTTCCTGAGCAGCAGCAAGAAGCCAGTTGAGTTCTTTCTCTATGGTCTCGGGGCATTGTCGTGCTGTCCAAAACCCACTTCCCTTGTAGCTGATGGGGTTGTCAGATAGCGTGCTGCCGTCGAGACTTGTAGCATTCCCAGTTGCCAAACCCACAAAACTATCACCGGAGGAGAAATGCTTCTCAAATTGGCGTTTGCCATCCCGTCCAAAAGGCTGCCTAAGTTGATCACTCACTCCTGTTAACAAACGTTGGTCCTCCGAGGTACATTGGTCGAAAATATACTTCAGTTGTATTTTCATCATCGCTGTGAAATCCTGTGGGAAGAGACCCCTCTCCCACCTGAGATGATCTAGCTCTCCACTGAGATAGCATATACGACCTCTCACATGGCCACGAAGCACAACTGGAGAGTCTTTAGACGTAGTATATCGAATGGATCTGGCAACTTCATTAAGTCCAGCTTTGAACAACTCGGCAGAGTTATTGTTGGTGGAATAACGCGAGATCTCCTCACTCTGGCGATAGATTTCATGAATTTTGGCTACCACCGACTTTGGAGGGCTCCAATCCACATCTTTCCGGGCCATCCAAGGATGGTGAAGGATTTGGTGGCGAAGAAGATTCCAAAGAGTGCCTTCCCAACCTAACGAGTACTGTACTGGAATAGCTTCCTTGCAACAATCGTAGGCTAGGCTACGAAGACCGAGAATTCTGTCTCGCGGGTCTTCGCATTGGGCCCTGTTATAATCTTCGAAGAGGGTATATAGAGGCTCCAAGGGGACGGGTCCTGGTCTTGACCTTCTTAGCTTTACGTTATTCCCCATGTCTCGTCGAAGTAAGAGCCGTACTGGGGTAGAGCTGAAAATAGCGCGCAAGACGATGAGTCGTTCCTGGACCTCCCAGACCTTTGGGTTTTGTTCAGATACCTTTGATCTGCCCCTTAATAGCTGAAAAAACCGGGATACGTGAGATTGAGGACATAGATCATCGCCAGACTGGAGCACGAATTTTTGGGCCATTAAAAATTCCTGGATAATCCAAAGTCTCTTCCAATACTCTCGACTAAGAAGGGAGTGAAGAGCAAAGAGTTGCCGATTTCCTCGAGAGAGCACCTCCAGATCATTCGACGGTTGGATGAAAGCGGTCCACTTCGGGGGCGAAGAAAGGAGCTCGAAAGCAATTGCACTTGATGAGTCCGGAGCTCCTAGCCATACAACGACCGTTGTTGCTTCCTGGTAGATCTGGGCCATTTGAGCAACTTGATGATTGCGTTCATGAATATTCCCTTGATTGATACATATAGCGTCGATCCATAGTACTCTTGACTCGGACTCCAATCGTAAATGCTGCAGTGCCAGCCAGAGATTTTCCCGGACCTCGAAATTTGCTCCGTCGATAAGTATCGAGTGCAGGGGATTCGCCGGACCCCACATATATGAGAGGGCCTCGTATTCTGGCTGTTTGGAAAACTTCGCGAGCTCGATGGTGCACTCAATCTTCTCACTTCCCGACTTCGGTTTCAAGTGCAGAAGGCGAATCTGGTCGAAGTCCTGGAGATCGCGGTAGACATGGCCCTTGTTGTACCCTTGCTGCGGCGAGACTTGGGATTCCCCAACGGAGGCTTGCCCTGTTTCATCGACTTCCAGCATTTCTGGTCCTTGTCAATCTGGTCGCTCGCAGCCGCACTTGTCTGGAGTTTCACTAAGTGCCTGTTTTCGTTAGATTCTAGGGTTGATCACTGGAGGAACAAAATTATACCTCGACTGGCTCTTGCTGAAGCAGTAATGGGGCAGGCAAGTCGAAGGACTGCTTGGGAGTGCTCTATCGTGCAGTGGCGCGAGGCTGGTTGATAAAAATACTTCGTATGATAGTGTGAGGCTTGAGAAACTGCCAACCTCTGCTGTCAACTGTGTAAATGACGGGAAGACGGTGGCCGTATAGATAGAATTCAAGAGCGTCTGGACTCGAGTGGGCTGAAGTTCGAAACTTCGTGGTAGAGGCGGTCTTTGAATGACCCCAAAAATAAGCCATGAGGCTGAGACATGGCGCCACCTGTTTACAGCAGGCTGAGCAGGCTCGGGTGATTCCCGAATGTATGTTGAGACGAGATCGCTGTCAGCATGCTCTTTTCAATATCCATTGGTAAAAAAAGAAGCAGTAGTCTTCCAGGATGCTGAGAGGATTTGGGCTCATGCTGCGAAATTCAATTGTCCACCAGTACTAAGCCAAGAAAAATATAGGGAGATAGATATGGTCACGTGCATAGGGGCTTTTCACACATGATAGGACTCGATTTCTCAGAAGACAGTTACAAATCGATTACTATTAAAAAAATCAAGACAAGAACACTGCTTTGTATTACTCATGAGATATGTGTTACTATTCGGGTAAGAATTTAGGAAACCCATGAGGTGAAACCTAAATCCACAAGAACTCAAAAACGAAAACCCAGATCAACTTTTCCTGATTTCTATTACTATGCAAGAATATAATCCAGGCCTGGTTGGTACCACCATGGGGGTGGTAGCACAGAACATTTGTCCCATCCGCAGAGCTTGCCTGTGCCATATCCATACACCAGCCATTTGCTTGGTTCTTGATCCTGTGCCACGCGTCAGCTAATCCACATTGAACAACGAGGAGCTATAGAGGATTGATATGTAGTGGATTTAGAAACATATTAAAGACGGCTGTCTCCATTGGAGAACATATTGAACTGTGAATTGGTTGTTAGCTCCAAAGAATTTGAAGAATGAATGACTTGGCAAGAACTTACTTTGCTGTAGGTATCAACAGGGACCTCTCCGCCAGTGATTTGATCCCATCCATTTGGCGCATTGACATCTAAGTATATTAGTCTGGGAGGTTTAAAGATGTGGAGTGTTAATTACTGTGGGAGCAAGAGGCAATAGCACCCGTGGCAGTATTGACAATCATGACGTCGTTCTTCGAGCCTGTTGACATAACCTGCCATCTCCGTCAGCCTTTCCACACAGTCGAGGGCGATAGCCCTCCCCCCAAACGACACGACCGGCAAACCCTTCCAGAAGCCTCTGCCCCTTAGAGCTATTCCGGTGGGTGTGGAGCTTGGTAGACTTGTGCTCCACATTCTTGCATGAAGGTGCTTCTGTCCATCGACTGACATGCATGGAAAGTAGTCGAGTGCTCCTTTCTCTTCTTTGACACTGCCCATGACAAGAGGTGACAGCGCTTGCTTTATTGACAACAAGGGTACAGCTGACAAAGCTTGAGACGGAAGGTAAGGAGGTTGATATGGCGGTAAGGTGTGCTGGTTCCTGAAAGAGAGAAGTCTCATGGCGGACTGCAAAGAGTGACAGGAACTGAATATCTAGCTCACAAGTCGAACAATGGCTCGTCGTCGCGTGGACCGGGTTTTTGCATACCTGGAAAAGGATATCTAAGATGCAAGATAATATTGCGGGTAGCGTTTTATAATAGCATAATGCTCTTGTAAAGTTTTATACATTCTGGGCTCCTTGGCTGCGCCGAGTGTTTTCTAAAATGGCAGGAACAGTTACCGAACAAGAAGATGTGAACTCGGAAGGGTACAAACGATGTTCATCCACTGAAGAAATGAGTATTTAAGAAACGTTGAGGACGGTCGCGACGCCTCGCCGTCTCTGGAACGCTATTCTCCTCCTTTAGCTTTGCGAGCTGCCAAGATTTAATGCACTACGGTTCTTAATTGATTGTGCAAGAAAGTGGAGGGACAATTCTTCCATGTTTTTGGGTGATTTGTGCCGCAAAGAGGTGAGTAATCCCTCTGTTTCATGAAAAGCTGCTATGAGACAGCGCTTGCTTGACTGAAAGCAAAATTCAAGCCGATAGCACTTGCGATGAAAGAAACAGCAGCGAATTGCAAAGTTTAGGTGAAAGAGAAGCTGAAAACTATAGCCGCTGTCAAATTGTTCCAAAGCGTAATAGGACAATGATTACTCCTTCTCAGCTTTGGTCATTGTACCACCGATACCATGTAGGTTTTAAGCTACACTTGTAGATCCTGGGTAAACATTACTTTATATCCAATTCATTCCACAGCCGTTCCCCTCGCAAGTCGCCTTCTAGCACCCACTCCCACTCAACCCACTAACCCCACCACTCGCAACATAAGCACAAGTCCCCACCGCCTGCGTCTGAGCACTCGCATTAACACTCGGCGCCAACTCGATCCCCTTCAACGCAATATTATAGCACGGATTTACTTTACTGCAACTGATCGCCGCGGTACGATTACCCTTCGCGCCAGCCAGGTAGCCTGTGAAGTTCACGTAGGCGATGTTTGAAATCTCCATCTTTGAGGTGCCGGAAAAGGAGCCGTTGTTGCCCGAGTCTTGGGTGATATCTGGTCCGATGGCGGGGCCCACGAGGTGGAAGTTCTCGAAGCGGATATTTTGCACCACGCCCCTGAGTGCTCATCAGCTCTCGGCATTTATGAAAGTTATGAGAGAAGGCAAGATCGAGTTCGGCAGCTTGAGAATTGGAAGGGGATGGGACTCACCAACCACCGCCACGAGGCAGGCCGGCACTCTCGTACCCAGACTGAGGGACCAGAGCCCCAACCCAGGTCTTTATGTACGCCGAGTTATGCATATCGTTATTGTGAGTGAGGATCTGGGCATCCTTTACCAGAACGTTGACGACAGAACTGTCTTCGAGATATTGACCAAGACTCCCGATTGCGATGCCGTTTCCGCCATGGCAGGTAATCTGTTCCAGATCAGCAAAGACCCAGAGATGGTGGGGGAGGTGAGGTACATTCTGGACGAAGATGTTGTAGGACCTTGGCTTGATGGCTATGCAATCATCGCCGCCTTGGTAGACCATATTCGTCAGCATGACGTTGTAGGCGTCCATGGTGTCGAAGCCGTCTGTGTTCTGCACCCAGTTTGTGCCAAATGGAGCGTTGACTGCTGTTGCGTTGCAGAGGATATCGTCGAACCACATGTTCTTTCCGTTCATAATATTCAAAGACCAAAGCGGAGGGTCCTTCACATAAACTACATGTGTGAGCTGGCAGTTCTCTTCATGGAACAACTGGAGAGTTACAGTGCTCGACGAACACATCGCTCACGTTCCAAAAGACAAAAGGCATCGGCCTCCCCGGCTGTGTATTTGCTTCTTCGGCATTATACCACGCATTCCCGTTCCCATAAATTCCACCAGTGCCGTAGCCATTGATATGTATCCTCTCTCCAGTGATAATGAACCCAGCGTGGTGATTTTGGAAGGCAATGGGATAGGAGTTGTTTCGCCAGTAGCTGAGATCGTCTGAAAGCTGCATTACTTCTTAGCAAACCCTATCTATGTTCCTTTTGGAAAGAATCCATGCCGTCCAGACACCTTTCCACTCGACCGTGACATCGGAGATAACGGGGTTCAACTTCGTAGCAATCCAGTAATTCTGGCCTTCGGGAAAAACGACAGTTCCACCATTGTTGCAATCTTTAAACGCGTCTAGGATTTGCCGGGTGTCGTCCTTTCTGTTGCCTAGAGCCCGAACTGTGCAAGTCTTGCCATTGTTGGATGGACCGGTCGGCGGTGATCCCCAGGGCCCCCAAGAATTCGCAGCTGAAAGTGTAAAGCTAGCAGCGAGGAGCGCCGAGACGATTGTTAACCGCATACTTGTGGTTATCTCTCAATTGAGTGGGTGCAAAAGCGCGGATGGTCGTTGAAAACTGGGCGATTCTTACAGCACGAGCTCGCTCGACTGCTCGAGAACTCGTACGAAGAGTAGCTAAAAGGGAAGGATCAAAAGAAAGGCGCGTAAGAAATCAACGAGAAAGAGTGGGAGACGTTAGAGCAAGAGCTATCCATAACTTCAGAACAACAGAAAACATCTTCCTCCTGAGAGCGCCACCCCCACATACCCCAGACATTGATGATCTCAGGCTGCAGGTCCTGTCCTCCCTGTCGCTTGATTGGATGCAAATATCGGGGATTGGACGCTTCTTTGCGCCTCGAGATCTCATTGGAGGCATAATTTCTCCAGGAATGGGGCTGGTTCAGGAAATTTGTATTCCCTCAGGTTGATGAGTGAGGGGTGCTGTTGATCATTTTTAGCCGTTGTCGAAATAACCTCCCACTCGGTAGATATTGACCCGGGGCCAAGACTGCATATTTTTGGGCTCTTGTGGACGAGGCCACCTTGGTTTCCAAGCAGTCTGAGCAAAAGAAGCGAGAGGAGTCGAGGCGATTCAAAAAGGGGATAGAGGTCAAACGTACGCCCAGCCATGCGGAGGTGGGTCCGCAGAAACTCGGCTGTGATTGGTGGCGCACGAGGCTGCGTCAGCCTCGCGCTTCCTCATGTCATCATCATGGATTTCAATCCACAACTCCCTTTTGTTCTTGAACATCCGACTTGGGAGAGCGAGTTGCAGAGGCATTGTTTACATATATCACGACAAGATTAATCGATACTTATATTCACGATAGCTTCCTCAGCCAGCGCCCGTCTCGTGCAGATCGCTCGCACAATGTCAACGACTTCGAAGACCCCGTCGAGCGCCGGCGTCGCGCCATGGCGGCCACTCTTCTGTTCCCATCTCTCCAAGATGGACTCTCCCGAATTCGTCTTCACATCTCTCCACCCAGCAGAATCCAAAGACTCGCCAGTCCCATATGTCCCGCGAGCTAGAACCTGCATTTATCGGGGGATGTGGGCAGAGCTGCCCGAGAACAAGCACAACGAGGCACCGAAAAATGATCGAGTCTACGAGAGCGATCTCTTGACTATGACAACCGATGTTAGGATGGCGAAGGTTCCAGAGATATTTGCTAGTTCACCTGGTCATGGTGATGTTTCTCAGAGCCAGGGAAGCGGAGGAGGTGGACCTGTTGAAGCTGTGTTTTGGGTGAAGGATGTGATGACACAATGGAGGATCAGAGGGGATGCATATATCGTGGGTCAAGATATCGAGGGTTCTGGAGAGGAGTCCAGCGGGACGAGGACCGTGAAGAGTAAGGTTGGAGAGAGGATGCGGATTGTGAAGGAGGAGGGGAGGGACAGCTGGAGCTGGGGCACAGAGCTCACCGCTCACTTCGGCAATCTGAGTCCCGGCATGAGGGGTAGCTTCAGAAATCCTGTCCCTGGTTCTCCTGTTTCGATTCCGCCGAGTGATAAGAACTTGGGATTGGGACAGCGAGTTAATGATCTACAGGATGAGGTTGCGAGGAAGAATTTTAGGGTCATCATTATCAAGCCCGATGAGGTTGAGCAGGTCGATTTGAGCGTCCCCGACAAGTCTCGGCGGTGGAAGTACACCTTCGTCGGACCGAATGGCAGCGAGACTCCGCGGGGTAAAGAAGTCGGTAAATGGAAAGTTGAAGAGCTTTGGCCCTGATATTATTTGCAGGAGATGTTGTTTCTGCCACGTCTGCAAGAGAGAAGTGTTACAAACTGGTGGAGAAGGAAGACCAAGGGTTGCCGTGACGATTCGTATTTGACCGTATCGCATCAACTTCAAGGCCTGAGCCGACATTGTGATCGCTGTGTGCCGTGATGCTTTATTTATCCCATCCAATTTACCCATTCTTCCTTGACCTTTTTGCTCCCCGAGCAAAAGTCCGAGCACCTGCGCCTCTCTTTGAAAGCACGTTTTTCACCAGGATTAAGTTCACACGTTATCTCCACCCCATGTCATTAATTTTGTTTCCCTCACGGCGGCTTCGATTTGGCGTTCTCGAAACCTTCGAAGGCGTCAGAGGCTCTTTTCAATCTCAGACCGGATCTGGTGAGGAGCTTCCCCGTAGTGGAGAGCTCAGAGCCCTACGCTTTGACGACATGTGAGTGGCCAATGCAAGATGAGTGTTCAATTGCAAAAGTGCCACTTGCAAGAGCTTTTTGTGCTTGCGATTGGACAGCTTATCACGCCTGTGCAAAGCTTGCCTGTGTGCTTATGTTCGTGCAATATGTCAGATGCGTTTCGCAAAGCATGATTGTAGGATCTCTCATGGCAGTACCTTTGGACTGGAGGTCCAGTTGGAACTCTCAGCTCGTCTATCAGGAGATCGGGTTCATTTCCGTGCCATGAGTGACGAGGCGTGTGCCAGGCAAGGAAGGATTGCTTTTGTTTGAATGAGGAAATAAAACTGACCACGCGGTGTGAGGGTGTGGTGACCTGGGTGAGGTCCGTCCCGCATGCTGGCGCAGGAGGGGCTTGCCAAGGAGGCTGGGAGCCGTTTGAGCTCTCTTATGAAATGTCACTTTTGTGGCTTCTGGTTCGTGGGGGGTTCGAGAAGGATGAGTTATCTCCGTACAGAGGATACCATCGAAGAATTCGGCCAAAAGGCATGATCTCCTTCTTGAACCAGATGACTTCCATGTTGGCAGTGCAGTAATGCGGTGAGAGACAGAGGTGAAGCAAGACCTCCTGCCCCGCTTTTGCGTCCTTGAGGTGGGCGTGTATCTTGTATCTCTGCATTCATCCACCGTGGGGGCAGGCGGCGATCGGATGGCAGCCAAGAGCCACTGCAGCACCAGATACAACGGATACAGTACTCTTCGTTGGTGCCGCCAACCGGACCGTTATTTGAGCTGACAGACAACCCCGAGCTTCCGCTTCGGATCGACGAACATCTACGGTACGGGGCGAAGAGGGCGAATAATAGAGAAGATATCATCGCTCTCGGCCGGCCCATGTTGCTTGTAGTCGTCGCATCGATGACTTTTCCCGGAAGGATGTCTATGCGGATGCAGCTTGAGGGGGCCGGCAATAATTGCAGACAGCGGCCAGATGTATCTTGACTCGTCACAGCAGCAGCTCTGCAGGGTGGAACCCGAAATTGTGACCCCCTTCGCTCAAATTCACCCGATGCGCACACCAGTGCACCACTCAACGAGAGTCACCAGAATTGAGAACATGCATGCTAACCGCCTGGCTGCCAAATTCGTGGAAAATGCTCTCCTTCTGCCAATGCCGTTGCAATACACCGGGAAAAAGAAGATTTGTTCTCTGAAATAGGCGAATTGGTACCTAGACCGGTGAACTGCCGGTCGTCAGGGAATTAAACATTGCTGCATGGGAGGGGCCTGAGAAACGTTTGAGATCGCAGTGCATACCGAAAACAACTTGTCCAATCACACCAACGGAATTTCGGGTCGTACGATGCCACCAATGGGTACTTTTAAAAATCCAAGGAGGAAGCAAGAGTGGCCGGGCTTACAAGACGACCACGCTCACTGCTCTGTGACAGCGTCCCTCACAACAGCGTCCCTCAGAACAAGCACATCGAGTACCGCGGTCAGCCGAGCCGAGCCTGCTTGGAGCTGAAGGCCAAGTCGCCCACCGCCGCTGCGTGTTTCTCCATAGCCAAAAAGGTCCCCGCGCATTGCCTGGCCTGGCAAATATCCTTTCCCATATCCAGGATCCCGACGTCCAGTGCAACGCGCCGGAGCTTGTGGACTCGAAGACGCCCGCGGCCACTAGCAACCCGCAGTCTTTAAGCTGCGGAGCCCCCCGACACGTCCACACACTTCACTGCATCGCGGGTACAAACCTCTACCTCGTTTACTCGTATTCGATCACGATTCACCAGCATAGCCAATGTACCTCTGACAGCCTGTTCCCGGCATTTATTGGGTCACCGCAGACGACAGCAGGACCACCCCTCCATTGGCAGCGCCCGGCATTATTTGAGTATTTTGAGCCAGATCTGCCACTATCTCATGCCAACGAACCGGTGTCGATCTTCGAGCTAGCCTCCGACAATCCTGGACAACCGACACCGATCTCCCTCGAGCGTCTCGAGCGTTTCGAGCACGCGGTCGCTGAACTGAGTGTTTCTTCCTCAACATGAAGCTTCACTAAGGCCTCTCATCTGCCATCCCCGACTGCATCACCCTTCAATGCGCTTTTCTACTCTCACGACGAGTCTCTCCGCTCACGACCCGCATCCCGCCTCCTCCGCCCCTCCTGTCTGACCTCACCGACCCCTCTCACAATGGCGACGAATTTCTCGACTTCAGAAGCCCTGACCACGCTATGTAAGTCAATACCGGATTGGAACGCCCGTCTCGATGAACTCAATGGGCAAATTGCCAACCGGCAGATTGAGCTCGCTCGATTGACAGAAAAGGAACGCCCACCAGCCCGATCACTGAAAAACAAAGGCTCGACCGAGTCCCTGCGACCAAAAGATGGCAATGAGAACCCTTTTGGCTCCAATGATGGAGAGAATGGAGTTGATATCCAGATGAATCCTTTCGATACGCCAAAGTCGCACGAAAATAGCTCTGCAGGCCTTCGACCAAGCTCCTCTGCGGCTGCCCGACAAGCTGCACTGGGATCCCCGCCTCCCCCCAAAGCCAGTTCAAATCCACGACCATCTCCTGGCGCAGGGTTGGCGCGACAGTCCTCTCAGCCAACACCTCCGACACAGTCCCGACCCTCCGCTGCCGTTATACGAAAACGGAAGACCGAATCTCTTGCCTCGGCAGAGTCATTAGTACCGAAATACAGAACTAGATCAATGATTATTGTATATTACGACAGTGCGGTACAAACAGCCTTTGAGGATCTGGTGAAATTTGTGAGTGGGAGCCGGAATGCGATGCGGAAAGGAAAAATGGCAGCGAAAATGGCGGAGATGCGCAGAGCAGCCGAGCTGGAGGTGGATGCCGATGATGACGACGACGACGATGGAGGATTAGATGCGATGTTGAAGAATAATAGGTCTCTTTTAGCGACACAAAAACACGTCCCCATCAACAAACCATGTCAAAGTGGTCCAGGAGGCATCGCTGCCGCGGACTCAGATGGCGGAGATGAACTCGCATTGCCGAAGCTGAAATACGTATCGACGAGGCAGATGGGTCCATTGAGGGATTTCCCACATAGGACAGACCTGTCGGGGGGGCCGTTGAGCGTTGGCTTGTTGAAAGGATACAGGAGGGCCGGAATGGACAGCAAGCCAGACATTTTCGACGAATTGGACAAAGGATTGGAATGGTGCCAAGGGCAATGCGAGCATGCAGCCCACCAGTTCTTACGAGATGGAGACTGCAGCACCGAGATCGCTAACATCAAACGAAGACTAGAGGAAGTGAAAACATCAGCCGAGAAAGAGGTGGAAAAGCTTAACACAGCAGAAGCTGCGAATCCAACCGCAACACTGGGATCTGCTCGGCTAGAGGAGGAATGCAGGGGACGTGTTCTCAAAGCACCGTTAATGAGAAAGGAATTGAGCATGGGAGCGATGAAGGATCTCGAAGTCGACGATAATATGGAAGTCGACGACTCGGAAGGCGAAATGGAAAGCCCACCAAAACTGGTCTTCAAAAGATCAAGAGATGTCGGTTTCTAAGTCGACATATACCGGACAAACTATCCGAACCCTGCTTTTTTATACCCACATTCTGCGAATTGAGCTAGTAGCGAGCGATCGAGCGATTTGGAAACGCGCATGGAATTACGGAATATGATGCATCGTCTCTGGCGTCCGTGATTTCTTGGAATCTATCAAGAATATCTTTTTTATGTTGGATAGGGCATAGCGGGGGCATTTTGCATTTATGTTTTATGAGCGGGGTAATATGTCGAATGTGGTGGATATCACTCATTGCAAAGGTTCGGAAAAGCTTTTACAGTCTTACATAAACTCCCAATTGATGTTTGGAGACGTTGAAAAGTGCACAACTTTTAAGGTCGTGAGAAAATTAGAGAATTGTGTGCGATACTTGTACTTTTGTCTTCGTGTCAATCTATGCAAGTGAAGTGTAAGAGGACGAGCTAGCCAGCATCTACCTGACAACAGCTCCAGTCAAGCTTTTGACCTTACAAACGCCACCACTCTCGGTAACTAGCTTTCCTACGCCTGTCTTAGGCTCCTCGCCCTCCTTACTCAACTCCTTGACAACACCAGCATCAAAGCCCACCGCCAAATCCGCCGTCGTGGTAAAGCCGGGCTGAATCGTCTCCCAGACCTTCTTTTTAGGATTCAAGACACCTTCAGATTCTCCCTTCCATCCCTCAAAGAACACTCTCTCACCAGCCTTGCTTCCCTCAGGTGGCGTCACCAGCTCCACAGGTCCTGCGTGATGATCCTCCTCTCCTTCCTTCAAGCGTGGTGATGCCGCAAGAACCATGGCACAACTCTTAATGCCCCGCATCTTCACCGGCTTCAAGTTGCAAACAACCACCACATAGCGGCCCTGCATCTCCTCCAAAGGGACCAGACCATTAAGGCCCGAGCACACGGTCCTAACAACCTGTCCCTCATACACATCCGTATCGTCCGTCCCCTCCTTGTCACCCATTGCAATCGTAGAAACAAACAGCGAATCCGCCTCCGGATGCTTGATAGCCTTCAGGACATGTCCAACCCTGAGATCAATAAGACAAGGACTCAAAGACGCTGCAGCAGCCGGGGCCTTCTGCGGCTTCGGAGCCTTCTCCTTCTTCTCCTTCTTCTTTTGCTGCTGCTCACCAGCACCCTCACTCCCAACAGCAGCGACAACCTTATCCTTCACCTCTCCCGCCTTCTCCTTCACCTTCTCACCAACGCTCTTCCCCTTGTTACTCCGATCCGCTAAAACCGTCTCCCCTCCAGCGCCTGCGGCAGCGGCTGCCTTCTCCTTCTTCAACCGCTCCTTCTCAGCCTTGGCATCAACCATCGGCTTCACGTACAAAATCTGCTCTGGATCAACAAGCAGCTTTTTCTCTTTTAGTCCAAAGAGCGGAGAGTTCTGCACAAAGTCCAAGTGCCTGACAATATTTGGCAGCCCTTGCTCTCCAGTCCGCTGCTCGAGAGTCCATTGTGAAACTGCTGGGGCGAGGCTCTCGTACAGCGCGACGTCAGCTTTTGACGGTTTGGTGCCGAGCAGTGTGGTGCGGGACGAGAGGTGCGTGTTAAGTGTTTCGAGGAGAGTGGTTTCGGAGGGATTGGATTGCAGGCGGGAGGAGGTGGTGAGCCATTGGTTTATTTCTGCTTGCTCAGTGTCGGTGTAGGTTATGTTGGTGAAGGATGCCATTTTTCGGGTGAGGGATGAGGTGTGCCGGATGGCGCGGGGGAGGAACCGTGTGGTAAACAGCGTGCCGGTAGGTTGAAGAGGGTTGGGCGGTCAATTGCGAGGTGCGATGTGAGGAAGTTTGTTGACTCATGGCTCGAAATTTTGATGCACGTTACAAAATTGTGGCACGTGACGTGACGAGGCTGGAGATACCTTAGTAAAAGCGGCACTCATTTCGACCCCCCAAGTCAAAGTTAGACATTCATTTGGACTCGAGAACGATGGGAACAATATTCTAAGATTTGCGAGTTATCTTAAAGGAGAAGACTTTGAACGTACAAAGTTGCATGTGATTGAGTGGAAATATTTGCATTGTCCAGCTTGAAATGGGACATTGAAAACCAGTGCCGCTTTTTCTGCCCTCCAACAATAACCGTCCGAACTTATACTTCCTCAACCTCAGTGCGTTTACCATTCAGTACTTTGCCCCCACAGCCACCTTGAAGAGCCGGGTTCCCATACGAAAGATCGAGTTCAAAACTTCGCATCAGATGAGTATCATCTGAAAATCCGCAGTTTTCAAGTCACCATCTCGACAGCCTCGTTCGTTGTCAACTTTTGGTGGCTGCTGCCTTACGGTGTGTACAGTGCCACAGACGAGAAATGGATACACTGGTGTGCTTATCATGAGATATGATCACTATTCCTGCATTAGAGAGATAGGTTTAATTCTTCCAAGTCCAACGAAGGTACTAGTGCCCTGTTCACATCAAGAGGAGAAGTTAAGCCTCAAGCACCTGGTGCCTCACCCTATCAGGCTGACCAGTTTGATGGTGAAGGGAACGTCTATCAATCTTTATAAAAACGCTGTGAGTCTGTTCTTATTTGTCTACTTATAGCTTTTTGTTTTCAACACGCATTTGATTTGGGAAGGATCCCCCTGAAACGTATGTTGACATTTCCTCTTCTGCTTGGTATCATTTATCAAATCCTGAATTTGTCAACTTGTTATAAGAGAAGAATATGCGAGTTACGTCAGGCGTGGTATGGTCTAAGAGTACTGGGTTTGGTAATCCTTTTCCATTCATAATTCTAGAAATAGCATTAGATCCGCTTAATGTATACGAAAATATACATGCTTTTCCCAAAGAGTCGCATTTGAAGCATGGATTTTTCGCCTTGATCATGCTTTTCTTTCGCATTAACAACAAACATGACTATCTCTCATCACTCAATGCTCTCTCCTGACCGTCAAAATTCCTTCCAACCCCTAGCATTCTCCCAAGCAAAAGCTACCTTTAGACACCCAATCTCATCCCAGTTTCTCCCTACAATCTGCATACTAGCTGGAACCCTCACTCCCTCCTCTTTCGCATCCACAAACCCGATCGGGAAGGCCAACGCTGGGTGGCCCGTTGCATTGAAGGGGCATGTGTTATCCAGCTTCCCGATCGTCTTGCTCATCTTTGTAATCGGCGAGTCGGTTGGAGCAGGAAGAGGATCAGCTGGTGTGATAGTTGTAGGCATGATCAAAACATCGTAGGATTTGAACGCGGCGTCGTAAGCTTCTGAGAGTTTCCGTGAGAGATTGACAGCTTTGGCGTAGACTTGAGGAAAGCGTTCCCAGCAGTAATCACCCGCAAAGAAAGTGTTCTTGCTTACAGCGCTCATCTGGCTATTATCAGCATTCCGTTCAAGAGTCTTGTTCCGACGATGGGGTTACCTTTTCTATCGTATCAGCAGTACAAGGTAACATCTTCTCGTACAGATCTGTAAGCATAACCTGTCGTCTCCCTGAAGCCTTCCCAGCCCGCCCCATTGCGCCTCCTTGCCTAGACATAGCACCGAAGATTGCAGGTGCAATCTCGTGCATCGGGACGCTGACTTCTTCCACCACTGCTCCCAGTTCCATAAACACAGCAGCCGCAGCACGGAACTTTGTTTCGACCCCTTTATCCAAGATCGTCGAGCTCAATCCTTCTTTCAAGATCCCGATTTTCATTCCCTTGACACCCGCATCTTTTGTCTCAAGCAAAAGTTGCGAGTACTTTGGAACTTGGTCTGGAAATGGTGTGCCCGCTCGCTGCCGATCATCAAGTCCATCAACACCGGCAATGACCTCCAATAACAACGCATTATCCATTACAGTCCTGGTGATAGGACCAACATAATCGATCGTTGCCTCGTTACTCACACAACCTGTGTATGGCACCAGTCCCGACGTTGCCTTAAAGCCCACAAGCCCACACAAACTTGCAGGAATCCGGATCGAGCCACCTTGATCTGCTCCAACTCCCAAATCAACTTCTCCTTTCGCAACAAGATTCGCAGTCCCGGAAGAACTGCCACCTGCACTGTAGCCTTTGGCATAAGGGTTGGAAATTGGTCCCGTGGCTGCAGTGAAGGAAGCAGCACTTGTGCTAAGGTTTTCGCAAACTGCTTTTCCGGTGATAATCCCACCTGCTGAGAGGATCCGGGTTACAATTGTTGCATCGGTTTTTGGGGTCCAGTTTGTGAATGTTTCCGTACCGACGAGGCAGGGGACGCCAGCTACGCAGATGTTGTCTTTGATGCATAACGTTTTGCCTTTAAGGAGAGTTGATGAAGGGGACTTGTGGGATAGATGAAAGCGGTAGGCCCAGGCGTTGTCTTGGTTTTCTGACTTCCCTGGGAGATATCTACGGTATTTAGTCACTAGTTTCTTAAGCCAGAGAATGGAAACTTACATGTTTTCTCGTGGCGTCAATTCGAAGTCCGCTTCTGGCTGGTAGTCTATGAAGAGTCAGAGCATGTTTTAGATGATAGATTAAGATAGCATTAGACGGACCATCCATTTCTGAGACAAATTGCATGGCGTTGCATGTTGCTGCGAGGAGAGTGGTATATTCTGCTTTCTCGTTGTCCTTGAATTCATAGCCGTATTTATCTGCAATTGCAGCCAGATCATCTTCTGTGACTTTGATTCCCCTTTACAATATTAGAACACCTTTTTCAAGTAAGTGAAAGTTAGACCTACTCTGCTGGAGTAACAGAGAGAAGTGACATGTTTTTTTTTTTTTGATTGTGAGACCTGTAAAGGATGGCGTGGAAGTTTCAAATTCTAACAACTTGATACGGGAAGAGTGTGGTTGAAAGCAAGATAATTCAACTCATATATATTCATGGCTCGGACGGAGACTTTGATACAGGAGAACTTCTCAAATGTGAGCTACCCCATCTTTGACATCTTTATCTTCGCGACTTCGGAGATCCGTTGATTAGGCCGTCTTACAATACGTGACGCTATGGGAAAGTAGCAACATTGATAAATGAGATAAATATCCCACAAATCGGCTCGAAAACGAAACTCAAGGAGTTCTAAGTACTTTCTTGAAGAAAAGGGGGGTATCACGTGAGGGACTTGAGAGCCAGCACAAGCTCATGTGAAGCTGCTGAGTGCATATAAGCCTCAGAGCATGTTACTGGTTGGTGGAATGATATGGTACCGAAATTTCCAAACTTCAAAAGTCGATGTGAGGTGGTGAAGGAAGGAAAGAAAAGAAATTTCCAGGAGAGAGGAATCGGTTCGTCGCAGATGGCTCGCTTCGCTTGCTGTAGAATTTTTCTACATTCAACATCCTCCTCGAGCTAGACGAGTTTGAAGACCACAAGATGGTTGTTAACAGAGCCTTACGTGCCACAGGATGTGCCGGCTGTCGGTTATCGCTCTTAAGGAGCTTTGCTTCCTTGGCCGGTGCACCAATTCGAGCCCCGGTAACCGCCTTGAGATTTCCAAGATGTCAACCCTCGTCACAGACACGGCAGTCTTCGAGATTCACATCGGAGAGTGAAGTGTGGAAAGATGATATTGAGGACAGCAAGCAAACCAAGATAGAGCCGGGAGAAGCCGAAGAGGAGCTTGAATATGTTGAAGAGCTGTCAGAAGAAGAGCCACGAGTATCGACGGTTCCATGGTACGTCCAAGTTAACTCTCCGCAAAGAGCTCCACAACCATTATCAGAGCGACAACGAATACCAGAGCTCCCAGAAACTCCTCCACCAATACTCGAACCTCTTCTCAAGCAAATATCAATCGACCTCGGTCTTGACGACCTCTCCCTTTTAGACCTCCGAAAGCTCGATCCTCCTCCCGCATTAGGAGCCAACCTCCTAATGCTAATTGGCACAGCAAGAAGCGAAAAGCATCTACACGTCTCTGCAGACAGGTTATGTCGATGGCTACGAAGTACATACAAGTTACGGCCAAATGCGGATGGATTGTTAGGAAGGAATGAGCTGAAGTTGAAGTTGAAGCGAAAGGCGAAGAAAGCAAAGCTTTTGGGAAGCAGCACTGATGAGAATGCCGATGATGGAGTGCGGACTGGATGGGTCTGCGTTGATGTTGGTGTTGTTGAAGAAGCAGAAGGTGGAGCTATTGAACCCTCCAAGCAGGATTTTGTTGGATTTGGTCGCCGGACTGAAGGTGTGAGGATGGTGGTTCAAATGTTGACTGAGGAGAAGAGGGAGGAGGTTGATTTGGAAAGCCTTTGGAGTGGGATTCTACGACGAGGAACCCAGCCTCATGTAGAGGATGCCGAGGATGCTGAAGCCTTGTCCACAGGAAACGCGTCAACGCCGGAAGCCCTCCCCGAATCAATTCGACCAGCAGGGACGGCCGGTCCTTCCTCATTTGTTGGGCAAACTCGTGGATTTCACACAAGTGCGCGTCGTCTATTACAAGAGGTAGAGCCAGCCGCAACAGCGGGTTCCACAGCCAGTGATTTTGAAGTTTTGGATCTGGACCAGCTTCGGAAATCTGCGATGCAGAATATTGTGTCAGGAGATTATCTTAAAGTTTCGAATATGCTACGTCAAGCCAGCCAACTTGTTCCTCGGCTACAGAATGGAGGGTGGAGGCTCTTTCTTCTGGATCTGCTGAGGACATACCTATCAAGCCTCCCTAGAGATCAAGCTTTGCAAGAGTTGGGTAATTCAGATTCCCAAACACCATTCATAACTTGCTTCAAGGATGCTCTGTCATTGTATCCAACCGAATTTGAGGCCGAGAGTAGAATATGGCTGCATGTCTATGCCAGGGGGCTTGAACATCCTGATTATGACAAAGGGAATCTTTTCGCGCTTATGGACGAGCTACTTCTCGCCGGGGTAAGGATCTCTCGACCAGCATATATATATGCTCTTCGCAGCCTCATTCTCCCTGGTACAAGAGGACACACTTCTACCAAATCTCTCAAAGCTGCAACGAGGATTCTTGAAGCAATGTACGACCAAGGCATGGATATCCTCACTGAGGACATATTTGTGGAATTGCAAGAAGCTGCCGCTGCAAGTCCTGCTCAGGCGACATCGCCGTATCAAGTCTACACACATCCAGATGATACACACGACCTTCCTGGCATGCGAATGACTCCGGTTCAGCGTCGACTGCATGTTTTAACCAAGACCATCGATTTGCCTCCTTTTTCGGATGAATCAAGGATGCGACTGATGCATCTTCACGCTAAGAACCAGTATTGGCTCGAATTCTGGGATATTTTCAGAATGGCGCCTCGACAAGGCCAACCTAATTCAGCAGCTATGTACGCTTTCATGTTTGGTACAGTGGCACAAACCGGGCACCAGAAAGCTTGTATGAATGTTCTACGAACTTGGACCACAGAAATGAGACGAGAGCAGCCTCCAGTCGCTTTTGAAGGGGAGGTTGCAGAGGCTATCAAAGCTTGTTTGCGGGTAGCGGATCCATATATTGAACAAGCTGTGGTCGATTCTCCGGATGCGAAAGGAGAATGGCTGTCCTTGTGGCAGAAGTGTCGTTGGACCGGGGGACAAAACGATCCGTTTTTGTACGATTAACTGATGACGAGATGTTGTAAGATTACCATATAGGACCAGAGATACCGAGCTGTATAACTCGCAACACTTGCACGAGAACGTTGGTTGTGTCTACTTTCGAGATGCGCACCATTCATACGAACACAAGAGCACGTGTTCTCCAGATTCAACTCCACATCTGCGACTAAAATCTTGAAGTCGAGATATATGGCTCCTGTATCATCAGTTGAACGTGGCTTGGCGATTGGTAGTGGCTTCCCTGCGTCGGCGCTTCCCGCAACCCCTGCAACTCATCGACCCAACAACCACCACCAATCAACATCACAGTCTTGTTTCACTTCAGCCCGGCCTGAAAAGTGCCCTCTATTTATCAACCCTCAGCCCTCTTCATCTGATAAACATGCTTCCGCTGTCATCTCATTCCATCTCCCTAACCCTCCTCCATTCCAAAATCCATCACAATTCGCAACCATGAAGCTCACACTCACAACCCCATCTCTCCTCCTCCTCTCATCAGCCCACCAAGCATTAGCCTGGGGCACACTTGGCCACGAAACCGTCGCTTTCATCGCCCAAAACTTCGTTGCAGCAGACACAAAAGTCTTCCTCTCCTCCATCCTTCAGGACACCTCCACAGAATATCTAGCCAAGGTAGCGACATGGGCTGATTCGTTTCGGTATACAAAGGCGGGAAAGTTCAGCGAGCCGTTCCATTTCATTGATGCGGAGGATAATCCGCCGGATAGTTGTAGCGTGACGTATTCGAGGGATTGTGGGAAGAGCGGGTGTGTGGTTGGGGCGATTCAGAATTATGTGAGTTTTGGGTGGGAGGAAGGGAGGAAGAAAGGGAAAGGATGAGAGGCTGATGACGGAAGTAGACGACACAACTTCTGGACTCTTCGTTGGATAAGGGAACTATTAATATGGCTGCTAAGGTTTGAAAATTTTAATCCCAATTATTGAGAACTTCATACTGATGTTGAATAGTTTATCATCCACGTGAGTTTGACAAAACAGATGGGTTTGAGATGATTCTAAGTAGAAACAGTTCGTAGGAGACATCCACCAACCTCTCCACGACGAAGCTCTCGACCGCGGAGGAAACTCCATCGCCGTCCTCTTCGGCGGAGTAGCCACCAACTTGCACCACATTTGGGACACCAACATGCCAGAAAAGCTCGTCGGTGGCTATACGCTAGCAGACGCTGAACGCTGGGCCGCCACGCTTACTACCGAGATCAATACCGGCGCGTTCAAAGACCAGGCTGCGAGCTGGCTTGAAGGCATCGATATCACGGATCCCGTGACGACGTCTCTGGGTTGGGCGAGCCAGACCAACCAGTTTGTGTGTACGACGGTCCTGCCGAATGGGAAGGAAGGCGTGGAGAATCAGGAGTTGAGTGGCAGTTATTATGAGGCTGCTGTGCCGGTTATCCAGTTACAGATTGCGAGGGCTGGATATAGGTATGTTCTTTAATTTTAACACGCAGGATTGGATTGGCAAAAAAAAAACTAATATGAACGAACAGGTTGGCAAAATGGTTGGATCTGATAACTGTAGGCGTCAGGACGGAATTGTAAGGTAATGGTGAAATGGAGGTTGCTTGATTATGATTACGATTCCCACCCATTTTAATGCAGCCTCTGTTTAATCGTCCTCTATCGCCGAACATACTTTTCATCTTGCATCTATTCTCAGCCTTCTTTCCTTGGTATTCATCCTATCTCATTATTTTCTCTGTCCCAGCCGAGGCAGTTTAATATAAAGTGTTATCAAAGTTACCACCAGCGATAGAATGACCGTCATAAAGAAAGTCGCTCTGAGCGCCGAAGCATAAGAATCAATCACCTGCTCCCTGTAAACCGGCTCCAGATCCGCAATCGCTCTTACGGATTTGCGAACTTGTTCAATAACCTATTCACCCGTCAGTCCATCGGTAAGAAAAGGAGGGACGGATATCTCACATCCTCCTTATCTGGCCCCACGACATTCTTCTCAAGATAGACCAACAACGCATTCTGCACCACCAAACTACTCGCTGCAACACCAAGCACCATCCCCAAACTCCTCCATAAAATCAACGTACTCGTCACAACCGCCTGCTCCGCCTGCTCAGACACAACAAGGACACTCATAAAGGCAGCCGGGAACATGAACCCTTGACCCATCGCAGAAGGAACCAGGAATAACAGGTATGCCCAATCCGGTAATCCCCTCTGCATACACGACAGTGCCATCGTCCCCGTAACCAGACAAATAACACCAAGCACAAGCAACCACTTCAGCCTCTTCGTCCACGTTATCAGGAACCCCGTCGCTGTTCCTACGGCCGAAGCTGCCAGGGACGGCACAATGAGACGAAGACCGGAGGTGGTGGCGCTCTCGAGCAAAACGGCTTGGAAGTAGAGCGGGATGTTGAATGTTACGGCGTTGGCGATGATGGCGCCGATGAAGTTCCCGAGGATGAGCCCTGCGCGCGGGTTGTGCAGGATGAGCTTTAGGGGCATGATGGGTAGGGGGACGATGGATTCGATGTAAATGAAGAGGGGGAAGGCGAGACTGAAGATGATGAGGGATGCGAGGACGAAGGGGTGCGTCCATGGGAAGATGTTGCCACCGAGGTTCTGTTGTTGTTAGTGAGGTGATGGAGTGGAGTTGAGGAAGACTTACCAAACCGAGAATGAGAAAGGTAATGCATGCTGTGAGGAGAAGAGACCCTTTGAAGTCAAACACTTTCATCGCCTCCCACAAGGTCTTCTTCTCAATACCCGCTGCTAAACCGAGCTTCCTGGGAATCACAAAATAGGAGCCGAGGACGCAAAGAGCTATGAGAGGCACCTGGACACCAAACTCCCACCTCCAGCCTAATGAGTCTGCGATAGCGCCTCCAAGAGCAGCTCCCATTGTTGACCCTACTCCGAAGACGATATTTATATACGACTGATACACACCACGAATCTCAATCGGCACAAGATCACTCATGATGATCGATCCCATAGCCATCATCCCACCAGCACCCAGCCCACACACAGCTCTAGCAATGATAAAGCTTGTCATGCTCTGAGCAAGGGCACACCAAATCGTCGCAATCAAGAAAATAGTCATCGTAAAAATATACGGCGTTTTCCTCCCAATTGTATCGGACAACCTTCCAAACAACGGCTGAAAGCTCGTCGAAGTCAACAAAAACGCAGTCGAAAGCCAGGATGCACTATTCGAGCTCTGGAAATAGGACGTGATAACCGGATGACTGGACACCATGATCGTCGAGTCGAAGCATGCTACGAAATTCCCCGTCATAACTCCGCCGAATATGAGCCAGAAGGTGCCCACGCTGACGCCTGCTAGGAAAGGAGATTTAGGTTTTGATTCTATGTCTTCCTCGCTTGGGGATTCGGGGATGGCTCGGGAGCTGCCGTTCCCGAAGCTGTATCGACGGGGTCCTCGCAGCATGGCTGTTTCTTGAGATTCGACTTCGATTCCTAGCCCTGTGGTGATTGACTCGGCTCGCGATAGGAGGTTGTCGAATTCATTGGGGTCGATCTCTGTTTCTTCGGAGTCTTCATCAATGATCGTTTCGTCTGGTGATATATGAGAACGGTCGTAAGAAGTGTTATTGTTCGAACCGAGGAGCGACGTTCTCTCATGGACAACCTCTTGCTGGCTACTTGAGCCAGCCTCCTCGTAAACACGCCCAGCACCAGCCATTTCGATATTGTATCAAGAACTGGCAAGTCCGGGCTCTACAAATCAAAGCAAAACTTCGAGTAACCCGACACAAACGAAGTTCTGATTGGAGTCATATGGTTGCCTAAAGCTTGAAAATCCTCAATCATCTAAGTCGGATCTGACTCCGACTTCCATGTGAAGCAAGAAAGAGCTAATGTCAAACAACTACTTGAACTATTTACTCTCTTATCTCAGCACAGTGCCATACAGAGGAAACAATGGAGAGCAGGATACGAGAAGAGAAAGAGAAGAGAAGAGAAGGGAAAAGGGTGCGACCCTCAAAATTGGCTTGCAGCGGTCCGGCGACAGGGGTAAGAATGGGATTAGTCAATGGCGGTTGCGGACAGGGGCAAGAATGGGATAAGTCAATGGCGATTGCGAATTCAGGCCAAGAGGCTGCATATGCATGCGAGGGTAGGCCCCCGGCAGGTGATCTCGGCCGGCCCCATTTTGGCATCCGCACACTGTATTGGCTAGCATTTCCGGGAAAGACCTCGAAGAGCGCAAATGAGTCAAGAAGATGCATGAGTTTGTAACGTGTTATGAAGCGGACTTCTATTCAGAGAAGACGTGGAAACAAAAGCTTAAATAGGTACTCGTATGCACGTTACACGAATTTACCCCTCCTTTTCGTCCGATATCGTCCTCTTTATCGATAAGTAATTTCTAAACCATCCCCGCATTAACTGCGTCATTCATTCCTTAATAAGTATATAATATCACACTGTCTTTCACTACACAATTTCCTTCTGTTTTTTCCTTTAACTGCATCCATACTTCGCTGCGTACAACGTCGTACGTAAAATTTTCGAAGATGGCTTCCCTTCCCCTCCGCATCGCAGTCCTCGAATGCGACACCCCTCAGCCAGGAACCCGCTCGAAATACGGCGGATACGGCGGCGTCTTCACCTCCTTGTAAGTGTTATTCCAATCCCAATCCCTCGCTCTTTGCTTCTCGAACTCGGAACCTGACTCTTGCCTTCCCAATCCTCCTCCTCAAACCCTCAGACTTCCAGCTAACCACCCAAGCCTCAAATCCGGCGCCGACGCCCTCCATTACCCCGGCCTCACCTCTTCATCCGGTCTCCACATCACCTCCTACAACGTTGTAGACGACCCCTCAAACTACCCCTCCCTCGCCTCCATCGACGCAATCCTCATAACAGGCTCAAGACACGACTCCTTCTCCTCCTCCCCCTGGATCCTCAAACTACTTTCCTTTACCGAACAAGTGCTGAGGCAGAGGCGGGTAAGGGTGATAGGCGTCTGTTTCGGACATCAGATCGTCGGCCGCGCGATGGGTGCACGACTGGGGAGGAATGCAAGGGGCTGGGAGGCGAGCGTTACGCCCATGGATCTGACGAAGAGAGGCCAAGAGATTTTTGGGCAGAATACTCTGGTGAGTAACTCCCTCCCTGCAGGTTGCGTCTGGCTGACTAGGGATAGGCAATACATCAGATGCACAGAGATATCATGTTTGCGTATCCGGAAGGAGTTGAGCCCTTGGCGTATACGGACAAGTGTGCTGTGCAAGGGATGTACGCCCCAAAACGTCTGATTGCCATTCAGGGACATCCGGAGTTCAATGAGGAGATTGTGAGGGAGTTGTTACTTGTTAGGCATGCGGCGAAGGTCTTTGATGATGAGGTGTTTGAGGATGCGATGGGGAGGGTGGATAAGTATCAAGATGGGGTGGTGGTTGCGAAGGCGTTCTTGAAGTTTCTTCTGGAGTGAGACATCTGGGAAAGGTCATGTTGGTCTATTTGCTGCATTTTAGAGTGGACACTTGCTTGAAATGATCGTCCGACGAATAATTCAAACGCTTTAGAGGAACTGTTTTGGACCAATCTACTCATGTGTGTGTATTCCTAATCTCCAGCACTCCGTTCTATTCTGGCTATCCATCCGAAGCCACTTCTCTCAGCAATTTAGTCAACCCGAATCATTCCAACACCCTCGGAACCTTTACAGACGCTTAAAGCTGATGAGTGGCGGTAGTCTGATTTCCAGTCCTGTATCAATACTAGCAATATATCTTCTCGTCGCCTCAATGTGGCAAGATGTTTTGGGACAAAGCAAATGACTCTCCTCCAGCGTAGTGAGATCCACAAATCTCACATTTCTTCTCCCTCTGATGTTTATTGGGCCGACTACCATTATTGCCTCCCTCAAGTCGGGAAGAATGCTCAATATGAGTCCAAGTTTATACCACTCTGGGTGCGATAGAACAGGTATTTCAATTGCAATACGCTGTATCAAGCCAACAGTCTCCTCATTGAACCAACGCTCTTGGAGCAAGCCAGCCACCAGGGCGTAATCGTCTTCTATAAGACGCCGAGCGTGGTTGTACCCAAATGTTAAACATACCGTGTCTTTCGCCGAGTTGATGTATATGACTCTGTCTCTCCAGTAATCAGGAGCGATCGGAGCTATTCTGAATATCCTAGTATAGTGCTTGAGACCCTCCTCTCGTGCCTCAGGACAGACATGCAAGACGGCCGGAGCTGGGGTTTGAGTTGTAAAGATGCTGTAGGTCTCATTCTCCGGAACGGAAAAGTGAATATAAGTGTGGAACACTACCTCGACAATTCGCGGCTCCATACAAGCTTCTTTCCAAATCTGTATTCTCAGTTCTGGTGGAAGCTTCTGAAATAACTGAAACTCATCGAATGACATAGCTGCAATAGCAACACTTCAAGTTCGGTGACGGCTTTCTTCAATTGTGTGTTTCCTAGAGCGTTGAATGCGGATAGCTTATCTGCATCGGCGAGATTAAGCTTGACCTTCACGAAAGTTCAGCAGGAATTATGCACATAGGAATGGGGTCAGCTCACAAGTAGGGTCAAGGCTAAGCTTTTCTGATACTTAGAAGACCGATGTTCTGGGCCAAAGAGACGGGCTTTCTGAGATCGATAGCAAGGAAATCGTCCCTTATCGTGCTGTCGATGGAGAGATACCCAATGCTTATGTTGCCACGAAGACCAGGCGGAAAGATGTGCTCTGCAGGTGCCGAAGGTGACGAGTAGGCGGTATCAGCTCTATGTTTGATGAAAAAGGAACTCGGCGAGTCCAATGTCAGCCAGTGCAAAGTTGCAGATTCGAGATTTCGAACTTTGACTCTTTGAAGATGAAGAGGCCGAAGTCTTCGCTGCCGGAAGGAAGGATGTGATGCTCGATGTCAACTGGCAGAAAGTTTGATGTTAGATTCTTTGGAAACTAGAAAGGCTCTGTTTGCACTTACTGGATGTAAAAGAATAACGCCCAACGTCAATTGCCACAGTGGAATGAATCCGCGATCGAGGATTTCTTCTCCTGGAAGACAAAGGCGGTGTTCATGGATATGTATGCTATGCTTCTGGATGTCCAAAAACAATAGAAGCAAGTTCAAGTTTGGGAGATCGCTCAGCTCCTCAGAAGCAACCAGGTAGCGTGGTGGTCGACGAAAGTGGAAGTAACGATGAAGGGGAAGGAGCGCTGCACGTGACTTCAAGCCCCCCTGAATTTTTGGAAATTGGGAAAGAGCGTCTGAAGTGCAGTGAAACGTCCGCAATGGTTGAATTGGAAGACACGATGCAATTGCGAAGTAATAAATGAAGCGTGAAGGGATGTGAAAGTCAGATCCAGGTGGCAAGTTGTGTTGCAGAGTCTCTACTACCGTGAACTCCGAATGAAAGAAGAGAAGAAGAACTATGAATCGTTAATCATACCTCACTTAGCCACTCTCAAAGCAGTGAGAGAGAGACAAGGACACATTAATTGCATGCATCGAAGCGTCACGCGCTCCCTCACATCATGACCAGGAATAGAGTAAGAATGCTCGCTTATGCCTCCCGAATTCGCTTAAGCATCACCCCTTTTCTTCTCGTGGGACAGAAGAGGTTCTTCAACAGGGCCGGGCAAGGGGAAATGTGCTCGCAGTTTTGCCTTCGCATTTCTACGGAGATCCGTAAGCAGAAATCGCATCTCCGTTGCGTGTTCTCTTCTTGTGTCATCACAAGTTGAGCTTCTTCAAATCACATAGCAGGGAGCAAGTATCAACCAGTGATTGCTCTTCATATCTACAAAGCCCGAGATACCCCTCCACAATGTATCTCTGCATGCAGAGACATGGTTCTGTGCTAAAAGCAAACACCACCCAAATGCAATGCAATGCCTCAGTCCGGGTCCGTAGACTCTCCGGAAGTAACCCAGTAACCCAAAGCCAATCCCCCAGTCCTTCCATGCAAAGTAATTCCCAAAACGCCAGCAAATGCCGCTAAATTTCACTCCCATCCCACCCATATGTGTCTCCTGACCCTATGTACTCGAGCTCCCGGAGCCTTCGCCGCTGACAGGCGACACAGGCTCGCTCAGATCCCACTTTATCTGCTGATTCCTCCCAACAGCAATATCTCCCTCGTGCTCTCCACTGGCCATCTTCATTCCCTTCTCCTCGTCTGGGGAAGGAAAAGCAATGTCTTCCATCGGATTCGCTACCTCCTCCGCCACAGGACTCATCGACGTATCCACAACGCCATCGATACCAGCCGCTTCCCACCAGCTCCTCTCTCCCCTCTTCGTAGTATCTGTGGGCGTATGAGCATGGCCCTTCTCAACCTGCTCCTTTCTCTGCGCCAACTCTTCATCTCGTCTCCTGTACGCTGCTCTTGCCTCTCGCACCATCTCCTCTCTCGTCTTGCCTGGTCCATTGACCACTCTCCGCTTCCCCATCCCCTTCCAGCCAGACCAGAACTTCAAGCTTGCCCAGAAACTACCGTTGCTTCCTGGGATATGGCGCCATGGTTTCTCGCGGGTAGAGAAGAGCCAGCAATCTACGGCTGCTTGGATGCAGATAGATATGGTGGTAACACATGTCAGTGCAAAGGGAGGGTTGAGGGCGTATCTATCGTCGTATTGGAGGGCATGTGAAACGAAGGGGAGGATCCACATCCCGATATATACCAGAGGGTAGATGAAAAGAAATCGCAGTTGTCTCCGGATCTTGTCTCTCGTGCGAAGCATTTCAGCATCAGCGTAGGTTTGGCCATGGGAATTGACCAGCTGTAGCTGAGATAGAGGCGTAGGGACATCGGGAGAATCTGGATGTTGACGGAGGATCGTGAACATGTCGATTATTGAAGGCTTTTCGGTTGTAGCGCCACTTCGTGGAGGCGAGAATCTCTTGACGAAGCTGTCTCGCCAAGAACTCGCCCGAGAACGAGAAGGCGTCTCGGATATCAGTGAAGCTTCATGTGGAGGAGAATGAGAGATTGGAGACATGATCGGAGCGACAGGACGAGGTGTGGACGGGCCGATGAATGAATCTGCATCCACGATTGATGGTTCCGAGGGAGGAGTTGGACAAGACTGATCTCCCGCTGTGAAGCTAGCCAACATAAAACGATGGGCTCCGGGTTTTGACTTCCTTCGTCCCAAATCTGAAGCACCTAAGTTAGATATTGACTCCCTTCTCGTTGGAGCTACAGGCATTGATGATTGTCTTGACTCCGATATTAAACCATGAGTCGCTAGACTCGGTGTTGGAGGTAATGTGTGCCTTTTGACTCTCTTCGGGGGTTGTATGACAGTGCCAGTGGTGTCGTTGAAACTACTCTCCCGGCTTCCGCCTTCCCTGTTGAAATCATCGAACTTATACCGGACGTAGTAGTATATCGAGGCATATATACCAAGAATAAATATGAAGATAATGTAGCGAGGAATCCAAGCCAGGGCAAGTCGGTACCAGAACGGCCGCACAGGCAGATAGCAGTATGTGCCCTCTGGCACGTAGGAACTGGAATCATTGATGAAGGCTAAAGATGCCATCAGGAGGGGGAGTACCACCCAAAGTGTGTACGCGTAGTGGCGATATGGATAGAGTCCGCCTTCGCCATTGGAGGACCTCGGCCTGAATATGTATAAAGCAGTGTGGACAGCAATCATAAGAACAGCAAAATCTGTATAACGTTAGACTCATTCCAATGTATAGTTTCATATTCCTACCTGATGCTTCGATTCCAAGAGAGATGAAGAAGCCATTGACTTGGCAGAAGCGTGAACCGCGCAGAATGGGACCGCTTGAAAAAGTAACGATCGGATACAACATGAACCAAAGCGCCTTGAACATGTCGCTCTGGATCAGTAACATGATGAGGCTGTAAGGTGTCAGTGTTCTCTTCCCCCAGCAATGGGTAAATTGCGCTTACTCGTGCCTAAAACTCCTCCGCATTTTGATGAACCAGTAGAATGCAAGAACTGACGAGGCAACGCTTATTATTGAGAACACCAAGGCCAGTATCTGCAAAATATTTTCGTCTGCAGGTGATATGTCTGAAGATGTGCTCGTCTTGTTGCCGCCTAGCCCTCTCGACTCTATCGTCATCTCCAACATTGCAGCAGCAATGCCCGACGAGAGAGGAGCCATTGCAAGTCGAACTGGCTCCTGCTCCCTCCACCTGAAGTCTGTTCAAAGAAGGTGGGATTGTGTATTATGAATTCAATATTGTTCTATCTCGTAACAACGACATGTTTTGGGGGCTGAATTCGCGTTCGAACCGCTGGGGTCAAGAAGGGATCGTCGAGGAGAGAATTGTCGCATGGAAAGTCGAATTCTGACGAAGCGAAGTCGGGGAGCCGCGCGCAGGGCTTAAGTTCAATTCTTGCAAATTTGAGGCTTCTCGGATTGTGCGTGCTGGCAGAGAATGCGGGTGTCTGCGCGATTAAGACTGGCGGTGGAGAGCTGGACCCGGTAGCCTTGTGGAGATGTGGGGAGCCAGTCGAGTGAAGTGACGGGAGGACTCGTGCCGAAGAATCCAATAGCTTCGTGTCGTCACGACAATTCGGAGTGAGGATTGGAGGGTTTGGGAGAAAGAAAGCACAGGAGAAGAAAGGACGAAGAGGGAAAAGGAATCAGGACGTGAGAAATGGTCGACGTAGTGAGATTGTATGGACCCGAGGCCAGCAATAGTTCACTCCCAGCGCTTGGCGCAGCCGATCACACCAAATGCTCACAATCGGAAGTCGTCTCGACTCCACCAACAAACTCCACGGAGAGCGCAAGTGACGCTTGGAGCACCGTGGCATGCTCTGAAGAGTGTCTCGGCCCCGGCCCCGGCCCCTGGATTCGAAGGCTGCTGCCACGAGTGCAGCCATTCACATCAGCACAGTACAATACTTGCCCCACGACACCAAATCAGCTGCAGTGCAAAACCCTGATCTTGCTCGGCTCCTGTGCATGCGATGACCTCGATGACGGGCTCCTGCAAAAAGCCCCGAACAAGGTGGTGTCTCCAAGGCTGCCATTGGCGTCGCTACCCCAAAAGCTCCCGTGCAGGCGGGCGGACGAGGATGGCACAGGTCACATCATGGCTCTGTCTTGAGAGCGCCATGCAAAATCCCACGAGACTGGCACAGCCAGGGCCAGTGCTTGGACGTCGTTTACGACCTCACTTTTGACTGGTGGGGTACTCGACTTCCAACAATAGCACAGGTTCACATACGAGGTACTGTAAAACTTGACACGGGGACAAGAATAAGCTTTATTCTTGGCCTCTGGGCATTGTGGGTCTTCTATCGAGGTACGAAGTCGACTTCTCTTGTCCCACGCACATCTGCAAGCCTCTCGCGTGGGATGCTGCAAAACTCTTCACCGAGTCCGGAAATCACTCGCATGCCTCGGGCGACGGGAAGATTCAGCCCCCGCCACGCGAGCATGTTTGCTTTTGGGCACACGATAGGCGATGTCCGTTGATAACAAGATCGGGGAGGAGAAATTTTCAAATTCAGTGGTTGCAACACGCTCTTGAATGTGGAGGGCCATGTTTTGGGCAATTCCTGGGACCGCGCATCCATCACCGGGGGATGGATGACAAACCGCTCAAGTGGGTGTTTGGATCTCTGTGTAACCCGGCTGTCCAATCAAGTATTGGTTCCAAACGCGTTAACGAGTTGGATCGTCATGGATCAGCCGTTTTGAGGCATTGACTCGTTCCTGTTTGATTGATCGATATTGAGCTAAAACAAGGGCTCCATCAGTCGTCAACGGCCATCCCTTGGCAGGGAGGGATATCGCTTGCAAATTATTTTTGATGCGTTGTCTCGTTCTTCGGTTTGCGCCTCTAGCTGTAGCCATGGCGGTAGTCTTGCAATACATTTTGGGATTGGTTTGAAGGGACTGAAGTTTTGCATGAGCTGATTATCTGAAGTTACGAGAAGAGTATTTGAAAACTTTGAAATACTGAGAGTTTTGGGCGTTGAGCTGCAATGAACTAATGCTTTTGTTCTCAATGGCGTCTCCAAAAAGCCCAAAGTCGATTCCTGCTAAATGGGACACATCGCCTCTCACTTGTTAATCTTTTGTGCTGCTATTGAAGGAGGCTGTTCCAAATATGGAGCTCTTTCTTGAACTTTCTGAGTCAAACCATACCGAGGTGTTGCGAGACGATGCGAGATGCTGTATAATCAACTTGCATCGAAACCAAAGCCTTTCCAACCTCAAAAGAGCGGGTACCTGCATTTGATAGGTACAACCCTATTAGCAGTAGTTGCTTCTTTTGACTTCGAACGAGCAGTCTCCCTTCTGTTGATGAATCCGAATTGTGTATCTGTTCCGTTGAGAATTCTCTAAGCGGGCCAAGAAAGGGGGAAGTGGGTCGAGGAAAGAATCATCAAAGGAACTTAACGTTGACCTTCGCCAAATGCTCCACACGTAATTGAACTCAATTGACCAATGGAATTCGAATCGATCGACCACTTTACCCCATAGGAAGTCATGGTCGATAAATTGTTAGAGGTACGGAGCGTACGCACGACTCGTTCTTGCCTCCATTTTACATCTTGAAATGTTTCTGCATCTTCATCTGACGATGCGACGGCACCGCCAAAAATGTTCACTACGAGTTCCACATATCGAGGAGCGAACTGGCTCCCAAAACCGACACTCAATAGAGGGCATCCTTGTAGTGAGCCAGTATAAAAGGCTCGGTGTCACCAACGCTGCACCCGTCGGGTACGATATTAGGGCCTACTCAGTTCGAGATTAGAAGGAAGTTCTGTCACCAGGACGGGCGGTTCAAATCTTACGCCTATCCCTTCAATATGAGGATTTTCAGTCAATGTTGCGGCTGCACAGAACTCCTCCATGCACGACTTGCATATTTTGGCCTCTTGATAATTGCTGGTCTTCATGGCTGTCACTTTTGCCCATGTCCCGAGTTCTGGGTCGAAGGAATTCCATGCAGCCGTTGATAGTCTCCGGGACTCTCGACCGTCCAGTGTGTCGCCAAAGTGCTATTGGTGGACTGCAGCCCATTGATAACATATAATGTATTGCCATAGTATGCCGCAGTAGCAACGCAATCACGACTGAGATCCAGACCCTCGAAGGGAACGACTTGAGCTTGGGCTAGATCTGGAGCAAGGCATCCGTCTTGGATGAGAAAGGCGGCTGTACACGTGACAATGCTTGGGCAAACCTAAAGGGCATCTACCGACTACGACCCTTGACGGGCCTTTGTCTTCTGCTCTACCGTAGAGATATTTAACCCTGGTATCAGAAACTTCTACGTCTCTAATAACCCTAAGGCCCCGTGGTAAGCCAAACAGTTCATGCCTTTCAACAGCCAAAATCAACGTTCCGGAGTTCTGCTACGCGCTTAGCTTCCTCCACCCACACCTGAGCGATTACCCGCTCCTTTCTCAACAGCCATTGTTCCCTTCGGATAATTTTACCAGGAGAAGCAACTCATACTTCTGTTCTACGATCCTGCTTCATATCTTCCCATTACGTTAACGGGTTTTTGGAGAAACTTTGAAGTGACCTGTCTATCCGATTCACCTTCAACAGCCCGATTTCCCGATTTGGCACGCTGAACCTGATACCTAACAACAAAGCGTTCATTCTGTTATGAAATTCCCATACGAATACAGCCAGTTTGCATTGTATTCCCGCTAGATTACCTTTACCCTTCAACAAGTCTTTTGACAAGACAATACCTTCAATCTCTAGTAGCCTACCTCACCTTGCTCTTCAACAAGTCTTTTGACAAGTCAATACTTTCCTTAGATCATACCTTCAACCTACAATACCCTACCTCGATAGGACAGCAATCATGCACTTCTCCAAGGTCATCGCCTTCTTGGCTTGTTTTTCATTGGCGCGTCACCCTTCCACCCCGTCCCAAACCAGATTACCTTAGGTCTTTGTTGACAATAGTTGGTGGCAGGTCCTTGCTGCTACCGTCCCGGAGAAGCGCGTCTTTACCAACAACGGTGTCACTTTCCGTGGTGAGATCAATGGCCATGCTTTTGAGGAGACTGGCACAGTTGAAGAAGTTTGGGCTACGCTCAAGGCTCGCCACCCGGAGATTGAGCTCAATACTACCGCTATTGACGAGCACAAGAACGAGAAGCGCGACAAGGTTTGCATTCCTAGCTTTCCCTGCTCTGTAACTCTACTAAATTCACAAGGCCATCCCACCTCTCTGCATCCCGGTCCGTGGTCATCCGTGGTTGGGGGCCCATTCTGAATTCATCGACGACGGTATCAAGTACCTGGTCGGACTCAAAACAACCATGAGCATTGATGGCCACATTTGTAGTCGCATCTCCTGCAGCTGGAGCTCCGCTATTCACTGGTGTAACGACGTAAGCCTCTTTCTCGCTCTCTGATCATTCCACAATTTCCTGCTTGCATCTGAGGGATGGGGCTGACATGTTCGCGCTGCAGAACGACCACTCGATTAGCGTCCCCTCCGGCTACCTCGCCACCTTCGCTCAGGACCTCCGGAAGTATTGCACGAAGGGATGCAGCTTTGATGGGCGTCGTTACTGCAGAACCGGTGGTCAGTAGTTTGAGGACCAAGAAGGCTACAATATCATCGTCAACATGGAAAGGTGCTAAGCATTGTCGCCTCGAGTACACCTCTTCATATCCATCCGTCTTGGTCAGCAGAAGTCGACCACCGCTACATCATACTTTTGGACATCGCATATTTCGACTCGGCCCATTGGCTTCTGGAAAAGTGCTTGGTGATAGTTGGCTGGCTGGATTTGAGGATACAATAATGGCGTGGGTCTGAATTTTCACAAATGGTTATGGGGCGGCGTTTTCGCTGGCTTTTCTGGGTGCACTTTGTTTCTGCCAGCGTCGGGCGCCGAGCAATCAATGCGATCATGAACGTATAAACCCATTCCTCAATTATTCGTGACTTTGACCGCAATTTACCTTCTCGATCGCGTCCTTTGTTATGACCCTGAATGCGGTAGAGTGCATAGATAGCAATATGGGTCTTCTGGGTCCCATTATTCTATTTGTTCTGCACGAATATCGGCAATATTCTAGGCTATTTTGGAGCTTAAAAGTAGTGAGGATATGACACGGAATTCGGATGACGCAGTTGACTAGTTTGGGAGGCGCTTGCCCATAGGAGATATGATTTCATTCATGATAAAATTGAGCTTCATTCGACTGTTTATGACACACGTGACACTGTCATGAGCGGCTCTCACTCTCAGCTGGGCTTAATAGGGTATATTAGTTCGGATGTATTTAGACCAACACCTCTTCGTTAGGAAGATCAGATTAGAAGTATTACTTAGAGACGAGTGGCTTGGCGGGATAGGTCTAGAAGAGCAGCTATGCACTTGACAGCGCCTGGGCCTCCTTAGAGGGCATAAACCTCTTCTTGTACTTAGACTAGTCAATCGATCTGCCCATCTTAATCTCGACATGTACGACTAATAAATCGGTCTTTTTGGAGGCCTTCCGACGCGGGTCTGAGCCAGATGACGGGTTGCAGCAGTGCAAGCAAATCATAGAAGTCGGAAAGAGTAGCGTCGCTAAGTGTGCTAAATTATGCAGGCAGTATAGCCAGAAGAAAGTGCTGTGTTAACCAGCTCGCTGGCGTTGAGAGCTGCGTTAGAAGGAGGCCAGAGGGGGCCTTGCATATTGAGCCAGTCGATATAAACGGAACGATTGCCCGTGAAGTTATTGATGGCCGTTATGACGCTAGTTGTATTGGAAGCCATCATGAATTATGGTTCGCATTATTTAAAATGCAAGAAGAAGATCATTGAATCGGCGATCAACGAGATGCAGATATTCTGGAGAGGAAAAGCTAATTCAACCATACAGGCCACTTCTCTCTCTAGCTTCCACCACATCAGACAGCACAAAAACTGGGTGCTCGATTTGAACAAATCATCCCTTAACTGGCTTGCTGGAACTGCTGCTGCTTGTATTAACGTGCAGCTTGGCTATAGTGCCATTGCACTGCCTTTCGCAATAGAGTATTGGCATTGCTGTTGCAGATAGGACAGGAAATGTGGGAAAGCTTAAAACACACCCCCAAGAAAAGGGGTGGACTCGCCTCTTAGCGAGCTCGAACCCCTGTGACGTCAACTCGCCAAGCGCGTTTGTGCTCGCATCGTGAAATCTTCAGTTCGCCCACGGATCTCCAACAAACGATTTGCGGAGGCCATTGGGTGCTGGCGCTCGCCCAACGTGAGCTTTCAACCTTTCTAGCACATCAGGATGCCATTGGCACGCGCGTCTCTGCGGTCCTTTCTCCACTCCGCGAAGTCCACTCTCAACAATGACGTGAAACAGCACTCACCAGTCACATTTGTGATTGGCAACGAATCCGCAGGTCCATTACCTATCCACACACCTAACTCATTTTTCTAACCCTTTCAGACCTCGACTCTCTCTGCAGTGCCGTCGTCCTGGCCTATCTTCGCACGTACTCCCCCTTTTCAAAATCCAACACCGTCTACGTTCCTCTCGCCAACCTCCCACGCGCCGACTTGTCGTTACGACCTGAATTATTGCCAGTCCTCTCGCACGCAAACCTCAAACTAAGCGACCTCATCACGCTCTCGGACCTAACAAAATTTCCCCACCACATCCCAGTCGAGCAGATGAAATGGATATTAGTAGACCACAACGCGCTTCAGGGCGAGCTGGGGAAGATATACCACTCACGAGTAGTTGGGTGTATCGACCACCACGACGAAGAGTATAAAGTGCCTTGGGACTGCGACACCGAACCACGTATCGTTCGTAAGAGCGGGTCTTGTTCTTCTCTCGTCCTTGAATACTGTAAAAAGGATTGGAATGAGCTAGGCAAGCAGTTTGGCGAAGAAGAACGGGCGTGGAATGCGGAGCTAGCGAGGCTGGCGATTGCACCTGTGCTGATTGATACGCAGAACTTGAGGGATGAGAACAAGACTACGCCGACGGATACGAAGGCAGTGAGGTATTTGGAGGGTTGGATCATGGCTGCTGAGGATGGAGAGAGCTATAAAACAGAAGACTATTTCAACGAGATATCTAGGGCGAAGGAAGATATTGGGAGCTTGAGTCTACCGGATATTCTGAGAAAGGATTATAAGCAGTGGAATGAAAGTATTGCAAATCTGGGAGTCAGCTCTGTGGTTAAGGATGTTGGGTTCTTGATTGAGAAGGCGGGGAGTGAGGAGAAGTTCTTCGAGGCCGTGAAGGAGTTTGCAAAGCAGCGGAACTTGTCGCTGTTCTCGATTATGACGACGTCGAATCCTGACAGCGTTTTCAAACGAGAGTTGATGGTTTGGGGGTTGGATGGGAAGGGGGTGGAGGCTGCGAAGACTTTTTCTGCGGATGCTGAGAAGAAATTGGGGCTCGCTGAGTGGCAGAATGGGGCCCTTGATGTTGAAAGGGACAGTGAGTGGCGACGTTGTTGGTGGCAGAAGAAGGTCGAGAATAGTCGGAAGCAAGTTGCTCCGCTGTTGAGGACTTCGTTGACGTCGCGAGGATGAGGGATCCAAGGGCCATTTCTGGCCGATTATCGTCCTGGATGGCCAATGGACGTTTCAGCACGCTGATAAGATAGAAAAAAGCATCGACTGGAGAGTTACCAAAAATGGTCGAGAACGCGTCTCCATTAAAAGGGATGCTTAAGTTTCTGGGTATGTAGAGTCCAGGCATCGAAAGGAAGCATCCCGACCGAACTAACACTGAAGACAGCAAGTGCAAATAATCTTTGCCTTCCAGGAACGTTGTTACTATTTTTTCTCCCTCAGGCTCACCTATGAGTAATTTCAGTCCCTCGGTCGAGCTTCGTAGTCGGCAAATTGGAGGCCGTCCATTGTATTTTCCTCCTAAATATGCTCATGAGCTCTTTCCATTACATACAGAACGAAGATCATCTCATTCTATCTCCTTACTCGTTCTCACTTTTCTTTTTATCCTCATCTTGCTCGATACATATACATCTTTAAGTGCTTCCCGTGTCAACTTTCCACAGCTCAGACTCACTAAACCGGGGACAGCACTGCGAGTTCAAATAGGTGTTCGAATCTATCTCCATTTCTCTAGTTCTCTTCTGTTGCACATTCACTTTAAGCGATGGCCCGCTACCACAAACTCACGCGGACTTTGATTCACCCTGCTTAGGCACTTAGCGCCCAGAAGCGAGACTTGGAGTTAGCCTCCCTGAGAAGGACACCACAGGTACAAGGGGCTCGCTTAAGCTGCGATGTGCAATGAAAGAGAAGAGATACTCATTCTTGATGGTACCGAGTTTGACTTTCGGCACTCATGGCATGCTCAGCGAGATCTGGATGCCCACCTGTTCTGCTGTCCTCATCCTCTTCGCTGCGTCGAGATATTCGACTGAGAAGGGTCAGCATTGAACTGCGAAGCAGAACTCACCGCGAACGTGACGTTCCTCTCATCACCGAAGCTGGTCGCTGCTCACAACTCACCTCGCCCCGCGAACTTCTCTGCCTAGACGACGAGCAGACGGGTAGGGCTTTAGTTTGAAATTATCGAGCCTTTTCACCTTCGATTCCATCCGAAGGAACGTTGTGCCCAGAGGCTTGCTCGCTGAGCTCTGACTGCCGATGAGTCCGGAGGCCACCTTCCAAATCTGGAAGTCAAAGATGTCTAAAAGCAAGAGTGAGGGCTTCCTATTCTGGTAAATGAGCTTTCTCTTCCTACATCTGAGAAGTTGCACTCGTTGAACATGCATGAACTTAGTTCGCGATGGAGACATCACTCCCTCTTTCTCTCCACCAACTTGCAACGACCTCACTCTTCACCTCACCCCTTGTCTTCAAGTCTCAGCGCGACACCGCCTCTCCAAGATCGGTTGCATCGTCACCTAAATGGCGCCCCAGTTACGCTCGACAACGGCTGGACGTGGTAGACCTGCAGGACCAACACGGGCTGCCTTGTCGAGAATCGCCAAGTCAAAACCAATCGCCTCTCAACACAGGGTCTTCGCCTTTCGCCCTCGTCGTCAGCAACCCTCGTATGTTGCTTTTGATGATGATTATTTGGATGAATTAAACCCAGAATTCATCCATGGCGATGAGATGGAGCCCGAGGGCAAGGACATCCAGCAAGATGTGGAGGTGTTAGCAGATGGAATGATTGGCACCGATGATGAAATCGGCGAGATTATCGAGGGGGCCGAACAAGAGCATGATGGCTTGGATGCGGGTGACAGAGTTAGAGTCAGGCCTGAAGAGGAGGAGTTTGAGAACCGGACTACGGACATGGTGGAAGACTGTGTGGTAGTTCGAGCAAAGGATCTCAAGTTCCATGACGAGCGCCATCTCGAGGCCGGTTTGGTGACACCGAGCCAGCAAATTGTTACACGCCGCGACTACGACAATTTGATGGGGAACTACCTGAAGGTGTGTGTGGAGAACGAGATGCTCCGTGCTGCCCCATCTAAACCACAGGTGAAGGAGTACACGTTGATCAGAATTTCGTGCAGTATAATGTGAGGACATAATTCTCGCAAGGGCCATCGTGAGGAGATATTGCAGTTGCTGGAGGTCTGGTATTTTGAGGAGTGTGTCTCGAAACAGAAATTGCGGGGGGAACTTCAAAGCAAATGTATCACAATACCGGTAGCTGAGGATCAACCTCTACAGTTCTCTCATTTCAATGCAACTCATCAACACCATCCCTCTCTATCCCAACCTCTCCCCTCCCAAACTCCAATCACTCCCTTCCCGACCGTGAAAGGTCCATACACCCACTACGCAACCCACGCAACCAACGGATCCCAAACCTCCAATCACTCCCTTCCCGACCGTGAAAGGTCCATACACCCACTACGCAACCCACGCAACCAACGGATCCCAAACCTCCCACCAGCCCTCCCTCCAACCCAGCACAAATTCCACAAGCTCAATCCACCCACCCAACACCTCCCTAAGCCCCATCTCCCTCCTCAATACTCCCAAAATCGGCCGCAAAACCAATCTCACCACCTCCCTCCCAAGAAAGTAATATCCCCTAACCCCAGGTCTCGGTACAATAATCAGTTCCTCCCAATGCCCGTTCGACACTCCTTTTGGTTTATGATCAGATAGGATAGAAAGATATGCCGCTGAGGGGTCTTCGCTTACATCTCGGAATGCCAGGGTGCCGAGGATTAGAGAGGGAGTGCAAGAAATTAGAGAGAGATTGGATAGGAAAGAGGCGATGGTTTCGGAAGAGGCGCCGAATTGACGTGAGGAGAGAGCGAGGGGAGTGGGAAGATTAAAGAGTAGGGTTAGGTGGCCTGTTCTTGGTGCGGGGTTGGATAGAAAGCAGGTGGTGAGAAGCGTAGTGTATTACAAGAGGGATTGGGTGAGCAGAGAGCTGGATGGGAGCGGGGTGAGAAGGGTTGTTGATGTTGCATAGGCGGTGAAGGCTGCTGGATTTCCGTGAGCTATGAGGGCTTGCACGGTATATTGTTAGTGATTGGGGAAGGATTCTTGGAGGATGAGAGGGTGGGAGGGCGATGGCTGCAGAGTTTTGAGGCAGCCTTCAATGTCATTCGGGGACGAGAGGAGAAGGAGAGTCATTTCTGAGCTTGTGGTGTCGTTCGTGGAGGCGCTCTTGGCCGTGTACTGCTTTTCTTTGCTGGGTTCCAATATCTCTGGGTAGAGAATGGCAAGTATTTCTTCCTCCGAAGTAACGAGATGCCTTTCCGCAACATTCAAGCCAAGTTTCTTAACATGCTCCCCAAAAGCAACTTCATCCCCAAGTAATCTCATGCCCGCAGTTGGAAACTGCAGCACCTAGGGATGGTCAGATTTGTAATATATAATTTATATAAAAATGCCAATCGGCGTAATTATATAAAAACGCTTCGGGTAATATTATATAGCATAAAAACACGCATAAAACGAACATAATTCATGCATAAAAAGCACGTGAACGCATAAACTATGGTATTCCATTCTATGCCTCCAGAACAGTAATATCGTCTTCCATATTTAATAATATATCCTCCCTAAGCTTCTCCCATTGCTCTGTTTCCCAGTCCTTTTCCCCACGAATCTGCCTCAATATACGTATATTTATATATATAAAACAGAGCATATCCATTGTCCTTATACCCATACGATTACGGAGCTTATTATGTATGAAGTTTATTATAGAAAAGGCTCGCTTGCAAGGAACCGAATTCGCAGTGGTATTAAGGAGCTCAAGAGCTAATTTCGAGAGTTCAGGAGAGTGGATACGCTAGTATATAATTAGTATTGCCTTGAGATATAATAATTAAGGTACTTACTAAAGATATCCAAAATAGCTTTGGCTTATAAGCAAACTGCGTCCAATAGACCTTATGGGAATTAAATTCGCCCGCCATCGTATAATATTGCGTCCATTGCTCGTATTCCTTTTCCCTAATTCGTTCAATAATATAGTCCTCCAATTATTGCATAAAAACAGATATTAATTCCATCTCTCGATTCTCAGGCGTCAGTATATAAGCTGCCAAGTAAACAGGTAATAATTGCTTTCGCATTCGATCCTCCCATCCACCAATTCCATGTCGATTTGTATACGCTTGAATATCTGTATACCAAGGACCAAAACCAGGCTAAGAGTGTTTTATGACGTGCGAATTGAGCTCTATCTACTGCAGGTATACCTTATTAAGAGACGTTCGATTGGACTCTGATATCTTGATCTTTTCGTAAATTGGTTAAATAATCGTCTGAATGCCCTTTAATCATTGCCACTATACCGTATCGTAAAGAGTCTCTCTCTATTTATCTGACGTATCTGGAAGGTTGGTATAACTTTCTAATATAACCTGATTATTAAGGATCAAATCAAGTTAAGCTACTTATATGCCCCAGCATATTGGTACCGTAGTAATAAGAGCCTTGACTTTCTGGTAGCAAATTAACATATAACCGCATAGAAATACTAGTTATTTAGTTGATTTTCAAAAGTAGCTTACGAGCTCGTTTAGGCCATTCTTGAAAAACTGTCTAATATTTATCTGAATTTGCTCCTTATGCTCGTCCTTTCCCGGCCATAAAATATCCTTTAACATAAGAGATACGCTATGAGAGTTACAAGGAATTAAATAAACGTATCGAAGCTCGGGATCTTTATTAATTAACCTCCATAGGCTACGCTATATATTATCGGTATCGGACGAGAAGGCGTGGAACTTAGTCAAGTCCCCTTGTGTGATTTCCATTATAGCTTCTTTAACGTTTTTGATTGACTAGTCAGCTCCTGCTTTCTCTGCGCTAATCTCCGTGCTTTTCCAATAATATGACTTCCCATTAACGAGAAAAGAGATATTCTCAACCCGTTATTTTGATATATTCGTAGATCCATCGGTAACGATTTGAATATGGCTAGCTTTTGATACGACTTGAAGGACTTGCTTTTGGACATTTTCGTACGTGGTTTGGAGGAGATCGCTCGAGAGTTAATGACGTATAGGAGGCTTGAATTGGACCTTCTTGAAGAAGGCTCTCCATTCTGGTGTTTCGAACATAGAGAAGTTAGCTATAGAAGTATAAACTGCCATAGCAAAAAGTTCCGTATCGGTTGCATTAGAGGGCTTGAAAAAATCGTCAATAGACTCAGCTGGGCGCTTTCTTCCAAGTACCACTCCTTGCTTCTCCTGCTCGGCCTTCTACCTCTTAAACTGATTGCAATTGCGTAGGTATTTCTTGCAATATTGGGTAATATTCCAAGCTTTATTATCGCCGCAGTGGATGCAGACTGCTCTGTCATACCCGTTGATTTTAGGGACCCTTTTAAATTGGGCAATAACAAAATTATTATCAAAATCAGATTGGGTAGCGCTAGCAGGCATTTTGTAAGGGGGATTAAGTAATTGAAGCTGTTGTGGGTGCTAAATCAAGAATGGTATTAATGGTGTTTCTGGAGAGTTCCAAAGCTCTGCGAGAAATGGTCACATAAGCTAAACCTACTAGAGCTAGTGCGTCACGTGCTATAAAAAAAACGTAAAAATGCATTTTGACTATTATATTACATTTTTATATAATGGGGGTCCAAATTATATAATTTTTACATCCCTAGCAGCACCTTACATCTCATCTCCCGCTCCAATACCTCCTTCACCTCCAAATCCACATCCCCACCATGGCAATTAACCCAAATATCAATCCTCTCTTTCTTAACGGCATCCACCAAATCTCTCACATACCTCTCTCCCCCTCTCTTCCCATCCCTGCTCGCTAACTTATAAAACACCTCCACAGCTCTCGAGAAATGCCCCGGAATTGGGAAATAATACTCTTCATGATCGGCACCAATGACTCGATGGCTAGCTCTGTTGAACGTTCGTGCTAGGGAGAGAGCTTCTGGGGTGTGGAGATAGGTGGCTAGGACTGTGCGCGGCCGGAAGGTGGAGGATGAGAGGGAGCGCCAAGTCCAGGTGTGGTTGATATGTTTTGTGGAAGCGAGCCAGGGGGAGATGAAGGTGCTGAGGAGGGTGAGGGTTGTGAGGAGGGAAAGATAAGCGCTGAGAGGAGGACGAGGGAGAGATATTGGAGCGTGGGGTGCGTGGAGATGGGCGTGGTTAAAGGCATAATTGTGATGGAAGTGGTGACGGAGATTGGTCAAAGAGCCATGTTGTGAGGTTGAACAAAGAGGTCTTGAACAACGAAGACTACTTCGCTAATCAAGTGTTACAAGAAAAGGAGGTGATAATTAACTATCTGCTCAACTCGCAATAGAATACTATGGGCAGACATCATAATCACATGTTAGCTACTTGAGACGTTCACGCTCAAATCACTTCCAAAAATCCCCCCAAAAAAATGACAAAAATGATGAAAAGTAAAGAGAGTTATGCATGCCCATTCTCGGAATCTGCAAGTTTAATGTTAGTTTTGAACAAATAGTAGGAACAGAAAGAGGCATATACCGAACCGAGGATCTTCTCATAGATCGGACGAAAATACGAAGTGAATCGTGTACGAGTGAGACGCTGTACCACTCTATATAGATGGTTAGTGTATGAGAAGGGGTATATGACAGATTCCACCCACAAGCCAAACGGGCGCAAACGTTATCGGAAAAATCTCTTATCTCACTACATACGATCCAATTAATTTGGCGACACTTTTCGGCAGGAAGTGGGCCTAATCACATGACCGCATGTGCTCGGCTAAACTATCCTAAAAGAAATCTGTGGGAAAGAGGATGTAGAATAATTTTGCAAAACTGCTTGAAACAATTGCAAACTCGAAAAGTGGAGGAACTTGTCACGGATTGCCAGAAAGCAGACGGGATGCGAAGAAACGTTGTGAAAGGACAAGGGTCTGCCAGGCTCTAACCTAAAATGAAGCTTTGTTTGGAGATCCCAACCACCGGGAACAACAGTGTGCAGATCAGGGGTGAACGAGCGAATCAGGGCTTCGCTCTGTGTAACAACCCCGAATTGACAGAATTTACCTGGAACGACTTGAATCTTGATGCAGTTTGCATTTGTATAAATCCTGTGACAGCGAGATCAGTGCAATAGTCGAATGCTCAAAGTTCAGAGAATCTCATATATTGAAAATACTAAGCTGGAGAGTACAGGAAAGAGGAATACCTCGACCTTTAGTAGTATATTGCCCAGACCTCTAGCTTATTTCCTTGTTTCAGTCCTATTTCCTAGTTCCTATTCCCGGCGGATCACACGGTGGGCGCCATCCGTCACACTGCCTGTGAGCCAGCCATGCAAAGAAATCATAGTTAAATGCTATCGCGGCTAGCTTAACAGCCACATATCTGCTCGAAGTTATCCCCTCTTCATAACCGGGGAGGTAATTGACCGCCCTTGCGTCGAGGCAGCTTCATAACCTTCTTGAAAATTGATCGAAAGACATTGAGAGATTCTTCTTCTTCCTCCTCTTCGACATTTGCATCCCCGTCAGTAACCATGCTAGGTCGATTGATGTTCGCGCCTGTTCGCTCTCTCTGTTGATTCCTTTGGAATATCGAAGTGAGTCTGCTCCCTGTTGCTTGTTCTCTCCCCTTGTGCCGTGGGACTACATTAGTGGGAGGTTCGTATATTTGTACAGCGTGATGTGGGGAGGAAGGCGTCGAGGAGGAAGGCGTCGAGTGTAAAGGTGTTGTCGTCATGGACGAATATCCCGAGTCGGCCGGTTGGGGCAACTCACGGCCAGCGCACCACTTCAAGATTTCTGCTGCCGTGGGTAGCCGTACGGTTTTGCTGTTCAGTCGAGCTTGTATATCCAGAATGGTATCACGAAGAGGAACGACGTAAGCTTCGCCGAACGCATCTGATGCTACAACATGCCCATAAACCTCAGATGTAACTTCGTCCATCACCCAAGAGCCACAGTCGCCTGGCTGGAGGACTGCCAGAGGGCATTAGCTAGAGATCACGCAGTTAAATGGAGTAAAACGCACCTGATCCACTGGAGAGGGTAAGATTGTAAGTATGGACAAAGTGAGCACTTGACCCTAACATAAGCCGGGACATGGTAGGAGACAACACTCCGGGCTGACGCCCACTGACACCACAAAATGCGGTCACTCGCTTTTCGACTTTCAAGTTTCTTTGCACCGCACAAATAGCCTCTCTTGGTAACTTCATCCCCATCAAGAAGCTGTTTTGAGAGAATGGAAAAAATCTTTCGATATTGTCGATTTCGAGGAGCGACCAGTCGAGATCCCCCACATGGTACGTGGATGTATCCCCGGACCTGACAAGCGCATATCTCATTTGGACCTGTGGTACGTGCCGGAGATTGTGTCTCACTGACACCTCGTTTTCTGTTGACTGAACATTAATCACCGGAGCGGAAGCTTCATCAGTGTCGTCATCAAACTCAAAGTCAATATCAAATCCATCGAATTCGGGGAACAGTTCATCGTCGTTGGACCCTTCCTCCATTGCATTCTCTGTTGCCCCATCTACCTCGTTCCAAAAAGAAAATATCCGACTATCATATTCTTTGTCGGAAGGAAAGATATGGTCTACAGACATTCCATAGAGGGTTTTCTCTCCCGAAGTCGATTCTCCGAGAACTAACCCTCCAAGGGTCCCGAGTCGATTCCCATCAGGATGGACAGGGACTGTCAACGATGCCCCGACCACAGCAGCAGGAAGACCACTCAGTTTTGTATAGCGTTCAATGTTGACGTCTGCAAAGATTGCAATTTGTCTCGGTGGTCGATGGCAGACTTTGATATCGAAATGCGGAGTGTCGAGGCTTGGCTCTTGAGGCTGGTATTGGGACTTGACCTGGTCTTTGCCGAAAAACTGTTTGACACTTCGTGAGGTTGCTTTATCACAGAGGATAATGATACATGGGCTTGCACTATCCTCCGAAAGACCAACGAGTTTCAATTTGATCGAAATATTCCGCTTTGCATTGGAGTCCACCCTCGCCTTCAATAGGTGATCTTCAAGTGATGGACCGAAAAGTTCGCTCAAGTCATCGAACCTGGTTTGGACCGAATGAATAACTGGTCTGTTAAAGACTTTGGACGTCTGGGATTTGGCTAGTCCAGGGAACAGTCTGCGAGCCGTGCTAGTGCGAAGGAACTCGTTTGGAAACGAGCCTTCTGGAGATTTTTCGGGTGTTGGCAGTCCAGAATTTGGACCAGAAGAATAGCCAGAATCTGTTCCTGAAGACAAACTGGGCGGCTTCTTGTTGTCTTTCGTGGTGTCTATAGAGCCAGCCTGCTTGAGATGGAGCGCTGCGACAGCTTGGGGGAGTGCTGACAACGAGTCGGCCACATCCTTGTCCGTGGTTGCGTCAATCGCCATTACGCCAGTTGAAGAGCTTGAAAATCCGGGCATACTGTCTCCTTCAGTAGTTCGTTAGGAAAAGTATTGAAGGGCTGCGAGATAGATCTTCAACTTTTTCTAGGTGAGGGATTTTTGCTTGCCTTGGGCATAAAAGTGAGGCTGTCGAGAGGAGTTCGCCGCCGTACAAGAACGCCTTGCATGCATAGCCACCTTCCCAACTTCAACCCATGCTTTTCTTTCCCCAGCCTCGTGGAGAAAATGCGACCGGAGTCTATCAGGCAGATGAATTCTTAACAATTGTTCCGCAGCTTTTCTGGGCAATATCTCCAACATACTACTTATGTTTACTGCAACACCATTCCCACTTGCAAAGGTTACGGAGGGTCAGTTGCAGCTTCTGGGAGAAGGTCTTTGGTGTTGGTCGCCTGAAAAGGACTGCAACACACTCAATTGCAGTGGCTGCGAGGAGGAAGGATGCATTCCTCGACGACTTAAACGACTCTCTTGCTTCTTTGGGCACTATAAACAAATTACTTCATCATACGAGCCACAAGTCATAGCCGGCGAGCATGGCGCTTTCAAATCACACGATGATGTCGTTTGGGTCATTAGACAGTTGAAGTCACAGCCAGATATCCCACGTGGAGAATTGGTGACCCAGATTTTCGCAAGCACACGATTCTCCAAACCTCCACCACCTTCTGAGCAGCAACTCGCAATCAACTTTGCTGTTCATATCATGTTCATGGTCAACTGCACTGCTCAACGACAGAGATTTGGACTCCTTGAGCATGGAATGCAGAAGGTGGAATGGCGGGACGACTTCACACTAGCTCAATTCATTGGGGACATCTTCCAGATGACGGATCATCCAAGCATTAATGATACCGATACAGTAATCTCACAGACCATGAGAACTTCTTTGATGGCACGAAAGTTGAAGAAAGTTGCAGGTCTGAAATTTAGACCCACGGATGATCTACGAAACCATCTCAAATTGGACGAGAAAACTGGCATGGTGGACGTGTTCCACCACACGGCTTTCCTGAAGGAGCATTTGAGACTGACCAAAAATGCACCAGCTGATATCTCAATAACAGAATGCTTGAGAAGGTGATTCTTTGATTTCTTTCAACATCTTCGATTCAATCCCGTTTCGATTCAATCCTGTTTCGATTCAATCCGGTCCTTGATCAAGAGTTTTCTCCTAGTTGTGAGATCTTAGATATTCACTGAAGAGGAATCAACTAACAGCAGCTCTTGTAATATAGGGGAGCGCTTCCGCGTCAACTTGCACTCGAAGCGCTCGATTCAATTCAGAAGATTCTCTTTCCCCTCTCGGATACCAAATCGTATTCTCTCCTCCGCTCGCTCACCTCAACCGCATCCTTCGACCCCGACTGCCTGCGCTTCGAATCAACATCAGTCCGCAATCCTCACGAGAAGGACATCCAATATCTCTACTTCGGCTCACGTCTCGCAGATCTATTTGAGGAACTAGAGAATCCAAGGCCGCGAAGCTGGGTAGAGAAGTTTCTAGAACGGAAGAGTCGAGCTAGACATGTGATGATGACAACTGTCATTGGAGTTGCGGTCGCCATTTTTCTGGGTGTTGCAAGCCTGGGTGTTGGAGCATATCAGGCATGGGTCGGATATCAGCAATGGCGGCATCCGATCTCAACTGGTTCTGGATAGAATACCAGATATCGCTTTGCCAGGTGGAGTGTGTAGAGAAAAAAAGAGTGTGTTAAGAGAGAAGTGGAAGGTTTGTGGAGAAGCCATGAAAGTACCCAGAATGTGAGGACCAATGTTGGTTCACTACCAGCTGTTCTGTCTTCATCTTAAAGATTTTCTAGGATTTGAGACAGAAGTGCTTTGGATTTGAAGATTTTCGACGCGAACGAGCCAGATCCAACGCGAATTTAAAGAATTCTCGTCTGAGATTAGCACTTTAATCATACACTTCTCTCGACCTCATAAAGAAGTCGCTATCAAAAACGACCGAAAATCGACGCCCCGCTAATGGTCCTGTGTCCCCAATGAATCCGGTGCCCTAGAAGACACATGCAAACTCCTTTTCCAAAGCCGCTCCCTAGTTCAAATGCGAGCACCTGTTGTCCTGTGCTGTCCTGACCCAACCCTACCCGTGGTATAATGTCCCAACTCATACTTTATTTTCTTACATAGGCAGCTTCTGCTCCGGCTGCACGAATTTCGAGCGGTATGCTCCAAAGGTATCGTCTGTTTCCTGACTCGTGACGGATTTGTGCCTCTTGTTAGGGCGAGGAGTTTCCGCACTCCTTGCACATAGAGGGGTTTGATGATTGGGTGCAGGCGGTTATGATTGCGAGGTGATATTCGAAGGAGGACCAGAATGAGAGGTCATAACCGACCCCTGGTGAACGTTAGTGAATGGGCTTGTAAACCGTTTTCTTGATAGGATTGGGACCAATGAAGATGAGAGATATCTCGTATGGTAGGAGATGGGTAAGGAAACTGAATAATATACAGTACTCACAAATCGCATCTTTGCTATTGTACACTTTGCGGATAGCTTTAAATCTCATAACAGATGCAATGCATGTGCTTACTCAAGTTAGCTGGTGTCTTCTGACAGAACAGGTAGATACATACAGCCCACCCAAGCTCATCAAGAGAATCACTGTGATTTTCTCCCTCATAGAGATTCTCAAAGCCATAACATGAATCAGGCTAAATGCCTCCCGCACTAGAATTGGGCGAGACGTACCAAGCAGATATTTGAAGGGCAGAACAAGGATGAAGATATCCGTCACCATCGAGACCAGTGTATCAAATCATTAGATTAAATTTGATTAGATCCCCCTACTCAAATCAAATCAAGTCAAAATCAAGTTAATCAAATTATACTTAATTATAATCTATTCTAATCAATTCTAATTAACTAGCTTTGATTATTTTTTGGCACACTGATCGAGACCGCTGACGAGGTCATAGACAAGCATTCCAATACTGTGGATGTATATATACCGTATCCCCAACTATGCCCCTAAGACCAGTCGTTTCCGCTATATAATAAATCTTCTATGGAGTCAAATGGGAGGAAATAAACTTGACTTTGGATAACAGAGAATACCCGCAGAAAAATTTCGAGAATCTCAGTACACCCACAGCGTACTACTATAGATATAGCGGTAGTTTTGTATTTGGAGGAGATCGCGCATGGGTTTCGCTTCAAGTACTTGTGTAGGGATTGCTGACGCCCACAAAGACTCGGTTTGTGCAACGAGTTCGTGCTCCTTCTCAAGGCCTTCGAGGCAACAGTCCGTTCGGGTGGGGAGTACAAAGATATGATTAAAGGACCACCGGCCGAGCTACAGAGTTGGTCCTCACAACAGTACTGTGGGAGGGATGTTTGGCGAGTCAGCTAGAGCGCCTGCAAGTGACGGGCTGGGAGTGATTTGGTAGCCTGGGAGCTGCCAAGGTGACCAAACTGAACAGATGATCCAGGCTCCTCTCTACCAAGCATTCGTATCAGTTAAGTACGAACTCTGCTTGAAGTTGGTTACAATGCGGTCAAAAGTCGGTACTGGGTTGATTATAGCGCTGTGTCGTTGACCGCCATTGGATCAGTTCAGTGCTGGATGTATTTCTCTCTAGCACTGTCTACAATGTCTGACAGTACTAGATGGATTGCAGTCCGCGGTAAGCCCCATCGGCCACCACACATTAAATGCACGTCAGCGCTTGTGTTTCTCCTTCTTTGATCTGATCAGGATCCCGTGGGGCAACATCATCATGAGGGGGACCACTGCAGTACCTCTATTAGTGTGGTACGGTGAACGCCTGTGACATGGGCTGATCTAAGACTACGCCAGCTTCTCAAGGGAGTGGGAATGGGGGGGCACAGCAACTACTCTGAAGCTTGCACGTGTATACGCATACAGTGAGGCACAAGCAGTGGAGGTCAGGCTCATTCTGCACCTCAAGGCAGCCCGAATCTATCACCATTCAAGGGCTCTGTCACATCAAGATGTCCAAGAGGTCGCTAAAGACGTCAGAGACAGGCAGATGACCTCTGCTCATGCCCCGAATGCAGCCGCTCTCATACGCCTCCTGGATCTCTGTTCGCCAACTTTCTGTCCTAATTTCCCGACAAAGCCTTCGCTATGTATTTCGGCGGCCTAGAGGATCGAAATGCTCCTCGCATGGGGTCTCGCGGCCATCAGCCCTCGCATATCCAACGCCATCCGTGTGAAGAGATACATCCATGTCACCCGAGCAACTAGTAGAATATCTCGTGGTCACTTGAAATGGCGACAATTATTCCTCTATTATTAAGTAAGGTAAGACAAAAGCAGGCGACGTGTTGCGTAATGGCCATTATTAAACGCCCGTGTTAAAGCACGCTCATACTGCCCGTCCCCTGCTTCAAAGAGATCTGCACCAGCATTTTTTAGTAACTGAACCATATCAATCCGGCCATATTCCGCTGCGGCTTCAAGCGCAGTTCTCCCATCAACCTTGGCGGGAGGAGCATTAACATAGGCCCCTTTATCTATCAGAAGATTAGCTACTCCTAGATAACCGCCTAAAGCCGCGAACTGGAGCGCAGTTGCTCCAAATTTTTCTGCAGGTGGTGCATTCACATCCGCACCATGCATAATCAAAAGCTCGGCTATACTTTTACTTCCATCCCGGCCGCAATTTGCAAAGCGGTATGTGGACACGTATTTGTGACACTATTAGGGTCGGCGTTATGCATCAAAAGTAGTTGGACTATTTCGTAATCCTGCCTTTCCGTTGCACATTGAATTGCTGATCCCATTGATTTGCGATCTTGGCTTTGTCCACCAGGCGCAACGACGTTTGGATCGCAACCGTGAGCCAGGAGCATTTGCAGAACTTCTAGACTGCTTTCTTCAGCTGCCAATTGTACTGGAGAATAGTACATCCATGAAGGAAATGGAGTGTTTGTCATGGCGCCGGCCTTGAGTAACATCTCTACGCTCTTCGCATCTTTTGTGGCTATTGCATTAAGGAGCGCGGTTCGGCCTCCAAGCACAAAAGAATTGGGGTTTGCATGTGCGACAGGTAGTAGATTCAGAAGTGTGTGGTTGACTCCCTGTTTTGAGGTCAGCACTTCTTTGAGCGCCTCGCCGCCCTGAACGCCGCTCAAGTCCACCAATTGGCTGTCCAAAATCAGCTTGACCCTGGGAATGCTGTTTTGATGTAGTGACTTTTGTAGAGCAAAATGCAATGCATTGCGTTTCTTGCTTAGGGATGTGCTGGCACCAAGTTTTTGAATGAAAAGCTCAAGTAGATCATCATTATCTACTGCCGCTTCCAAGGCCAGTCGGTCATTCACTATGGCGCCGGCGTTGATGAGGGATTTGACAAGTGGATAATTCTTCTCGTAAATAGCGGCCCAAAGTGGTGTGAAATAGCGGACAACTCCTGGATCTCGGCCGGCATCGTTAACATTTGCGCCATCGCGGTAAAGTCGATCAACCAACTTCCAGTTTCGCTCCTTGATAGCCATGGTAATTGGAGTGCAGCACAGGCAATTTGGAGAGACAAAATAATATTTATCCATTTTACCGAAGCCGTTGACCTGGGCACATATTTGGAGGACCTCCTCAATCACTGGCAAATTGTTGGTTGCAATCGCCGCGACCAGCATATTCTCAGGTCCTTGTGTGGAACATCCGGTCTGTTTGCAAACCTTTGTATTGTCGACGTTTGCTCCCGCCCTTAGTAGCTTCCGAACGAGTTCCAAGTTACCCTTCTCTATGGCGAGAAGTATTGGGGGCTTTCCAGGCCCCCCCGGATTTTAATATCGCGCGTTGACATCCGCTCCATTTTCCAGGACCAAATCCAGCATCTTTTCTCGATTATGCTGAATAATCAGAGGAACAGAACGCCCAAACAGTGCCGGGTGCGATTTAGGTATGATGCCAGCTTCAAGCATGTGCCTCAGTGGTTCATAATGTCCACTTCTACAGCAATCTTCGATCGCACTAGTGAGTCCAGTGCAGCCATCCAAGAGATTTCTGGAGCCATTCATGGATTTGATCAGACTATCCAGCTCTGAAGTAGCTCCGAGACGGAGGGCGGCCAGAACCAGCGCTCTCTTGCTCTGGAGATCAAAGTGGTTCACATCTCTAGGATCTGCCTCTAGAATACAGAGGGAGGATGCATTTCCCTTTTCGGTGGTTGCCCACTCGGGAATAGTTGCGCCTTTGGCTAGGAGCTTGCTGAAGATATTGAAACTTTTAACTTCAATAGCGAGATCCAAAGAGTGATATGTTGTTTTGGCACCCGCGTGGAGCATGACATCCACGAGCTCGGGACTTTCAATGAGTACCGCTAAATTAAGGACTGAATAGCATTCCAAGCAAAAGTGCTCACAATAGTCAATGAATTCGCAAGGAATATGGTCGTTAAGATCCGCACCGGCTTGCATAAGACTGTGAGCCATATTTACGATTGTAGATCGTGCCGCAGATTCGTCGTCCCATTCATTGAGACGGTCGGCTAATGCGTATGGTTTGCCCTCGAACCAGTCCGGTAAATCGTGGAGGCATTGCCTCAGAGCGGATGATGTACCGTCTGTGTGAAATTGAATATCAGCCCCTTCCAGAACAAGAAAGTCTACAAGCTCTTTGTACTTGTATTTAGATGCCAAGGTCAATGGGGAGTGCTGCTCGACAATGATTTCGTAGAAAAGGTATCCAGGTTCGAGTTTGACTCTCCATTGACGTATGGATTCCGTTGTGGCGTTCATGTCAGTTTCGCTGCCATTAACACTCGCGCCTCCAGCGATGAGTTTCTGCACTAAGTCAAGAAGCCCCTCATTGTCCACCGGTTTCGGCCATTGGACACCACGCCAACGGGATTGATCATGACCATATATAGCAAGAAGTATTGCGCTGCATTTCCATCCAGGTTCGGGTGCATCGATTGTCGACCCAGCTGTGATCAACTCTTGCGCCAATGGTACATTGGCTTTGAAGCATGCAAATTGCAATGGTGTCAAAGGGATAGGGCAATGATCAAGCTTGCACTTGTTTGCATCAACATTCGCTCCTGCCTTTATGAGATTCTTGACCATTGCTAGATCTCAGCCTCAACCGCGAGTGGAAGTAGATTCTCAAGAAGGGAGTCGGCTGAGTGGCCTTTAAGGGTCCGAAAGATACCTGGACTGAAATTCCTCTTGACCAATTGGTAGATTTTGTCTCTGTGTAATTCCGCTGGAAAGCTGTTCGAGATCAGGTAAAGGAACAGCAAAATGCCCATTTGGCCGACTTGTTGAGTTGGAACCGCGTTTTCTAGATTGCCGTCCTTGAAAGCCGAATGTGGTAAAAATGAGTCGATCAAGAGATGATTGGAGTTTCCATTTTTCGTTTCTGGGACCATTCTAAGAAGAGTTTCTGAACTGAGTGAGGCTCCACTGATGGCCACAAGAGATTCTAAAAGGAATTAGTAAACTAAGGCCATCTGACCACAGTCCCTAAATGAGTAATGCCTCTCACTCGTGAGATCCTTCGTGGATACTTGAAGCTGAAGAATCGGTAGGTTCTCGAAAATTTGTGGAGCCTGAACACCAGGAAAATGGACGGGGTGCGACACCCAGCTCATTATGACGGAAGCTGGAGAGCCTTGCTCAGAAACCGTCCGTGCACTCAGCGCTGCGGGGGTAGCTGTCTGTGTCAGCGAAGAACAATACTAAAGATATGAGGGAAGCAAAGTGTGAGGTTCACTTACTTGCAGCAGGGCTCGGAGCATATATCATGTCTTCTGGAATCCCATTTCTCTTCATCCACCGATCAATCTTCTCGGGCTCCAACAAGTTCCCTCGCATTTTGAAGACCAACTCTCTTTTGTTTGTCTCAACAAGCTTCCTCTGCTGTCGTTTTCTCACTATGACTTTCATCTCGTTCGGCTTGACATTCTTGTCCAGGCCCCATTCGCTCACACGCCTCCTGTACTGTCGAATTCTTCAAGGCTTAGCCAAGGGCATGGTACATCACTGTGGAAGACTCACGTTGCGGTAAAACCGATCGCCTTGTACTCCCGTTCCACCCTCTCCTTCACCTCGGGAAGCGCAAGCTTTTTGGTTATGTGCAGCTCGATAACGCGGGCCTTGACAGGCTCCCAATCATCGTTTCGCAACGTCGGGGCTTTTCGCTTTCGTGGATTAGGCTGTGGAGCTATTGGTTGCATATCCACGTCGCTGGCACCATCGGACATCGGGAGCGGGAGCTGCTGCGCTTGTGTGATCGCATTGTTTACGTTGGCATCAAGTAACAGCGACGTTTGGCCGAACACAAAGGGGTCGTGGTAGGTATCAGCGGTGCCATAAGCGTGCCCAACCGGCCAAAAAAGATAACTTTCGTCGTTGTATGAGGGTGGCGGTAACAATTGTGTGCGGCTTGCGGAGGAGTACTCAATCGCTGCTCCTCCGTAGTCTGGGAGTGGAGGTGGGAGCCAACTGGAATACTCCTGAGGGAGAAACTCACTGTCTGGCAACGGATAGTCCATGGCCGGCATCGATCACCTCAAGCAGGTAGTTCTTGCTGGTAAGCCCGGCGAAAGAGCTATTCAGAGAAGTCTCTAAGAGTCAAGAAGACTTGCGAAGCATCGGAGAATAGCAAGTGAGTCCGCTACCGTGATGACCGGATTCATATATCTGATTTTGTGCACGCAACACAAATCTGGCCTGAAAATCAACGTTTTCTACAATAACTCCTATAATAATTCCAATTTAAAAAAAATCCATCTTGTGGAGTATAGCTTTATAGACTACCTATCGTTTGATATAAATTTTAAAAGGAAGCCACTTGTGATAGTTGTTTAAGAAATTAATCGGCTGGTTGATTTTCAGGTTCGATTCGCTAACAAATTTGGCGGGCGTGTACCAGGAGGCGCGTGCCACATTGCGTAATGCCTTGGGCAGCTAAAAGGACTTAAAAAAAAAGGAGGGATACAAGGTTGGGCACGATAAAACGAAATCGCTATGCGGTATAAAAGCCTCTATTTGCTCGTGGTATTGAGAATCTGGTAGTCTCATTGTGGTGAGACCAATGCGAAGCACCAGGGAGGACGATATTGAGCAGTTGAAGGCCGGATTTCCAATATAAATATTTCCTCGTTTTCAGTGGGAGCTTGCCTTATCGCACCATTAAATACTTTGTACAAGAAAAACATCATTTGCAAAATTTATGACAAAGGAATGACCCTGATTCCGTAGAAAGAAAAACTAGCTAGCTTGGCTAGCATCCTTTCCTTCCACTCCAGGTTCAACCACTAATTCAGTTCGTCCGATTATTGGGTATTACTTACGTACGAACACACCAATCGTTTATTAGTATCGCCATTCGATTACGTTCCTTAAACGTGCGTTCAGGAATCAGATTGGTAAATCGTTCCCACCACCAAGTAAGTGCGGGGTAAATCACATGGTGGGGTGGAAATCAGGAATATAGCTAGGGAACCCATTCCCTCTGTTTTTTATGGAATCACTCTCCTGTATCTAGTCAAAACTAGTCATTCTACAGATTGTCAATCTCCAATATATCGATTTTCCACCGATAAATCGATCCCAGTTCAATAACTCGGATAACGCTAAGGCATTTGCAATATATTTATATATTCATTCCATCTTTTCGACGCCATCCAACCCAACCCAATCAATCTCTATCTCATCCCAACAAACTAAATCTTAAGAAACTCGCTCAAGTCCATTAGATTATCTCCACCTCCCACATAAAAGTCAACTACTTCATCTCGTCATATTATATCCTACACCCCCTCCCCTGGGCTCATCCCACTACTCTTCATCGTCAAATACGCACTTGGCACCTTCGGCACCCTCGGGCTCTTAGGCGGCTGGCTGAGACCCCTCCTCTCACCTCTCAGTCCATCCCTGAATCTCTCGCCATCTCTACTTCTCCCACCAGTCAACCGTCGCATCCCTGATCGAGTACCTTGAGCTAGAGGTTTAATCATATTCTCCAGGAAGAAACTGCCTTCGCCCGGCCCATTGCCAGCAGCTCGCTCTTCATCTGCATCAGAGAAGACTTCCTCGATGTAATCTTCATCGGACATGTACGTCGTGACATTACTCTGGAAGGAAGCAGGTGCAGACGGGGAAGTTACGGAGCGGGAATGCAGCGACGGCCTTGGGTTTGAGGTAGGAGGAAGTTGGAATGCGCCTGGATTCATGGCATTAAGAGCCGGTCCATCTCTGCTATTCGCTCTACTGTTCGCAGGTCTCATATCCGCGAAGCCATTCTGGAATGAGGCAGTGCTTGCCGTTCGCGCAAGCGATTGATGGAGGATAGGTAGAGTCTGCTCGTCGTACAGCTGTGCACCGGACTCGAAGCCTTCGCCTGAGAACCCTGCTTCGGTGATAGTGCGAGAGGATCGTCCATCCGAAGTTGGGCTCTGCAAGCTGTCCTCGAAGAAGTCATCAAGGCTATCGAGCTTCATAACTAGGTCGCCAATGTTGCCGTCCCCGCGGGCTTCGTCGGACATCATCGTTTCGGTTCTTTCTGGAGCAGGGAAGTAGCCGTATTGGAAATCGTCGATGTGGAATTCGACTTCGGGTGTTGGGGCGGTCTCGGGATCCATATTCTCGGCGCTTTGGCACATGTAGAAAGCTGCATGGACATTCGAGCGAGTTGTCTCTGCGTGCTTGGCAGGAACGGGAATGGACCATCCTGACTCCTCTGGAATACCGAACAAGCTCTGGGTTCGCTCATATTCCTTACGGATTGTCTTTGATGATGATCTGGTCATGCTCATACGCAAATGGTGCTTGTCCATCGAAGTGCCAGTCATGGTCATGATGTGATCCAGCACTTCTAACGCTTGCATGCAAAACTCTGTCTGCAGCAACCTCAGCAGCGGCGAAATCAAGTCAGGACCATGTGAAGCAATCTCAGGCTTCCGCATGTCAATATCTGGAATGACAGCACAAAGTATGCGCATGGTTTTCACCTTGAACCATGGCACGCTATTCGTCAGAAGACCCATAAGAAACGTCAGACTTCCAAAGTCCCATTCAGGGAAGAAGTTCTCGCGAATGGCAGATACCAGCTGGGCAAGGAAATCTTTGCTTGCACGGTACCGTCCGGCCGCAAATCCAATCAGTGCTCGAGAAATCGTGCTACAGCCTTGCAGTTCAGCAATTTGAGCAAGAATTTCTGCGCTCTTTATGCTCTCTGGGTCAATTTTGTTTTGGTCCATGGCATGGAGGAACCTTGGAAAGTTGGCGAGAACGGCAAACAGTAGTCGGCTGTCATCTCCAATTAAATCATCATTTGGGAGCTGAACAAGTCGGTCCATGATCTTCAAAGTCAACTCTAGGCACACAGAAGAGCGTACTCCTTTGTGGATTAAGGGTTGAAGTCCTTCAAAAAGGCCTTCCCATCTTGGCGGTCGGCCGTCAGCTAGAAGCATTCTCACTTTGGGATCACTCAAGTCGAGCTTTAGCAAAAGTTCTTCCAGCATCCCAAGTGCTTCTAGGAACTCCCGCTCGTTGATGGTATCCAAGCAAGCACATGTTGTCCAAAACAGTTGTGGAAATGTGATGAGATCCGCAGGCTCCAGTTTGCATATCAAGGTCTTGAGAGTTGTCAAAATCTCCATAGAGAACGTCTGCACGTCCGAATCCTCATCAGCGATTGTGTTGGATAATCTTGCCAACATATCGGCAAGCATAGGCTGATCCAGTGAAGTCAGGATGCATCGGAAGATCTGGAACGATCGACAAGCAAGATGCCTCACCGGGCAAGAAGTTGCCCAAGTCAAGGAAAGCTTAGCCCACTGCTCCTGAATTCCAGGGTATGTGATCTCAAAATTCTTGACGACCTCGGTGGTGAGAATTTCCATTCCTGGTGGCACTTTGTTATCCTGATCGTCAACTTTTCCATTGTAGTCTTCGTATGCCCAGACGACATTTGTATCATGTCGGCGGACAGACTCAATGAAATCTTCAATAGACTTCTTCATTGGCAATGGCTCTTTATCATCAATCTTGGATATGACCAACTCATGAATCATATGAATAAGCATTTCACGGGCTTGCTCCTGGACGAGTGGAATGTAATGATCCCATAGAACAGTAACCACTTGAAGTAACAGCGGCACATTTTCGGCCACGAGCTGGACAGGAGATACCATCAAATCCACCAACAGGATCAGAGACAATTGCCCGAGGGAGAACCCGGCCTGCTTGGCTCCAATAGGCAATGCTTCTGACAGATCAGCAAGATAGGGCATTTTGACAGTATCCGGAGGTGGTGGGATAAGTTCGCGTTTCTCATTCGGTATCATGGCTTTAGGTGTGATCTGCATCAGCAGGAACTCGACGACTTTGACACCTGCAGGAGTGCTGGAAAGGAAGACGACAATCTGCTTTGCGTATTCGACAAAGTTTTGTTCGCGGCGATCAAGGCACAGCGACATGATGAAGTCTAGGACAAGTTGAACATTTCCAGCGTGTGGGCCAGTCGCAAGAGCTTGCCATAAAGCCTGAACTTCGTTATGCAAAGCACTGCTAGACTTGATCGTGATCTCGAAAAGATTGGCGAGTAGTACATAGGACTGAGCTGTTGGTCCACCATTCGGATCAAGTTGCAGCTCGATGATCTGAATCCAAGGCAATATAGCAGCAACCATGTTCCGTTGGGAATTTGACTGAAGGTCCTTGAAATAGGCTGTAAACTCAGAAAAGATGAGAAAAGCCAATTCCGAATGTGTTTGCGAGAGGCGCTTCGAAATCTCGAATTGTGCAAGCTTGTATACAGCCTTCGTCTTATCGGAGATACTAATGTCATAATCTTGAATCTTGGAGCTTCTCTGCTGTCGTTCTTCGAGTGCTCGCAATACATGGGCTGACTTCGAACGGATCCCGCTCAACTCGCTGCCAAGGGTGTAGAGGCCAATGCCCAGCAATCTCCAGAAAGGCATGGGGTAATCTGGATGTTCGAGAAGGACTTGGGTGACCACTTCAAAATAACTTTCCATGACTTTTGGCACCTCGGCAAGGTAGCATCTTGTGATCGAATGCTCAAGAAGATATGGGAAATCTTTGTTGTGCACAATGAGATTCTTGAGTGCTCTTCTACCAATGACGTGCATGCGGTCGCTTCCAGAATTGAAGATTGTGTCTATCCAAGAGAGCATTCGTCTAATGTCGAATTGAAGATTTGCTCTGCTTTCCGTGGTAATGCTGATTGGGCCACCACAGAGGGCCGCCATTGCACTAAGAGCAGCAGTCCGGAGATTCCTCTTCTCAATTTCCATAGCCGCAGTCACAGTTCCTCTCTCACCAAGTGTCTGCTGGTCAATCATCGATTGCCGCATACTGTCCTCTCGTTGGCGTATTTGTGTCTGATTGGGTGAGTACCCACACCAGTCTTCCATGAGAGCAAATGACGACTTCCTGGATTCGAAAGTCATCCATCGCGAAGGATCTTTCGTTCTGTTAATCCCCTCAAACAGCTCTTCCATTAATCCACAATAGTGCTTGCGGAGCTTTTGAAATTCCCAGTCCATCTGAACTTCTCCATCCATGAGGAATAGTTTCAGGTCTTTTGTGTAGACCACTAGGTTGTTCAAGATCCAATCGTCCTGGTTGATGTTTTCATCTTTCAGGAAAGGCGAGGTTAGTCTGTAGACATGGGTGATCTCCGTTCGCAGCAAGTCGGTCCTACGGTTCCGTCTGGGGCTGCTTGCGGTTCTCTGATGGATGCGAGCCCTGGCGTCATCATTGCAGCGGCTAACGGCCCCCTGGAGCTCTTCTAGTAGAGTCTTGTATATATTGACATTGATTGATCCGAGTGCCGTAACGACTGCATCCCGTATCGAGGCAGGCCCAACGGAAAGAAGAGGGATGATGTATTTGAATAGCGAACGTGCAGAGGTGATCTTTTCTTGAGGTTGACTTGGCTTGGATCCTTTTCGAAGATGCTGAGCTACTTGTGGTGAGGTCTGTTGCTGGCCTCCTTTGTCGGATAGAGTTGTGCATGCCACAATTAGATATAATTTCCACTGCTCAATCAACACTTCTGGGGGAGTGGTGGAAGACCTGGATAGCATCCGGCCACTGCCAGTCTCAAAACGGTCAAACGAACCATACGCCGGCCCTCTGGTTGCTTCCGATAACGCGACGATGCCTTTGTACATCTGCAGAATACGATTACATATCAACTCTCTTCCAAGTGTGACTGCAAATGGGCATCGGTCGTAGCTGATTCGAATCAAGTTGGGGAAGATCTTGAACCACAGTGTTGCATCGTAAGACACTTCACTGCTACACAATTCGATTAGTGCACTCTGTGAGTTGCTCTTTTTCATTCCTCTTTGCAACCTGCTGCGTTCTGCAACGGATAAGTGCTCATCGTTGAAGTCCATCACTCGCATCGAGTCGCCCTCAAGAATGTGGATGAGCCGGCTATTGTCTTTGCCTAGGGCCGTGTCGAATTCCGTGATGAGTCGAAGAACCGTTACAGCAAAGGCTCGAACCCTCCTTGATTGCGAACATAGGAAGAATAGACCATGAGACTCGACTTCATCGACGTGAGCCCAAATTCCAGAGAGATCCAGTTGCACACCACGTTTATCAGCACTTCCATCTTCTGACACATCGGCGGCAGCTTCTTTCGTCTTGTGTTTAATTTCCTCAATCCAGATCTGTAGCAGCTCGACGTATAACTTGAGCGTGCTCTCAATGTGCCCAGGGCCAAGCATACCGCCATCCGACATCGTGGAATATCTGTCGTCAAAATTGAAGATAAATCGAGCAAACCCAATCGTGACTTGCTGAGCATGAGATTGTCTCGCAATAGATTTCAGTGATTGTGCAGAAGATTCAGCAATATTGTACTGTACGTGAGCTGTGCCTGTGCAGAGCAGATTTACCAACGAATTGAAAGGAATGTCAGCCGACAAACAGCGAGGCAGAGCCTGTACTGCAACATGCAGAAGCTCGTAAAATCCTTGTTTTTGATCCGATGGACTCTGGTGATCGTCTCGACGGGCGAAATTGAAGCTCTCAGATAAAGGTGTCTTGGGCGTGGGACTGTTGAACTTCTCATCCAGCACCGCCTGACCCCCAAAAGTGTTGTCACAAATGATAGTGATCTTTCCCAATATTTCACAGAACTTCGAATAGTATTCTTTGGCTACATCTCCTAGGGCATTCGTGAGGACTGGACGAGACAATCGATCCTCTTGGCTTCGTGCGACAGGTGGCGGAAGTATTGGGCTGCGAGGAGCAGTCATTATAGGAGATGTTGGCAGTCTGTCATAAAATGGCAATGATTGGTAGTGCTGCGGGAACGGTGGCCGTCCCTGGTCTCCCTTCTCAAGATCCGACATTATAGCCAAAAAAGCTCTGATCCCGATGACCATCTTCTCAGGTTCCAGTTGCTCCACTTTCAGGTCCCTGGGAGATGCAAACAGATCAGCATTTATTAGTGGAAAGACAATGGTCCGGAAACAAAAGTCTTGATGCTTGAAGCCAATGATACGTATTATTTGTATCAAAGGTTCAGCAATGGATGGATCTGTGGAGAGATATGTTCTCCTCCCTGGTGGCAGAACAAGTTTGATGACTTCTTCGAGTTTCTTGATAGTGGAGTTCAGAGTATCGGTGGTCCGATATAAATATGTCCATAGTAGTCTTGAGATTACCTGCAAACATATTGGTCTTGCTAAGCGGTCCTTGAACTTCGGTTGAAGAGGGAGTACAAGTTGAAGCCATTGGGTAGAGAAGGTTTCGACCGGAGAAGCACAAAGTAAAGTGGCGGTTAACGGGAAGGCTACGGGCCAATGGCGAGGTTTGACAAACATTAAAGCAAGTCGAGGTCCGATTGTCCCGAGAACTTCGGTCCATTTTGGCATGTTAAGCTCTGTATTTGCCTTGGCAGCGACAGGAAGCAGCAGGATCTCCAAGGCCTGGCAGTAAGCATACTTAAGGCGGTGACCGTGTGATTGAGCGAAGAAACGGCCAAGAGAGATCATAAAATCGCAAGATTGGTCCCACGCATCCTCAGGATATATCTTGAGCCGTAGATGTTTCATTCCCCCAAGCACGAGCTCCATTTTCCCTTCAATATCGCGATTCGCAGGACCCTTCGACACAAGTTCTTTCTGAGAATTCTCAAGGTCTGCAATAAACCTATCCGTGACGCTCTCGAAATTGATTTCGCTCATAACACCTAGCAACTGGCTGAATAAAAACCAATTGGCGATCTTTAAAGGGGAGTTGTTCAGTTGGTCTCCGTCGAATATCTTTAATTGCCCGAAGATGATGACCTCCAGCTTCTCCTCCATTTCCGGTGTAATACATTGCAAAGTACTTTGTCCAATAACTTCCATCAATACTCGGCAAAGTATGTATATCGAAGCTGTGGAACGACGCTCGGCTTGGGCAACAAACTCCTGGCGGGTTGCAAGTGTAGATGGACTATTGGCAGTTGCAATATCATCGGTATGCATATGGAGAGGTTCGGTATTTCGTCGAAGCATTTGACCTGGCACAATATTGCTCCGGGACTGATACTTTTGTAAGCCAGCGGCAAACATTGAAATTTGATAACGTGCATACCTGTTGAAGTTGACTTCGAGCTTCATTTGCGGCATCACTTTTGTTCTTCCTCCATAACATCATTGAATCAATCAAAGGCCTGGGCTTTTGACTCGCAATATGACCGAGTGCCGAGATCAATTGATCGAAGGTTGGGTCTACGCCGGGTCCACATATTTGTTGTATTTGGGGTTCAGGATCAAGGGGTACGGTGATGCATTGGCTGACTTTTTCTTCGGCTTGGGCAATGAACTACATAAAATTTATCAGAGTGGGCGGCGGTGGGTACAAACGAGAATACTGACTGATGTAAACAGCACATGCAAAGCATATTCGCCAACAGTTTTGAGTTCTTCTTTGTGGTGCCTCGAAGAATGGGAAGGGCGGTGTCGATGATCTCTGCTAGTCCTACTACCACTATGCATCCTTTCCACCTTCCTGGCTGTCAAATTATGGTTGCCGTTGTCCGTGGAAGTTGACGGGCGATCCGGTATTAAGGTCGCATTCGAACTGAAGGACGAGCCACTCATGGACCCAAAGGAAGAATCGCCCATATTGGATGCATCAGGCCTCTCTCCTCCGGCCGCGGCGATTATCTGCGGGCTCAGCGGGCTTGTCGAAGAAGCAAAGCTCCCATTCCTAGAATGCTGTATGCCATGGACGATGCTGGTTTGTCGGTGGTGTGCTTTCGAATCGGTGGCCAATCTGCCACCGCTCAGCAGACGGGGAGAGAGTGCAGAATTCTGCGCCTGTTGGTCTGAGGACACACTTCTGGTCGTGAGGCTCGAGGGTGAGGCGTGGATGGAGGTTGAGGAGGGGTCCCGCGCGTCTGTTCCCGCTCTCGGAATGGTCGTGGCCGTCGTGGAAGGTTTCAGCGCTGCATTCCAAACATCAATATCGAGCGGAGAGAGCCTAATTTTTAGTCTCTCCTCCAAGCTGTCCTGTGACTGACCTTCGAGTCAATTTTAGCAAGGTATGCAACAGAGAAGGGAGGCGCAAAGTGCTGGTAAGCTGTGCTCTCCGAGTAAAACACCGACGCCAAACTCACCTCCGCTCATGGTACGCGTCACGTGTCTGGCCACACCTCACTTATATACGCCCATATCTAAGCCGAGAAACGGGTGCTGTATTTAGATGATGGAGACGCTGAGGAGAGAAGAGTCTGCGGCACTTTTGATCTTCACCGGATTGACCATAAATCATCGTGAAAGTCAGCAGGGCCCAATAGCAGCCCCGGCGCAGAACCCCTGAACAGAAGCTCGAATAGGCTCAGGCAGAGAATTATGCCACCATGCCACTTGACGTGTACCAGGGCGCTCCAACAACAACCCATAAACTTCTACTGCCCAACAAACGGTCTTCGACGAACCATCACATTTCACAAGACCCCTTTCCTCGATGCCGTCAGAACTGCAAGCCACGACCAATGACTAAGGTCGACAAGAACAATTGAGCGGGGCAGCGAGTCCTCTGTCAGGTACCGGCCCAGCAGAAGCAATGGGGTCAATTCCGACGGCATCGGATTTGCCGGTCTTGGATCTCGGGCCGTGATCAGCAGCCCTTCCGCTGTCCAGGAACCTTCCCCCGATGCGATGGTCCCGTCCCTTTTTCGTGCACACAGCACGTGACATCATCTCATGTTCACTTATAAGAATGAGGAGAACGATTAGGACTTTCAAATTATTTGTAGTAGAATCACGACTATGCTCCTTAATGCTGGGCCATGGTCAGCCTCTGGATCCATGCAATATCTGTCTCGGGTTTACGAAAGGCCCAATGAGCTGATGTGTAAGACGGAAGCGCCGAATTAAGAAATTTCCCTGCCCCCGGTGACGAAAGACTAAGAACAAAGTAGAAAGGCGAAGTATTGTCGGCATGACATAGAAGGAAGTTGAAAATAATTTTGAGAGAAACGCGGAAACAGAGAAGATGCTTCACAAGGCAAAAGTCTAGGGATGATCACTTCGCAAGCCCACCTTTTGGTGCTGCGGAAATCGGCCGCTTCTCGATGCCGAGAACAACAGGACAGTTTTTCAGTGGGGGCACGGGGAACGGCTTGATCTAACCGAATCAACAAAAGGAGATAGCGGATTCCGGGATCGAGCGAAGTTGTTCAAGAAGATTCTAATCCTCCGGCACATTCACACTCGGCGTTGGTGAACACTTGGATTTCTTTCAAGTCTTTGCAAGATCTTGTCGCGCGGTACCCTCTTCTTGGCGGGGATACCGAAAGCCTGGTTCAGCCTGTAAGCTTGTGAATCCGCCTTTTATTAAGGTTATCGTGTGCTGAGACCACGCAGCCGAAATTCCTGAGCTGACCATAGATCCATTCAACACAAACATCACCTTATAAACCACCTGCGATCGGTCGACGTCTGCGAGTACAACCGCTCCCTTCACTTCGAATTCATTTGCTTCGTTGTTCTCCTCTCGCTAGGGGGTGCGCCTATTCGCCATGGCGCAATTCGATACTCTGGACATCGTGGTCCTCTCTGTGATCTTTTTGGCCACTGTTGCCTGGTTCACAAAGGGCAAATACTGGGGCATAACAAAAGATCCATATGCAACATCATATGCCGCTGCAAATGGCAACAAGCCAGCGAAGACGCGGAATATTGTGGAGAAGATGGAGGAGTCGAACAAAAACTGTGTAGTCTTCTACGGTTCACAGACCGGGACGGCTGAGGATTACGCCTCGAGGTTAGCAAAGGAGGGCAAGAGTAGATTCGGCTTGGAGACGATGGTGGCAGACTTGGAAGATTACGACTACGAAAATCTGGACACCCTCCCCGAAGACAAGATTGCCATGTTCGTTCTGGCGACTTATGGCGAGGGAGAGCCTACCGATAACGCTGTTGACTTCTACGAGTTTATCACTGGCGAGGATGTGGCTTTCTCCGAAGCCGTAGACCCGCCACTGGAGAAGCTTAAGTTTGTGGCTTTCGGCCTGGGAAACAACACTTACGAACACTACAATTCCATGGTCCGAAATGTTACCAAAGCTTTGGAGAAGCTCGGTGCTACAAGAATTGGTGAGGCAGGAGAGGGTGACGATGGAGCCGGCACGATGGAAGAAGACTTCTTGGCATGGAAGGACCCCATGTGGACTGCTTTGGCAGAAAAGATGAGCCTCGAGGAACGAGAGGCAGTCTATGAGCCAGTCTTTGCCATTACAGAAAGAGAAGGTCTGACAAAGGAGTCCCCAGAGGTTTATCTTGGAGAGCCCAACAAGATGCACCTGGAAGGCAGTGCCAAGGGTCCCTTCAATGCCCACAACCCATACATTGCTCCGATTGCAGAGTCCCGAGAGATTTTCACTGTCAAGGGCCGGAACTGTCTGCACATGGAAATCGATATCAGTGGTTCCAACCTCAGCTACCAAACAGGCGATCACATTGCGGTTTGGCCAACAAATGCTGGAAAGGAGGTGGATAGATTCCTCAATATTACTGGTCTTCTTTCAAAGCGAGACTCTGTCATCAGTGTCAAGGCTTTAGATCCAACGGCAAAGGTTCCATTCCCAACACCGACAACCTACGACGCCATCATCCGGTACCACATGGAGATATGTGCCCCAGTCTCTCGTCAATTCATTGCAACTCTGGCACCATTTGCTCCAACCGAAGACGCGAAGGCCGAAATGGCCAAGCTCGGCAGTGACAAGGATTATTTCCACGAAAGGATCAGCAACAGATACTTGAATATTGCGCAAGCTTTAGAAACAATCAGCAAGGAGAAGTGGACCGCCATTCCTTTCTCGGCCTTCATTGAAGGTGTCAATAAGGTCCAGCCAAGATACTACTCCATCTCGTCGTCATCGCTCGTCCAGAAGCAGAAGATCTCTATCACAGCTGTAGTTGAATCATTGGAGCTGCCAGGGCGAGATGCACTGAAGGGCGTCACAACAAATTACCTACTTGCCTTGAAGCAAAAGCAGCATGGCGATGAGCACCCTGATCCCCATGGTCTGACCTACGAGATCACCGGACCAAGAAACAAATACGATGGGGTCCACGTCCCGGTACATGTTCGTCACTCAAATTTCAAGCTCCCATCAGACCCCTCAAAGCCAATCATAATGGTTGGCCCCGGCACCGGTGTTGCACCATTCCGTGGCTTCGTTCAAGAGCGAGCCGCTCAAGCAAAGGCTGGAGAGGAAGTTGGACGAACACTCCTGTTCTTTGGTTGCAGAAAGCAGAAAGAAGATTTCCTCTATTCCGACGAATGGAATGTACGTATCCCCCAGCCCGCATTTCTTCAATCTTGCTCACAATCACAACAGACCTACAAAGAAGCCCTCGGCGACAAATTCTCCCTCATCACCGCCTTCTCCCGCGAAGGCGCCAAGAAAGTCTACGTCCAACACCGGCTTCAAGAGCACGCCAAAGAAGTCAACGAGCTGCTCCTGCAAAAAGCCTATTTCTATGTCTGTGGTGATGCGGCGAACATGGCGAGGGAGGTGAATACGGTTCTTGCAAAGATTATGGCTGAGCAGAGGGGAATCCCTGAGGCGAAGGCAGAGGAAATTGTCAAGAGTATGAGGAGTGCGAATCAGTATCAAGTACGTCTGTCTATAAATTACCCCCCTGACGATCTTCACGTCAATTTACCCTCACCCCTATCCCTGTTCCCGGCTTCCGAGGGTGGCACGTGAGGTATCGTTATTTGCAAACAAATGCTGATATATCTTTCTTTAACAGGAAGACGTCTGGTCATAGACTCATCAATCTTGCAAATACGCCTCTCTATTTTCAGATGTATCACTGTTTGAGTCCCAACCGCCTCTAATGCTCTCCCCTTTCTCGCTCAATCATGTTACGATTTTCCTTTTTGTCATTCGGTTGGCGCATTCAGATCAGATCAAGGCATAGTCATTAATGGCACGTGCGTGGGTGGACGCGTCTTTTTGGCATCCGTTGGCTTTTCGATGAATGGCGGGGCATGCTGGGACGATGAATCATGGCTGGTGGGAGGTGGGAGAGATGGTGATAAAGCGAAGGTGATGGAAGTTGGTTTTATATAGAATTGCATACTCGTTGGTGTCTATATGATCAATTCAATAAACTAAAAATCATATGAAGCCTCTCCCAGTACTGAGTCTGTGACGCCAAGTTCGAAGCATGCGATACGGGAAGCTCGTGGTGGCCAAAATAAACAAGCAGTATTTATTATTTCAACCTTCCGAGGACACAATTGGCAATGTATTTGAAATCAGAGAGAAGGGAATAGGATTTTGAATCCTGCCTTGATGGATATGATGTTTAACGGTGGTAGGCCTTTGAATGTACAACAAGGCGAGATGACGTTGAGGATTTAGTTTGGTATTTTTTGTCTACTGCGAGAGAGGTTTCTGCTGTGTGGAGAAGCGGAAAAGGGAGGGGGGTTGTTAGGGTGGGGCCAGTCTAGTCTCGAGATCCTGACCTAGCCAGGGGTGGCGGTGGGGTGGATGGAAGGGTAGCATCTAAGATGAGATGTCAGATTTGCGCTGGGATGGAGACATGGCCACCGGAACGGGAGTGATTCGCAAGGTAAGTTGTGGGCGGCCTTTTGCGTGATCAGACGTGATGATTATGGGGTATGAGGAAGGGAGAGTGATACGATTTACGCTGGGATGAGAGGACGGGTTACTTGATGAGGATTAGGTTGTGTTCCTTTCAGCGAGAGCTTTAATAGATAGGCGGTCAATGTGAAAGGGTAACATGAGTACAATTAGTATGGAAAACAGGAATAACGCGGGGGACGGAGACCGGGCATTGCGAGACTTAATTCGGATCCAAACCTAGCAAAGACTTGGTTGCAAATTTCCCAACCAGCCCAGCCCGTTTGAATTACCTTCATCATTATAAAGTGGCGTGAGATGTCAGTTTTGTAGATGGCAACTACGACGGAGGTACATTCGACCCGGGCGGGCCTGTCTGCGAGTTCGCAACGCTTCGCACGTTCATCTTCACATAAGAGCGTTTACACGCAAGCCGTTTGATGATCTAGCAGGTTGAACCGATGGGCTTTGATCACGCGGGCGGGAGCGGATGTGAACGGAAGACTGTAGTCAACCACGTCTTGAAGAGTAAGGCTTGCGAATACCTTCATGTATGAGTCTGTTCGCATGTACGGAGCGGACATGCTGCAGATTCGGGTGGTCGAAAGGGCGGCTTCGAGAAGAGAAAGTCGATGATGCAGGAGGGGAATCGTGCATGAAAGGCAGATTGAAATCGAATGCACAGACTGACAGATGCCAGATGAGGGGTCATGGCGCTCGAGAGGCGGGAGTTAGGTTGGAGGATGTGAGCTCCGTGGATTTGTTTTTTGGGACGCCGGCGTTTTACGAGACCAGTCCGGGACATTCGAGAGCGGCCTCGGATGTGGGCACGGGCTCCTCAGACGAGAATCATGGATAACGGAGTTGCGGTTCAGTATCTTTTGTGGCCAAACTTCTGTCTGAGTGGTCATGGATTGGTAGGTGGTGTGGTGATCTGGGGAAAACAAACCTCGCATTGTGCCGGGAATGCGCCACGGCTACGTTGAACACCATCTGTTTGACGAACTCTCCGGGGGTCTCCTGAATCGCCGAACCGAAGTGCTTTTTGTCCTGGTAATCGGGAATTTCTCCCTTTGCCTGGTTCGTCAATGTTGACCAATGACCAGCCCAACCAAGACAATGCGTCAAACATCGTATCAGACTAGTAGGGCTTCTCGCATCCGGGGAAGTGAGATCTGGGAGAGAGGTGCGCAAAGACATTGGACGCCTCTTACAGGATGCAAACAGAGAAGCCTCGAATCCAGAGGCTTGAATCTAGTTGAGGCAAACAAAGTTGACTTCTCGAGGGTGAGCGGAAGCGTCTGATTTAGCGAGGGCAGGGTGCGCTTTGTGGCCCCTGGTCATCCGCACGATCCTCTTCCACATTTCTAGACTCAACGACAGACGTCTGCGAAAAGGAATAACCTCACGAAGTAAAGAACATTTGGCATCACTCAGCTCAATTCCAGCGCCAAGGAGATTCCCAGAATATGACATTTCATCGAACCAGCCGAGAAGCGGTCAGCTTGCTGCATTGGTCGGAAACTGGCTAGTTGGTTTGCCAGACTGCGAGTCCACTCACAGTCATGGAAAGGAAACTCCGCTTTGCTTTTTCTCGGTTTGCCCCAAAACGATCACTGCCGCAAGCAAGGAGGTACCATGTCGTATGCTTGTCTTATGCCTTTCCGAACCCTGAGAAACAGCTGGGTCCGTAGAACGGAGATACAGCTTCGACGTGCGCAGGAGAAGTGTGGCTTCGAATCGTGCCTTCAAATGGCCTGCTATACCGAAGACAATATGGCCAGGTATCCAGATGCCAAGGCTGATCGATTGTAGCAGCCTGGGAAAAACATGGTACAATCAGGAGCATCGAGTGGACCTGCCACCCAACGTCTAAATTCGTGGAATGTCCTAGTCGAAGGCCAATGATTCCCCGAATGGGATACCCGCCCGAGCCGACCACTCTGTGGCAAAGGCGTCTGCCCCGTTTTTTCTTTGACCTCCATACGTCGGGGGAAATACGCCTTCCGAGGTGTTGGGTCGAACGCCCAGGGACATCAAACGAACAGTGACAGTGGTTGCGGGCCGTGGCTGTGTTCGTACCGGGAGTGCTTGTCGTTTGAGAGATCGCAACTGAAGACGCACCTGGGGGCGCAAATCCATCAGTTCTTGGTCCTCCAGTGCGTGCTCTCTGTCAGATCTCACTTGGGGAATTTCGTTCACCCACCTCATTGGCCTGGCAGGCAATCAAATCTGTCATTTGGACCCTGCAGGCGAGGGATCGTACGTACCCAGACCCGTTAGTCAGTCTTCTGTTTCCTACTGTTACCCGCAGAAGCAATTCCATCTCCAGTTGGAGGCGTACAGCCAGATCCGAACATGGCGGGTTCGCCAAACCTGCTCATTGTTCCTTGCACCGCAGGTAAGTTGCGTGCAGCAGCGATCATTCTGTGGCAGAAGAACCCTACGGTGCAGGGTCCTGCATGTTTTGCAGTGCTGGGGCTGGAATTGTCTGCCTGTGTGGTCATCTGGCGCATAGAATCGCAGCGGAAGTGGAAGCCATAAAGACGCCTTTGTCCCCACCAGCAAACCTACGCATGGCTTGCAACATCAATATCCCCATCCCCAACTTGGTCTGGTTGTAGGCGGCGAGAGGTGCCATAGTATATTATATCCTTCTTGAGTGCGTGTTGCGTTTGGCCGATGTTCGTTGCGTTGTTCGCTGCCTCCAATCATTGTTTACTTGGGGGACTTCTGGGATTCGACTCGACCTCGCTCTTTCCGCTTAGCATCTTCAACAACCACAAGCACTTCCTGCCGAAAACAGAAATTCTGGCCAAGCACAAACCCGCATCTTCCGTCCCATCTACTTCCTTCCTTCTTCCTCCTCCTCAACAATCAACAACAACACCAACAACAATCCATCACAATCTCTTTTCTACCACCCATTCTGGCTCGATAGATAGCTTCCTATCATCTAGAACTCCACTCGCTACCCGTCACAACCCTCGCAGCCTTGTCACTCCTCGAACCAGCAAAACTTGTACCTCGCAGCTGAGCTCGTCGCCAAGGGAACAAAGGAGCTCAATCGTTAGAGGTTCTTCCTAGGTTTGTGAGACTGCCATGATCCATCCCTTTGACAAATAACTCGTTGACCTCGATCAGCCACCAGTTTCGAAGCCAACAAGTACTTCAAGCTCTTGCTATAAAGCTGTGACTGTAAGTTGATTGTGTTCTCGACCTTTCCTTTGCATTCACCTGAAGAATTATGGGGATAATTCACTAGTTGTGGCCGCCCGATGATGCTTTGTTTTCCGGATACTACCCCCGCGTCTTCCTTTCCATTCACTCTTGATATTTACTTGCCTGCCACAACCATTTTGCAAATTTTCCTTTCCACCTCTTCAACCTCGTCAACCACCCGATCTGTCTCCAACATTCCTTCCTCCCATCGCAACTCCAACTGACACCATCAATCTAGATCACCATGTCTTACCAGCGGACCGCGAGTGAGCCCGCCTTCCACAATCGCTCGTCCTCCAACATGTACACCCAGCCCCAAACTCGTACGCATCGTGACTCCCAAGGTCAATCGGCTTCGTTCACGCCTGTCAACATGTCCGGCTCCCAGAACGACAGCGCCTCGATGGCCTCATTGATGAACCAGTTCGCTGGCATGGCTCTTCCTGGTGGCAACATGGCTTCGGCGGCAATGGCAAGTGCCCAGCTTCCAATGGGTACTAGCCAGTACTTCTACAACCCGGCAGACAATACGTATCTGGTAGCTCCTGCCATGTATCCTCCTCAACATTTGGGCGCCACTCAGCATGCTGAAAATGCCTACGGTTCTTATGCTGGAGCAACATTGCCTTATTTCGCTCAGGGAGCAGCCTATCCTAGCTACATCCCCGGCTTCCCTCTCATGCCGTACACCCCCAATCGGGCTGCCAGCTACTACACCGATCGCTCTGATCAAGTCCACAAGGAGGTTCCGGGTCTCGAGAACCGTCGCGGCTCTTACTCTACCAACGAGTCTGCCCCAGGCACCCCTTACTACGGATCAGTTTCCCAGCGTGAGCAAGGAACCCAGATCGCTGTAGTTGATCGTTCTCCCTTTGGATCTACGCCATCGCCTCAGCAGCTTCCTATCCAGCACGCTGATCAACAGCCTGTGAAGCCTCTGCCTTACAAGACCATTCCTGTCAATATTGATCTTGATGCCTTGCTGGTTCAACACCCAGCTATCCCCCGAGCCGTTCCTGCCGTCTTCACTCCTCGTGAGAGCATGAGAACTCTGGATCAGAGCTTGTCAAACCCCATTTCGGGCAATCGCAACGTCTACATCCGCGGCCTCCACCCCAACACTGACGATGAGACCCTTGCTGCCTACGCTTCACGCTTCGGAAAGGTCGAGACATCCAAGGCTATCATTGATACTTCTACTGGAGCTTGCAAGGGGTAAGTAGTCTCTAGAAATTCTCGTCCGCTCTTCCTCGCTCATCCGTCTCTAGTTTTGGCTTTGCCAAGTACTTCCATATTCGTGACTCTGAGCTTTGCATTCGGGGTTTCTACAAGCTTGGCTACGAAGTTGGCTTTGCTAGGGTTTGCGTTCTTTCTCCTCTTCTCGAGATGATTTTGGCTAATTAAATATAGGAGTCGTTCAATTCTCGTCTCAAGGCCGAAGGTGATGAAAGCTCAACCAACCTGTACATCTCCAACCTTCCAAAGAACATGACTGAATCTGTAGGCTTCCCTCGACTCTACCTGGTTGACCAGAGACTAATGCAACCCATAGGAACTCGGTGCAATCTTCATGGATTACACTGTCAGCTCCAGCAGAATCCTTCGTGATCCCCAAACTCACATGAGCCGCGGCGTTGGTTTTGCACGGTAAATAGTAGTCTCATCCTCCAAATGCGGACGAAACTGACCTGTTCACAGCTTTGAGACTCGCGACGTCTGCGAAGAGATCATCAAGAAGTTCCACGGTCAGCCCATTGGCGAGGAGGGCCTTCTTCTGCAAGTTCGCTATGCCGATACCTCTGCTCAGAAGGACCTGAAGCGCATCACCACTGAACGCCGTCAATTCAGAACCAACGAGTACAATGTTGGCGCGTATGGCACTGCCGCTGATATTGCCGCTCTTTCACCACCGGCCTTGATACCACTTGGTACTCGCAGCACTCAACTAGGTCGCCACATCCCTTCGTCCAGATCTAGTGGTTCTTGGAAGCGTGAGCATTCTGGCACCAGGTGAGTTCCTTCCTCGTTTGCGGATGATGCGAGTACTGACAAGTCAACCAGTTCTGCCGGCTCGGTTCCCGGCTTCAAGGACATTGATCGAAAGGTTTCTCTGGCCGATGCTGCTGCTAACAAGTCCAAGGAGAAGTAAGTCGAGCTGATACTCAATAGCTAAAGCCTATCTAACAACTCTTCGCAGGCTCGCGGGCTCCACCCCAACAGTTTCCGAGGACGGCACTGCTGACGACGGCGTTACCATTCACAATGACTCCCCAGCTGTCGCTCATGGCGGCTCTGCTTCCTCTCCATCTGCCCGAAAGGCTTAACGCTTCCCTCGGCGGCATACTCGACGACTTCATGCACGTTTCATTTGGGCTTTCGATTCTTTCTTTGCATTTTCGTATCGCATCGCCCACTCTTTCGTAGTTTGACACAGTCACAGAGTCGTTTGCAGCAATGCCCTTTACTATTGACTTACGATTGATTGATAGCACATTTCATCAGCCATACATGCGTATCCGCCAAGCAGACATACATATTCGGACAACATATTCTATGTTGCTTCGCACACTCGTACCGACAATATCTTTCGAGTCTTACGACCTAGCGGTACATCGCAAGAACGGTATTTTAAAGCATGGTTGTGGCATTTTGACATTACTGGCATGGAACATTCCTTTATGTCCGGCGTTGAAGGACACGGAAATTAAAAGCAAATGCACTTCTTCCCTGTAAACAATTTCTCTTTGCTGATGTGGCTATTACCCAACTGGTGGCGGACTTCTGTAGCATAAATGAAAACATTGTAAAAAAAAATTATCGTTCCACCGTGATCAGCCGAAGTCTTGAGTCGCTCCGTGATCAGCCCGAGTCTTGAGTCGTTCCACGATCACGATGATTTCGTGGGCCCTGATTAGCTGACTTCGTCATCACGGCGATGGCCTCACGGACCAGCTTACGGCTTTCACACGGTATTCAAGAGGGATTTACGTCCCCAGACGTTAATGTGATGTCTTGTCTCACAACATTTGCCTTGCAGCTCCAGAAAGGTATGCTGACAAAGCGGTTTGACCGAATTGTGATCCAGTGTCACATCCTTCATTGAATTGCTATGCTACTCTGCTGTATTCTTACAGAGGAATTCGCTCAAATTGTGTTTGGGGTAACATCCTTGTCGCCTCAAGTTCTCCACAACCTCCCCAGGTCCCATGAGGTAACTGGGCCCTTGTAGTTGCATCTTTGACTCTTGTGGTTGCGACGAACCAAATCATCCAAAGGGGCTTCAAAGAGCTGCCTCAGCTCCTTTGCAGACGGATCTGCAATTATCTGGGCACTGTTCATTAGGCAGACTGGGCAAAGAGTTCAAGTAATCTCTTGATTGCAATCATGTTTGATCACCGATCTGGAGTTTTTCCAGCGAAATGTCCTTACCCTTAGCCTGAAATGGATCAGATGCATCGCCTTCCATAGTCTCCACTTGTCTCCCGGTTTCGTTTTCCGGCTCCCCGTCCTCCTCGCCTTCTTCCTCTTCCTCGTCTTCATCCTCGTCCCCAGATTCTTCGTCCCCCCTTGCAGCTTCCGGATCACCATCCCCGTCTACTCCAACCGCTTTCATGTAAGCCTCGAGTTCCTTTGCCATCTTTCTCGAGAAACCAGATGCTTCAACAGATACATCCAATCTTGTGACACCATCTTTGCCAATTAACTTCCGGGCATCTGCGAAATGGGGACCTTTCTCATCACTGGTAAAGTGGAACCGCCGTTCAAAGAATCTCTTGATGCAGTTGACGTCCCGGTCGAAATAGTACTCTGCGTTGGCGTGGTCTACAGAGACCATTTGGGGGAAATCGATGAGAATTGGTGTTAGAATTATTGACTCCGTCTCCTTGTTTTCTTGGAGTTCTTTCTTCACCTCCTCCTTGATCAAGATGTTGAATTCGTTGAAGTCTCCGTGTATGAGGCCGTATTGTGCAAGGCGGAGGATCATGGAAATAAGTTCGGCGTAAAGAGAAGCTGGATCTGGGACGGAAGAGATCTGACGCATGGGAAAGGCATCGATGAGGGACATAACAATCGTGTGTCTGGACTGGGCCAATGGTTCTGGGACTGCGAATCCATTTTCTCGGAGAGCAGTCATGAAGGTATATTCTTTCAGTGCTGCGAGTCGGGACATGTACATCCAAGAACCGGACGATCGATTTCGGAGGTAGTCTCGATTTGCTTTGACTGTTCGGAAAGATATTCGGCCAAGTCTGTGGATCTTCAGTACCCTCTGCACACCTTGCTCGTCTGCTACCACGAAGATATCGCTTTCTTTGCCAACTCCAATCTGGTTTCCAACGCTGTAGACATCTTTGCGCTTTCGGTATGTGTTCAAGGCCAGATAGTCCAGTCCTCCATAAGTCAGTCGATAGCCATCGTATTTGGCATTTTTCAGTCGCGCGATCAGTCCAATTTTTGCCAGTGCTGATATGCTCTTGTGTACCCCTCCTCGCAGCCCAGATATTTGTCCGATTAATGGTGTAGGGACCACCTCATGATTTCTCGAGCCCGTTTCGACAGCTGTAAGTGTTCTCCAGTCCTCGCCCGTCAGATACCGCATAGCTTTTGTATCAAGCCTCATGTTGGCGGCGTTCTTCGAAGTTTCGAAGTTCTTGAGGCTGCAACAAATTATTTTTCTGCGGTCCAGAAAATGATGCCGCTCGGAGAATGATCCCTGTCGGGCCTCGCTTAGTTAGCAAGCCGTTAGTTTCGCGGTCCTGAAGCTCTGGTCTGTGTTTGTACGCGGAAGCTTGGAGTGCCTGAAAGAATCACAACATCAAATCCAAATCTTGATCACAAATTGCACGAACAACGCTCTCACGATCCCTCGATACCCCGTGTTCTTCCTACGTATCTGCCAGTGTTCACCCTTCCTCCATCAACGCCGAAACTCCAGTTGAGAAATCACGATGGCGCAGGATGGCGAGCCGCCAAAGTCTGTTGACAAGGGCAAAGGGAAGGCCGTAGATGGAGAGCCGGGCAAGGCTGAGGAGGTCAAGAAGGATAAGGATGGAAAGCCCCTTGTGAATGGGAAGGCGGAGGAGGTGAAAATCGGAGGTATGGTGACCGCCTTGATTTGCGGGATTCTGCTAATGGACTTATCCAGCGCCCGAAGAGCTCAGTGAGGAGGACCAGCAGCTCAAGAGTGAACTGGATATGCTTGTTGAGCGCTTGACGGTATGGAACTCTTAGTCCTTGACTCCCTCCAGCAGTTACTGACCTGCTTTTGATCTAGGAGTCCGATACCACACTTTATAAATCTGCTCTCGAAGCCATCAAAGATTCCATCAAGACCTCTACCTCATCGATGACCGCCGTCCCGAAGCCCCTCAAATTCCTACGACCACATTACGAGCCGATGACAAAGCTGTACGAAGAATGGCCAGCGGGAGATGACAAGAACTCCCTGGCGGATGTGCTTTCGGTGATTGGAATGACATACTCGGATGAAGACCGACAAGATACCCTCAAGTACCGATTGCTTTCACCAACCACAGATATTGGCTCCTGGGGACACGAATATACCCGGCATCTCGCTTTGGAGCTCGGAGAGGTATACACCAAGAGATTAACAAACGATGAGCCCTACCAAGACCTTATTGATCTTGCTTTAGTTCTGGTACCTCTCTTCCTTAAGAGTAATGCGGAAGCCGACGCTGTTGATTTGATGAGCGAGATGGAGATCATCGAAGATATCCCAAAATTTCTCGACAAGGATACATACCCTCGAGTCTGCCTCTACATGGTTAGCATGGTCAGCCTTTTGACATATCCCGAAGATCAGTCATTTCTCCGAACCGCACATAAAATCTACAAACAGTATGGTCAACTCACCCAAGCCATCGTACTTGCTATACGTCTGAACGATATTGAGCTCATCAAGTCGGATTTCCTCTCGACTGAAGACGTGTCGATCAAGAAGCAGATGGCTTTCCTTATTGCTAGGCAGCAAATCGTATTGGACATTCCAGATATTCCAGAGGATATCTTGGAATGCTTAAACAATACCAAGTTGCCTGACCACTTCAAGGCCCTGGCTAAGGAGTTGAATATCCTCGACCCAAAGACAACCGAAGATATCTACAAGAGCCATCTGGAAAGCAACCGCGTTGCGGGCTTAACAAACCTTGATTCTGCTCGCCACAACTTGTCTGCTGCATTCGTTAATGCATTCGTGAACGCTGGATTTGGCAACGACAAGATGATGATGGTTGAGGAGGAGAAATCTAGTTGGGTATGGAAGACCAAGGACGAGGGCATGATGTCTACCGTTGCCTCGATAGGCACACTGCTCCTTTGGGACGTTGAGGGTGGTTTGGACAAGATCGATAAGTACACCTACGCTCCCGAAGATCAGATTCAAGCTGGTTCTTTACTGGCTATGGGTATCATGAGCTCCGGAGTCCGGATTGATTCGGACCCTATCTTGGCTTTACTCGGTGATGAAGAGAGGCTCAATCATAAGAGTCCTATGGTCCGTGTGGCAGCGATCATGGGTCTTGGTTTGACATACGCTGGCTCGAATCGGGAAGCCCTTTTGGATCTCCTCCTGCCCATTGTTGGCGATACCTCCCAGGATATGCAGATATCGGCTATGGCTGCACTATCTCTTGGCATGATCTTCGTTGGTTCTTCAAACAGCGATGTCAGCGAGGCAATTGTCCAGACCTTACTCGACGATGACCGGAAATCGCAACTGAAAGACAAATGGACTCGATTCATGGCTCTCGGTCTTGGCTTGTTGTTCTTCGGACGACAAGAAGAAGTCGATGTTATCCTTGAAACTCTCAAGGCGATTGACCATCCGATGTCGAAACCCACTGCAGTTCTTGCCGAGATCTGCGCTTGGGCTGGTACTGGAACCGTTTTGAAGCTGCAGGAACTTCTCCATATTTGCAATGACCATATCGAAGATACCGATGAAAAGAAAGGCGATGAGTTGCTCCAAGCTTACGCCGTTATTGGTCTGGGCCTTGTAGCCATGGGCGAAGATGTTGGACAAGAGATGGTTCTTCGCCAATTCGGCCATCTGATGCACTACGGCGAGGCCAATATTCGGAGAGCAGTACCTTTAGCAATGGGTCTGCTCAGCCCCAGCAATCCCCAAATGAAGGTCTACGATACCTTGTCGCGGTACAGTCATGACAACGATAACGATGTCGCCATCAACGCCATCTTTGCAATGGGTCTCCTCGGTGCTGGGACTAACAACGCAAGACTGGCGCAACTCCTCAGACAGCTCGCAAGCTATTACCACCGAGAACCAGAATGTCTCTTCATGGTGCGAATTGCCCAAGGTCTACTCCACATGGGCAAGGGCACCCTCTCCATCAACCCCTTCCACACGGATCGACAAGTCCTCTCGAGAGTCGCAGCTGGTGGTCTCCTCTCCGTCCTAGTTGCCATGATTGACGCCAAGCAATTCATCGCCGACAAGTCACACTACCTCCTCTACTGGCTTGTTACTGCCATGCACCCCAGATTCCTCGTCACTCTTGACGAAGACCTCAAGCCTCTCACAGTCAACGTTCGTGTTGGACAAGCTGTCGACGTCGTGGGACAGGCAGGTCGGCCGAAGACAATCACTGGGTGGCAGACACAGAGTACTCCTGTTCTGTTGGCGTATGGCGAACGAGCAGAGTTGGAGGACGAGCAGTACATTAGCTTGACTAGTAATCTTGAGGGGTTGGTCATTTTGAGAAAGGTATGCATAACCCCATCTCGGTTATTTTGTAGCGTAAGATACTAACATATGAACAGAATCCAGACTGGGAAGATGGGAAGAGCTAAGCGGGAGCAGCATTGGCATGAGACGAAATAAACTGTATAATAGCTGTAGACCTGATCTCGGGAAGCGCCATCAGCTACCAAAACGGACGATAGATGAAAAACAGGCTTTTCAAAGAATTGTTCTTCGATATGCGGGTATAATCTATCCCTGGTTGGGAGCAAAATGTGATTCGTAGACATTGCCCCTTGACGCTTGTCAGCCGTAACTTCGCTTGCTGTCCAGTGCTACCAATGCAGCTAGCGCTGCCTTTTCAGCCCTCCAGCCTTGGGAGTTGTTCTTGTCATTATTGCAGACCTTGCAAAGACAGTTTTGAAGTCTGTTAGCGCAGCGTATAGCGAAGTACGTTATTCGAGGTTCACAAAGGCGCCCGTTTCCGGAGGTCGCTCATCTTGGCCACCATTTGCGCAGACTGTCGGCAGTGAGGCTGGCAGAGAAGATTTCTTGGTGACGAGAGATACTGATCCGATAACTGACAGTCGTACCTACGCAGTTCATGGTAGTGAAAAGCTATGACTTTCCAGTAAAAGCCCGCTCTCCGCTCTCTTTTGGCATATGTCATGTGTATGCAGTTCGAGCTGATGTCTTCGGAATCTCAGGCTGGCAGAAAACCTCTGGGGGAGGGCAAAAGGCGCCTTGAGTGACGAGTACAAGAGTTATAGCGTCTTCGATCAAGAAGACAGGCCTGCTTCTTTAAAAGATATGCTCGATGTTGCTGAAAAGAAGAAGCAAATCTGTATCGAAAGACGACTTAAATTCAAGAAAAAGAGACGGAAATTGTCATACGTGACCTTTTGGACAAGGTAATAGGATGGGTGAACAGATTCAAAGAAGTCGGGAGTGGTGATGCAGTTCTTGGGAGTGCAGTGCTGCCATGGACCGACATTTATGTCCTGCTCCAAGTGCGTATTTTCGAGCCCACTACTGTAATGCGAGCATATGATCGCTGCTATTTAGCTTCCTATCAAAGATGTGCAAACATATGGGACTTTTGTTGAAGAGCTCGAGTTCACGTCACATCTGGTTATGCAATGCGCTCTATTCGACAAACTGTATCTACAGACTCTTGAAGGGTGGGAAAATGAAAGAGCGCAGAAAGAACTGATGCAAGCTATGGTCAAGTTGTATACTGTTGTGCTGATGTTCCTTTCGCATGCTATACAACGGCTGAGAATGAACACCCACGAGACGACCGATTTGAATACGGATACCTACTTCCTCAAGATGGCAGAGGAGAAGTTTGATGTAGATGAAATTGCTGGCAGGATCGAAAGTGAGTGTCATTTTCCCCGGCAGGATTTTCAGTCCACTTATACAATCAGCCAGGTGCCCAAAGCGCCAGACCCTCGCCACTACATTCTTACTCGAGTGAAAAGGGTGAAAAATATGTTTCCTTTCCCTCTTGTTCCATTCCAATCTCCAAATAGCTAATAAGTATTTCGCAGTGTATCACAGTGTTGAAGAAGTGAGGAGGCTAAAGGATATATTGCATTCGTTAGAGGGACTCACGCACTGGTCGGCAATTGCAACATCTAGCCCGCCCGCGGGCCAAAATCGTAAGCTAACTGGCCCTTAACACACTGAAGTTGCCATAGAACATTCGAGACCAAGTTCATTGCAGTGCTGATGGCGATAGTGGAGAGTGATGTCAACAATATACTGGGAAGAAAACCCGGGTTGGGGGACATGCACGATCAAATGTTAAAGACACCAGCTTCAGGACCCATTGTTGGTAGATCAGCAAAGAAAGCGCTGAATTGGATGCTGTGTGCACAGAGACCGCTGAAAAGCCGAGAACTCATCGCGGCCATTTCCGTGGACTCTGATGGGCATCATACATCTTTGACCAGAAATCATATTACGTCGATATGCAACGGCATCGTGGTCTGGGACAGCGTGCTAGACGAATTTCGATTCACTCATCTTTCCGTCCGAGAGTATCTTGAACTTCGGGACGACTACAGCTTCACCAAAATCCATACACTTGCTTTAGAAAGATGTCTTGATGTATACCTGTTCGAGTCAGTAACTTCAACAGACTCTACTATCGAACAAGCGAATGGGAATTATCGGTCTATAGCCGAACGAAATGAGATATTTCGGAACTATGCAGATATTTACTGGCCTTTGCATTGCAGAATTGTACAGGATAATCTGGACGAGGCCAACCTTCCGACGAAATTGCAACAATTCCTTTTTCAGGAGTCCACCTTGAATAACGGTCTTTCATTCTCAAAGTGGATATCGGCGATGGACTCATCGGAAGCCAAGATCTCACGTTGCCCTCCCATCCTAAGACGCCAGCTTGGAGCCATGTTCAGTACATCGACAACACCCTTCTTTCTGGCAAGCGCTTTTGGCTTGACATCGATCTTGGACTACCTTGACCGAAACCGCCCCAGAGCCTGGGATTGACAAAAATGCTTCTTCGACTGGAATCAACAAAATAAGAACGGAGACACAGGTTTACAGGTTGCAGCGGCATGCGGGCAGACGGCGACACTGAAATTGCTGCTTGAAAAGGGGGCCCACGTCGAGGCAAAGGGTGCTCAGGTATCAATGGCCCTCCACAAAGCTGCCGAACACAACCAAGAAGATGGGATTTCATTTCTGCCTAAGCAGGGAGCAGATATTGAGGCGGCCACGGCGGGAGGCTGGACTCCATTACTCGTTGCTATTGAAAGAGGGAACTAGGCTGCGGTCTTCATCCTGCTGGAAAAAGGAGCAAAACTCAACACGAGCAACTACGGCCGCTGGGGTAAATCACCCCTTAGGTTGGCTGCAGAAGGAGGCTACGGTGAGATCGTAAAACTCCTGATCGAGGAAGGGGCCGGTGTGGATGTGCTACACGCGGCTGCTAAAAGTGGAACGCAACATATTGCGAAACTACTCTTAGATCAGGGGGCCGACATCAACCTGGTGAATGAAGAAGGTATTACGCTGCTCCATATAGCAGTCGAAAATGCGCAATACGCTCTTACCGAGTTCCTCCTTAGAAGAGGGGCAGACATCACGATAAAAGATAAGAATGGGAAGACTCCCCTTGACTTGGCAAAGAGCCCTCGGCACGAACGCATCCGCGAGCTCTTTCAAAAGAGACCTCCTATTGACGGACCGGTTATTGATGAAGTAGGCATGCCAGCTGATTTGCAGCCCCCCAAGCAACCACTGCTATAAATAGGTCGGACAGTATGTGGCGAAACCCGAGCAACAGTTGGGGACTTCTTCTTAGGGCATCGAGAATACCACGTCGTCGGAAGGCCTTCCGTGTTTGACCTACTGTATGGGAAGGGGTCCGGAAGTTTTAATTCAGGACGTTACAGACAGTATGAAAGAAATTGAAGAAGCTACGCGTGTGTTTCGATGGTTACATCTTCCTGCCAATAATGTACGTATTGTGTTGTCTACCGTTTCTTCTTCCTGATATGGCTAACTTTGGGCAGGTGATATGGGCCATGGTAGGCATCCATTCATAGCCGAGATATATTGCTAACATTCAATTTAGGATCTCATGAAAAGGATCAACATAGAGCGGAGGACTATGGAAGATAACTCGTGGGGTCCCGTCTCCCCAGTTCGAATCGACTGGTCTGAACAACAACATAGAGGCTATCTTCCCCATTCAGTCTTCATGAGACCAGAATTAATGCGAGTGGGAGTGGTGCTGCGGCCATATATGTATAATGCTTCTTTACCTTGAACGTCTTCGAAGCTAACACTGTGTTGCTCAGCTACCTTACCTCAATTATGAGGCCTACAAATATCAATCTTGCATGGATACCGTGATACAAGAGGTCACAAGATCGCGCCAATCTGTTTCGACCAAACAGTCGCCCCTTGTCGACGTGAATTTGTTACGAGCATATCTTCGTCCTTCTCACACAAAACAAACCTCCAACTTTCATGTTCGGCGTACATTGGACCAATACAACTACACCTTTAGAGGAACTGACGCGCGAGATAAAGATCAATTAGTGTATCGCAACACCGGCCTGAACCACGAGCGACTTTTTATGGTTGAAGAGCTCTTGCTCTGGATACTCGATGCAAGTGTGTCCTCTAGAACATAACTAAGAGAAGATTCTTGATCTGACACATCCCCTACAGAAACCATCATAACCTGTTTCCCCAACCGGTGGAGACAGGACGAAGATCAAGAATTCATGATTTTCGATACTATCCTCGCCGATCTTAATTCTTCTCAGAGATTGCCAATATTGAATAGCTGGCAGTTTGCGCTGTTCGTTATGTCTCACTGCCTCTATGCAGTGGATCACGGCAAAGGATTTGGGAAAGGGGCATGAAATTCATGGACTTCTTCGAGAGATCTATTGATATTATAGTAACTAGCCAACTCGAGTGTCTCTTTGACTAAGAACAGGGCTTTAGCTGTACTAGGCAACAGAGCAGAGACGGCTTCTCAAGGAATTCAAGGTTACAAATATTTCTCCGAATGGTGATCAACTAAGTTCTCTTGATATTTCACAAGAAACCAAATTACTCACAGAGATCGAAAGGATTGGCGAAGAGCTAAATACGATGATCCTGGTTAAGGATGCTCAGTATCGTGTGATCCAGGGCTTCCCAGTACGTAGGGACCTGCGAGATGACGAATGGCATCAAATAGTTCGTCGCGCATATTCAAAGCATCATCGCGAAGTTGAAAAGCTGCGACAACAGGCAAACCGCAACCGTGACGCTGTAAGTCTTTGATTAACCAGAACCTTCGATAGTGAGCTGACATTCAAAGTTAATATATCTCGTCGACTTGAAATTAAAGAAGGTTAATGCATTCGAAGCTTCTCTTTCAAGACAACAACAAAAAAACACTGCTCGTCAAGCCGAGGAAACTTCAAGACAAGGACAAACTCTTATGACCTTCACAATCGCCACAATTATATTTGCAAGTTCTTGAACCGTCTCATATGACAGATATTGCTAACGCAGTTCCAGCTCCCGTTGTCATTCATGGCTGCCTTCTTCGCCATAAACTTCGAAGAATTCCCAAAGAACAGCGATGGATCATCACACCTGACTCTAGCCTGGGTTTCCAAATACCTCTATACGTATCTATCCACTTTCGCAGACACGAAATCATTGTGCTAATTTCGAATCTTCATAGTTGGTATCTCGATGGCAGTGTCCCTCCCCTCCATCCTTCTTGCTTTGAACCTGGCCCGTTTAAGAGCATGGTTTGCAGATGCCTGGATGTGGATCCAACCTCCTTTCTCTCCAATCAAGTACTTAGCATGGTCTGGCCTCGGTCTGTCACAATTAGCTCTAAGCGCGCCGATATTGCAAGTCAGGACGAATGAGGAATTGAAAAAGATGGAAACGTCACTATACTCGCCAGATCATGTCGATGAAGTGGAAGAGTTCCATCCAGAGGGAGTCAAGTCTCTCTCAGCAACATTGAGGTGAAAGAAAAGGCCGGCAGGAGATTTGGAGAATGGGACTGCAAAGGGTATTGCCAGATCTTGATAGGGGGCTGGCATCGCAGTTGGGAAAACGATAGCGGGATTGCGCTTACTCGATTTCTTTGGACCCGACGATCACATTCAAATCTTCCAAAAAAAACCCCCAAAAAAACCCCCCCAAAAAAAGGGATTAAAAAATTGTGACCCAAGACCAATTCCCGCCGTTGCTCTACTGGGTAATTATTCAAACAATCAAAATGCATTGAACTATCCACCTCTACGTCCAGCCTTTCCCACCGAATCTAGCTTCTACGTCACCCTCATTTCGGATTCTACCTTCACCTCTATCCATAGCCTCGGCCTTCACAGTACGGGCTGCGGTCGACATCTGATTTGCTCACTCTTAGCTAATATTTCAAATATCTTACAGGAGAGACGGCTTATCACAAAAAAATGCTAGTCCACGACCAGCTTGCAAAAGTCCCGATTGGCGAGTTCTGGAGAATGCATTCCCTCAGCAGAGATGCAAGACTTGTACCACATTTTTCGGTGTGTTCATCAAAAGACTATCTTTCGGCTCGCCCCTTATCCACCTTTCCTCAGTACCAAACATCTTCTTTCCATCATGCAAATGTACGGCCCCAATGACCTCGTGCAACAACTCACCACTATTCCCGCCGAACTCCCTCATCACAATCGGCACACTGCACCCTTGAATATGCCACACCTGATCTAACGGCCTCGCACGAGGAGGCACCATTCCGATGTACTCCTCGCCTGACGGATCCAATCGACGGAGGACAGATAATCGCATCCCGCTTTTCAAGACACGCTCGAGGGTGTCGATAAAAGCATTAAGTTGCTCAATAGTGTTTTCTGTTTTCTGCTTTTCTACATTTATTTGACTTTGGCTTCGGCTTTGACTGGGCTTGAGAAATTTCCAACTTCCCCCAGGGGATTGAGGACGAGAGGTAGAACGGGCTTTCATCTGCGACCATTCCCGCAGTGTCCAGTCCATATATGGAAGCCATGCATTCTTGTCAATCCATTCTATTAGCGCAAGGTTGTGCATCGCCCCCCTTCCCTCGGGTGTCCAAAGCTTCGAGAAACATAAAGCTGCGGACTCCACAGTCATCCCGGGGGGAAGGAGACCCATTGTCAAGGTTTGCAAGATGCAATCTCGCACTGCGAGGTCCTTATCCTTGGCTCTGCTTAGCGGGGAATTTTCACCGGCTAGTGAAGCCGTAGATGTGATCCAAGGTACTCGAGGCTCAATTGATAGATTTAGGCTGATTCGTCCCTCGGAGCTCGGCTGAGCCATCACAGAACTAAGTTGGTATATCGTGCCACTCTGCATGCCCTTAACTTTCAGAATCTTGTTTGTGGAGTCATTGAGAACGGGGTTGAATGGGTAGGTGCGGTGCCAGTCTGAGAATCTCGTTTCGTGCATTGTCATGGAGTGGAAGGAGCCGGTCCAAAGATTCATCCAATTCGGTGTCCATGACGGTAAATTATTGTTGCTTACTTCGGACAAAGAAGTCCCTTTAAAGCACATGAGATCCAACGAGCGAGTGAGACTCATCATTCTTTTACTCACGTCCGTGATAATATCCTCAAGCGGTTGCTTGTAGTTCGGAATAGGTACAAAGGTATCACTGTCGTGACACAGTCCTAGCAAGCCAAAGATCTTGTCTCTCGGATCAGTCGCCATGGTTTGGTAACTCCAGCGCATCGCATCAAGTAAGCAGATCGGCTCCATCTTAGATGAAAATCTATCTCGAAATTCTGCAAGGTGTACAGCTTTGAGAAACGCTCGTTGGTGGAGAGGTGCCATGTCCGGATTTTTCTTCCACACCATGAGAGCAGCAACCACATCATCCCAAGGAATCTCGAACTCTCCGCAGAGAACTTTGGCGTTTGCGTTCACTGCTATTTCTTGGATAACCCAAACGCGTGTCCAGTATGATTCGCTGAAGAAATCGTGAATTACTTCCCATCCATCTCTCACCCGTCCATTTCCAGTCTTTTCTCCTTGCTTCTCGAACGGTAATAGTCGAGTTTTAGCCCCCTTTCCGTCAAATTTATTCTTGATCAGAGACTCAATCGCATCTCCCTTTGAACGGGAATAGCCCCCAAAGCCGTAAGGATTCCAGGTATCACACGGAACCCAAGAAATCACCTCTTTCGCCCTTGAATAAATCTGCCGCATCAACCGAACCTGCTGACTTCTCTCAGTCAAATCTTCTTGATTAATGCACAGGGCATCAACCCAGAGCCTCGTCTTTCCAATCTTAGGCCGGAGGCCCCTGAGAGCTTGCCCAAGATTACCAGTGACTTTCACGTTGAAGAAAGACCGTTCACCAACGTCGATCATTGCCTCCGACGACTTTTTTGCATCGCCCCAGCAATATGAAAGTCCAATGTACTCGGGAGGATTGATCAGGGACGCATATTCCAGCGAAAACCCGAGCGGACCCCCACCATCAAGATAATCAGGGTGCAACTTCAGTAATCGTACCTCGTAATTGTCGGAATCTAGAGTTCGGTAGAGACTCCCTTTCACCTGCTTAGGAGCATAAGTCTTCGCTTTTTGTATGAGAGGTGGGAGAGTTGTGAGAGATTTCGGCGCGAGATTGAAGTCGAACTTAAAATCAGAAGCTTCCGGTTTTCTAGCCGGAGGAGGCTTCCAAACAGGAACAAGCGATTGTCTAACTGATAACTCCTTATTGAAGCGTCTGATCTCGCGAACCATGTCGTAGAAGGCGTTGTCGACGTTGATGCGGCACTTTGCGGATGTCTCGATGAATTTGCAGCCAAAGGAATGAGCCCGTGCTTCGCCCTCTTGCCTCGACACTACTCTCTCGCCTTCCAAATCACACTTATTACCAACTACAATAATCGGGAAGTAATCCTTATCTTTGACTGACAAAATCTGCTGTTCGAACGTTAAGATCTCCTCGAAACTCTGTCGATCCGTAATGCTGTAAACTAGCAGAAAGCCTTCCCCAGTTCGCATATATTGCTCTCGCATGGCTGCATACTCTTCCTGGCCTGCCGTGTCGAGGACATCCAGTAACGCGACTTCTTCGTCAATCACACATTGCTTACGGTACGTGTCTTCGATTGTGGGATCATACTCATCCACGAAGTGGCTCTGTATCAACTGGATCGTCAAGCACGATTTCCCGACTCCTCCTCCACCAACAACAACAAGCTTATACTCTCTCAAGAACTATAGCACCAGTCAATTAGCAGCTGAGCCTTATGCTCCCTGCCACAGCACGGCAAGCGCTAGCTCACTCACTTTCGAGGCCATCTTTGTTGAACTCCCGTCTTTGCCAAAGTCCTTCGCGGATTGGAGCACGCCAGCTTGATTCCTCGACCCCGACGACAGAGGATTCGATGGGCTGTTATAACTGGAATGCTTTGCTTATGCTTGGAGATGAATAAATAGATTCATGATTTGACGCTTGTCTCAAGGCACGCTGCGATCATTGACGGACATGCGATACTTCGCTGCATATCAGGTGCAGAGATGGGAGTGTGCGGTTGCGGTGTCTCAGCCAAGCTCATTTAGCCTCGTCAAAAAAGCAATGTGCTGAAAGCTGAAAAGCTGAAAAGACGGCATATTCGGATTACACGTGACCCCAATCTGCCTTTGAAGTTTTGAAAATTAGGTAGACAATTTCTGAATTATGCTGAGTCATCAGCAGACAAAAATCCGGCCGGAGGTGTGGAAAATACTGCAAAGGGTGTTGCTAACTCTTAATAGGAGGTTGAAATCCGAGTTGGAAGACAGGAGCGATGGACTTCGCATCGCTTCCTAAAATCAGTCCTCAAAAATTTGCGGGGGGGTTTTTTTTAAATAAACATCCACCAAATTGTTTGAAGTGGAAGAAGCCAAGCTACAACTTGAACTTGATGCAAAATAACAAACTCATGACTGCCAGGGGTGGCTTGACAGTCAATCGCGCGGAACCTTTGTTTCAATTGGAAAGATATGAGCTGGTTCACCGATTAGGCACCTCGATTTAGTCAACTTATGCCGCAACTAAGCGTAGATCGATATCTTAATTGAACGTGAAAGTTTTGTTTTGATGTATTAAAGTGGGGCCAAATGTGAATGAGGCGGGATTGCAGAAAAGTTACCCCGCCGGCGAGCTGGAGGTGGAGGTTCACTTGGAGTCAACGCTTAAACAGTCACGAATCTGCAGCATCAAACATACCAAGTCTACGAGGACCTCATCAATTTCAGCATGAAATATGGATGAAATTCCTACTTTTGATAAAGCTTTCCTTGATATTATCTTATATAGTGAGCAAATTGCCAGTTGTAGATGCAACCCATTGACGCCGGATATGGCCAGCGTCCCAGCAATGCAAAGCTAATTCAACCCTCCTGCCCGTATTTCACAGATACTGCCCGTGCAATACAACCATCCCAGCAAATATACAGAGCCATAACCTAGCACCGCTCAAACACCCGGTACAAGCCTTTCAGATTCGCGATTTCCACAATGGCGCCTTTCATCAAAGGTTTCGTAGCAATGAGCCTCGCTCGAAAGGCCGGGAACAAAACATCTTCAACAGCTTTATTAATTTGCTGTCGTCTAACTTTGAGATCCTCACTAAGTCCCTCTTCGGGATCTTCTGGCCCCGACGTGGGCGGAAGTTGTTCAGGGACGTAGTAGGATGCTAATTCTCGCAGAAAAGTGGCAAAACACTCTTTTTCGTCCATCCAGTTCACATGAGGCCCTAGACGGAGCAGGAAACGAGGGAGTCTGGCGAGACTTGGTGTGTAGCCTTTCAAGAGGAGAGGAATGCTAAGCAGCTCCCCTTCTTCTGAGACTTCGAAGGAGAAGTATTCGAGGAGCATTTCTCGACGTTCAATGAGCTGGGCTGAGACCAGCTCTATGACTTCTTCGATTGCAAAATCATCTTCCTCGCATGTTGGAGGATCGGTTGATTTCTCGTGCTCGGCAGCCACGCGGAGGAGTTCTTTGAGATCCAAGGGAGGATCAAAGCGGATGGAGCCGAAGTTCCCGAAGTCGGTAAGGCCAAGTTGATAGAAGTATTCATTGCAGACCATGCCGTAGTCTACGAGAAAGAGCTTTACGCCTCCTTGGATGGCTGCAAGGCGGCGCCGCTCATCAACGATACCGATGAAAGTGTGAGTGGCGAAGATCTCGGTCAATTCGTTATGCATGTCGTCGCGAACTTCTTGGCGGAGCTCTTTCACGGTCATAAGTCGGCAGGTGACTGGCTCACGGTCGGAGTATTCGTATTCCATTCCATCGGTACGGGACTCATTCGGTGCTGGTGATTCTGAGAACCCTCCTTCAGCACTGGGTAACATGCTTGTGATTTTGCGCAGTTTGGCATCGGTACGGACGAGATTATTCTCGTAAGGCTTTGGCTTCTGCGTACCAGCTGGTACAGAATTGTGCGCATCTCCAACAGAGGCTTCGTCTGGTGCTCGTGCTCCTGGAAGAAGAGTCTGTGTCATGAAAGTCCGGCTTGTATCCACATGGGCGAGCTTCGTTCTGATATCGCCGCAAATCTTCTCGATGATTTCATCCTCGTTGAGGAAATTGACCTCTCTTTTCGTGGGATGAACGTTAACATCTACACGGCTAGGTTCAATCTCGAGGCTGAGGTAGATGAAAGGATGGCCCCCTTTTGGTAGAAAAGTCGAATATATCTGCTCGATGGCTTTTCGAATGTTCGTAGAATCGACTGATCGATGATTGATGAATAGGAGGAGAGTGGTTTTCTTGACGTGGTAGTTGGCATTGGTAGTCCATCCTCGGGCTCTGTATCCGTATTTTTCATCAGAAGATGTGAACTCAATCAGTTCGTTTGCTACTGCACTTGAATAAATCTGACGGATTCGATCCACGGTCGAAGATTTTGATTGGGTTGCAATCGTGGTTGAGCTTTCGCCTGATTTCTTGCAGCTAAAAGCTACGCCGTCACAATGAACAGCGTACCTACCCACAACATCGAGGATCTTGTTGTACTCCTCAGATGCTGACCTGAAAGCTCGACGGCGGGTGGGGACATTGTAGAAAAGATCTTCGACAGTGATTTGGGTGCCTTGACGCCCTGCAGTAGGCTTAGGATCTGCACTTTGGCCAGGTTTAGCTGGTATAAGACGTCCACTGTCATAATGAGCTTTGAAAGCAACGTTTGAGTCCTTCGTTTTCGTGGTCACGGTGAGATGGGCGATATGGCTGATGCTCGCCAATGCTTCACCACGGAATCCATAGGTACCAATGGATGTCAGATCTTCGAAGGCTTTGAGCTTGGACGTTGTGAAACGTTCACATAGGATGGGGAGATCCTCTTTCTTAATGACAGTCAAAATATGAGTTAAATGATTCATCACGAGACTTACATCGATACCATGACCATTGTCCGTAATTTGAAGCAGCTTCAAACCTCCCTCTTTGACCACTACTTCAAGGGATGTCGAGCCGGCATCAACGGAATTTTCAATGAGTTCTTTGAGAGCATGCACAGGCGCAACAATTATCTCGCCAGCAGCGATCTTGTTGACGACATCGGGATCAAGGGCCTGGGGTAAGATTAGAATGCGATTGATGTTGCAGGACGATGCAGCTAACCTTGATCCGCCTCGGCGCAGTGATAATCTCATCGATAGCCTTTCTTTTCGTACCCCTGGGACTCCCCACGTCCACATCCATGGGCTCAGCCATCTTCGACTCGTTGCTGGTCGGCGACGGATGGCATTGAGGGATGAGAGAATAGCCTAGATGAGCAGGCGCTCTTTCCTCAACTAAAGAAGGTTGAGCATGGATTTTTCAGATTTCGAAGGATATCGCAACAATATTTACTTCTGAATAATCACAACAAAGGAATGCGATAACAGACGAGAACGGGATGTCTAATGTTGACGCGCGAAAGTTCTACGACCCCATGTGATTTTGAATGCCCCTCCAGGCTGACTCAGCGATCTTGACCTCCTTCAAAAGCCCGCGTCTCCATCTTCCTCCTTCACTTTCAGCATGTACAGTCAAAGAGTTGTAAGAGCGGCTCGCATTCCCATAAGAAACTCACTACCAGCAAGATCCGTACAATGGCTTCCACAACGTCGAAAGCTTCACCTTGCCCCGCCGTTCTTGTTGGACGACTACATCCCGAGATACCACCTCCTCTCCGCCATTGACGCATCCAAGAAACGATCTGCTGCTTATGCACATCTAAGGAACTGTAACCTATGTCCTCGCCTCTGTGGAGTCAATCGATACGATAAGACGGGAACCTGTCTGATAGGCGCTGAAACAGTCAAGGTCAATGTCATCGCCCCTCACTTCGGCGAAGGTAAGTAGAGGAACAAAGTATGATCACCTTGCCAATTTACATAGTCATTATGAAGTCCATTGCTAACATGTCTGCTTTCTAGAACCATGCATTCAAGGACACCATGGCTCCGGTAGCGTCTTCTTTTCTGGGTGCAATCTTCGATGCGTATTTTGCCAGAATCACGATATAGCACACAAACGAAACGGCCAGGACTTGACACCAGAGGAGTTGGGTGAATGGTACATCAAACTTCAAAATGTTGGGAATGTCCATAACATCAATCTTATCACGCCAGAGCATGTTGTCCCCCAGGTCGTCCTTTCGATTCTACACGCGCGAGAGCTTGGATTGAATGTCCCCATAATTTATAATACGTCAGCTTTCGACTCGCTAGCATCAATAGAATTACTGGATGGTTTGGTTGACATTTACCTGCCCGACTTCAAAGTATGGAAAGGAACCACGTCCAAGCGGTTGCTGAAAGTGGACAATTATGCCGAGACAGCTATGGAGAGCGTGAAGGCGATGCATGCCCAAGTTGGAGATCTGTGTTTCACCCCTGACGGCATTGCCAAGAAGGGCTTGCTTGTACGGCATCTCGTTATGCCGGGGTACGAGTCTGAGGGCCAGGAAATCATGAAATGGATTGCCAGCAATGTATCCAAAGATGTTTTCGTCAACATCATGGAACAATATCATCCTGATGCTCATGTTGGTAAGCCAAAACATCCTCGGAGATCTGCGGCCACAGAGCCAGGCGGGGACGCAGGTCCCCAAGAGACAGTGAGATACGAGGAGATCAACCGGCACGTCACCCAAGAAGAGATATCAACAGTACGTCAGGCCGCTGAAAAGGCAGGCCTGTGGAGGTTTTGTGACCCACCGAAGCATGATGGTTTCAATATATAACGTTCGCCGTAAGTCGACTGAGAACAGGAAGTATGAGTACTTGGAGTTGGGTTGTTGTTCCTTTCAAATTTCTCTACCCTGAAAAGCAAGAGAGAAAGTATCCATTTCAAACTTGTACAAACAAAATTGAAGGCATAATTCCATAAATAGCATACAATCTTCTTGTCAATCCGCATCGGCTCGTTTCTTTTGTTTGTCTTGTTTTGGAATGTCTGCTGCTAGTTGCACTGACAAGAGGGAAGGAGCAATCGGGCTCAACCCAACCATATCGCAGACTTGTTCTCTGAAAAGCTCCAAAATACCTCCTCAAATTGGACTCAGAATACAACCCCGAGATTTTGGGCCGACCGCTCCTTGCTTATCATGAAGGCAACGCTCGCTCCCTGGCTGCTCCTTTGCTTCTTCACACTCGTTTATTCAAGGACTATCGACCATCGCGACGTTGACGCTCCTTTCTTGGCTTGCTATGACTACATAGTCTGTGGTGGGGTCCCTTGTGCTGATCTACATATCTCGCGGATATCGAGACCGTACATTTTTATTGACTCGAGACAGGTGGTGGAGTATCCGGCTTAGTCCTTGCGAATCGGCTCACAGAAGATCCCAATGGTAACAGGACCCGCATTCTCCCTCAGAGCCAGTCATTGAATTGTCAAAGTCAGTGTTCTGGTGCTCGAAGCTGGCAACCTGCAAGTCCTTCTCGACCAATAACCACTTGAGACGCTAACCACGGTGCAGCGATAATTACGAAGATTTCATTCTCTATCCCATCGAAGACGGATATGGCCTGGGTACAGACTATGACTGGAACCTTTGGACGGTTCCTCAGACATACCTCGATGGTGCTGCACGGCCGTACGATATGGGAAGAGGAATTGGTGGAGGGAGCTTGATTAATGGAATGTGCTGGACTAGAGGTGGAAGGGTGCGTATATTCTTGAGCTACATCCTTCTCCAATGATTGCCCGAAGCTTTGGATAGTCCGATTGAACGAATACTGATTCGGATTTCTTAGGCCGATTATGATGCCTGGGCTTCCCTTGGCAACCTTGGGTGGGGATGGGATGATTTACTTCCATATTTCAAGAAAGTGAGCTACCCAGTCCTAATGCATACCCCAAGAACTAATCACCCTCCCACAGAGCGAGAACTACACAGACAACGTCGATTCTGATTTTGGCCGGGAGCTGTATATCCAGCCCGATGCCTCTACCCATGGCACAGACGGCCCTGTGCACGTTAGCTACCCGCGATATTTCTATAGTCAGTCACGTATGTGGCTTGCACTTCTCTACGTTCTTGCGATCTAACGACATCCAGAGCTCTTTCTTGACGGCCTGCAAGAATTGGGAATCCCAATCTTGATTGACCCCAACAATGGAACCGCGGCAGGAGGCATGCTAATACCTGACTCCTTAAATCCGGACAATCAGACCAGATCCTACGCGCGATTGGATTACTTCGACACCATAATCAATACACGTCAAAATCTGCATGTAGCAACTCATCAACATGTTACCCGCGTCCTGGTAGATGCACCACATAATGCCAGTTCAAGAGATTATCCACCAGGTCTGTGGATCAACGGAGTTGAGGTACCAACACTTCCCGCAGTAAAGACATCTCTAATTTCTGTCAGTTCTTGACGGATGGGAGCCTTGCTCTGCACAACGTATCATGCTCAAGAGAAGTGATCCTTTCGACTGGAGCTGTGCATACTCCTCAGATACTTGAATTTTCCGGTATTGGTGACCCAGCTGTTCTTTCGAAATACGACATACCAGTAGTCATCAATTTGCCAGGTGTTGGAAATAACTTTCAAGACCATCCTTATGTTGGCGTCGTCTATTACTGTAAGTGTATTCCCAAGAAGTCATTGGTTGCACTAATAGTCTGAGATGGGAATTCTAGCTACTTCAATCTGGATATGTTGCATACCAATCCACAGCTGTTGACTCAGATGGAGCAGGAATACTACGCAAATAAGACAGGTTGATCTTCCCTTGCTATCGAAGTCCATGGCTGACATTTCAGGCCCGTGGACTGCTGGTGCTATCAACACCGTTGCCTTCCCATCTCTTCCATCAATGTCACAGAATTGGACCAACATGATGTCCGACGCAGCTAACCAGAGTACTACTCAACATTTGATTCCCGGTCTTGACCCAACAATTATTGCTGGTTTTGAAGCCCAGAAAGCCATCCTCGTGGACCTGCTGAGCCGGAAGGATGTTGGTGCCTACGAAATCCTCAACGACAACATTGGCCTTCTAGCAGTCGCCACGATGCATCCCTTCTCAAGAGGAAGTGTTCACATACAATCTACTAATCCATTTCTTCAGCCCCTCATCGATCCTCGATACTGCTCAAATCCTCTTGACTGCCAAGTCCTGGTTGAAGCACTTCTGTTCAATAACCAGCTCGTCAACACCAACTCGATGAGACTTTTGAAGCCTGGTCCATATGCTCCCTTTTTTCCAAACGCTACTTTCGAAACTTTGATGACTGCTATTCGAACCGGCCTCAGAACGGAATTTCACGGAACTGGTACCACCTCTATGCTGCCACTCAACCTTGGTGGGGTCGTTGATACCCATTTACGTGTATACGGTGCCAAGAATCTCCGGGTGGTAGATTCAGGAATTATTCCCCTGGTTCCTGCTGCACATCTCCAAGCACCTGTCTATGCAATAGCTGAGAAGGTCAGTCTATTTCGCTCTGATGAGAACGAGTCTAACACCATCTTAGGCCGCGGACATCATCAAGAGTGACAACCTGGGCTTGACTCCACAGGGTTGTGGCTTCAAATCAGCTTTTGCTCAACAAGATCCCATCATTTCAGACTCCTCTGGTACTGCACCAAGTCCTATATCCTGGCCAGCAGCGTCGACATTCCCTGAATTGTTTAATTCGAGTGTTCTTGCTGCATTTGAAGCAAGCACACAAGCAAACTCGACCACAATTCAACCACCCTTTGCTTCCGCAGCCGCCAAGGATCAACTCCCATCATCAGCCCCGCAATTTGCTGCTGAAGACGGGATCTTGAATGCGGCCTTCACGTTCTTCACGCCAAGCTCGTCTCAAAATTTTAGCGGAAATGGAAAGACTGAATCTACCTTGTCTACCAACAGCACACGGCCGAAGTCGGTTCTCAGTTCCGCCTTCTCGATTCCAACTAAATCTGCATCGCCCAACAACCATACTGCCGAGATTCGCGACCATACCGGGAGCAGTTCTCTCCACTCTAGTATAGCATCGGTGATCCCGAAAAAGCCAGCCATGGTCAAGCGTCACTGGTCGCCGTCTGGGGCAGCAACTTTAACTTCAAGGTGCCTCTCTACACCTTCCAGTGGCAAGTATTCAACGCGGTTCACGCCAAACCTGAACATGCAAATCCCAGGGAATGAGAAGACTCCTAGAAGGGCAGTATCTCGGGCATTAAGTACTTCGAACACAGATTTCACAAATCTGGGCATGGTACCCGTACCGCACACATCAGTACAAGTAAGACCGACAACGAGAAAACTACCACATACAGGAGCACTGTCCCGAGGTTAGCCACAATAACTGTGCCAGCTAGTGGGGGTAGTGACACAAGGTCAACTTGAACCTCACACGAGCGGGGGATGGAATAAGCTCCTTGCAGTGTAGGCTTGGGTCTTGGGGAAACAAAAACACCCACATGCTGGAAATTTTGAATGGATCTCTATTATTGACCTATGGAGCTTTCATCTGTAAGTAAATTTTGGAGGAGGAAGTGGTATCATAGACAAGACATTAGACGTGCGTAAAACTAATCGGTTGTAACCCCCACATCTTCAAACCCCACGCTATGCAATCTACCCGTTTTGGCGCTTTTAATGTGAAACAAGGCCTTAAGATCTTTTAGAATTCGTCGCTAGAAAGAGTACGCACACCGCCACGATTGAGAAAGCAACGAGGGTGAGGACCTGTGGCACAAAATGTCAGCATGCACGAATCCGTCAACCCCACGTATCTCCGCGTATAACAATGCGATAAGCCCCCGTCTCCTCCGCAACTACAACGTCATCTTCAACCTCCTCCCCTCTCTACTCCATCTCTTTTATCTTCCCATTTCCCTTCCACCGTCCTTCCCACCCTTCGGCCCAGGCGAATAATGAGAAAAGGAAAACATCCAAGAAACTCACACTCTGCGTCTTCCACCCAGTCTGCACGATCGCCATCCTCCTCGAATACTTCTCGACCGTCTTGACATAATTCCCGAACCCCAGCGCCAGACAACACAGCGATAAGAACCAGAATATTATCCCGAGGGGTTTCGCCATTCGCAGCTCGAGATTTGTGGGTTCCGATTTTAGGTGGAAGGAGACGACGATGGCGATGGCGACGATGGACATGTAGATTGAGAGGCGGAGGTAGGAGAGGAATGCTGCGTGTGTTTGTTAGGAAAGCCTAGGAAAGGTTAGGCAATGGGAAAAAACGAACTTCGTTCATTGGCACAGTGGTCGCGGGCGTCGCTGTCTGTGTTGTCGAACAATAGCGGGCCGAGAAATGGAGGGATGCAGAAGATTGAGGATTCATAGTGCCTATTCTTCACATCAATACTTTATCTGGAGAGTGAGGTGTCCAAGGAGAGGAACAGAAAGAGGAACAGTAGGGGTAGGTACACACCGTTCCGCCAGCACAGGCCGTAATTGCACGGGGAGATGGAACGGTGCGTAGGTATTCACGGGCCCGCCTTCCTCTTCGTCGCATGGCGCCGGCATCGTCTTGCTCTCTTGTAAGAATGGAAGTATATCTTGACCTCAATTCATAGTTCTGAGTTCAGACTAGTCGCGTGCTTTGCAGATCTTGTGATATCATTTTCGTCTTTACCCAGCTCCGGCCACCGGACCTCGACGGGCTTTTTTCGTACGGCGGCAAAGCTTTCGACCCGCATAGGCTTTCCAATCGCGGTTAGCGCTGGTCTTATCTATTGGTCGGGCTAGAACGCAATTGAGGAGCTTGATGACAGGGAAGAGAGATGTGGGGAAGCAAAGCTCTTCTCGACAGGCAGGATTACTTTCTCTTCCTTTTCGATACTTTTTCGCAGAGGAAGTTGCATTCTGAAGAGTTTCCCTTTCCTGCTTACTCGTATATATATTTATCGTCTCTTCGCATGATCTGTGAGCTGACAGGTTAATTAATTGCTAGGAACAGCTGTTGGAGGGGTCCATTGTCATGAGAGCAAGCTCGACAGGGCGGAGATTGACTCACAATGTCGACTCCACCGCGGCCGATAAAGGCTGGCAACAGCAGACATGGCTCAATTGCACGATCGCCATTCAGCACCTCGTATCTCTCCGCCTCCCCAATCGCCCACGAATCCATAGAGCGCGATCTCGCCGAGTGCAGTGACGATGAGGTCGAGACGCCAGATTCCCCGAGCTCTGAAGACGAGTCCTCAGAGTCCTCGACTATTCGCCCAGACGCACTTCAGCACTCGTTCTCCAATACGTACAGGAGGCCGAGTTTCGTGGCTTTTGGCGGGACGAGACCCGCGATTACCCCGGGCCCGGCAGAGGGGAAGTATCTGTCGAAGAAGGAGAAGAAGCAGTCGAGGAATGAGGAGAGAAGTTTGTTGAGGGATAACCATCTTGCGCCCCCAAAACATCCTGAACCGCCGAAACGGAGTGCGTTTAATCGGTTGTATAGGCGGTTATTCAGCACCAAAATTTCAAAGAGAGACGAAGAAGCGCCACCGGAACCGATTTTCACTGCTGAGCCGTCAGAGACGTCAGCGCTGTTGGGAGAGTCGGCGAGAACGCATCATGAGCGGTTAAATGCTCAATGGGAAGCTGCTGTTGCGGCAGGCAAGATTAAGACGACGTGGCAGCGGGAAGCGAAGACGCTGTGGGGATACTCGAGTCCTTTGGTTGTGACGTTTATCTTGCAATATTCGCTTACTGTTGCGAGTATATTTACTGTTGGCCATTTAGGAAAGGTGGAACTTGGGGCTGTTTCTTTGGCTAGTATGACGGCGAATATTACTGGATATGCTATTTATCAGGGACTGGCAACGAGTCTGGATACTCTCTGTGCTCAGGCGTACGGATCAGGGAAGAGACATCTCGTTGGATTGCAGCTGCAGAGGATGGTATGCTTTCTGTGGGTTTTGACGATCCCGATTGGTATCATCTGGCTTTCTGCTGAGAAGATCTTGGAGATGATCGTGCCGGAGAAGGAATCTGCGCAATTCGCGGGTCTCTATTTGAGGATTTTGTTGATCGGGGCTCCAGGGTATGCTGCCTTTGAGAGCGGGAAGAGATTCGTACAAGCTCAGGGATTGTTTTCTGCTACTACTTATGTTCTCCTTATTGCTGCACCCCTCAACGCCTTTATGAATTGGCTTTTTGTGTGGCAGTTCAAGTGGGGCTTTGTTGGAGCTCCTGTTGCTGTAGTTGTCACGGATAATTTGCTACCGTTATTGCTGTTCTTATATGTCAGGTTTGTAGATGGTCGGCAGTGTTGGAATGGGTTCACGAAACGTGCTTTCCATAACTGGGGTAAGTTCATCCAATCAATCGTCAGAAGACGTGCTAACTTTCACAGGTCCAATGGTCAAACTTGCACTTCCTGGTCTTCTTATGGTTGAAGCAGAGTTCCTAGCTTTCGAAATCCTTACTCTGGCATCCAGCTATTTTGGAACCACACACTTGGCAGCTCAGAGCATCCTCAGTACTCTGACAGCTCTCACCTTCCAAATCCCATTCCCAATCTCCATCGCAGCTTCCACGCGTGTTGCAAACCTGATAGGGGCAACGCTCACAGATGCAGCAAAAACAAGCGCCAAAGTGGTAAGTACTTTGTCAATAGAAAAATGTTCGTTGTTAACAATACCAGGCAATGTGCGCCGCCACAATCGTCGGCGTCTTCAACGTCGTCCTCCTCTCCTCTATGCGCTTCTACATCCCGCAACTGTTCACTAACGACCAAGGCGTCATCGACCTCGTGGCCTCCGTGCTCCCTCTCTGCGCAGCCTTCCAACTCTTCGATGCCTTAGCCGCGAACTGCAATGGTTTGCTTCGCGGTCTTGGGAGACAGGAGATTGGAGGTTGGGTGAACTTGTTTTGCTATTATGTGGTGGCGATGCCGATTTCTTTTGGGACGGGATTTGGGTTGGGGTGGGAGTTGTATGGGCTGTGGAGCGGGGTTGCGTTGGCTTTGGGATTGTAAGTCCTCAGTTCCTTATTTATTCTCAGGGAGTGATTTTTGAATTGAGAGCTAATTGAAACAGGGTTGCGGCATTGGAAGGCTTCTTTATTTATCGTGCTGATTGGGACCAAGCGGTCGAGGATGCGCAGGATAGGAATGCAGCGGGGTAAAAAGGTAACATTTTTATGCTTATTTGGTTGGCTATGGCTATATTTATGTTCATGAGGAGATATTTGATTCGTACCCGGGACTTAGAGTTGGAACTTAGCTGTGATCTGCTCTACAAAATTACGAAAATGGAGAGATGTTCTTGACTGAAGCTCTTCGAGGGCTAACCTCCCCCGTGAGGTTTATTCTTCCTTGACGCAGGAAGTATATTCTCTAGTGTTTTAATAGTTCTAGAATGGCGAGACCTGCCAGTACTGTGACAGTCCACCCAGAGCGATGTAAGATTCTAATAACAAAGCAGATCCTGAAGTAAATATGTGTGGAAGTTTCAAATGCACCCGTCTACATTTTCAGGCCCTGATTCTTCCGGGACACTCAAATCAGCTACAGCCCTCATCTGATGGCTAGCATGAGCCCTTCGAGATGGTGAAGATTGTGCGCCGCCATCAGATTCTGGACGAATTACAAGATAATTCAAGCGTCCTCACACTTTTTGCGAGAGCGGGAGACCTGTTCAAGTCCACCGATTCGAAGGATCTGATCTACGCTCTCATTGGCTTTTTGAATCCTGGTGTAGAGATAAAACCAGACTATGCCTTGGGCTCGAAGACGTATTCAGTTCCGCAGCTCGCTCATTCATTGAGGGTATTGGGAATCTTGATATCCTTGCTTACTCTCGGGGCGTATCTTACTCCCGAAATGACATTCCGTCTTGGTGTCCGGATTAGTCCAGATCTTTTCTAGAGGTACCAATGGCCATGCACACGAACGTGTCAGGCAGCTCTTCCGGGGCGTCCGGGGCATTTATTTATTGAAGGCACAAACCCAAGCCAACGACCCCGAGCTCCGAAATATCGAGAAACTTAAAGGCGACTTGCTCGAGCTCCAGCAGCATGTCTTGGTTACACAGTCGCAGCGAGTTATATTCACCTGGAAAGCCCAGCTTGGATTTGCTTGCAAAACTGTGTTGCCAAATGATCTAGTATGCATTATCAACGGATCCAGAACACCTGTTGTTTTGAGGCGGTCTGGGGGAACTTTGTTTTCGTTGGGCAGTGTTACCTCGAGGACGCTATGCACGGTGAAGCCGTTACCTGGGAGGAAGAAGAGGGGGAGACATTCATTTTGTCTTAAAAGGCCGTGAACGCGTTCGCCGCATTCAAGCCTACCTCTTCCCTCCCTCTATTATCCCGACAAGTTCAATAGGCCATTATAAGGTAACTAACGCAATATTAGACGTTGAAACGAAGCTGTACGGCTGAAGGGCATTGAGGCCCTGTCTAACGGTAAACTTGAACACTCGCGGAGATTGGCACTAAGATATCGATTTTTAAAGAGCGTCGTTCGAAAGGATGTATTTCCATAGTTAGATACACTTATCGTGAGCTGCTGACCTTCGCTTCAATGTGGAAAATGGTACGAGTGCTGGCCTTGGCTTGTCGAAGGATACCCAAGCAAATCGACCCCAACCGCCACGAAATCACATGCACCTTTCATCACTAGGTGGCGAACTCTTCTTAAAGACTCGCTTTTTCAAATTTGATATCCTACCCAACACTTCCTTTGACAAGTTCAAGTCTTCTTCACCCACTGCTCCCCGTTCCTAACCCACCACTCCAGCCCTGTCCTCAAAACACTAACTTTCAAACTCTTCAGCCCCTTGCACCTCTCCCCAAGTGCACCCAGCTCCCCTTCCTCAATAACCAACCCTCCACTTCCCTTCAACCGCTCTACCAGTTCTATCCTAGGCACACCTACAATCTCCAGCTCTTCAATCCCGACCCCCTTCCCCTCTTTCCCGATGACGTTCAACACTTCCCCCCAACCATTCTCTAATCCCACACTTAAACTCAAAACCCTAACGCTTTTGCAACTCTCCAAAATCGATTGTACTTCGGGGACACTAACTTCAAACATCGTAACATCCACCATCACCAAACCCTCCCCTACCTCCTTCAACCTCCGTACCAACACCTCGCCCTCACCCTCACCCGAAATCGGCCGCATGCCTTGCTCAGTACCCTCCCTATCCTCCTCATCCTCCGTAACCTCGGGACTCGTAACACAAGCCGTGAACCCGACCAATCCCCCTTTCAACCCGGCCAAAATATCCTTCCCCGGAACGCTTCTCAAGAACCCCGCGTCCGAGTGTCTGAACGTATAGCTGATCTCCACGAACTTGACTTCCTGGCCAAGGGCGGAGAGCAAGGAGGAGAAGACATCGTGCGGGGCGAAGACGTCGAGGAAATGGACCTCTCTCAACGATTTCTGTTGCCTGATAAAGGTCACGGCATCCTCATGACTATCCCTCGTCGTGCCGGCGAAGAGTTGAGAATACAGCGTCAAGGCTTTCAAGCCCGGTAATCTCTTTCCCAGCTCTGAGAGGAAGCTAGGTGGGTAGCCTAGGCTGAAGAGTTCAAGTGTGAGGCTTGTGATGGTGGAAGGCAGGTCAGGGATGGAGAAGGGTTGCGTGAGGAGAGTGGTGTATTCGTCGAGTTTTATGTCCGAGGTGAGGATTAGGGATTCTAGACCTGTCATATTTGATCAACCTCTTGTCTCTCGCCTCCTGCTGCCTCCCCTTCCAAGCTGTCTTGACTCCCAGGACACGGGCCCAGCGGCCCTGCAGACAGCGACCAGGCCCCCGGCGGACGCGGGGAATGGAAGGTTGATAGGGAATGAGGGGCAATTAAACCTTACTTACCCGCGGAAAAGGCTTCAGGCGGAAAAGTAGGGAGATTGAAGTTCTGCAGTGGGATCTGCGCTGCTCGTGCTTGGGAGGGCTCAACCGGCTGTTGAGACGCGAGGACTTCGGTCTTGGTACTAAGGTAGGGTGTTGCCATTTTCTATCACAATATCAACAGATCCAAAAAAATAAAGAAAAAAATTGGTGTCTGTATTTTATGGATTAAGTATGAAGAGAAGGAGATGCGGAAGGACGAGAAGAAGAAATACGAGAAAGGAGGGGTTATGCGATGCTGTACCATGATGTCTTGGGTGAGGGGAAAGACAGGGGTGCAAGTGTGGGGTAGCGCTGGAAGCGGAGCTCTCTCGGGATTCTTCCCTTCCTCCCGTAAAACTTCCGGTCCAATCACTCCAGCGAGCTTGTGAGTCCTTCTCCGTCCCCCTTTGCGCCACCTCATCTCCATCCCTCCATCAACCATGACAGATACGACGTTGCTCTCTCGTCATCGAACGCCTCGGGCCATGATTTGCTACCGAGCGAGCCATTCACATGGAATTGCGGCTCCTGACCCTGGTTCTCCCAGCAATCGCCGCCGTCCCTGACAGGCAACATCAGCTTGAAACTGGCAGTTGCCGGCATCATACTGTATCATATAATATACAATTTCGAAGAAGGGCCGTTTTCTTCACTTACCTCTCTCTTCTTTGTGATCTCAAATAAGAGCCCACGTACAAGAACAGCATATTCACTCGAGGATTTGGGTATCGTGTTGGTGCTGTGGTCCTCCACGTGGCGCAGGATCGCTTGAGGCCTGCGGGAAATTGCACCAGAGCTAGTGGACCTCACCAAGGACCGCATCACAAGCAAACAAACGCACAATCAGGACAAACAAATCTTCAGAACGACGACAATTCATCTCCATTATATTCGTTTCGTTCAACCTATTTGCTCATCACGTCGGGCCTCATCTGACAGATATATCGTACACAGCTATCCTCCCTGCGCCGAAAACAGAAAAGAAGAATCCTCCGGCCCTAGATGCTGAACGCCGACGCGGATGCGCGTTGTAGCGCAAGGAACGACTCCACCGAAATTAGATTGATGGAAAATGGATGGACATGGCATGATAATGTACAAGGTGGTATCTTGAGAAGATAGGAAAGAGACAGTGTCATGCAGCGAGATATGGTACAAGGAGCAGGTGCTGTCATCTATGGGATGACGGGGGGTTGTATTTGATGGTGAAGAGTGGCGGTATCTCTGCGTTTACGCGCCACATCACCGCTGATGGGGGGAGGGGAAGCTGGAGGATGGCTACGCCACCACTTCGAATATTGGTGAGGCCAAATTCGGCACGGGGATGCACTAAATTCCACTTCGTGCAGGATTGGGTTTCTCGAGAAGACCACCGATGTCAACGCGGCCACTTCGATCATCTCTTCGACGTGTCGGATCCATCGAAGGGCCTTGGTCTCGAATAGGCGGAAGTTGGAGGTCATGTTGACGTTGCTGCGGTGCTTGGGCCAACTCACTCCGGGGAGTCTGGAATTGTGCTTGTCCTTGGGAATACTCCGGTCTGGTTGGTTGAGAGGGTGCAAACGAGGGCACATTCCCAGACTGAGGGATATTCTGGCCAATGGGACCGGGAGCTCGATATCCACCCATATCTCGTTGATCAGCGTAGCCTGGATTCGGCACGTATGGCGAAGGACCCTGGCTCGGTGTGTAAACCTGTTGTTGAGGGGGTTGTTGGTATCCATATCCATACTGAGAGTCTCGAGAGTGTGACTCCCGTGAAAAGGGCGACGTGGAAGGTTGCTGGTATGGCTGTGGTGTTGCAGGTACCTGGAGAATGAGGACAACGAAATAAGTCGCATCTTTTTTCGCTAAACCCAGGCGGACCTGGAAGTTTCTCTGTTGTCCATCCGAGCCCGAGAATGTGAACATCTCTGGGTGATCAGTTCGCAATTGCCCAACCTCCTCCTGACCAAACCCGACGGACTGGATAGCCCTGTCTTCCTCAAACTTGTGGAGATAAATTGGCGGAAGATAATTCGGTTCCCTTTCACGACGCTCGTCCTCAAATATCCTCTGCAGCCGGAGAACCTTTTCACGATCGTTTGGACTTAAAATATCTTGGAGCTTTCTGCCAACGATTGGCTGCAGAGCAACAGTGTCGCCGAAGTTCTGGGTCGTTTTGGCAATCTGCATTTCCATGGTGAGGTATGCACAAATTGGATCCTGCGGCGGCAGCATTCTCGGTGTGGGAGGCATCGACCCTCCATAGATGTTAGCACTCTCAGCGTTTGCCCAGTCGATATATCTTGGTGCTATCGGACCAGGCATGGACCCAGTTTGTGATTTCAAGACTCGGTATGAACCGGACCTGTTAAGAGGATCTCCAAAACCAGAGGCCATCTGGCCCTCGTGAAACGAGAGTGGTCGCCTCATTGAAGCTTCTGGTGGAGGATAACCTGGGCCCACTCCCTCGTATCTCGACTCCCTCTCATCTCGTAAGCGTGGCCGACCGCGTTTCTTGTGCTGGACATCAACACATGCATCCTCCTTCCCGTTGCTCAAACACCGAGAGCACGGCCGTTGTGCTAAAATGGAACCAGTCAGCCATTATCAAATCGGAACTGAATACAGCAACGCGATTCCCAGCATGGTCGACAGAACGAGTGACAAAATTTCGGCGCTGACAGCGGAGCTTTCTGAAGACGGGAAAATGTGTCAAGTGGGGTTGAAACCTTGGACCCAAGAAGCAGTCTCAAGTTGTGGTTCTTTGGACGCTCCGTTATCAACAAGGTCAGCTCTTAGGGGATCGACTTTGTGCCGGTTTTAGACTGGGGCCTCCCAGTGAAACAACTAGCTCAACTGCTGGCGTTCCCCGACTTGGGTCAGCAGAAGTGGGGACGGGATTTGGGCTTCGCTCGTGGAGCCGCGTTTCTCTGACGTCCCGGCAACCCCAAACGGCGGGTGAAAGCCAAAAAAAAAAATCAGCTTTGTCGATCTGCCGCGGCCAACCTTGAATGTCACAGCTTCCCCGACCAGCTTGACCTGCTGGAGGGGGAATCTGTCACTCCTAGCTCCCATAGTCCGTGCGAACATCCGAACCGAGTGGATGTGAGACGCTGGTCTCCTCTCGCTCGGTCGCTCAATACCAGAATGGAACCGGAAGGGAAGGGAAGGGAAGGGAAGGGCAGGGGAAGGGAAGGGACGGGAGGGAGGGATGAGGGATGATCGAGGGCCTTCCGCTTCCGCCCGCTAATGCCACCGCACCGCACCTGTCAGATCCGCCAATCGGGCCGCGACCCCGCCATTTCGTGCGCCTTGCGCATGGAATAAACGTGCGAGTAGCCCATGATCCTATCACAACTCCAGCTCCATGTCTCGACTGTCGCAGAAAAGCACTCCTCGGCGAAATAGCATGTGGCTGCGCGATTGACGAGGAATGCGACCTGCAGTGGCAGAGCCAGCGGCACGGGTAGCGAGGGTACGGCTTTGGTGCTCGCTTGGGCGGGGTAGCAAATGCTAGCCGCGACAATTTGCGATCAACACTTGAAGCACGCTGGCTGAACATGAAAAAAACGGACCGCATGGGTGAACCAATGGTATCAAATCCCAGATGCCGTTGAACAGGGATGAAGAGTAATTGCGCCCCCAAATTGATCAAGAAAAAGAAGCAAGATTGCTCGAGCACGTCTATGACAGTATTGAGAATTTTGGGAGCTGCAAAAAGCAATTGGCGGGAATCGGAACTGAGACACACGTACCGTCACATCTATATGTGGTTAGCTTGTCTCCAACAAGTGATCTGGAGGCACTCACCTAAGATGCGCTCTCTTGCATGGCACACAAGCCGAAGCAACATGGCCTTTTGTCTTTCGTTGCTGTTTTGGCGAGGAAAAATCTGGCGCCTCCCTGATTGGCGGCCTATCGGGCGTTGAAAATGGCGCAGGAGGTTGCGGGGGATGTGGTGGATAGCTGTGGTGCAGTGCTGGCTGTTGCGGAGGTAGCTGTGGCGGAGGTTGTTGGAAATGAAGCTGTGCTGATTGCATATTGTCTACCCTGTATGAGGGATATGGTGCTGGCGGGGCTGAATCTGGTGGATAGTGCAGTGGAGGCCCTCTATGCTCTGAATGTTGCTGCTGCTGCTGCTGCCGCTGCTCTAACGGAGGCGCCTGTGTACCTTGAAAGACTCCCTGTCCACTCGATCCATAGCTTCCATGACCACGATCGCTGGCTTCGGGGTTTCGTCTTGGTGGAAGCGGCGGAGATCCTGACATGGGCGGAGAGGGGTATGCCCTTATTCGAGCACTGTTGGACACCGCTCTACCCCAACTCAGATCGAGAGAAAAGCGCGCCAGATCTGATTTTCCTCGACGTTCGCCGAGCGAGATATACGAAGTATCGCGATAAGCTGTTGAGGATTGCATGGAAAAGACCGGTTTAATAGTGGTGACGCTGGTCCAAGAAGCTCGAGCTCGGCCTCGCAGACGTCCAGCCTCTCTTCGACGAAATGTGTATAAAAAATTGCCGGTACCCGCGTTTGCTGATAGTCGGCATGCTCTATAAACAGTTTCGATGTTTCAACCGTTTGGAGATTGTTCAAATCCGGCGGACCTGCGACTGAGGTGAGGAGAACAGTCTGAAGTTGATCAGTATCTATTTCTAGAGGGGCTAAGCTTTTGTTACATCACTAACCTCTTAGATTAGAGACACTCTAATAAAAAGTGCTGTGCGCAGTTTCGAATGTGCGGAAAGTCCTGGGGAAGCCAGGGTGTAGACGATGGGGATGGTTCCAATTTCGACGAGAGCTAGGAAGGTCTCTTCTCACTGGCAGCCAGCACGAAAGCACTAGTTCCAGAGTCAGACTGAGACAAGATCGGACAAGCCATGTATTGCGAGTGATACTGCAGATGCAAGATGTTCGTGAAGTCCTGACGTGGTCGGAGCGCTGCAGCTGCAAAATCTCTGGAGGGTGTGCAACGTGCGTGGGAGAATGTGTGGAAGTATGGAAAGGGGGGCCTTACGGGAAGTACAGTAATAGAAAGGTGGAATGCCGTGGCGACGTTCGTTCAAGCGTAAGGGTGTCCCGTAACCGTAGTCGTAACAATTGATTGTGAATAGTAACACTGGAGAAGGAGAAGTAAGTACTCGTATCGAGGCCAACAGCAGTTGCCAGGATGTTCGATCGTGGTACGCAGATGGAGAGGCAGGGTGGAGGTGTGTTAAAGGTGTGGTACGGGTCGGGAGGATTTAAGCTTGATGGGACAGGATTGGAAGACGGCAGACGGTACCTTTGGAAAATCATAAATGATTGTAAGGATCAAGGTAGGAAACGGCAAGGTTAAGGTCGAGTATGGGTGAGGCTTGTTAAGGGCGCGCGTAGCGTGGACTCCGACTGGAAAAGCGTGGTGACCGGAAGAGCAGAGGCAGGAGGAACCGGAGAGCAGGCTAGAGAAAAAGAGGAGGAGGAGCGACACTGGGGGGGGAGTAGGGCCTTTGGGGTTTGGGAGACCCGCGCAACCGTGATGCAGCTGCAATGCGGACGCAGATGCAGGCGCGGGTTTGCCTCTAAGGACAGCTTCGAGCTTGCTGCAGCGCTGACAGCCAATTTGTCAATGGGGGGGGGGGGGGAGCGGCGGGGCAGGGCAGTAGTGGGCAAAGAAGACTCCTAAATAAAAAAGACGAGCCCTCGGCTGCAATTGGCGGGCAGAACCAGCGCGGGTTGAAGAATGTCGAACTCCGGCTGTGGTGCAAGCAGTAGCAGGTCTGCTCTGCTCTGATCCGATCGGATCTGATCTGATCTGAACTGATCTGCTCAGGTCAGGTCTGATCTGCTCTGTTCTGCTCTGCTGGCGGGCACTGAGGTCGAGGTGCAGTTCGTTGCGGTGCCGTCTCTGACGCTGGCTGCTGGGGTTGGGGTTTGAAGGCTTGACGGTGCTGGGAATGTCGGCTAGTCAGGCGTCGGTGCAGGGGTTGTCCAAGGGTCGAGGACGTGCAGCGTTCGCGTGTTCAGGCGGCCGGACTAGGGAGGTTGATCTGTGGGCTTGGAACTTGGGCTAAAGGCCCCCTGCACAACTTTTAGGTTAGTTTACGTCTCCGAGATTCAGATTCAGGCCCTGCGACTACGACTCCGCCTCCCCTGCGAGTGGGAGTGCGACAGCAGCTTGGAGCGACGCCAACAGGGACCGCCCGCCACGGCCCAGGGCAGCCCAGGGCAGGGCACGCAAGGACGACAGGGGCGCGGACCGTTGGGAAAGATTGGCTTGCCCGGATTGGCGATCCCGCTGGAGAAGGGAGCAGAGCAGAGCAGAGGAGAGGAGAGGAGAGGAGAGGAGAGGAGAGGAGAGGAGGGTAGAGCAGACAGACAGACAGATAGACAGACAGACAGACCGACAGACCGCCAGACCGACACACACCAAAGAGATGGGGATGGAGCAGGAAATGACGGTGGCAGCTCGCATGCATGCATGCAACAGCGGCCTCCGCTGGAAAGCAGCACTGCGAACCCACCACCGTGCAACGGCAACAGCAACAGCAACAGCATCAACCACCACCTCGCGGGGAGGAGAGTGCTGAGAAGAGTGCTGCAGCGAAGGCAGATGGGCGAATGAAAAGACTGAAGCGTGCTGCGCAGGAGGCACAACCAGAGGAGGGGTGGTGGCGTGCAAGGGGAGAACACAGAGGGTGGAAGAACAATGATGCGTGATTGGTCTCGTACCTTTTGTTTACAGACGATGACAATAATCCCCGTTGACAAATGACTGCTGGAAGCCTCTGCGCTGGTTTCCCTCTCTCTTGTTCTTGCACCTCCAGCTGGTGCTGGTCCTCGTCCTGCTCGTGCCGCTGTCGAAATCGCCGATGCCGAGGGTTGGCGTGCCGTGTTCTAGTCCGCAGTTCACCCACCTGCCGCCAGGAGGAGGTGGGGAGAGAAAAAGAAAGGAAGGGAGGGGGAAGGAGAGAGGGGAGCAGAGGAGGGAGAGGAGAGGAGAGGAGAAGCTTGCGGCGGCCGGATGCAAATAATAAAGAAACCCGTGCGGTCCGTAGGTCAGCGGCTGACAGACGCGACGACGGGGGGCATGGAATGGATAATAAGTAGATGCTGGAGGGCTGGCTGGCTGGCTGGTTGCTCTGCTCTGTTCTGCACTGCACTGCACTGCTCTGTCTACTCTGCTCTGCTCGAGTCGTGGTGGACACCTCGTCAATCGTGCTCCAATTACCTCCTGCGCCTTGCCCCGTCTAATAGAGTACTGGTACTCGATGAAATGACGGGAGATCCGCGTGGAGCATTATAATGCAATTATTTGTGCTATTGCCGCCCTCAAACGACATGCCGCAGGAGTGGAGACGGCAATCGGACGGTACCAGTACAAGCAAGGGCTCGTCTGCTCGTCTGCTCGTCTGCTCGTCTGCTCGAGCCTTGATGCCAGATGCTCGATGCTCGATGATTCGATTGTTTGACGTCGAGCTCCTAGACGCCTCGTCCCCGTCCTAGGGCCCCCCCGCCCCAGGCCCAGTCCCAGCCAGAGCACAGTCCGAGGCGATCCCCGCAAGAGGCAAGTGGGCCAAAGCCAAAGGAGGCCTCCTTGTCGCCGTTATTCATGCCTCCATTTCCCCTCTCGAGAGCAGCCGTCTGTTTTGAGCCACGTTCCCACCATTCAGGATTAACGATTGCCCTCAGGACCGCAGGAACCCGGGGCTTTAACCTTACGCTCGCTTCGACGTCTATCAAACCATCAAACCATCAAACCTAAACCGCCAATTTCTCACCACCGCAACCTCCCTCTCGCCCGTTTTTAATCTTCATCAAACGCTCAAAGCTTCCTGTACTGTCCAAACACGGCTAGACCTGCCCGCCCACGGATTGCCTTTTTGTCCTGCCATCCCGATGCGGCGACCATGGAGGACCTCAATTTACCCTCTCTCACGCGTCCTGCATCACAACTAAGTTCAGGACGCTGCTGCGAAGGAATCCTCCGGACCGTAACCTCACCACACCACACCACACCACACCACACCAGCCGAGGCGCAACGACCAATCCACGGTCACCAGCACAAGCACAAGCACAAGCACAAGCTTAGGCTCTTGGGCCGGTGCTCAGGCGGGCGTTCAAACAACTACTGTACTGTATGTGCGAAACTGCTGCGACAAGACAATCGTCCGACCCTATGGCCGATCTTGATCAGCTTTCCTACTCCCGGAATCTCCAGCGAGCCAGCCCGCAAGGAACGAGTGGTGGCATGCTGCTGCACGTCGCTCGACCTGCTCCTGAGTCCTGGCCAGCCAGATTCATTTCGCTGGACTGCTGCCACGGCTGACGCCGCGAGGCCCTAGCCTTGTCATTCATTCATCCCCACGCCCCCTTGAAGCTTGTCGTGATCCAGTGAACCACTGAAGCCCCCCTTCCCCAGTCCTCGATCGCAGAAATTTCACTCCCGGAGCCTGTGTGACAGTGTGTGAGCCGTGATCTACGAACGGCACCTGCCTCTTGTGCAATCCTGGAGCTCCTCCTCGGTATCTACTGTACGGCAAGCGCCACGCGACGACGACAGCCCCAGGGGTTCACTCCGAAGCTCTGAGCTCTCATTCCACGAATCCACACATCCCACACCACCGGCCCTGGCCAGCACGAGTTCGCAATGCAGGTCCCTCCCCCACATGGCGTCTCCACCTGAGACCTTGAACAACGGCAGGCTGCTGGATTCGAGCAATAAATGGGTCGATAACGGTGCTGTATGTCGGGCATGCCCTCAGCAGCTCAGCTGTCCGGAGTAGTTCCTGTACCAGCATATGCACGCACGAGGCGCTCGAAATAGATCGCCATCTCCAAACGATACAAAACAAAAGCAAATTTCCGCATGAACTCTGCATCTGGTGCATGGCTACGAATGCTGATCAAATGGGGAGAATAACAATGCGCCTATTTTCCGAGGGCAGCTCCGAGACGGTGAGACCCCAAGTCCTCCAATTCCGCGAAATGGCGTCGAGCTTACTCGCGAGTCGCGAGTCGCGAGCTTGAAAGTTGAAGGGCAATTTTTTGAGTTTGCCCGTGAACGCTACTGCGTAATCCCATACTCACTCCGTACTTTGACAGGAACATAGATCCCTGGCTGCGACCTTGAAATTTGCTGCAGGCAACGAGGCTAGCGTGCCCAGGAGTGACGCCCGTCGACCTGCCATGGCCCATGGACCCCCCCCCCATTGCCCCAACCGCTGTCGTGCTGCACCCTGCACTGCTGCTGGTGCTCGACTGTTGCTCCCGTAGCCCGCTCCTCACAGCCAGCGCCATCGGCCCACTGCGGCCCACGCCCTCGGTCCCCAGTGACAGCTGCCCAAAGCGAATTAGCAGAGCGTTTTGACTGCTCAACTGCGGAGCCTGGAAGGCTGGGTTTTGTTCTGGAATTCTGCACCTCCTTTCCAACGGCCACTTGCGTATTCAACTCCACGCCAGCATCATCCTTTCCGGCGGATGAGGTTCGCGGCCCCGCAAATTTCCGCGGCGGAGAGGCTCTTGCTCACTTCATCACTGGCCAAACGGCGACACTCGTCGCGACATCACGATCGGCGCCTCCAGAGAGGCAGACTGTAATAACCTGCCCCACAAAACCTCACGGCCCTGTCAATAGTTCGTCTCATTTCACTATGAAAATCGCGCGGACCGAGGCGAAGCGAGAATAAGCCTCATTATCCAAGATCCCACGTTTTGGCCCAACCGTCGACGTCTTATCCCATCCAATATCACCAGCACTCGTGGCTGATTTTGGCATCACCATCATGCATGCCATTCCCTTCTGAGCGACCAGGAAGGGGATTTGAGGCCTTGGAGAGGCCAAGTTCCAAAGCCCGGACTTCGTTGATGCAGCTCGTATGGAGGGGAGCGAGTCAGGCTGGCGTGGCTTGTGAGCTGGACAAGCAGCCTCGCTCGATCTCACCCTTCATCCTTGAGGCGGGGTAAATAATGCGTTTCTCCACGAAATGCTTCTGTTAATAAGGCATCATTGGGAGGTGCACGACGCTGTAGCCATGTGAGCTCGGCCGGAACCACCTGGCCCTGCCATGCATTGCCGAGGAAATACAGCATCTGATCTGGGGCGTACGAGCATCGGATAGAGCTCGATTTAAAATGACAGCCTCAACAAATTCGGGGTTTTCCAGGGCGAAGACGCGGGGCCATGTCCATGCGCACGCACATGAAAGTCCGGACAAGGCTTCGGATGGAAGCGTATGCGCTTCCCAACCACAACTTACAGCAATGCACGAGAAGTCTACCGACATGTTCAGCACTGTCCGCTGCTCGAGCATGACGTCTGACAATCAATCATTTCCCGCCATCTAAACAGAGGATGGCGTCGGACGTGCTCAAATCGATCTTAAGGGGGCGCTATAGATTCCATGGTTCACGATGCGTTTTATGGCCCTACGGGTTCCCCGTCGATATGACAATCATCATATAGCCACGGGCGATTCGTTTATTATGCATGTCTCCAGACGGCCCTGGGCCTCGTGGCAGTGTGGCATCATCTTCGCTAAAAGTATCCTCGACTTCTTATCGTCCAGATCTCATCTAATCTCAGATGGGGCCGCGAACCGAAGCGTTTGAGCTCGGAGTGTGTGCGCGCAGAGACAGCATGGTGATCTGTGCAGACTGCCACCAGTTCCCCGGGGTGAACACCAGCGGGGTGGGCGCCGACATTCGCACTGGCCTTCCTCAGTTGGGCCACCTGTGAGGCGGTGTCTTTAGCTTTTCATCGCAACCCGTCAAAGGATGTTGACATGTGTGGTGACTGCTTCGAGGCATGGGCTTCATCAACCGTCTGGAGAACGCCAGGGACACTTTATCTCGGAGGCAAGCCAAATCTACGGCTCACGGAGGGACAGTCCCGGCATATTTAGTAGAGATGAAGACTCGTACAGAGCTCATTGTTACAAAAACCGGCTTCAGCATCTCACATGCGGCTCGAGATCCGGCGAGGTCGACCGAAGTGGGACGTCTTCGATATTGTGCCATCCAAAAGGGCATGTCACTATAGCCCAGTTTTGACTCGTCACAAATGCGGGGGCATGAATTTCATAGTGTGGTGCGAAACAGATGCTTCGCCGGTTGCGGGATCTGAAGGCATGAAAAACACTCATTTCAGACGGAGAAATAAACCGTACAGCACGAGCCCCCCGGCGGTCAATTTGGTGAATTCATCCCGAAAGGTGGCCTCTGTGCGCAATGTCATGCAACCCGATGCCTCAAGATCTAGCCGTTTTGTCTTTTTATATCCGAGTTTGTTCAGACCTCAACCGGATCGAGGCGGTGTTGGTACCATCCATCGCTGCACCCATCGAAAAACCCGCGACGTCGTAGTCAGAAGTGGAGACAAGAACCCCTCGAGTCCTTCACCAATCGGGCCGCCCACAAACTTATTTTAAAATTATCCGGCATTCTGGTTCATCACCAAAGCGACACCTGAAGCGGCGTAGATCTTGTGCCAAACCGCCAGGCCGCAGTGGTAGCGAAGGGACCCGTGGCTGTCGATCATCGAAATGATGCCTCATGGGGTGGGCAGGCCCTGGCACCTCGTCGCCCTGGCTGATATCCCGCGACCCCTGCCAATATTGGATGACATGACATGGCAAAGCGCAATAATGGCCAAATGAGACTTTGTGCAGTGACTCCGTCTTTAATTTTACGTTCGTGCTTCAGGTTAGGTGTCTATGCTAGCGCACGGCATGTGCAAGAAGACGGAGCTTCATCTGTACACGCGCGTGAGGCGCGGAAGGTAGCTGACACCTTGCCAGAAAGGAGGGGGGTCGTCAGAGCGCTGTCACGGCAGCGCCTGCTCTGTCCATTGCGGAATCATTACCCGTTCGTGCCTCCCACTTAGTGCCTCAGGTGGTTGGTGAAAGCGACTTGTCCCCGAACCACCTAGGGTACTTAGTGTGAGGTACTAACGGGTAGACGACAACACCAATTGCGCCCAGAAGCCACCAACTTGAGGGCCACGACTCATGAGTCCGAGAACAGATGCTACTGGTTTGACCTCGCAGTCACGGCAATAATCTCCCTACGGAATACTCCAGAAGCTACTAAATGCCGTTGCGATGGCGTGGGTTGGCGCCGCCATCGATGCGACCAAAATCAGCCTCGTTCTTCTTGCGATGGCTGCAAATCGCGGAGACGAGGCTGCTCAGCCTGGCCACTGCATGCGAAGGCCATGCTCCGGAACTGGATGAAAAGTTCCTTTGTCCCGCGGAAAGGATCCGATCGAGATTCCCAGATCCGACACTTCCCCTCGACCTTGCTTTACTGTTCTCCTTTGCAGAAAATTCATTGGGTGCTCCCTTGGACATTATCCACTTAGGAGTCACCCTCTCCTGCAGCAGAGTAGCCCCGGAATGATCCTCCTCCCGCCGGCTCTTCACGCTGCTGTGACTGACGAAGGCCGCTGTGGAGCGTGTTTGTCGACTCTTCAGGCTATAACTCGAGCCAGCAGTAGTCCGCGTCACCCAAAATATGTACGGACCTCGAGGATCCGCAGCACCAACGCGGCTAAGCAGATTTGCCAAAAGCTGAATCCATTTTTTTTAATTTTTTTTTATAAATACCAGACTTCCGCCCTTCACTAGCTGCTGCTAAGTAGCAAACTCTCGGCGCTCCACCAGCCCGTTGTCCACGCCGGTGTAGACTATATGGATACTTTCTTGCCTTGCTGCCAAGCAGCCCAGTTGAAAGAATGCCACTTCACATCATCAACCACCCTAACGATCCTACCTGCTACACCACCATGAAGGCCACGAGGATCAATAGAACTTAAAACTATGTTCATAAACAGTAATTTGTAATCTCCTTTATTTGAATGGAATAGTGTTCCAGTTAGTAAATTGCTGTCATTAAAAAAAATCAATAGACACTTCCAACTGCTTTAGCGGTTATCGATAGTCTCTGTCCTGTGGGCGCCTACGGGCTGAGATAACCATCGACGTCTTCAGCGGTTTTCACCCACTTCGCGTCCACTAATGGACATCAGACCCACCAGACCCACCAGACCCCGACTGGGCATCATTCCTTCAGAAGTTCAGATCATTTGATCTGCCAGAACATTTCCGGTCAGAGTTCAGGGTTTCAAATCTTGTAGAACTAGTGCAAGCGGCAACTGAAATAAGCTCAGCGCTACCGACAACTTTTGTGTCTCAGCAACCCGCAACTCCTTTACTCCCCTATTTCATTTTTCTGGTACCGAGGAAGGTATGTGTCATAGGAGTCAAATGAGGCCAGATTGTTCTAGGGGATCTGTGTTCGATGCTTCATGAAGCTTTAGAAGCCATATCTTCGCATCGGCTAGGGGGCATGACAACAATGCTTTGAAGGTTCCTTTTAGGCGTCCACCTTGCTACCTGGCAAGCGACAATCTAATCCCACTATCCGTTGCGCTTCGGCCAGCTTTGCACTTCACGATTAATTGAAGGTCCAGTCAGTGCAAAGCTGGTCGCAGTGCAACGGGATACTTTGCACTAAAGGCATCGCCGGAGAGCTAGATGGGTGCCGTGACCAGTCAGATTGTTTTGTGCAGCGGCAACGGATCGACCCCATGCGACCCCAAGTTAAGGCCACGAATGGGATTTCCTCCTTTGGCAAACAGTGCGTTTACATACGAGTCAGAGGTTTTGAAAGCGGTTCACTATTCGTACTTGAAAGTTTTTTCCAGTACGATCGTCAACTTGTGTATGTCTTGGCTTGGCTGTTACCAGATCGTATTCATCGTGTCTCTAGGAGACCGAAGCATCAGAAGTGTTGATCAGATAATGCTCTGGAATTTGAGATACCGCAGCGGCGCATTTTCAGCTCCAGTGAGCAAGTAAACGGCTCCTGACACGCCCGGCCGTTCTGAGAGAAATCATTTGCGAAGTCTCTGAGTGATTAGGATAAAAGTAAACCTCCTAGGGGTGTCTGACGGGTTCAAGTCCTGGCTCATGTCGTCAGGAGTCTCCTGAAAGTCGAATCAAAGACCGTTCTGCCTTCGGCTGAAGCTGATCAATAGTTCAAGCAAATTCATGCGGTGCTGCTGATTCATGCCTTGAGACCTCTCTCAATTCTGACTGACTCAAGATTGAACACATGGTTTCCTTTTCATCTCTTACCCAAAGGCCAAGTCCAGTACACCGATAGCTTTCATCACCCGCAAGTGCTTGCAAAACCAAGCCTTCTTGCTGCAAGATTCCCCCTTAAGACAACTCTTAAGCGAGGTCTTAATGTTCAGCGCACCACCATCCGATACTTAAAGGGGCAAGATATAAATCTTCAACTTCGCAAAATATATCAGGCACCAAGCCCATTCTGTCGTTGAAATCCCCTTCCCAGCGCAGCGTCATGCAAACAACCTCAAAAAGCAAAATATCGCGATTCTCCGCACCGATCGTCGATCGAAACAAAAGCAACAAAGAGCGAATGCGTGATAAAGATGTCTCGGGGAATGGATTATGCTCGAGTGAGACAAGTCTTCGGCATGACGGCCGTTCTCCGATACAAGACAGCGATCGAAGACAATCCATCGCGAACGCCGCCTATCTGTCTCAACAATCCGTTCCTATGAAACTGAAACAGTGAGCTCGCTTGCGTGATAGCGCCGTTTATTCTGCAGGTGCAGGCAGCAGAGAAACAAGACAGATGTCTCGGCTACCAGGCAAGCGCGGAGGGAAACACGGCCTGTGGTACGGCTTCAAGCGAGCCGTGACACTTTCGGCATGGCCAACGCTGAATCGGGAGTATGTGGGAGCTTTAAATTCCCGTGGAGGCACGGGAGGGTGGTACAAATGCTTCTTGATCAAGCCGATGCCACGGCAACGCCTTGCCTGTTCGGAAGCACGTGCTCACCTTTTCACTATTGATGAACGGTACGCATATCTTCAACGTTTAAGATCTCGATCTGATTATTTGATGCACAGTTTCTCAGTCCTCACCCAACAATACGGAATGCACAGGACTCGGTCCCAGCGAGACCAAGCTCGACACACCAAAAAGGGGTACAGGATAAAAGTAAACAAGAGAATAAAAGCAACAAACACTGCACCAGAATCTCCACAATGGACTGCTGCATGAACGCAGAAGCTCCTGGACCCTGCATACAGGTGGCAATGCAGAAGGGTATGTATGTCGACGTCGATTTTGTCTTTCCTGCACCTGCTTTGCTGCAAGGACCTGTTGGGCCGAGAGCAAATTGATGTTGAGCCGCATTGCGAAGAGAGAGGGAAGAGATTTTGATGGGAGGTCACTTCTACCTGTCCCACGACGTGTGGTTGGAGAGAGGGATACACATGTGATATCCCTCGGTGCCTCCCGTCATGCTGTACCAATACCCACTGTTCTCCCTCCTGCATCCTACAAAAAGGCGAATTAGGAAATACCCCTCGGGTATTCGGGCATTCGGGGAATTCACTTCCATCCTCGTCCTCCATCCCATCCAGCTAGGGATGAAGGAAGCGTTTTGCACGTGATCTTTGGTAGATGGAAGGACGGGTGAACTCCTGTTGTGCCTTCCTCACTGCACATCGCATATAATATGCAGATGCAACGGGAACCCGCATGCATCAGCACTTGGCTGCTTGCAAAGAGGGGAAATAGGGCAAGACCCTTCATCCCTCGGGTTTTCGGGAAATTGCTTCCCTTTCAAAGAGCGGGAGTTCACACGTGATTCTCGGCTGATGGAAGGACAGATGAACTCCTGTCGTGCACACCTCACTGCACATGCAATGTGCAGATGCAGCGGGGACCCGCATGCATCAACTCAATCTAGCGGTACCACCCCCTCGGAAACAAAGCACAGCGGATTGAGCCACAAGCCTCCACGGGAAGAACGACCGAGGACGAGGATGTGTATGCATCGGCGTCTGCATGCAGGTAACCTTACCTCCCCTCCCCTCCCCTTCTCACCTCTGCCCCACGCACGCCTGCATGCAGGAAGTAGTTCCCGTAGAGTATGCCTTGCATATGCCGTACCCCTCATAAGAACGAAGAAAGCTAGCCCAAAGAAAGAAAGAGACACAACCGGGGTATTGTTCGGATGTCGGCGCTGCAAGTGAGAGCGTAGTTCATGTATGCCTTGCATATGCCGTGCTATATGACCGAGAAAGCTGGCCCAATGAAGGAGAGCACAAACGGGGCATTCTTCGGATGTCGGCTCGATGGTGGGGGTTGGGGGGAACGTTACAGTGCTCGAGGTCGGCCTTTGTGTAAAATAAATACTGATTGAAAAAATTCGTCGAATGTGATTTAGGTAATTAAATCCAATTGTTGACAAACTTCTCTACTATGCCTCGCCCCTAACCATCCGCGCTAAGCTAAAATAGATAGGAGATGGGAAAGGGAGATATAAACTACAGGTGTGGTGGGGAGAGCAGTTCGCACTACTAACTGTTTTTCTCTGGTTTTCGTGGAGGTGAATAATAGTTTACAGCTGGCTCTCGATGCCAGCGAAGTTTTGCTCGCCGGGCCAGTGGGCTTCTGGCCAAACGTGACGCATGGCTTCCCAGATATGTCTGCAGTTGACTTCTTGTTAGTTCTGACAGAGGGACTTAGAACAACTCTGGCAATTTAGACATACCTGACGTGGATAATCTCCAACCCGTCCTTTACTTCTTGCGGGAGGTCTTTTACGCTGCGGGGACGTTAGGGCTGAATTCGGAAAGGGGAGAAGGTGGCGCTTACTCCTTCCTATTTTGGGCAGGAAGTAGGACGGTTTTGACACCAGCTCGCAGGGCACCGATGAGCTTTTCCTTGATGCCTCCGACTGCGGTGATGCGCCCTCGAAGTGAGATTTCGCCCTGAACATTGTTAGCGGGAGTGGGAGGTATGGAGCGGGCGTGAACTCACTGTCATGGCCATCGTCGGTGGTACTGCTTTGCCGGAGAACAACGAGATCAGCGCAATGGTGTGTGCAACGCCGGCAGAAGGACCATCCTGCGACTGTCAGGAGATGTCTTACCGTTCAAAAAGGGAAAGAGGTACCTTTGGAATGGCCCCCGAAGGGCAATGAACATGAATACTACGGTTCTTCATGATGTTCTCAGAGGGGTCGTGTGTCAAGCCCAGCTCGTACGCATGCGCCTTGACCCAGCTTAGTGCGACCTCGACGCTTTCCTTGAGCACATCGCCGAGTTTTCCTGTAAGCTGCACGCTCCCGCTGCCTGGCATATCAGCCACTTCGATAAAAAGTATGCTTCCGTTGCCACCTGAGCTATATGCCACGAGACCAGTCACGATGCCGGGACGACTGCATAAGATTGTCAGCTAGATGTTCTTGGCCAATATATTATCGGAGATTTTTGTATCTCCTATCTTGCATCTCACGCAGTTGCCCACGCATTGGGTAACACGGCGGCGGCAGGATTTCGATAGAAGGATCGGATGAAGTACCTTGTCTTTTCGGCGATTTCCTCGTCGTATTTCTCGATTCCCAAAATCTCCTCGATATCTTCCACGGTTAATTGAGGCTTGTACCTCTCTGCAATCAAGTCAGTACGTGGCTCTGAGGTAACCTGCCAGAAAACCTACCGGCGTGCCCAGCATCTTTGGCTTCAGCATATTCCACAGCTTTCGCACGACAGACGGAGCCAATCTCCCGCTCCAGATTTCGGACACCTGACTCACGGGTGTATGACTCTATGATTTTGGACACGACATCTTGGTTGAACTCGACCTGCCCGGTCCCGAGACCGTCTACACAACGTCAGCGTTGAGCAGCATAAACAGGATGCAAGACTTACTTGTCCGAATTTGCTTGGGGATCAAGTGTTGGAGAGCGATATGTCGCTTTTCGAGAGTAGTGTACCCTGACAGATAGATTGTTTCCATACGATCCAGCAGCGGAGGTGGAATCGTATCCAGGCTGTTCGCGGTGGCGATGAACAGAACTTTGCTAAGATCAATTGGGATGTTGACATAGTGGTCCACGAAGGTATGATTTTGCTCGGGATCGAGGACCTCGAGCATGGCGGCAGAGGGATCGCCATGAAAGTTTGATGTGCTGTGAAAACTGTTAGGGATACAGCAGAAATCCGTCAAATGACTACTTACCCAACTTTGTCGATCTCATCCAGCAAGAAAACAGGATTTGAGACCCCAACCTTCTTCAGGCCTTGCACGATCAGCCCAGGCATAGCAGCAACGTAGGTTCTGCGATGTCCTCTGATCTCTGCCTCGTCTCGGACACCGCCAAGAGAGATGCGGTGAAATTTCCGCCCCAAAGCAGTGGCCACTGACTTTGCCAGACTCGTCTTGCCAACACCGGGAGGACCAACTAAGAGCAGAATTGGTGACTTATCAATCATTCGCTTGCTCTTCAAAATTTCCACTTTCTCGATCGCCTTTTCTTCTTCGGCCTTCGCAACTTCGGCATTCACATCCTCGTTGATCGATTGCTTTAGCTTGAGCACGGCCAGGTACTCCAGCAACCGTTTCTTGACTTTGTCCAAACCGTAATGATCGTCGTCCAGCTGCTTTCGCGCCCTCGACAACGTCTCAACGCCAAGTTGGTCCTCTGTAGCGGCTGACCAGGGTATCTCTGCCAAGTTTTCTAAATAATTTCTGGTGACTTGATACTCAGCTTGAGCTGGAGACATCTTCTTCAGACGTCTGAGTTCTCGCTCAGCGACTTTAGATGCTTCCGCAGTCATCTTCGCAGCATCAAGTTTCTTCTTCAACTCGTCCATCTCGTTTGGTTCTTGTTCATCTTCTGGGGGGCCCATTCCTGCCATTCCAGGCATTCCAGAAATCCCTGGCCTTCTCATTCGCTGATTGTTAATTTGGTTCATCTTATCCAGGTCGATATTCGAAGGTAGCGTTGTGCTCGTAAAGGTTGTGATGCTAACGTTGTTCTTGATGTTCCCAACCTGGCGCTGAAGCAATTCAATGGCTCTCTCGAGTCGTTCCTTGATATCAAAAGCAGCTAAGATCTGCAGTTTCTCTTCCAAAGAGGCTTCAACAATGTTGGCCATGAAGTCTGCCAGTATACCAGCATCTTGCAATGCCTTCCTTGCAATAAATTGTTCAAGCCGCCGGGCCAGTATGGGTGAGAGGCCAGAACCAGTACCACGGGGTAACAGAGATGATAAACGTAAAAGGGCGAGGAGCTCGCGAGACAGTTGCTTGAGGTGCGCAAAGAGGCCTTGCAGAGTAACATCTTCGCCGTTTATTGCTGCTCCAGATTAGCATGCGTCCGCTTTCTGGACCTTCATTTCTTACCCTCATCATATTCATATGTGACCTCAGCCTCAAAGAAGGGACGCTCTTGGGTAATCTTGTCAATCCGTAACCTTGCAACGCCTTCAACAATCAACGCAAATTCTCCCGTACCCCGTCCTTCCACCCCCGATATCTTCGCAGCCACACCATATTCAAACAGATCCTCCTTTGTAGCACTGCCAGGATTTATATCCCAGCGCTCCTTTGGTTGCGGACTCCGCTCATCCTGCGATATCATCTTCTGTCCATTCTTGGTGAGAAGTGGCGAGTTCAGCGGAACGCAGGCAATATGGACATGGTCGAGCCTTTGGCTGGGTGATTTCGAGGCAGCTCGACTGTAAACACTCGATAGCAGAGCTGGGATATCAGGTCGATTGCCAGCCACCGGTATCCGTAGAACTATGCCCGGGAGGAGGACGGTGTCTTTTGCAAGCGGTATAACAGGCAGGGTGAGAGGCTTCGAAGGCGCCATTCTGTCGTTGCCTTCTTGTATGCAATGTCAATCTTTGATTTGTATGTACAAATGCGTATTATCGTCTGTCGTTGATGTTGTTGGTGTTGTGTCGATCATCGAAGATGGAGGAAGGAGGGCGATCAACAGCCGTCGAGCGTCATGGTCGCGACAAATCGCGGAGCCGAGGTTCCCTGCAAATCCCTGCAAATCCTTGCCGACAAGGCTGAGGGGCACAACACATCTGTTGACGGATTACACTCAAGTTATAATCTTTGGTAATCATCCACAAGTATCACACATTTTTCAGAGCAGCAATTCGCGAAATCATAGCTTCACGTTAGATGGCGATAATCATGTGACAAGCCGAAGCGAACCCCTAACCCCTTCTCCAACTTATGGTGCAAGTGCCAGCTATTTTTGTAAATATTTGCTTTCAAACATTAATCTTCAAATTAAGTACTTCATCACAAAAGCTTCTTGGGGTTTTGAATACACAGGAAACAAGAGAGGCCAGTACAGTTGTTTCTCGCGAATTCATTTGATTGAGCTGCCCAAGTGGCCTCAGCCTCTTCCAAGATACCTGGTTGAGCTTTCATGTGATCCAAGCATCGCTGTGCTTCTCACCATATCAAGTTTATAGTCTGAATTTCTAGAAGACCTTCTTCCACTTTCTTGACTGCCTCCCCTTCCATCAAGCCTGGAATATAACAATCACCAATGAGTGTGTCGCCATCCTCATGCTCATGAACAATATACGGAACACGAATTCCAGGAAAGACATAAATAGAGTTGATCTGCTTCGTTTGGGATGACTCCGTTGTAGCCATCAGAAGACAAACAGATTCTCCTTCCCCCCAATACCACGGCTATTCGGACTGTATCATCAACTTCATTCTTTGGGCCAATAATTTCACCAATTGATGATGTGTACGGGTTCTTATCAGCCTCCACCGGTACCAAGGAGTATCTGGCAGGATTGGCCCGTACAGCTCTCCCTAAAGCCTCGTATTTGGTGCAACCAGTGATATAGGGCTGCCGTAACTCAAGGTTGTCACGTTTTAGAAGAAATATTATACTGTGTACCGAGGCTGTTGTGTCTGGTAGGTTGGAGATGTCCAGGTCCAGGTTAAAGATAATAAGCATGCGCTCTAAAACGGCAAACAAGGCAGTTGTCATGTATTCTCCGATTGGAGATGGCATGGCCCTCCGCGCCTATTCAGAACAAACTATAACTTTCTCCTTAAGATCCAGCAACGAGCAAATTCTGTATATAGTGCTTGAGCAGTAACGTCGTAGTTGGGTTTAGATGCCAGTACACCTTCCTGTCTCTGACCCCCAAGTAATCCGAGACCCACGTATATCTTATCTCTGGGATCCGTGGCTTCACAGGGTCGATAGGCTGCTACTATTCCACGGAAGAGTATCCCTCGAAATTTCCATCGAGGTCGAGTGCGAATATTATGACTGTATAGACTCTCACGGAATGGCTCAAGAAAGAAATAAAACGGCATGTCTTAGAGATGTGGCTTCGAGATGTTCTCCAATTACTCGCCAGGAAAGACAGTTTCCCATCCTTGCTCGTTGATCCGAGAAAAGAAGGTATAAAGATGATGGAATGCCTGGAAGTCAATTGGCTTTGATCTACAGCTGACGGTGATTTGCTTCCCCGTGGCTATTTCTTAGACTACCCAACTTCTTCTCCACCCGGATTCAAGTGTCAACATAGCATCTGCCACAGATTGAGAATTTTCGCATGGGGAAAGCAAAGACTCAGAAAGCATGCTCACCACGGCTGTTCCAGCAATGAAACAAAGGCTTCCCAAGGGTGATTTGGATTCTGAAGCCAATCAAGAATGCTCGGACCAACTCCTCCGTTTCCCACTTGTTTTGGCATATCCTTCACGAACACCATAGCCTCATCACTACCCGAGGACGCTTCGCCAATCCAAGCTTCGACGGCAACGGCAACGGCATTCGTGAAGATCGTTTGCATGAGCATCACTTGATGCGAGCGTTCTTCATTATCGTTTTAGTTGATACATATGGTATCTGCCCGTATCCAAAAAGGGAACCATCTGGAGCGAAAATGGCGTAACGCGGATTGGGTATTCGGTAGGATTCAGAAGAGCGCCCCACCGGAGGGATATTTCCTTCCTGTAGGTTGGGATCTCCCAAGTGTGTGACAGTGCGTAGTACGCACCCACTCTGCGAATCGGACAGTGCCGAACCGAACATTGTAATTGTGCGGAGCGTTGCCAAGCCACTCAGGTAACAGCCTGATCTTTTTAATCGTGGGATCTAAGTTACGATATCTGAACATCCTTGGGTGATAGAAGTGATGGCAGGGAGGATCACCTTGCAGATTACTGAATCGGATGTGATGCAAGAAAGAAGAGGAATACTACCTGGAGAAGGCTTCCGGGGGTTACATAGGCATTCACTTGGACCGATTCGCTCAGCCACACTTCTCGCTCCTTTTCCTTTAAACTCTGGCTGTGGCGATCTTCCGACTAATCAATAATATAGTCCTTGAAAGGCATAAAAATTAATTTCAACGATCATAATCCCGACGGCGATGGGATCGTTGTCTCTCAATATTATCAAGTCTCTAGTGCTTCGCTTCCAAACTTGGTATCCACACTTGAAGTAACTGTAGGGAGGGTGAGTATAGGTGAATTTAAAACATCTCAGAGAAGATACTCAGAATGTCGACTTTTAAAATCCCGGAATATATTATATGTGGTGACTAAACCATGAAATACAGACTTGAAATAGCAGAACTTGTTAAGAAGGACTATCGCGTGTCCTCTTCAAGTCTCTGAAAGGGTTCGCTCATGCGCCCGAAACACTTCAAAGGTGCAAACAACGACTAGAGCCATACTCGAAAGACAGAGAAGGAATACGATTAAACAGCCTTTAAAAGTTAATTTAGAATTTTGGAGAATGAGCTTTATTCTGGAGGAAGAACCCGAGAAATAAGCAAAGTGTCTCCCAGGAATTGAAGGGGAGGCGCAAAGTGAAAGCAAATCAGCATGCAAGACAAAAATGGGCACTGCCCCTTGATCCCGACTGTTTTTGAATATCTTCCAATTTGGTCGTCAAATGGAGCACTACTATCTTGGGTTCGAGGGTGTAGAGCCCGAACCTGATTGCAGGTTACCAAGAAAAGTCGCTAAAACCGCGCAATAGCTATGAATGATATCAGCAGTTTCTCGATTTGCCAATTTTTCGAAAGGAATGAGACTCACGCTGCAGATCCGAGTAGAATATCTCGCACTTTGATATTTGTGGACAGTGATAGCATGGTTGAAAACACCAACACAGAAATGATAACCGTTGCAGAGGTCCAGCCGCGACTCAAAGGAACCCACAGAAAAAGAGATATAGGAATAATCAAGATCGCAACGGCAACTAATACGCTGAACAGTTTCGCTGCCCCTGTGACTCGCATTTGGGAGAAGTATGTGACCACTAGATCCTTTTCATTGACACCATGTTTTGAAGAACCAAAGAGAAGCTGGATTGTTCACTGATGTTAGCTCCCCATATCTGAGACCCGGTCTCCTTGGAAAACTTACCCTGGACCATGGCGTAATGAGTGAAGATTCGAAGTGGTCGATATTGGCAAGTGTCACCAGATCATCCTTGTGCAAGATCCAGTCATCTTCGCCTTTTGCAATAGGCTTTTTCCACTCAATCCAGTGAAACACTGATCGATGATCACGCTTCAGAGGTGGCCCAATTGCCCTCAGTTGTTTGTCTTTCAACATCAAATCATCTACCCAACATCAGCATTGCTCCATGTATTCGAAGTTCGATTTAGTCATACAGTACACGGGCAGTTTTTCTTCCAACTGCTTTAATATGTCTTTTTGGCGAGTGTCCCAACCCGTCCTATGCTCAGTGCTCACCAGTCTATACGAAGTCGAAGATCCATCTCTTGCGTCAGATCGATCGAGTTCTTCGAGTTCCTTCTCGAGTGCCGCGATCTCGGACTGGAGGTGGATCATCACTCGACAGTTGGTCTGGCCAAATTTTCGAAATATTGCAAAGCTCTCATCGCTGTTCATGAAAGCTGCAAGTTGTGGATAGCCTTCGGGATAATTGTCCACTATCATAAGAAGTTTGTCAGCTTGACGACCACAACAATAGATTTGTTCCAAGGGTCGAACCATTGCTGCTCTTGAACACACTGTATAGCTGCCCTGCTCCTTCTCGTCGAGTTTCCTTCCAACGCCAGAAGAAAGACAGCAAAGATAGAAATGAAGCTCCAAGGTGTGCCAGAGTATAAGAGCGGGCTGCTGCCGTTGAGCCTGTCCCTCATCGGTAAGCGAGCCTATAATTCAGAGAAGGGAATCAAACCTTCATTAGCACTATTAGAGAAGAGAGTTCCTCCTGTGTATGAGGTACTGAACGTTGCGGATTTCGAGTGACTTCTGGTTATGGCAGGGCGGATGGGCAGTGAGGCTTGCTCAGCCTCGTCAGGACTCAAAGCATAATCCGACGGCCCTGCTGCCATTGGTGGAGGAACCGCATTCGCACTCATTATTGGAAAGAGGTCAATGAAATCAAGAGGAAAAAAGGTGATTGATAGAGAAAAGCGTTCATTTAGCAAGAGGAAAGAAAAATACTTTCTCACTTATTGGTGCCAACTCATGCATGCTTTCCTCCTCGAAGAGCCTCACGGATTGAGAATGCCTTGACTTAGGCGGAACAAACCGCCACATGCAGGCAAGGCTGTGCAACACAGCAACGGTTCGAAAGCTACCTGTTAAAATCATGATCTCAATTACCCTATGACAGCTTTCTTAGATTGCTTTGATAATATCTTACCTGCTGAATGTCTCGACCGCGTCGTGGCGGAATCTTCGATGGCTGGGCTAGTAATTGGCACTCTCGCTTTCTTTACAAGCAGGTATTTTTGGACTGGTCCTACAAAGATTATTGTTAAAAGAATCTCCCTCCACTCTGCGCAGGAGGTTAGGGTGGTTGCAGTATGACGGGGAATAAAATTCACCGACTCCTGACTCCGACTGGTCGACATCACGTGCGTAGGTCGCGGGAAGGGACTAGATATGAAAAAAAGCATAGGTAGAAATAGAGCCTAAGAAGAAGATAAAGAGAAGGGTAATGAGACTCTCTCCCTCAACAAATAAATTAGAGGAGGCCGTCAATCACGTGATGAAGCTCACATCGCTGCCTATGCACCGAGGTGTCCAATCACGGCCAGTGCAGACTTCTGGGGCCTTCGTTAGCAGCAAGTGCAGATAGTGTCCGAGACATTCGGCCAAAGTTCTGAGAGAAGCTGTTGATGTGAGACTTATGAAATATAATTGAATCCTTCAGATCAACATCAGGAAATCGCGTTTGCTCCAAAGAATATCTGATTCTGTTAGGATTAAGTGGTGCGTTCCTTGAGTGTCGATTCATGCATGGCGTTGACAAGGTGCGGTGAAGCGACCCAGTTAAAATCGGGAAAAGCAAAAACGACACGCCCCTTGAATACTCACAGTGGATCCTTTATTAACACCACCCTGAAACCTCGTTTATAACCCCCAACTAGGAAATATCAGTGCTTTCCAGAATCGCTATTGGCTATACCCTTGAGATGGCCAGTGCTTGGGTGGTGTTATCCTTGGGCCCACTGTAAGTATTCAAGGGGGGAATAGTAATTTACAGCCGCAACATACGGAGCCGTTATTTCTTCCTGAAGAAAGACAGTCCTAAGTAGGAGTTGAGTTTTGGTGTTCCCGCTCGCGCCCGTTCTGCGCTAAGCCCTCGTGTAGGCAGCCCCTGCCTTGCGCGAGCGGGGGAGCGGATTTTCGGAGGTTCAGGTCAGGCTCAATTCCCTCATTCGCCTGCAAGAAGTCAAATCCCTCGCAACTTTCTGGCCAGAGTCGATTCACGTGACCGGTGTGACCGGTTTTGTTCCCCTGCGAAATCGAAATCGAAATCGACAACTTTCGGTCGCAATCCGTGGCATCGAACACACAACCACAACCAACTCAAAACCCTCCAGGCTCAAGAACGACCGAGTTTAGTGGGGAAAGCTCGTATCAACAAGGTTATTCCATCCACTTGAAGTCTCTGGCGCATCTTCCGGCGATGATGCGTATGAATGCCGGCGCTCCTGCGATCGTGCTCGAGTTGGGATGCGGTCAGCGGACGATCTTCCACTTCCAGTACAACAACAACCTCTTCCCTATTTCATCAATACCTAGCTCGGACATACCCTTGAGGATTGCACGGAACATTTTTACCTCCAAACTCGACCAAATTATTAATGGGACTGTCTTCAGCTTCGACGAGAGATTGAGCCCGGCTTGTTGTTCAGCGATAGACACAGCAGGGGGAATGAAGGCGCCTCTCTCGACGGACACAATTAAGCCATCGAAAGAGAACTTCATGACACGATCTGGCTAAGCGAAACCTTTGGTCTTTTGGAATGTCAACGATGGGATAGTTACTGAGCTTCGACAAATGGAAGAATCGTGCATTTGTTCAAGGGGCTTGCACCGCATTGGTCACATTGCTTCTGTTCCAAGTGAGCTCTCGGTGGAAAACATAGTCAACCTACTCCCGTACCTCTCTCGCCATGGCGCCTGCCTCTAATTCTTCGTCTTTAGAGCCTCGTAATGGCTCCGCTCACAGGTACCGATCTCATCTCCAAGACCAAGAACCCAAAACTGATGTTTTACTAGCAATAGCGGACACTCTCTAAGAAGGCCACGTTGAGCAAATCAAGCAGCGAAGACTTCGCCACTGCGATTGCAACCCTTCCAACCGAACTCATGTCAATATGCCAGAGAATATCCAACACTCTGCATCGATCCACCGAGGAGACTCTTCTTCGGAGACATCAATGAGTAAAATAAGGAATCAAATTCTTGGGGAAAGGTTACTGCATTCCGAATCGAACACATAATCGAATCATACCAATGCTGTCGTCGCAAGCCGGCCACGTCCCTACCAGTTCCACTCGACAGCCTGGTACAATCGCGGAAGAGCGTTAACAGTTATGCCGATTTTTCCGACTTCACAGAGAATACTCCTCCGCAGACAGCGTACTCAGACATCAATTTTTCTGCTCGCTGTTCAACGCTTCAGCGAACCGACTCTACTGAGGAGCCCCGCAACTGCGACTGGCTCAGGGTACGAGGCCAGATTAGGAACTCGTCATCAGGCTGTGCCTTGTGCCTTGTGCCTTGATACTTTTCCTACAGCTGAGATCCCAGACCGGCAATGGAAAGTGCCATCCACCTATCGAGTTCCCAGTATCTACGAATATCCGATGTCCATCTCTATTTTCCGCTTGCGTTGCCATCTTGGAGCTGTGTTAACTAATTCCGAATGACTCCTACGCCGAGTTGACCAGCTTCGCCAAAGCAAACCGCAGTATTATCCTATCCAACAGCTCGACCATGTATGATTCAAAAGGCAAAATCCCGATCCCTGGACTCTTTTGCCTGCTCAAACCAGCCGCAACTCCGTCTCCGTCTTCAAGGATTTATGGTTGAGTCTCGATTGTTTCAACTGCTAGGGAAACGCCATTCCAGATTTCATCGTGAGTTGGAATACTTGTGGAGCGACGTACTGGAAGGGGAAAAAAAGGAGCTAGATCACATGACGTTGCGCCACTGTGGCTAATGCAATCACGTGCACCTGGATTCTCGAGAGGAGAGGACGGTTTTGAAGGGAGGCTCGAGGCTCAACGCTGCCCTACTGGATTGGCCTCGCAGATTGCGTAGGCATTAGTATGCTACTGTCGAGCGCTATGGAAGGGTTCACTCACGTCAAGACGATTCCAGGCCTCTACAGTACCTTGTCGCCGCATTGTCTATCTCGCGGGAAGGCAGCATGCTGAGACAAGCTTTAGCACGTCGAACAGATGAGAATGGAATGCACGAGCCTAGACATCCATTACCTGATTGCTTGGAGTTGCCGCAGATAGTATAAGAAGAAGCCTGTCATTGAAGTGGAAGTGGAAGTGGGACTCTCGAGGAAGAAAGGCGTTGAGCTTCAAAGCGTAAGCGAGCCGTAGCGTTATCGACAGCGACTTCGATGTTTCGATGTGAATATGGGAAGTGGAAGAAAGTAAACCCAGGCCACGAGGAGCACACGACACTCAGACTACAATATCGAGCACGAAGTGCTCGCAAATCCTCGAAGTCACAGATTACCGAAGCACAAATATACCATCAGCAATATGCACGATCATCAAGCGGCTTTCCGCGAAGCTTCCAGTCTACATGTAAGGAGGATTGACCGCTCACAATAGTTTCTTGTCCCTAATACTCCCTTGAAGGTTACGCTACCGCCAGACTCGATTCTCGATCAATATGCGACTGTCCCTCGCCCTCCCAAGGGCCAGGAACCTAAACCTGTACGTTTGAGAGTCGTGGCAAAGATACTCGACAAAAGCTAACAAGGGCATCAGTATCCTCAACCGCAATACCCGCCGCCACACAGTTACGTTCGTTAAGTGAGTCTAGTTCATGGCGAAACACGCGAATCGAGCACATGGCGGGATATGTGGTTGGTTTCTGGTGGAGAAGGAATATTTTTTTGAACTGTCAAATTGTGACATAAGGAGTTCCATTGTTATGGACTGGATCCGAAGCGGGCGTCATATACACAAGGACATACGCGGAGTTGTTCGATAAGGGGCTCGCTTAGGATTCGTTTCGAGCACCTTCATACATGATTTGATCTGAGGCAGGTCAAGCTTCGCTCCCTCAACGATTCTGCTTTGGGATTGAAGTCCGAGGCGCTAGGCTCTAGCTATCTGAGAACTTCAAATCAAAAGCCATTCAAGAAACTTTCTATTTTGCATCCCAATTGATGGCTGTCTAGTTTGTTACGTTTCTCTCTGCTTACACAGTCACAATTGAAGTCCAGAAAAAAGGGGAACAACGTTGTTGCCGCATAGAGGTGGAAAGGCAGCTGGAATGGCTATCATTGGTCATTGATCAATTGGACTTGTTGCCTTGGATTTTGGGGCGTCTGAGGGCATCAGCCATCTGAGAATGAACATTGCATGGCAAAAGAAAAGACCCAGGCATCAGTTCTCGCCGCTATATTTGAAACCAAAGCACAGTCGGGAGGCAAGTCATACGTCTCTTGAGATATCCGCTCTCATTAAATGTTGCTGCTCAGCAGCACTCGAAAGAGAGAATTAAGCACCGGTAGTGACGGTCACTCTTGTTCGAGAAAGGACGAGTTAGACCGTTCACGCTCGAGCATGCCGAGCCGATGATCCACTCAAGACGAGCAGCGCTTGTTAGCACTCGAAAAACCGAGCGCAAGTCTTAGCAGGGATCTCTGACAAGCTCCCAAGCAGCGATTGTTGAGCGAAGAGCACAGGGGGGAAGAGACACGAGGGAAAACATCATGATACCTCCGAGCTGCTTGAAACATGCTTCGTGAGTCCAATGAAGCTGTGGATGTTGAGAAGGTACGAAAGTCGTACTTGACAGTTGTAATTCACTACGAAGTTGCTCGAGTTTACCCAATTAACATCAAACCTCTAGTGTCCCATTGCTAGCCTGGAAGATAGTGCTAAAAGCCATAGGTATATAAATCCAACCTATTACCACCATCACGAACCTCAGTTGAATTGCCCGAACAAGGCTATTGCAGCCCGAATTTCCATCTGGTGCTGGACCGCCACCATGCTGAAGCAGATTATCGCACCCTGGATCAAGTGAGACACAGTTCTCAGTCTTTCATATGATTTCGAAAGCGAAGTCGGAAAAGGGGAAATTACAGCACTCCACAGCATACTCCACCCCTGCATAAACATAACCCAGGTCCTTGCAAGCGGCCCGATATAATTCAACTGTCATCGCCCCAGGGGCTGAAGCATGAACAGTCAAAGTCCGAACCGAACGCTATCAGTAAAGCAGCCCTTAAAGTTCCATCCTGGAGCTGGAGCATGGCCAAGAGCTGTCGAGTTGCCTGTGAGATAGCTGTAAAGAACGAGTCGCAAATGTTCCGCCACAGATTTCTCCATTTTTGCCACTGCAGGGCGTAGTGCATTGTTTATCTCCTTCGGGGGCCGGGCCTCCGCCATTGCGAAGAGCATTATCGCAATCTGTACGAATGAATTAAAATTATACTCTTGTAAGAAAGTCGACTGGAATGTGGACAACTTACAGCATTCGAAGCTATACTCAACGCCTGCCAATGAATATCCGCAGCTTGGCAAGCGGCGAGACATGCTTCGATAGTATTGGCAGCAGCTCCACCCAGAACCTCTACAAGGTTTCCTAACGAACGTGCCCAAGCATCGGTGTAGCCACCGCGGTAGTTCCATCCAAGGAGTGATGAGCTTGTAGGAGGGACTACGTCGGTAGTGAAAAGTGCAATGGTGTCGGGAAACACATCGACGTTGTCACTATACGATGCTAGACTTTTACCGTTCTGGGTGATCATGTTGGCTGTGCCGACTGTGCTGAGGCAATACACATTGATGTTACTAACGCTACCTTCGAGGCTGAAGATATTGGTTTGGCAGTTCTCTGGACCACCGCTGTTGGAAGAAGCTGCGACAACTTTAGTACAGGACATGCAAGTGATGGCTGGAGGGGCGTAAGGAGAATTTGAGGGTTGCAACTTACTGATGCTATAGTCGTTGAAGAATGAGTAAAGTCCTGCACCGTAGATGAAAACGTCCTTAGAGTTGACGATACGCAAGCCCCAAGCCTCAGCGCAATTTCCGGACTGCACAGAGCAAGATGAGGCAAAGTCGGGGTCGCTAGGTGCTGGAACAGCACTGAACGGAGTAGGAACAACGGGCGTTGGCTGGTAATATCTTAAAAAGGTCGAGTTTAGCTGTGTGTTTGCAATTTCGCCATGAGCTTACGGTGTCTCGGTCTGAATGAAACCCATAAAGAGATCACGAGTGCTGGCTAGTTGGTACTGTTATAGAGTGTTGTGCTCCACTGATGTGCCTACCATGTTCTTTTTTTGGTTGAAAACAATTAGCATGATACTCCACGATGAATTGATACAAGATTTCTTAAAGGAAAGGAGTACTAACAGCCAGAAGTTTCCAGCAGTACTCTCAATAAGAGTCACGACCTGAATAAATTGTGATCTGTGCGTTGGCCGAGCTATTGATATCATGATCAGCAGTCTAGAGCCAAACATTCTCCATGTAAAAATTCGAAGCCGAGGAAGTGACGTGCATCAGCATGTAAGCTGCAATGCAGGCTCCATTTACGGTAGGATTCCCAGGAATTTTTGGACACTGAGGAACCTGAAGATTGGATACAGCGAAACCCCCAATCCTGACATGCACATCCCACATGCCAGAAGGTGTCCCTGATGCTGCAAGGTTCCATTCGATGGAAATGACTCCAACTTGGGCGCCTTGGGTGCTCACAATCATATCAGGCCACTCAACCTGGCCAGATTGGCCAGCATTTCCAACTTGAACCACTAGCTTAGTATTATTCTTGTCGTTGAAAAAATTACCGCTTGACATAATGATCGGGTAAGCCTCGCCGACCAGTCTCGTCCCTGCAGGAATGAACAAAGTATACGTGATCTTGTACCTCCCCGAATCGAAATATACTACAATTTCCTGCTGCAGAGGCGTTATTAATGGCATGCTGGAGATTATTAGTATCATCAGTCTTGCCATCTCCGACAGCGCCAGCGGTTCGAACACTTTGAAATGAAGAAGCTGGAAGGTCGCTGTACTGCGGTTTGGACCGGGAGTAATACACAATGCCGGCTGGGTAGGAGGAGCATATGCACCTTGAAACCTTTTTGGTTCGTTCGGGACGTACTGGTTCCCTCCCCCCAATCCCGTGATTGTTGTGGAGCCAGCCTTTCCGGCCAGAAGAGTCCACCGCCAGCTTGCTGCACAAGAGTTGCTACATCATTGAGAACGACGTTCTCAAGGGTGAGACTTCCTGCAGCACTTGGTGATGAGGCTGAATCGAAGCGGTGATGATACCAACTGGAGTATTTGTGATCGCGCTATCAATGACAACAACGAAGTCGACCTTCTGGTCGGTCCTGCCACTTGCTGAAATGTCGATGCCTCTCTGGCAATTGTTGATCTTGAGACCTTGATACAGCCAGCCCCAACTCCAAAGTTGACTGACTGTAGTGGCCACGTTATTGAATGCAATGTTGCGGATTGTAAATTGTTGATTGCGAATCTGGAGACCGATGTTGCCTCCATTGAGGATCAAGTCATTCATGAAGTCGGCAGAACCTGTTTCAGCCCATTAGTCCGTGAATTGTGCACTTTCTTTGCTGATTTGTAGAATATTCTCAATTTTAACAACAAGTATGATTACGATAAGGACATATTCTGTGCCCTCTGTATTGAGCTTAGGAAAATTATATAAATTAATACACACCGGTCTCCGAAAAGATCCCCACGTGTTGTGTTCCTGATGAGGAACTCATTTGAAAGACAAGGTTCAGCAGACTGGTCGACTGTGAAGTTGGCCAGTGGATACCGCAAACTGATGAATTAATAGGGAGATTTGAGTAATCAAAGACAAAATTGCGGACTTGTCTCCAAAATACATTTGTCGTTCCCCAATTCGGGTCCTGGGAATAGTTTTTATCGCCTTCTATAAATCCGAATCCTGTAAAGCCGGGGGTGCCTTCAAGACCAGAGAGTCATTTGGATTGCTAATGATCTGGGCGTAGTATTGTTCAACGATGGAAGAAAATAGTATGTAAGTGCCAGATGGGACGTAGACGACTGCGGGAGTGACAGTGGGACCGGGGCATCCTTGTCCACAACGACCGCCAGCATTAATAGCTGCATTGATAGCGGCAGTATCATCTGTAGCTCCATCACCTGACTTGAAGCCAGCTGATAAACTACTTGAAGAATTCTATACGTTTGAAGCCCTCCAAGGTACCTTTGGCGCTGAAATCCTTTACATTCCGATACACTTGGTAGCCACTAGGTCCAAAGGCCGAGATACCTTGGTGTGCAATGTTCTCGTACCAGTATGACGGGGCATCTCGCTGTTGAATGTTGAATATGAAGCTCTCAATTCTCGCCAATCGATGTCATTCGAATATTCGCGGAGTATTTCATCGACAGGGTTTTCAATTTCGGGAATCTTGAAATAGGCCCCGATAGCTCCGAAGACAAAGTCTGTCACTTGACCTTAAAAGAAAAACATGTTCGTTGAAATTTTTTGCTAGACGGAAATTGAGTAGCAAGGAAGATGTGAGAGATTGAAGGGATGAACTACGGTATAATAAACTGCTATGCTTCATCAGACCATGGTTACCAGGTGAAAAACAAAATCGAGGCAGTAAAGCAATGGAGCATCTGCAGAGATCCGACTGAATCTATTTCTGTCCAGCTGCAGGTAATTCTTAAGACGAGAAGATTAGCGAGGAACATGATTGAAATTTTGAACTTCGTTCCTCCTAGACCACTTGAATTTGTTAACCACCTCAGGCTTTGGTGGAGTATTCGAGTCGGAGCCTTTATGTTAGCGCTGAATTCAACTCATAAAACTTGATTTACTTGAATCATCATGAAACTCATGGTTTCCACCATCACACCACACTTTGCCATGTTTGTGTTGATCAACATGTTGTAAACGCCTTGGGCTTGTGACAGCGGCATGTGCAATAGCCGTACACCACTGATCTTCGTTGAGTGAGACAACAAGGGGAAAAGCAAGTAGTTGTGGAACAGTGTGGTAAGGCTGAACTTTCAGTCATTCAAATTCAGGAACCCTTATCCCATTCGTTGGCCGTTTCCAGGGATGTGTGCCTATTGCAGTCGGAAGAAGAAGAATCAGCGTCAGCCTACGTTTCCTTCTGACCTTCTGACCTTCTGACCTTATGGAAACATGGATGCTGAGGTGTAGTGGATTCACCAGCACAAGATATGGCTACACTCCATGAGGCTCGCATGATGTAGTTTGCACTGTATGTGAGTCCTGAACCCCAAGGTCATGAGGATTCATGGATCGATCACGAAGGGTACAAGTTTACGAGACCGATGACCTTGGAACCCTTAAGTTTGAGGCATCAATATCCCTCAATACTATTCGCCGTGAAGACTTGTGCACGAGATTGATGACAATGATGGCCAACGTCCGGATTTTGATGGGCGAAGAAGGCGAGGGAGACGTCGCCGAGGAACCAATTTCAATTTTCTTGTTCGGGGTCAGGCACGTGACACACTTCAACCGCACCTCAACATCAACCGCAGACGAAACCCCTTTTCCTGAACACTTCGTGCACAGTTTCTGTTAATCAAACATTACGTTTTGAGCCATAGCTAAAGGAACTTGTCACCCTAAGCTTCTTCAATGACTTCTCCACCTCATGAAGCATTAATAGACACATGGCTTTTAGATCTCAAAAGCCACGCCGATATCAATCAACACGATGACCCCAACTACTGGGCGACCAACCCCTCAAATCTCATAACCACATCTCACCCCGTCCATTTCAGCCTCGGAACTGGCTCCCACGTTCTGTCATCCGCCCTCTCAACCTGCGCTTCCACCGAAAAGGAACTCATAATTGTGACCTGTTTCTGGGCCAAGTCACGCTCCCAACAAGACCTCTCCTCCTTACTCCTAAAGCTGTCTGGCAAAGCTATTTCCCAGAATCGAAAGATCCAAGTTCGGCTATGTTTATCTTCTTATTCACTCTTTCAGAAGCTGTTCCAGACTTCGTCGCTGGACGGAAAGATTTACCCTCCTTCGACATGGCTTGGTTTGGGTTTGCCACATCCCGAAGAGCTGACGGGTCTTGAGATGGTGGTGAAAAGTGTCTTCGTGAGACCTTTTGGCATCATACATCCAAAATTCATCCTCGTGGATAGGAAGATAGCATTCATGCCCTCCTGTAACGTGAGTTGGGAGGATTGGTTCGAAGGCTGCATTGAAATGAGAGGCGATATAACTCTCAAGCTCTACGACTTCTGGGCCGCATTCTGGGGAAGAGGTGGGACTGGACTACTTTCAGTGCCAGCGGACTCCACTTCATCAGAACCTACTGCCGCAAAGGCAGCTGTGGTTACTTCCCTCATCAAACAGATCTCCTTTCCCCAGGACACACCATCCATACAAACCATCCTCCTCCCCTCCCCTCACCACGCAAACCGAATTCTCCATCCCTTCTCTTCGTCAGCACCACCGCCGACACCACTCAACACCTTCATCTTACACATCCTCAACACGGCCACCAAATCAATCTTCATCCAAACCCCCAACTTAACCTGCTCTCCTCTTATCTCAGCCCTCTTCTCCGCCCTAGAACGCGGGACCGACGTGCATCTCATAACCAGCAGTCGCCTCATGATCCTCGAGCAACTAGTCACAGCTGGTACCATCACCGAGTTTGAGATATGGAAGTTTCGGCGTCGGTATTCACGCATGCTTAAAACTTACGATCTCTCCTTCAAGAACCCGGATCTGGAAAATCCTCCAGTGACGCCTGGGGTGTTCAAAGTTGGTTATTTTAGGAAGAGGGAGGGAGGAGAAGGTGGAGAGGAGCCAGTGAAAAGTCATCTGAAGATGGTGGTTGTTGATGGGGAGATTACAGTGTTGGGGAGTGGGAATATGGATCGTGCAAGTTGGTTCACGAGTCAGGAACTGGGTGTTGCGCTTCTCGGGCGGGCGGTTGCGGAGAGGATTAGAGCGGCTGTGGATGAGGGGTTGGAAGGGAGAGTGGTTTATGTTTGTTAGAGGAATGAGTATATTGTGCCACGAGAGTGATTGTGAAGGATCAGAGTGAAGCGTGGTTGAATGAAGCAACACTTCATGGAGGACATACCCCTATTCGTTACAAATTCCCAAACAGTGTTCAGAGCCCACAACTCCCCAACCACATGCTCCTGTTCTTGATTAATTTTCCCATCCAAACACCACAGTATCTCCCACGAGGCCAACATTACCAACCCCACGTCCTCGTACTTGCTGTGAATACCGGAGGTTTCCATTGTATTTTTGCCGGATCGATTGTTCTCTTCGGTTTAGTCTTCTGCTTTTCAAGCAGCGCCTCATGCTTCTTGATCAGATAATTCGGTATAATGATCTTATGCTCGCCCTTGTGGTAGACTTGCATCTGTAGAGCTTGCAACGTTTGTTCCACGTCAAGAGTCGTCATAGACAACTCCTGAGACAAAGCATCGATGCTAGTTCTATCTCTTCCGGGATCCTCTGCATTTAGTTTCAGAAGAATCTCAACCAGATTTTCTGTCCAGTACTGGCGGTAGGAGAGAAGACCCAAATCAGAGAGAGGCTTCTCAGGTGAGCCGAGCTTGCATTCGATCTTGGAAAGCTCGTACGAAAATTGGATGAGGAGTCGACCGTAGCCTTTTCGCTGGAATTGAGGGAGGGTGAGAATACAAGCAACGTTGTATCCATCAGCACTCTCTTTTTCTTTCGAGAAATAGCCGACGAGATGAAACCCCTTTTCATCTCGAGATGTCATGACATAAAAGAGAAAAGGGTCAACATCGTAGTAGAGGGTCTTGTGATCCAAGAACATCTTGGATAGTAGACAGAGATTTCGACACCAGGTGCGTTGCCTCCTACCATCTATTTCGAAGAATGAGACATAATCATCTCTGTATATCTCGTTTCCAGGAGGATGTTGCAAGGTGCACTTTTGGCGATGTCTGATGAACGACTTGAGATCGCCGTAATAGGAGAGGCAAAATTCGCAAATGTACATAAGATCTTCTTGCGTAAAGACCTCTGGGTAAGGCGAGAAATACCAGGGGAAAAGGTCGTATTTTCCAAACTGAACTTTGGAAATGTTTCGTATCCTCGATATTTCGGCTTGATTCTGGGTCATAGATCCACCCACACGAAGCTTCTCGATCTCTTCCTCTCGGCTGAAATGTTCCGGTGCTTCCGCTTTCGTCGAAACAGCATCGGCTACAGCATCATCCACGTCCATAGCATCGTCATCGTCCGCCCCTGGTGATGCATCGAGGTCCATTGCCAGGCTAAGTTTCTCTTCTTCCGGATCAGGGGTAGCTTTCTGTGACTCTACAAACTCAGTCCATGGATGCGGGGTGCTGCCTTCTGAGGCAATGGAAGCTTCTCTAGTTCGAGCAGGCCGCTTCTGTGCTTTCTTCTGCGTGACTGTCTTCTTTGCCACTGGAGCTGAAGCCTTCTTTGTCTCTTTTGGCTTCTCAGGACTTGGCCATTCAACATCCTGGCTAAAATCTATACGAGCTGCTGGAACCCATTCATCTAGACGTTTATTGAAGTTGTCGAAGTTGCAATAGAACTGTCTACCGCTTTTGACGTCTCTGACACTCAAGATCTCTGCTCTTCGAGGTTTGCCATCCTAAAATATCTGTTAGTATTCATATTTCAAGTATTATGGTCGAAAGGCAAATGTTCAAGCGTAAGGAAGGACAACGTGAGTGAGTGGTGGTTGCGGAGGGACGAACTTTCTCCACCATGGCGATGCATCCGGTCCTATAGCGAGGTTAGCGATCGGTCGCAATCATGAGCGGAGGCACCCACTTCAAGGTATCGACAGTCGCTCTACCCATCTGTTTCGGTGCTGGGGAACCCACAGCAGCATCGTGGGGCTGTGAGCCACCAGCCATGATGAAATTCACGATTTATTTGATGGAAATGAATTGATGCGGCGATTGATCCGTGGGATGTGAGTGGGATGTTTTTGGAGGGGTAAAGCGAGGCTGAGAAGCCAGAAGCCTTTAGCGCTCAATAATTTGGAGCCTTGTCGCTAAAAGTCGCTGACTGAAAATTCCGCCTTCCAAAATTTCAAGATGACGGCCCATCAACACAGCGAAATGCTTCGATAATGCCAATACCACGAGATGGCACCAGAACTCTCGAGCAACTGGAAGAAGCTGCAGGCTATGTTAAACCAAGAGTCGAAAGCTAGTTCCGAACGAAAAAGGAAAGCTGTTCCTACAGAGCGACAGCAGAATACGATCGCGAAACGACGGAGGCTCGACGGACGCCCAGTGAAGGCTGCTGTACCTCAAGATAACAGTTTTGCAAAGAAGAGGAAAATGGGGATTGGAGCCAGTACAGAATCCTCAGAGCCTGTAGCATCTGCACCTTCTGCATCTCTGGCTTTATGGGCGGAGGATAATGACATATCGGCAAAGGATCTCGCTGAAGCATATGGAGGAGACCTGAAGGATACGACTATCCAAGGAGCCAAGGCGGATGTCATTAACGGTGGACTGATTGAAGGCGTGGATATTGGGAAGTATATTGGAATAGATTGCGAGATGGTGGGAGTTGGTGGAGACGAAGATCGATCGGTGCTGGCCAGAGTCAGCATCGTCAACTTCCACGGAACGCAAGTCTACGACTCGTTTGTGAAACCTAAGGAATTCGTTACAGATTGGAGGACTCATGTTAGTGGCGTATCAGCGAAGAATATGACAACGGCAAGAACTTTCGAGCAGGTGCAGGAGGATGTGGCGGCACTTATGAAGGAGAGGGTTATTGTGGGACATGCGATCAAGAACGATTTGGAAGCCATGATGCTAGGGCATCCGAAGAGAGATATTCGGGATACGTCGAGATTCTCCGGATTTAGAAAGTATAGTGCAGGGAGGACGCCAAGTTTGAAGAAGCTGGCAAAGGAGATTTTGGGCGTGGATATCCAAGGAGGAGAGCATTCGAGTATCGAAGACGCCAGAGCAACCATGCTTCTCTTCCGAAGACACAAATCCGCGTTCGACATTGAGCACGCCAAACGCTGGCCAACCCAAAATCCATCTGCCGGAGGATCAAAATCGAAGCCAAAGAAGAAGAAATCAAAACGTTGAAATTTCAGCATCACGAATCTATCCGAAAGATTTCTTATTTTCGGGGAAATGGTGATAGGAAGAGCTGCGTGATGAAACACCATAAGCTCTATCGTCTACTGCATCCAACGTCTTGCAAACATCAGACACCTAGCTGCGCTAGAATATGCCAAACACCATGGCATCCTACCCAACTCTGACGCCGTCAAAGCAGATCTAAGCGATCTATGGGGAATTCACAAGGGGATGCCCTCCATCAACTCCATCGCACCCTCGCGGCCAACTGTAATAATCGCATCTCCCAACGTCTTGGTTAAGAAGCCGGCCTCGCAATATACGAAATAGTACTACAACCACGTCAATTTCGAATAGAAAGACGAAAACTCGACTGGTGATTCGGAGTGTGGGAGCCTCCGACGGGCTTAGCTAAAAGGGGGAGATTCCGAGACTTACCTCCCATTTTCTTTGGAAGACTTCAACCTCTTTCTCTCCCATATCTCTGTGCTCCATCATTAATGCTGGTCTAATTCTCGAGCCAAAATTCTTCATGAACGCCTCTCGCCATAACCGCAATGTTTTCACATAGTGGCCCCCAATGTTCTCAATCTTTTCAACCACCAACGTGCCTTCAGATCCCTTGCTGATATTATCCACAAGCTGGCTGATCGAAGGCAGGTGACCTCCCGGGAAGATGTACTTTCGAATGAAATCTTCGCCTTTTGCATACGCTTCATATCTCCCTTCTGGCATCGTGATACATTGGAAGACTGCAATTCCGTCCTTCTTCAACAGTCGATGTATGCATCCAAAATACGTTTCTAAGTATTCTCTTCCAACTGCTTCCAACATCTCGATCGAAATGACCTTGTCATAGAGGACTTTTGGGGTGGGGAGGGCTCGGTAGTCCATCAGTAGTACCTCAATCCTATCTGCGAACCCAGCAGCCGCAATCCTCTTCTCAGCAAGTGCTTTCTGTTCAATGGATAACGTCAGAGATGTGACTCTGCATCCAGTTTTCCGTACCGCTTCTATCGCAAACGATCCCCAACCTGTTCCAATCTCTAGCAAATGATCGGTCGGTTTAATGTGTGCTCCATCTATGAATCTGTTCAATTTCGTCATCTGCGCCGCCTCAAGCGTTTCTTCCTCCTCATTCTGGCTCGATTGGGGCCGCCATATCGGACAAGAATAGGTCATATCATCCGACAAAAACGCCGCAAACATCTCATTGCTAATATCATAGTGCGCCGAGACATTCAACAGCGAATTCGAGAGAGTATTGGTGCTTCTCGCAAGTCCGGTGATCGTTGCCGCAATGGACGAGGTTAACGTCGTCGCATTACCTAATTGGTTCCGATTGAGGATGAAGAGCTATGCACGTCAGTATCATGTTCGAGGGGTGTCGGAAGGAGTACCCTACCTCGAAAAAGCCTGTCAAATCTGAACATTCGAAGTCGCCCAACATATACGATTCCGCAAAGCCCATGTCTGCAAACAGAAATAACCTGACCCAGAACGCGTCTCTCTTCACCACCAACTCTACCCTCTTCACCCCGCCAGATTTCTTTGTGCCATTGACGCCATTGACGCCATTACTCATCTTCGAGTGCTCCTTTGCAATATTCTGGCCATAGCTTGTGGTCTGTCCCGTTGTCTGGTCTGTTATGATCAATTGGCCAATTTCGATTCTTGAGAGCATGGAAGTAACTGCGGCCTTGGAGACAGTGAGAGCTGGTCTCCATGTTACTCCACCGATAGCCCCGCGGAAAAGGTCCGACCCGCGCACCAATGGTTGGGTGATGGCTGAGGGGAGGTATGAGGCCATATTCGAGGGTTGCGTTTATTACCCCTTGGTCAAATCGTCTCTCCGGCTTGTGGCCTGGCTGAGGTGCTACCTGAAATCCGTTGAGGGATTCGAGAACGAGTGTTGCGGTGCCTTCTTACACAAAATTGCAAGAAACCCAAGCACTTCTAATTTCTGACAGGAACCAAAGCGAGCGGCCGACAGAGAACATGCACAACAAAAGACAAAAGGAAAATGAAGAAAGAGAGAAATCAATCACCGACGGCGAAGGAAAAGACACGGCACATTTTCAAATGGGTTGGATGAAATTCCGGCACCGGTGCTGTGCTATGGCTCCTCAGGAACCGTGCCATGACGAAGTGTTCCAGCCTTGCCTGTAACGGGACAAGGGAGGGGAGGTAGACCTAATGCATGCTGCCCTACCACTGGTGCATTTTCCAATATGTCTGTGCATGGGCATCGACTTTCCGAGTTTCGGTGACGGATTCCCACTGCAACGGAGTTTCTCAAATTTAAAGTTTCCATCAGATGCCTCCTGGATATTGTGCGATTCGATATGGACGTTAGACAGGCGAATGCGAAGGTTTGAGAGCTTCTAGAGGAGAAGCATTGCGGCCGACGCGGGAATGTACAAGCGTCTGTGAATGGCCGAGCCAATGGAAGAGCTTATGCCCTTGCATGATATCGAAAATAAAGAAGTGTTTGTTGATATTATTAGAGCAGATTAGGGTCATACAATGATTGCAGTGGATCCGGGGTGATAAGAGGCTGATTAGACTTTCGAGATCCATGTGAACTGATCGACCATGTCTCTGAAGTCTTGACATCATGATTTTTCCTTCTTCTTTTCTCAAAATATATCTTTTATTCGGACTTTTGAGACCCCGAAATACCAAGCCAACAAGCACCCGAATTTAGGTCCTACAAATGTCAATTCTGCAAGTTCACGCCAAGATACCAACAGCTTCAAAGCCGCAGAGCGAGAAATGGAGTATGTAATCTACAAGGATCATGAGGCAGGCGAATACCCTTTTCCCTACCCTGCCCCTTGTCACTTGCCCCTTCACCCAGCGATCACAGATCACGATGTTCGCATTGACTCTCTCTCCACTGTCGGAAGCTTCTGCTCCACTTGCGCAAGCTCGGAAGTGGGCTGAACCGCTGCAGCATGTTTGGGTATTGAAACCTTGAAGATGCAGCCACCACCAATGGGCGGTTTTGGATCGAATATTTTGATGAGCGGTGAGTCTGAGAGCGTGCGGGTGCTTCCGTGAGGGAGCTTGCGTCCTCCCGAGGGACGTCAAGTTTTTGAGCCTCTGGAATCAAAACCATACAGAGCTTGAAGCTGGTGTTGGATTTTCTCCTGGTACCTCGAAATTAAGGTTGTGGATCTGGGCGCGCGGGGCTGACGGAGAGCAAGATTGCCAAGGCTACAGTAGAAGTATCCACTAGCCAACCGCCCAAACTGTGACGGCGGGATCAATGCAATGGTCGAAGGCTCAAAGTTCAAAGAATCTCATGTATTGGAAAATACTAAGCTGTAAAACAAAGTAGGGAGGATGCCTCGACCTTTAGTATTGTTCCGCCCAAGCAATTCCGGCTTAGCTTCGTTTTGTGCCTGTTTCCGATATCCTGTCCTTGGCAGATCATGCCCTTACGCCAGCCGTTATATCACCCCCCCCAAAGAGAAGTCTAAATGCCCTCATTTAGGGGATTACTCAGCCGCAATATGGAAAAGAAAAAAAAAGGAAACAACGGCCATTGACCCCATTCCGTCCAATCCCGACGGCTTACTTGTAATCGAAGCGTGGTCTTGACTCCGCCAAAATAACTCAGTTCCTAGTACGTTCCGGCCAGTCCTTATTATCCGTTGCTCGTATTATGCCTATACCCATATTAATAATATAGTCTGGGAGTATTATATAGGTTATGGCCGATATTAGAACTATTATTATTAGGCGGTCTTCGAATAGAGGTAGTAGATCAAGTCTATCCATCGAGGCAGGCTTTAATATAGTAGCTTGCTTGCCCTTTTTCTTAGTTGAAATAGTAATATTTAACTTAATTAAGCCTCTTTTAAGCTGTTTAACCAACTTCTCGGCCTTCTCGAGCTTAATATATATTTTTTAAAATTATTTATTTATTTTAGTAATTTGTTGTGAGGCACGTAATAGCAGGGTAATGCACAAGTAGTCAAAGTAAGTAAGCTGCAGAGTGACGCTTGCAAGTGTAACTGATTCCAAGAATTGATTCTAATAAAAGACTAATTAATGCCCCTTCCAAAGCTAGGAGCGTCTCCCTATATATTCCCTAGTACTTAGCCAAGCCTGCGAAGCACTTTACTTAATTAGGAAATACGATCCCATGTGATCCGTATGATTCCGATTACAAGCTTTACCCAAAATAGGAAACTAGATCTATAATATCTAATACCTGTCTATATGCTATTACGTATACCTATTACATTAATTCCCCCTCTGGGCCCTTGTCCCCAAGAGGCCTGAGAAAACTGCGAATAGCTTTACAAATAACTCCCTAAAACTTTTCCGGCCGCTAGTCCTCCCTAAAGACTTCCCATAATTGCCCTATTATTATACCAGATAATGGAATTAAGAATATAGTTTACTAATCCTGTCTAGTTAACTCGCAAATTGCCTCTAGTAATTTCTTCTTGCAAAGGTAATATGGGTATAGTATATACTATTAGATATAAAGCTCTTCCGGTCTTCTAATTAGTTTATAAATTCTAACTTAGCCTCTATTTGCAAATAAATCATTACTTTATAGGCCCAAAAGCTTAGAAAAGTTAATCTGATCTTCTAGTTTATTTATAAATTTCTTCTTTGGAATTTTCTAGGTATTCCTGGTATAGAGCTAGTTCTAAATTTATAATTACTATTCGGGGAAAGGGTATTATAAAAAGACCTCTCTTTTTCTACTAACTAATCTTTTATTTCCTTAACTATAATACTATACCTAGCTTCTTCTTATTTCTTGCCTTTCTTCTTTAAGCCTTTTTTAAGCTTTTTTAAGCTTCTTTAAGCTTTATTTAAACTTTATTTAAGTTCTCTTCTAATTTCCTCTTCTATTTCTTTATCTATTAAGATAAATACTTCTCTTAGTACTTATTAGCCTATTATTACCTATTTGGCTAATACTCCTATATCCTTAATTTGCCCTTATTATTTTTAATATTCTAAGAATATTACTAAGTTTCCTGATCTTACTTATATTAAAAGTAATAATTACTTAATATATAATTATTACTATTTTAAAAATAAGAAGTATAATCCTATAAGTTATAAATTCCTTTATTTATTTCCTATTCTAATACTATTTAAGATTTCTCAAGTATATATAATATAATTAAACTGCCTTCTTTAAGCTATTAATATATATAAGTATTTCCCTTATTCTTTATCTAAAAGAAAAAAGGCTATTATTATTCTTTTTCTATATTAAACTATATATATTTCTTATATTAAAGCTATTATTTAAGGCTAATAGATTTCCCTAATAATTTAAGAAATAGGTTAAATAATTCTTACTAGCTTAGTATAAATATAAAGTTCTCTTAATAATATAATTAATATTCTTTAGTATTAAGTAAGTTTACTTTTTTCTTATTTCTTATTAATAGCTAATAGCTTTATAAGCTAATTTACTATTTATTTCTTAAAAGAATTCTAATAAGAATAATAATAAGAATAATAAAAAGTAGTTATAAGAATAAAGTATTTATAAGATATAGAAATTAGAGTTTTTAGAATTCTTAATAATTTTCATATAATTTTTCTAAGAATAAATATATAGTTTTTAATAGTTTTCTAATAAAAGTATTTATTTTTTATATCTCTATTTAGCTAATAGTATTATAATATTACTCTTTTTCAAGTATTCTTATAATTCTTAAGCTATATTCTCTAGATTATTTAGTAGTTTCTATATATTATTTACTAGTAAATAGCTTTTCTAATAAATAAAATACTTTCTTTCTTTTTTATTCTTCTTATAGGCTATAATAGATTTTACCTCGAATTCTTTTTTACTTTTAATCTTAACTAGTTCTGGTTCTACTATAGTACTAGCTTATAGGTACTATAGTTCTAAGAAAAAAACATGGAAAATATTATAGATCTAATATAATAATAATAATTTCAAGTAATATACTTATTTATATATTTCTATAATTTCTAAAACTTTAAAAGAGCCGAAATATCTATTTACTAGTTTTATACTAGATTATAATTATTAAATATTCTTTATATAAAATATAACTTTATTATATATATTAAACTTCTTATTAATATATTTCTTATTATAGTACTTTTTCTATATATTTACTACTTTTTATTATTACTTCTCTAGTATTTCCCATTCTACTTAAATTCTTTATATTCTTTCCTATATTACTAGTACTTCTTCTTCTAGAATATTATTTTTAATATATAGTTTAATACTAGAATAAAATTTATATAATATATAAAATAGAGAAATTTCTATTATTAAATATATAAAGTTATTAAATATGAATTCTATAAAAGTAAGCTTTATTACCTAGTTATCTTACTAATAGCTAGTATAGTATTTTAAGTACTATTCCAGAGTTTAGTTTAGATTCTTTATTTATTTATTAGTTTATAAATAAAATGCCATATTTAGCTATTATTAAATCTTTAAATAGAAATATAGACTTGACTAGAACTTACTTATAAAAACAGATTCTTTATTAGAGATTATATTTATAGGTATACTAAAGTCTTTAATAATATAATATATAAATAGCTCTACTAACTTAGAAGCCGAAATTTCCTTAGTAATTAGAATATATTATACTATTTTCATATATTTATTAATAATAATAAGTATAGAATTATATATCTTACTATAAAACCTAGAAAAGGGCAGTTTTATAATAAAGTCTATAGTAATTTCTTGCTATAGCTTAGAAAAGAGGGAAAATGAACTAAGTATACTATATAGCAGATATCTTTTTATCTTAGTTTATTAATATATAAAGCAAGTTCTAATATAGTTTTTTATATTCTTTTTTATATTTTACTAAAAGTACTTCCTCTAGAGAATTTCTAGTATCTAACTAATACTAAAATATCTATTTATAGAGTTATTATAGTTAGCTTATAGTAATTCTTCTTTAAGAGCCGGCTTATTTAGTATATAAATAGTACTCTAATATCTTAATAACCCAAATATATTAAATCCCTAAGTCTTAATAGCTCTAGTAAAGGTTTTCTTTAAAAACTATTTATACTACTAGTATTATACTAATAG